ATTATCTTATATAATATTTTAAAAGTAAATCTTTAAATATAATAGCGCTTTAATAAATTTTAATTAAGTATAATCTAACGAATTAAACGCTAAAAGAGAAGCTTCGAGATTATAAGATTAATTAATTTTTAATAGCGATAAATCTCGCGTAAAGTTTAAACTATAGCTCGCGTTAGTTATATATAATAAGTATAATAATAATTAGAAGAATATACTATTTAGTTTTTATTAACGTCTTAATATTATTAAAGTAAAGACGATATCTATTAAAGTAAAGATAATATTTATTAAAGCGTAATAGCGATAGCGATTAAAGCGATAATAATATTTAATAAAGACTTTATTTTAACGCTATATTTAGCACTCTAGAATAGTATTAGCTTTTTTTAAAGAGCTATTAATAATAGATTAAGTGTATATAAATTAAGCTCTTCGCGTGATTTATCTATATATTAGCTTAAAGTTATTAAAAGATAAAAAATAAATATATAACTTAATAACTAAGTTATACTTTTAATATTATTATAATAATATTAAATTATTTAAATAGAAGTCTAATATATAAAGAAGATAGTTTAATAATAAGAAGAGTTAATTAAAAAAGAAAGTCTTAGAGAGAAAGAAGAAGGGAAGAAAAGCTTAGATATCTATCGCGTATATTAAATTTTTAGATTACTTTAAATTATCTAGCTTAAATTAAATATTAATAAAATACTTTCTCTTTAATTTTAAAGATTTAAGCTTAAGCGAATTATACTTATTAAGCGCTATTATCTAATATAATCTTAGCTACTTTTATAATAATTATAATTATTATTATAATTTATATAGATTAAAAGATAAAAGATTTAAAAGAGCGAGCTAGTAAGTAATTATTTTTATCTAATTTAACTAATATTAAACTATTATAACTTATTAAAATTTTCGTATATTTTATTCTTACTTTCTTATCTTTAAGTCTTATTATCTTTATAGAAATAATTATTCTTTAAATTAAACTCTATAATAATATATTTAAAATAGCGCGTAATATATATTCTCTTTATTTCTAATATCGATATTTACTAGAATTAACGCACTTTTTAATAAAACGAGCTTTAATTAAAATTAAGAATAGCTTAATATTTATAGATATTCATATAAGCCCTTTAATTCTTTTATATATATCTACTAATTTATCTTTTTATAATAATTAAAGTAGAAGAGATTAAGTTTAATAATTTATTATAATAAATATTAAATATTAATAATAATAGCGATATTAAAGAGTTTCGATATAAGTTAATTAGACGGCGATTAAATTCTTAACTAAAATAAAAAGCGAAGAATAAACTTAGTTAAAATAAAAATATTAAGAGATCGCGATAGCGAATAAATATATTTATATTTAAGAAGAAACTAATTAAGAAAGTAAAGAAAGTCGATATCTTAGCTATTAATTACGCTATAATTATTAAAAAGTATAAAATTAAATATATTAATATATCGTTATTATAATAGAAGTAAGCTTTTAAGTAAATTAGATAAGATATAATAGATAAGCGATAAGTAATTTCTAGTTCTAATTATTATTTTAGTAGACTTATATTTTAATAGTATTATATAAGAAAAATACGCGAGCGTAATTACGAAGAAGTTTAAAGTTTCGCTTATCGCGCGAATTATTATATATATAAATAAAGATAAAAGCTTAAATTAAAAGAAAATAAATAATATCGAAGCTAAATAAGATATAAGTATTAAAAATAATTTTATTATACGCGCTAATAATTAAGTAGATTCTTATTTTTTAAGCTACTTAAGAGCGTAATATAGAACTTAATAATAAGCGCTATTATAGTTTAGATATAATAATATTAACGCGCTAATTAATAAGTATCGAGCTATTATAGAAATCTTAAAATATTAAATATAATTATATCTAAAAGATAAAATTATAAATCTTTATTTATATATAATTAATCTAGCGTATAGTAATAAAAAGCTTACTATAAAAATTACGCTATCTAAGTCGATATTTTAATCTTAATTATTATTATCGCTATTATATAAGTAGTATAAAGCTATCTCTTATTTAAGTATATCTAATTCTTAATTCTAATTATTATTATAGATATCGCTAATTCATTCTAGAATTATTAAATATACTTTTATATACTTTCTATATTTAATCTTTTTTTTATATATCGCGAGAAGATAGCTTAAAGAAATATAGCTTATTATATTAAGCTACGATACTTTTAAGAGAATATTAAGAAATATATTAACTTTTCTAAATTAACGATTTAATAAAAAGACTATAATTATAATATATATAATTTTATATTAGATAGCGATATCGAAAATACATAATAGGCGTATAAAATTATCGTCGACGGCTTTAATTATAAAGTGCTCGGCGGATTTCGCGTAACTAATATTAGAGAAAGATAAGCTTTTCTTATTACTAGTAAATATAGCTCGCTTTCTTTTATATATATAGAGTAATAAAATATAATCGTATTTAATTTTATATCTTATTAATTTAGCGTAATTATTAACTAGAATAATAATTAGAATAGCTACTTCTAAATATAGAAATTCTTAATCGAGATATTTTATATATATATTATATTATAATATAATTTCATAGATATATTATATCGTAGTATATATTTAAGATCTTTATATTATATTAGATATAAAATAATATAAATCTTAATAACTTATATTATATTAGAGTATAATATAATAGATTAATATTCTATTTTATTTATTTTTCGCTATATAAATTCGATGAAGGCTTAAACTACTATCTTTACTTTTAGAGAGTCTAAGGAAATAAATTTTTTCTTCTTATTAAGTCTATTTATAATTACTATAATATATTAATAAAAGCGCTTATATCTAAGATAAATAGATAGTAATATAATAAAATTAATAGAAATATCTTATTAATATTATTCGGAAATAAAAAGAGATTTAAGTAAACCTTACTTACTCTCTCTATAAATCTTAGATCTTTTATAGATATAATAGCTCTTAATATAGCGGATAACGAAATCCGTTATTCTTAGCCAATAGTAAAGTCTACTTACTCTATTATAGATTAATAATCTACTAGTATAATCTTTAGATAAAGAGTCGTAAATACTTCTAATGATTTTAGTTCGTAATTCGAGAATATTTAATATATATAGTCTATTATTAACGTATAATAACTCGTTATAAAGATAATAATTATCTAATTTTAGCTTAAGATTATTCTTAATTATTTTAAGTAATAGCTTTCTCTATTTAGATATTTTTAAATAAATAATTCTCTAAGCGATATCGTTATAATTATAAGCGTTTCTTATCTAATATAATAACTTAGAAGTATTAATAGTAGAGACTTCTCTTAATTCTTCTAAGAATTTCTTTTAAGAAGTCTCTATCGAAGCCTTTAATAGTAATTCTTTATTAGACTCCTTACTATTAATATCGTTTTATTCGTTAAGTTTATATAATATTATAACTAGAGAGATAATATTTTCTCTTATATCGTCTAATAGTATAGTAGTAAGATATATAATATTCTTAATATCTTCGTTAAGATTATTATCTTTAAAAATTATATAATATTAATAACGAGTATAATCGTCGTCTTCGTTTTTAGATAGATCTTCTACTTATCAAGTAAGACTATTAGATTTAATACTTTATTTCCTTAAATAATAGATAATACGAAAATTAAATTTAAAGAAAAACTTCGCTTATCTTATTTAACGGGAGTTAAGTTATTTAAAGAATATAAAGTATTATAAGTTCTTATAATCTAAAATAACTTTAATAGAGTCCTCGATAAGGGTATCAGCTAGTTTAGAATATTATTTCTCGAAGGCCCGTATTATAGCTATAAGTTTCTTATTATAAATATCGTAGTTATACTCTATAAGAGATATCTTTTTAAAGAGAAATACTATAAATCTAAATACTTTATCTTTATCTTCTTATAATAAAATAATAATAACTATAAAATTAAACGCGTTTATTTCTAATTAAGTCTTTTTATTTAAGTTGAAGTAAGTAAATATAGAGATAGTAGTAAAAGCTTTCTTAAGTATTTCGAAAGCGAGTTATTTAGAGTATTCTTAAGTCTATAAATAAATAAAGTCTTTCTTTTATTAAGTATAAATAAAATTCGTTAGAGATATAATAATTTTAGAATACCTCGTAATAAACTTTCGATAGAAATTAGCGAATTCTAGAAATATTTATATATCTTTAATATATCTAAATTTCTTTTATTAAGTGATAGCCTTAATTTTCTTTATATTTATTTCTACTCCTTTCGTGATAATAATTAATCCTAGATATTTAATTTTAATAATATAAAAATCGTATTTATTAATATTAAGATAGAGGTTAGCTTATCGAAGTTTTTTTAATATCTTTTCTACGTGCTAAATATACTCGTCTTTAATATTATTATAGATAAGAATATCGTCTAGATAAATAATATAGAATATATTTAGATATTCGCGTAAGGTGTCGTTAATAAATATCTGAAAAGTGGTAGGGGTATTGTTACGAGCGTACCCTTGACACACCACTCAGCCCTATGGCTAGCGGGCCTTGGCGGAGGCATCCCCTACCATATCATGCCTCCTTCCCACCTACATAGTTCGGTAGCCTTATTATCCTTGATCTACCTCACCCATACTGGTATCGCACCTATGCTGGTCCTGACATTATAATAAGGCTCCTTCGTATACCCGGCGAAGAGAAATGCAATCGGACACTCACTCCATTCGAATTAGCGGACGAATTCAAAGAAATGCGCTGGCAGGGGCTTTGGCAAGAAACCAAGTTGAGCCATCGTATCCCTGGGTAAGCCCACCAGACGGGTAACTCGATTTCATAGCGAATCGGACTCGGCAAACAGTGGTCGAGAGATAAATAAGGCATTGGACCATTCGTACGGCTAGCGAATCGAAAGAAATAACCAACACCCCCACACTCACAGTGAGCCTGCTACAATGGCAGCAAACGATTCGACCTCTTCACTGAGCATGTCGACAACACACATAGTGAGCCTGCTACAATGGCGACGGGAACAGACCCGGCAACACGATTACGATCCGACCTCTTCACTGAGCATGTCGACAACACACATAGTGAGCCTGCTACCAAATGGCATTCACCACATTCAAATTCTTATCACCTACCTTCCTACCAAACCCTACGAATCGACAAGGAGATGGAACGGAGGATGGATTCTTGATGGCAAGAGCATGGGAGACACAGGGCAAATCTACAGTGAAGCTCCCAGGCCAGGCTGCCAAAAGGTGTTAGAGGTGAATACATGCGTTGGATTTTCTTCAATTCTATCGAAGGACTATGGCAAGAAGACTAAGCAAGGAGAAGAACTCGGAGAATCTTGCTGGCACGCAGGCAAGATGTGGCCAATATCTTCAGGATCTCTGAAGGACATGGCAGGCATGGATGGCACAGTCAAGACCAGCATGCGATCCGGCAATACCGCTACACCTCGGCAAATCTTCTCCAGTCAAGGCCTGCAGGGACTATGGATGTTTGGAGACACAGGGCAAGCAATGGGCGTGCATCTCCGGTCTACCAGCCATGGGGGCCATGGCTATTGAGAGGGGGGGTAGTGTTACGAGCGTACCCTTGACACACCACTCAGCCCTATGGCTAGCGGGCCTTGGCGGAGGCATCCCCTACCATATCATGCCTTCTTCCCACATACATAGTTCGGTAGCCTTATTATCCTTGATCTACCTCACCCATACTGGTATCGCACCTATGCTGGTCCTGACATTATACGAGCGTACCCCTTGAGACACCACTCAGCCCTATGGCTAGCGGGCCTTGGCGGAGGCATCCCCTACCATATCATGCCTCCTTCCCACATACATAGTTCGGTAGCCTTATTATCCTAGTTCTACCTCACCCATACTAGTATCGCACCTATGCTGGTCCTGACAGGTATTATATAATCTGAAAGGTATTATTATATATTCGAATAGACTATATCGAGTAAGAAACGCGATCTTTTCTTCGTAATCCTTTTTCACTCTAATTTCATTAAAAGCGGCTATAATATCGAATTTGCTATATATCTTCGCCGCGTATAGTTTAGCGAGAGTCTTCTTAATTAATAGAGGGGTATTTCGATTAGGGATAGTAAGTGCGTTAAGGGCTCTATAGTTTACGTATAGTTTAAGTTCTCTATCGAGTTTCTTTATAATTAGAATAAGTGCTATATAGAAAGAAGTGCTTAATCTAATATAGCCTTTTCCTAGTATCTTATCGATATATTCTTTAATAATTAATATCTAGTCTCTAAAGAGTCTATAAGCTCTTTTCGATAATAAAGTGATTTCTTTCTTAAGATATATTTCGTAGTTAATAGAGCGATAAGAAGAAAGTTTATTAACTTTAATAAGATTTTAAACGTCTAGCTATTCGTAATATACTATAAAAACTTATTTCTATAACTATTTCATGATCGGAGGTTTCTTTCTTAGCTTATAAAAGAATTTCTCGTAATCTTCTATCGTAATAACGGCGACGTTAGTAATAAACTTCGCTTTCTTATCGATAAAGTTAAAAAGTTATTCGAAGTCTTAAAACTATATAATAATAACTTAATTCTCTAATTTCTTAGCTATCTTAATAAAGATATAAGCGGAGATCTCTACTATATTTTTTTTTTAAATATAGTCTTTACTATATAATTTAAGTTCTTTTTTAAAAACTTATTATTACTTTAAATAGTAACGAGTTTACTATGTAATAAATAGTTGAATATATAGTAATCTAAATTAAATAAAAAAATTTTAAATCTAAAAAAAAAAAAAAATATTTTTTTTTTTAAATTTATTATTTTTAAAAAAAAATTAATTTTTTTAATAAAAAAAATAAAAAAAAAAAATTTTTTTTTTAAAATTTTTAAAAAAAAAATTTTAAAAAATAAATTTAAAATTAAAAAAAAAAAAAAATATTTTTTTAATAATATAAAAAATATAAAAAAATAAAAAAATAAATAATTAAAAAAATTTATTTTATTAAAAAAAAAAAATTTTTAAAAAAAAATAAAAAAAAAAAAAAATAAAAAAAAAATAATAAATAAAAAAATAAATTAATAAAAAAAATATTTTTATAAAAATTTTAATTTATATATTATTTAAAAAAAAAAAAAAAAAAAAAATAAAATATTATAAGGTTTCAACCGGCATTCCTTCTCCAGACTTGCGCTAGGCTCCATTCGGGCTAGCTCCTTGGCGGCTTGGCACTCTGATGACTTCGGCACACATGTTACTTAGCAACCTTCATAGTTAATATTCCATTCATATGACACCACTAATATCATTATTCGATACACGGTTCATTCCCTGACATAATATTAACTATCCAACATAGCCGTGAGCTAAGCTATTGTTGCCTGCCTGCTCCTGCCTGCCTACCTGCCCTGCCCTGCGGAGATCTCTCGAATATCGACTACTCAATCGCCTTGTTGTGGAGGAGATATCCGGACGATTCCCTACCTGCCTGCCTGCCTGCCTGCCCTACCCTGCGGGGATCTCTCGAATATCGACTACTCAATCGCCTTGTTGTGGAGGAGATATCCGGACGATTCCCTACCTGCCTGCCTGCCTGCCTGCCTGCCCTACCTCTGCGGGGATCTCTCGAATATCGACTACTCAATCGCCTTGTTGTGGAGGAGATATTCGGACGATTCCCTACCTGCCTGCCTACCCTGCCTCTGCGGGGAGATATTTCGACTATCTCTCGCTTGCCTTACCTGTTACCTGCCTGCATCAGTGGAGAGATTCCCTGCCTGCCTGCCTGCCTGCCCTGCCCTGCGGAGATCTCTCGAATATCGACTACTCAATCGCCTTGTTGTGGAGGAGATATCCGGACGATTCCCTACCTGCCTGCCTGCCTGCCTGCCTGCCCTGCCCTGCGGGGATCTCTCGAATATCGACTACTCAATCGCCTTGTTGTGGAGGAGATATTCGGACGATTCCTGCCTGCCTACCCTGCCTCTACGGGGAGATATTTCAACTATCTCTCGCTTACCTTACCTATTACCTGCCTGCATCAGTGGAGAGATCTCCACCTAATCCGTTATAGACTCAAATCAAGAAGAAACCCGTCCTGAATCGTCATTGACGATTCAACATTACCAGGCCCAGATTCGTGGCCTCAACACTACTATTCAGAATCTCAACAGACCCGACAACACGATTACGATTCGACCTCTTCACTAAACATATCGACAACACACACAGAAGGCCGATGTTTCAAATGCCTTGGCTATGGCCACCGGCCTAATCAGACTGAGGCATGCATGGCCTCAAAGGCATTATCATTTAAAGAGGCAAAGGCCATTGTGGCCAAGGAAAAGGCTGTGGAGAAGGCTGTGGAGAAGCAATGACGGCATAGGCCTTGCCTGCAGCAGCAGCAATGGATTTCTCCTCCTTCCCCTGACCAGCAACAACCGTTCCGCCTAGCCGCATGCGGCTAGCGCATTCAAATCAGTTTCGATTCGGCAAATCATCGGACTTTGCGTTTTTGAACGAATTGGCCTCATTCGATTTCGATTTTTTTTCGCTTTTTTCGGCAATGCGCCAAAACCACGAATCCACCACACCACCTCTCAGCACCCCACACCATTACTTCAAGCACCTTCCCGGGCTATTGCCCCACATTGATACCCCTGTTGCCTGCGTCCGCAGGCCTGCTACATGAGATTTGGCTCAATGCCACGGTCGGACACTGAGAGTGTCTGCGAGAAAAAGTTCAAAGTTATTATTTCAGGGGGTAGCAAATATGCTTCAGGCCATAAAGGCCAGTGCACCATGGATCATGACGATCGTCTCGCTGTTGCCACCTCGCCGTCGCCATGATTTGGACCATAGGGACATGGCCATTTGAGGGGGGGGGTAATGTCATGGTTTCAACCGGCATTCCTTCTCCAGACTTGCGCTAGGCTCCATTCGGGCTAGCTCCTTGGCGGCTTGGCACTCTGATGACTTCGGCACACATGTTACTTAGCAACCTTCATAGTTAATATTCCATTCATATGACACCACTAATATCATTATTCGATACACGGTTCATTCGGGGTTTAAAACAAGTTTAATAGAGAAGATCGTAGCGCTTTATCTAAATTTCGCTTTAAGGTATTAACGCTAGCTATCTCACTTAGTTCGATTATTAATACTATAGAAATTTAAGACGTCGAGATATCGTTTATTTAATTCTATATTCTCTACGCGATTTATAATAGGAGTATAGCGTAAGTTTCGATAGATGCTATTAATGAGAACACTCGGCTAACGAGATATAAGTGTGATCTCTATATCTTTTTTATCGAAGTTTTCTAAATTAGCTAATATATGAGGTTATTACTTCTTTAGCTATTACTCTTTACGTCTTAAGTCTTACTTAAATTTCTTATTTTCTTTAATAAGTTCCGTAGTATTAATACGATATCTATTATATAAACCTCGAAGTCTATTATTAATTTCTCGCTTATAGAATAATTAGTTATTATTATTACTTAGCTAGATAATAATTATTAATATCTTCGTCTTAGTATAAGCGATATTCTAGTTAAATTATTTATTTTATTATTAAAATATCTTAATATTACGGCTAGTAGTTCGAAAACTCTTTATTAAAATCTTTAATCTATTATATTAAATATTAAAAGTATTAATAACGCTTTCTATAAAATTCTATAAATTAGCGATAAATATAAAGATTATAATAAACTCTTCTTCGATAATATTTATAAGTTATACTTTAATATAATCTAAACTAAGTTCGATAATATATCTTCTAAAAATAGAACGCTTTCTCTTACGTTATACGAATAATATAGTAATATTTAAAATCTCTTTATCGAAGTTCTCGAGTTTTTCTAAACGATAACGTATTTATAACTTATTTATAACGATTTAACTTTATATATTATCTAGATTTAGAGTTAACGAGTTTACTAATATTAAACTAGTAAGAGTACGAAGAAGATTTAGTCTAGGGTCTATTTCTTTTAATATATTAAAGATATTTATTTTCTTTAGATTCTTATTTAATCTAATTAGATTAGCCTTTATATAAATAAAAGACTTTCTTTTAAATAATCTTTCGAGTAGTAAGCTTCTTCAGCTATAGCTATTAACTTCTTAATAATATACTTTCTTCTTAGCTATATATTTAGTATAACTAATAAATAAATCGCTATCGCTTTAGAAGAAAGATAGATAATATTATATTAGAGACTTAATAATATATATAATAACTCTATATTATAGTATAAAGAGAATACTATTTATATAGAATTATTATAAGTATAAGCTTTATAGTAAGATAGAAAGGTTGAAAGGCCTTAGTACGCTAAGCTTAATTAGGCTATAATATAAGTAAGTAAGATCGTAAGGTTATTAAAATCGTAACATATAGATATTTATGAAATTTATTAAATAAATATAGATTAAAAGCTAATTAAAGGTACTTATATAGTATTCGTAGTAGGCTTCAAAATTTATTTCTTAGAAACTCGAGTATAAAGGCGCTTTAACTTCTTATATATAGTAGATAACTATATTATAAGATTTATTATACTTATATTAACTTTAATATTTTTAAATATATATCGAATCGATATAAGAGAATTATATTTAAATCTATTAAATAGATTTACTAAAGACTGAGATTCTATTTTCTTATTAACTTACTTTTTATTCTTATATTTAAAACGCTCTTCTTTTAAAGTAGTTTAAAATAGATATAACTAATTTTAAAAAGAAGATTCTTAATCTATAGCTATTAAAGACTATTATAAATCTATTTAAATAGAAACTTATAGCGAATAGAAAAAAGTATTAAGATTTAGATTAATATTAAACTACTTTTATTAATATTAAGATATCTAAAATTACTATAATATAAATTATTATAATTAAATAGATATTAATTAAAGTCTCTTAGATTACTTTTCTTATTACTATTAAGATATTAATATCGATATTAATACTAATATTAATATTAATACTTCTTCTATATAAGCTTATTTATTAAATTCTAATTCTTTATCGAGAAAAGCTTTAACGATTTTTATATTAGCGAAACGAGATTAATTTAATTCTATTACTTCGAATTATACTAAATTAGAATAAAATAAAATATAAGAATCTATAGAATTTAAAGGTGTTACTTAATTCGATCTAATAGAAGAAGAAGAAGAAGAAGTTATAGAAGATTTTTATAAAGAGATAATCTCGTAAAGTCTAAAAGATCTATTAAACTTTTTAAACTTAACGGAAGTAAAGTTTAACTATAAATTATTCTCGAAAATAAGTATTTTTAAATATAACTATTCTTAAATAAATAGTAAAGTATTCTTATAATAAGAAGAGATATAATCTTTAATATTATACTTAATATATAGCTAATTATCTTTTCTATTAGTAAATTATATTATTAATATAAGAGTTTTTCGAAGTATTATAGTCGAGTATATCTTTTAAAATAGATTAATAGTTATAAAAGCGATTATTAGCTATAAAATTCGAAAATCCGCTTCTATTAGCGTTTCCTTTATTAGAATTCTAAGTTAAAATTAGAGTCGAAGTTAAAGTAAAAGCTAAAACTTTATATAAAGAATAATAATACTCTAGAAGTTAGAATTATATAAAATATTAAGATTCTATAAAAGTCTCTAATAGCTACTTCGATAAATTTATATAAAGAAATTAAGATTAATAGTATAAGAGTCTTAAGGCTTTAGAAGCTTAATAAAAAATAAGTAAGAAAGTTATCTACTACTTCGATAATCTTTATTTTATAAGAGACTTATAGAATTATAGTTAATTAAATCTTAATTCTTTATTTAAAAGCTTTTAGATTTCGATATTAATACGTTATACTTTCTTTATAAGATTATAAATTATATATAAAAATCTATTAGAAGATATTATATCTCTTATTACTTTCTTTTAAATCTTTTAATTATTTAATTCTCTAATAAAGATATAAAGAATAATATTAAGTATAATAAATTTAAGAAGATTAAAGATAGTATTAGATGTAATAGTAGATTTATTCTTAATTTTAACTCTTTATATTAAATTAATAATACGCTTAAAGTAGAAAGTAAGAGATTCTTTAAGATATTAATATAGATCTATAATCTCGATATTAATTAGAATCGCGCTTACTTTTATAGCTTTTAAGAGAAATTTCTTATAGAATATAGTCTAGAACTATTAGATTATTTATTAGAAATTAATATACTCTACTTTAATAAGAAGTCGAATAACTTCTAAATAATTTTCTAATTACTTAAAAATATCGTTAATAAGAAGTATATTAAGATATCTTAGATATTTAACTAAGGAAAAACAACTTTCTTTATCTTAATAATTCTTTATATTAAAGTTAAACTTTCGAAGTTACTTTAATATTAATCTATTAATAATTTTAAAAAAGTTATTATATATAATAAACGTAGAGTAAGATATAATTACTTTTATAGTATTACTAGAATATATAAAAGCTTTAGACTAATCTAAAGAAGATATAATTTAATAAGATTCTAATAATAAGACTATAGAATTTATAGAACTATTATTAAGAGAAATTCTTAAGAAGTTTAAGATGTTAAGATAATAGTGATAAGTTAATTCTTCGAGGAGATTTCTAATATTCGCTAGAATAATAATATTATAACTTACTTATTTTTATAGTAATAAGAGAGTTCTAATAAGTAATAATAATAGTTTAAGAATCGAGTTAGATGATAGTAACTTCTTAAAATACTTATTAAAGACTTTTTAAGTCTTAAGAAGTAATTTAATAGATAAAAGAGGCTTTCTAAATTAAATAACTTAAGAAAGTATTTTTATAGTAAGGTTTTTAGTAAGGGATTTAGCGGAAAAATAAATAATGATAAATTATAGTTGAATAGGTTAAATAAAGATTCTAAAGATATATAAGAATAATAATAAAGAAGATTTTACTTTAGGGCTATAAAAAGATCCGGGCTAGAACCTCTAAAGAATAAGGATAACTAGGTATCGTATGGGTAGAAGAGGATATAGATTCTATGGAGGCAGGATCCCGAGGATTCCCTAAGGATCTAGCCAAGCAAACTATACTATATAAAGCTAGAAAGAACGACCCCGCAGGAAGCACCTTCCGACTCCCACTGCGCCAAGTCCACCCCTGCACTCACAAGCTGCGACCCATTCAGGCTCTCCTCGGAATGCAGACTCGGACTCTCTCTTCCACAGCCGCTTGCCTTTTTATCCTCATGACTTGAAGATGGTCTAATGTAGACGAGCACCAAGCATGTCGAAATGTGGTGTTCCCAGCCACTCTCCGCTAGGACCTGTGCGCATGTCGGCTATATCACTCTATTTCTATGGGGTCAAAGACATCCCCCAGAAGATTTTAGAGATAGAATCAATCATCCTTCTACATCACCGTGTTCACATATCATCCTTTTTGACAAAACATAGCTCGAAACAGATTGTTGACGCATGGCTAATTGACATCAGTGAACTCAGTCGGAACTTCTCATGGCCACTGAGCTATGAAGGATATATAAGAAAATTATATAAAGGTACGGCTAAAACTTAACCGCGCATGCCAAGACGCCAAGATTTAGTAACCCTAGCCCTACTTTCGGAAGCCACTGTAGCGGGGACCCTAGAACTATCTCCCGGGAGCGCATTGGAATCTAGGAATCACCATTGGGCATGACAGAGGCAATGACCCGAGTCTACAACTGAGCTCAATTCAGGCGGAATCACGAAGCAGATCTCAGTGCATTGCCCAGGCAAATCTTCAGGCGGGGTATCATCCGAGATTTTGGCGCTAATTAGTTGTTATCGGCGTCTTGGCGGATGCAGGACTTTCGATGGCAGACCTCGGTTAAACAAATCAACGCAAGGTTTCCAGCTACATTAGGTATGATGCATCAGAGGCCCAAATGCATGCGGCAACTTTGCTACCACTCGTATTCAACAGTGACACATGCGGAGGAAGCATGGGTTTTGACCCCAACACGAGCATAATTGTCATGCAGGGTTTCCCTTACGAAGAATTTGCTTACGAGGCTGCCAATCAGGGGGGGGAACGGATGTGGTTTGAAGCTATTCACAAGAACGGTGAGTGACACATGCGGGGGAAGCATGGGGTTTTACGCCAACATGAGTATATCGTGCAGGGTTTCTCTTGCGAAGGAATTGCTTACGGAGTAGCCCGTAATTATTCTTCATAGGTTGGATAGACACGTGTATAGATAATCAATCAATCAATATAACTTTATCAATTTGAGCCCGATTATTAGAAAAACTTAAAATTCTAATAATTATATTTTATCTTCTTTTATTATTTTTTTCTAGTTTTTAATTATATTGTTGTACAATAATAAATTATAAGAATTAGATTTTGAAGATTGCAAATCCTAGTGAATACGAGTATCGTATCTTGCAGCAGTCTAGAACGGTTCCCGTCCCTCGACATGCAGCCTGATGCACGCTAAAGTATTCCCAGCTGATGGTGCACAACGAGTAAAGATTTGCTAAGCAAGTCTCGGGTTTTCTTTTTTCCTTCTCTCCCTTCTTCCTCTCCATCTCAGTAGTGCATAATTATACATATTCCATCGCAAAATGACTCTTCCATCGCCGTCAACGTCGCCGTCGTCGCCCACGGGTGGCATCGAGCTCAAAAATGCGACTCAAGTGCTTGAGCAAGAACAGCCGCCGGAAGCTGTGGATGCGTACCAGAACCCCTGGCACACGATCTTCGACCGCGGCGATATGCGGCGACTGGGGAAGAAGCAAGAGTATAGAAGAGTCTTCGGCCCTCTCGCTACTTTCGGCTTTATCTCGATGTATCTCTGTACCTGGGAGTACATCCTCGTCTCCGTTTCCGGCGGACTGATCAATGGAGGGTTTGGAGGACTTGTATGGGAATACATCTTCACCGCTTTCGCTTTCGGCTCAGTCGTGATTACGATGGCGGAAATGACATCCATGGCTCCAACGTCGGGCGGACAGTATCATTGGATATCCGAATTCAGCCCGCCTCGCTATCAGAAATATCTCAGCTACGCAGCTGGCTGGACATCTGCGCTCGGATGGCTCACGGGAAATGCGAGTGGCTACTTCATCATGTCAACTCTCGTTGAAGCGCTCGTCGAGGTATACGATCCCTCGTGGAGTTTCACGAATTGGCAGTCAACGTTGGTGATGATATTCTTCCTCATAACGACGATCTATTTCAATACCTGGGGAGCGAGGCTGTTGCCTGCGATTGAGGTTGTGTCTCTGGTGTTCCATCTGGCTGGATTTGTTATTACGATCGTACCTCTCTGGGTTTTGGCGCCGAAGAACTCGGCTAGCGATGTTTTCGGACCAGTTGTCAATGGAGGTGGTTGGAGTAGTGCTGGCACTTCGTTTTTGGTGGGGACGATAACAATCCTTTTCTCGAACTTGGGACCGGACGCCGCTGTTCATATTGGTAAGTTGAGAAAAGCCGGTATGATAGCAATAGCTAAGACTTGTCTAGCCGAAGAAGTAAAAGATGCCGCTGTCGTTATTCCGTGGGCTATGGTCGTGAGCTATTTCCTCAATGCAGGTAGATTCTGCCTCTGCTAGTCAAAATGAGCCTATGCTGACTATATGCAGCCCTCGGATTCGCAATGATGATCACAATGCTATTCACCGTTGGCAGCCTCGAAGATGCGATAAATGCATCCTCACCCTTCCAGAATTCATTTGCGAATACTGGATCCACGGGCGTCAACGTTGCGCTCACAGTCATTCTGGCCCTTCTCATCGGGGCTGCAAACATCACATCCCTTGCAACCACTTCCAGGGAAGTCTGGGCATTTGCAAGAGACGGAGGCACCCCAGGCCACCGTTGGATCTCAAAAGTAAGTCTGTCCTATTTTGCCTTTCCACTGTTTGCTAATCCGTCTTCTTTCATAGGTCCACCATCACCAAAACGTTCCCTTCAACGCCGTCCTCATCACCTCCTTCCTCTCCTTCATCCTCTGCTTAATCCAACTCGGCAGCACAGTAGCCTTCAACATCATAATCTCGCTCAATCTAATCGCTTTTCTCGGCACCTACCTGATCTCCATCGGCTGTCTCCTTCTCAAACGCTTCCGACACGAACCTTTACCACCCGCGCGCTTCAGTCTCGGTCGCTGGGGTCTGCCGGTCAATTTGTTCGCGTTCTTTTACTCGCTGCTTACCTTCGTGTTTAGCTGTTTCCCAGTCAGCGTGCCGGTCGACGCGAGTACTGCAAATTGGGGGCCTGCTATCTGGGGCGGCGTGCTGGGTATTGCATTGGTGTCGTACCTGGTGCAGGGGAGGAGGGATTACAAGGGTCCGGTTGTCTTTGTAGCAGGGGTCAGAAAGGAAGGGATGGGGTTGCAAACGGCGTAAGATGCAGTACGAGCTGGAGGCCGCCTGTGGATACATTGGCGGTAGGAGATACGGCGACCGGTCTCCCCCAATGCTGCACAAGCTGGGAGTCGACTAAGGGTTTCTTGGCAGTATCAGATACCGAAAGCAGGTCAACAGGAAATCAGTTGAGAACGTTCTATTTGCTTTGGCGCTATGGGCCTAGCGGTTCGTGTCGTGCCTACGGCAACCCATACTAACAGCGGGTCAACCCCGCGAATTCCGTTTTCTGAAACTCGCAACGCCATATTTCATAGCCACCTCTCAATTCATATACCAAAATTGATACGATAGCTCTATAGAGTATAAAGATTTATATCAAAAATCCTAAACGCTAAGACTCTTACGTTAAGATCTTAAATAATTTCTATCTAAAGCGTTACCTAGACAATACGCTTAGAAGAACTTTCCTATTACGCCTTAGAAAGATATCTCTAAAAGAGGTTTCAAACGATAGGGTTTAAGGGCTAGGGTTTTCGATAAGTGGTTTGAGGTTGACCCCCGTGTTAGTAATTGTGGGTTGCCGAGATCCGATATCGGCGAACCTTTCTTCGCTCCAAATCCTGAGCATGATTGAGTCACTCCACCATTAGTGAGTCACTCCACCATTAGTAATCTTCTCAGTTACCAAGTATACCAGAGCTTGCGGTTGTATAATTCACAATGTTTTTGCTGCCATTGCTGTTGCTTGCCCGATTTTCTGGTATCCGAGAATTTGAAGTATCACGAGAAGGTCCTGGATAGACAGCACTTGATCAAGATCCAGGACAACCCCTCTTTCGGGTCACAAATCGGTCCACTCTTCTTTGGCAAACCCAATTACCTAGGTCTACATAGCCTACACCGGATACTATCTGCAATTTAGCATGCCTAAGGATGCTGTTGACTCCACCGCGGCCGACTCGGAGAAAGACGTCCACGATGGCGAACGAGAAAGCTCAAGCAAATCGGACGGAGAGGGGCAATGCAGTATCGATTCACCGGAGATAGACCCCTCCCCCAAAGATACACCGGCTATGGGAGTCAAGTCCATCGACGAGCCTGGTCCGGGAGGTGTGCTGGCCAAGGTTCTCAGCAGAACGACATCTCGTATTTCAATTGATCCGGGACCACCGCCGGATGGAGGTCTTGCGGCGTGGACTCAGGTTCTTATGGTCCATTTAATTGTGTTCAATACGTGGGGCTATATCAATTCATTCGGTGTCTTTCAGACTTACTATGTCGCCACGTTGGGCCACCCTCCGTCAGACATATCTTGGGTACGTACTTTTCGTTGGATCTGAACTGGGGGTCACGAGAGATCCTACTCTCACCATAAGCCGAGTTGCTGCCGTAGAAAAAGATGCTGATTCGGGACTCTGCACAGGTGGGCTCAGTCCAGATTTTTCTGCTATTCTTCGTCGGCACTTTCTCCGGACGAGCCACAGATTATGGCCTATTCAGGATAACTTTTCTCATTGGTTCGATCTTGCAGTTGATCGGAGTCTTCATGACCTCCCTCAGCACCAAATATTGGCAACTATTCTTGGCCCAGGGAATTTGCACCGGGCTCGGAAACGGGCTCATCTTCTGTCCGGCACTTTCTCTTCTCTCTACATATTTCAGTAGGAAACGGTCATTAGCGATCGGTATTGCAGCCGCCGGCACTGCGACAGGCGGCGTCGTCTTCCCAGTGATCGTTCGACAACTCCTCCCCAAACTAGGGTTCCCCTGGACCGTCCGTGTCGTCGGCTTCGTTATGTTAGCCGTGCAGGCTGTAACCCTCACGTTCACAAAACCACGCCTTCCTCCACGCAAGACTGGGCCTATCGTGGAATGGGGAGCTTTCAAAGAACTGCCCTACGCTCTCTTTGCAATCGCTATGTTTCTCAATTTCTGGGGACTTTACTTCGCATTTTACTACATTGGTTCATTCGGGCGCGACATTCTCGGCATTAGCCAAGCTGAAGCAATCAGCGATCTATTGATTCTGAACGGCGTTGGACTCTTCGGCCGGCTCATTCCTGCCCACCTGGCAGACCGCTATTTCGGCCCTTTGAACACCATCATTCCCTTCTCCTTCATTTCCGGTCTGCTGCTTTATTGCTGGTCAGCTGTCAGATCGAAGGGCGGTTTAGTTGGCTTTGCTGTGATATATGGACTTTTCGCCTCCGGCATCCAGAGCTTGTTCCCAGCTACACTGGCGGGTCTGACTTCCGATCTGAAGAAGGCGGGTGTTCGCATGGGTATGGTCTTCAGCGTTGTCAGCTTTGCATGCCTGACGGGACCGCCTTTGGCTGGTGCTTTGATACAGAGAAGAGATGGCTCGTATCTGTACGCGCAGATGTTTGCTGGAAGTGTCATGATAGGGGGCTGCATGACTCTTATGGCGTGCAGGGTATCCAAGAATGGTTGGAAAAGGGCGCGAGTCTGATGCGTACTGTAGAGACATCAAACCATATAATAGACTAACGTTTGTTCATAATGTGCTCGCGATGCAGAATCCGTGCTTATCAGTGACCAATGAAAGAAAACGGTAGCAGCTTCAGGGAGATAGTAAAATGTCCTGTCCTTGGATGCGTCATACAGCGGCAGAACTGTATGCCTTCCGTCCCGGTGATACTCAAACAACCTGGAACTCTCGATCTTCCCGGCATACCCAATGCAGTAGGCGTCTATCTGAAATCCCAAGATGTAAGACTCCGCCGCCGAAAGCTTTCCCGTAGATGATTGTTCTGATCTCTGTAAATACCCTGATGAGCAAATGGCATGGTGACCGCTACCGCGCCGGATAGTCCGTGCCAGCTAGAGTAGGAGCTCGCTTCCGAGGCGGACAATGGAAAATTATATATCGCGGCAGTTCTGCGGGCGTCTTTTCTCCCGTTGCCGCCGCTCTGTGCAGGGGAAGCGAAAGGTGGAAAGAAGTCGTTTCACCGTCTGTGGGGACATTCTGGCCGTGTATGCTTCATGATGATGCTTTGGCAGGTGTTAGTGGTGCTGATGGAAAAGGAAGCGAAGCTCGTCATTCGAGCTGGGCTAGGCAGAAGGAAGAGGCCGGTTTCTATCAGGCTAGGGTCCAAGGTATTTCACAGCTGATAGGTGAAAAGGCCTATGATATCTCCAGAAGAGAAGTATCTACCAAAAAGCTCAACTCACCAAATTATTCAAATATCAGTGTCCGCCAGACAAAGATTTGTGGTCCCGAGATTTGTAGTTGCTCCACTTAACCCTAGCCCTAACTCATTAAGACCTTTGGCGCCAATGTAAAGTAGTCGCTCCGCTCCTCTGTTGACAGTTGACAGGAGCTCCTGAAAGTTCTGAACCAGCTCTACGCGATTACCAAACTTCCAAAGCATAATCGAAAGTATGGCCGCGATGCCAGCTCTCGAGCTCACTGACCCCAGCGTCATCCCAGAAATAGCCAAGGGTGTTCGCTCCACGTTCCTCACACACAAGACGAGATCCATCGAATTCAGGCTGGTCCAGCTGCGGAAACTGTATTGGGGGTGAGGGTCCTTTTCGACATAGGGAAATTTCCATGGCTGACCGTCGTCAGCATGAAAGATAATGCCAACGCCATCGAAGCGGCCTGCAAGCTCGATCTAGGCAAAGGAATTTACGAGTCCAACCTTTCGGAGCTTAACTTTTGTACGAGCACACTTATATATGATATCAACAATCTGGAAAAATGGGCCAGGGATGAAAGTTCACCGGATGTGCCAATTGATATGATGGTACTGCGGCCGAAGATTAGGAAGGATCCTCTGGGGACGGTGCTGATCCTTGGGTCTGTCGCTCTGACCACCATGTCTCGGCCGAGCGAGTATAGCGTAGCTGACAGCTGCATAGACCCTACAACTTCCCAGTCAATCTCTTGATCTGCCCGTTGGCCGGTGCAATTGCAGCAGGAAACACTGCTGTCGTCAAGCCCAGCGAGAACGCACCTAACGTCGCCGCTGTCATGCAGAAGGTGATCGAAGGCTATTTGGACCAATCCTGCTACCGAGTCGTTCAAGGGGCTATCCCGCAGAGCACGGCATTACTGGAGCAAAAGTGGGACAAGATTTTCTACACAGGCGGAGCCTCGGTAGGCACCATCATTGCCAAGAAGGCCGCGGAGACCCTCACACCCGTCATCCTCGAGCTTGGTGCCCGTAATCCAGCTATTGTGACGAAGAATGCCGATATACGATTAGCGGCGAGAAGGCTTCTCTGGGGTAAAGTGCATAACGCAGGGCAGGTCTGTATATCGCAGAATTACACATTGGTTGATAAAGAAGTGTTTGACCGCTTCGTCCTGGAGACGAAGAAAGCAATGAAAGAGTACTACCCGAATGGCACGCGCAACACGGAAGACTTCGGCCGCATAGTCAACAACAGGCAATGGCAGCGTATAAAGAAAATGCTTGACGATAGTCAAGGTCAGATACTGATGGGCGGTGACATGGACGAGAGCGATCGATACATCGAACCGACTATCATCCGAGTCTCGTCCCTGACGGACAGCTTGATTACCGAAGAGTCTTTTGGCCCTCTCATGCCTTTATTGCCCGTCTCCAACCTCGACGAGGCGATCCGCATCGCAAACGAAGTCCACGCAACGCCTCTTGCGATGTATCCCTTTGGTAACAAGACGGAAACGGATCGCTGTCTAGCAGAAATCCGATCTGGTGGTGCGTCTGTGAATGACGGCTTTATGCATGGTTCTCTTCCCACCCTTGCTTTTGGTGGTATTGGAGACTCGGGCCACGGCGCGTACAGGGGCAAAGCGAGTTTTGATTGTTTCAGCCACGCCAGGACCATCACCAGTACACCAGGGTGGGTCGAATTCTTGATGGCGGTGAGGTATCCGCCTTATGAGGGAAAGATGAAGATGATACGGCGGATGGAGCTCAAGCCGGACTTCGATCGGGAGGGACGGGTGAAGTTCAGTCTGGCAAGGTACATAGTGGGCCTGGGCGCGACGAGTAAAACCGGAGGATTGGTTCGCTACTTAGTAGTAATACTAGGTAAGTGAGGAGGACTGGCTTCTGTCTGAGGTAGTGCTGACATGCCATAGCGGCGTTGGGTCTGAAGCAGTTCTTTATGTTGTGATCCGTCAAACTGGACGTGGGTCGCGGGAGCTATAACAGTGTACGAGTATGTGGGTGTTGTTACTAAGTCAATTTCCGAAGCGGTATATCGAGATGGAGACAAAGGAACGACAGTGAATGAGCACGCGCAGAAATGTTTCAACTCCAGTACATATTCCACAATTCTAGGATTCATCTGATATGGGTATGCGAAACGGGGCTAGTTACTAATTCATACCCCAAAACTATGGTTCCTTACCGAATCATACCCCTAATCACTGATTCATACCCATACACCAAATTTTGGGGTATGACTCGGTAATTTATTACAGTTGCCATAGTGGCTTACTTGAGTGGCCTCTTGAGTGGCCTACCTAAAGATATAGCTAGCTGCCTATGCCTATGCCGGTCATTGGGAGTGTAGTTAGAAGTGTAGGTATTCGAGAGCTATAGGCTGAGTGCAGATAGGCTGGAAGACTACCTAAGTTTTCATTTGTGGGTAAATAGTTAAATAGCGTTCGAAAAGATATAGATGGCCAAGGTACTACCTTAGACCCCATGGCCTAGCGTTTAAGGATGCCCTAAGATTTTTAAAAATGAGCTTTCCGGTGTAAGAGAGCCTGCCGTAGGTGGCGATAGGCTTCTCTCAGTGTCTGGTAGATGATGGTGATATGATCGAGTGTTGAAGAGTTTGAGTTTCGCCCACTCGGCTTTCGTCGAATACCTTATATCTATCATACAGAGGTCTACTCGTGTGTCATTTGTGAGTTACTCGTTGACAGCGCCGGGAAGTTGACCAATCAAACTACTCAGTTCTCCGCGAAAATCGTAGTTTGATTGGTCAACTCTCCCGCCTTTAAGGAGGTAACTCACTCCTGAACAGCACGAGTAATCCTGGACGCCAAGACTTTTGCGCCAAGATCTCGAATAGCCGCCCCGGCCTGAAGGTTTGCCGGGACAAATGCGCTTAGATCGGCTTCGGAATTTTGCGCCTGACCTCTGGAACCCATTGCCCCTAAAGTAAGTATGTATGAGGCCCAGTAGAGACCCTACCGTTCAATCTCTGCTTCTCCCAGGAAATAAATTATAGAGCCGAGGCCGTCCTGTATTACAGGGCTGCCTTCCGAATGTAGGGTTAGGGTCTGTGACCAGCGCTCTCTGGTTCGAATTCTTTCGGGATGCGGTCGGCGAAATTCCCTCCTTTCTATGGTCGGATGGCCAGGGTCACGGACGGATCCTCTCCTTTGCGGTTTTCACCCTGGACGGCAAGTTACCGAATCATACCCCTAGGGGTATGGATCAGTAATTAGGGGTATGATTCGGTAAGGTATCATAAGGTAGTTGTGGGGTATGAATAAGTAATTAGCCCATGTAAAATGTATTTAATCTTTCTTCGGCTGTCAACTACCGACTATCTCATTTTCCTCGCAATACCTCCATGCCCTTTCTCTTGCGCAACGTCCGCCACAGATCGGCCCTTTCTATCTTGAAATCGTGGATCTGCCCCCTTTTCGAGCAAGAGGTCTACAATCTCCGAGTACCCTTTCGCTGCAGCGTTATACAACGCCGTCCAGCTTCCTCTGATCATAGGCCCCATACTCCTCCGTCTCCTCCAGATCCAAGTCCCCAGTCCTTTTTCCGTGCTTCAGCAAAAGTCTGACCGCCCCGAGATTCCCATGCTCGGCCGCCGCGATCAAGGCCCCGGTCCCCTTCACCACAGTGCCTCGCGCCAGCAACAACTCCACCAGATCCAGCGACGCGTTCGAGCCCACGATGGCCCGGACTAATGCCTCGTAGTCACCAAGAGCGTATCCGTTATTGGGGTCGGCTCCTCGATCCAAGAGGAACCTCGCGAGTTCCACGTTGCCGGCCTGACACGCCGACACGAGCGGTGATCCGCCCAGTTCGAGGTACCGATCGACGTCCATGCCGTGGTCAACAAGGACGCGGAAGACGGCAACGGAGCCCGAATCGCAGGTCGCGTAGATCAACGGATCGTTCACGAGCTCGGGGTTGAGTGTGAGACCCTCGGAGAAGCAGAACGAGAGGATGGAGGGGTGGGCGTTTCTGGCCGCGAGAGCGGCCATGTGGGAGAGAGTGGGTGGCTTTGTTGAGGCGTCTGGGTGCACGAGATCATGGTAGAGGGATTGGGCGTTAGCCAGGGTAGGTTGCTTGACCGGGATGAGATCCCCGGCTTCTCTGAACGCACCGGGTGACGGTGCTAATGTTCCAGTGTGACGAGAAGCAAGAGTTGCATTCCCGTAGGCAAAGAGGGATTCGTCTTCCGACATGCCGAGAAACTCATCAATTGCCGCACCCTGGGTGGTGTAAGTCCATGTGGGATTCCTTGCTGCCGTTACTCTCGTACTCCCCCCCAGGCAAAGAGGGATTTGTCTTTCGACGCTCTGAGAATCTCATGCTGAAGTCTTAAGAATGCGCGATCCCCTTCCCTGTAAAGCAGTGGCATGTTCACATCAAAGATGCCCATCAGGCAGTACGCAATATCTTCCGCTCTTGCTGTATCCCTCTGGAAAGCCCATGACGTTTTAGCTGCTACGCCTGCACTTTTAGGCTCCGCCAGAGGGTTTAGCGGTATACTTGTGGCCTGCGGGCTGCGCTATTTCACCATGAAGTCTCCATTTCGTGCCTACCTCCCTCCACTCACAGTCACAGAGCACGACAGCTGGCGGAGCCAAAAGCTCTTGGAGGGTCCATCCTCTACTAAACCACCTACTCCGACCGAAATCTTCCGGTCTGGAAGTATCGTCCAGGTAATGCCGAAATAGATCGACCAAGTAGACGTAGCAGACATCCGCTCGCTCGTACCATTGGTACATCGAATTCATGGCTTCCGAGGGCTCGGCGCTGCTCGTTTTGTCAATACAACAAGTGTCAATCCAGACACATTCCCAGCCATCAGAAGCTGTCGGACCGCAGCAGCCAAGGATTTTGTGATATCCGATCTTTGTGCTACAATCCGATCGCTCAATGTCTTGGAAAGACACTTAATCCTCTCCCCAAGTGTGCGAAAGTATCGCATATTGGGGTATTGAACTACCGTGGAACTCGAGGAGCGTCCTGGTGGACGCTTCCAGAAGACGCATTTTTAATAACGTAGTGAAGGGAAGGCCTACTTAAGGGTGCCTTCACACTGAGGTAGTTTTCTTGCGCCTAGGTTGCACAAGAAAGATCGTATCAAGATTTCAGCGCTTTAGCACTGCCACGAGAGATGGATAAGGTAAACGGCACACCCTTAGCAGGAGAAGGAGCGCCGAGCAGCGGCCCGCAAACATATGTTGATCGGAAGTTCGTCCTTTCTGATTACAAAAGCTATCAAGGCGTTAGGGTGCACTGGATGCGTTTGGCGAGGATTCTTCGCTGTCCTGTCTATTGTCATATGATCTGATTTCCGTGTCTCTCCGACTGGCATGGTATCGTGGGCTCTGATCTCTGTCGAGCAATATCGTTTGAACAATCGCCCACCATGCAATTTCTTAGAGTACGAGGAATGTATACTCTATGTTTATCTTCCTATGTCTCTAATAAAGCGTCTTTAACACCTCGTCTCTACCCCTTTCTTGCTGACCGTCAAGTATTTGACGCCCTTGTAGGGTTTCACGCCTTCACCCAATCCCCTACTCTTCCTCGTATCGAGCACGAGTCCATCCACTCTGATACCGCTCGCTAGCCACCCCTTTACACTAAAGCTGACAGAAGCCGACGATGGCATAAATGAAGCATTCTGCTGTATCTTTCTCTGATCACGGGACTGGTTCTGCTCTTTCGCGGAACTCTTCGTGGGAGCATCTAGTGCGGAGCTTTGGTATGTCTCTTCTTTATCGTCATAATCACCATTTGCAGCGTCGAAGGTGAAGCCGTTGGCTCCGTCCTCGTCGTCTCCCGTCAATGGCCCTACGATCGTACAACGCAAAGTTGCATTGCCAGCCGCTGCCGCATCTTTGGTCAGCAATCGCCATTCAACAACGTTGTCCGCTGGGGTAAAGTAGGCTTCGCCGCGGCTGGCGCGTAGGTCTGTGATATTCCGTACGGCTTTCGGGACTGGAACGGTGACAACAACGTTTTGTAATGTAGGTCCGGAAGCGCTGCCACCAAATATTGGCGTCGATCTGCCAGATCCTCCTGTGCCCAGATTAGGACGGGAGGCAGATGCTGATGTAGATGCGCCAGGCAAGATCGAAGACAGGATCAGGCGGACTTCGAAGTCCGCGCCGATGAGACCGAGTGACTTAGTGACTTCGATCGAGACCGGCAGCTGTAGGTTCGTGTTCGACCAAGATTTGAGGTCTAGATTGGAAGGCATAAGGTTCACCTCGTAACCAGCTAGCATGAATTTGCCATCTGGTGGGACAAAGCTCAATTCGCCAGGTCTTTCTTTCCACCTAGCTAACCTCACACATGGGTGAAAAACCGGCAGCTCGATGGCTTTTTCCATACCTAGCTTCCCGCCGGATGCTGAGAGGGTGAGAAGCAGGTCCGGGACACCCGAGATCTTGGACGTGAATGCGATGGATCCATTTGCGAAGGCAGCTAGAGGCCTACCAGATGGCGCAAGAGTGACCGATAGACTTTCGACAATGTCAACGTACAGCTCATTACTCGTGTGACGAACGTTAGCGCGTCGCCAGGGAATAGCAGGGCCATTGGATGTAGGGTTCAGGCTCATTTGTTGCTTCAAGCCACCAGAGGGCAATAATGCGGGCGATGACCTGAATTCACATAAGCTTGGAGACCTTCTTTTTATACGGCCTGTATGCAGCATACCCAGGTAGAGCTACCCCACCTAACAACTTCCCAAGAAAGCCGGATACATCGACGTCGTCTCTCAGCGCATTCGGCTCTGTATTGCAGACGCTGCCAGCATCACACATCTCACCCAAGAGCTGAGCCACGACATCATAGTTACCTTCTATTTTAGTCGCCAACAGCGGGTCGCCAATGAACTCTTCCAAGACATCGATGACTCGATGAAGGAACTCGAGCACGAACAATGGCTCCGTCTCTGTCGACACAGGTGATAGGAATAAGAGGTTGTTATGGATGACGGAGAAGAGGACGGTCGGAGGATTTACGTTTGGGAGGTAGATTAGGGAGGGTCGGGGTGTGGGATGGGCGAGGTAGAGGGGGAGGATGAGTCGGGCAGAAGCTGGCCTGGAGCGGTAGACATGTTCTAGGATCGATTCACTGCACACAGATCAGTATCGAGATGCAGGAATGAAGATGAAACCAGGAGACGTACTTGTGTTGATCAAAGATGTAGAGCGCCTCAATGGCATTGCTTAGCATCTTGTTAACATGTTTGTGAGCAAAGAATCTCAAACATAGGAAAGTCGAAGTCGATGCTAAGCACAGCCACACGTGGGGGCGGGTCGATCCGCTAGGTCTCCCGCCGTCAACTTCCAGCTCTCCGGTCTTCGCTCCCTATTTACCTAGGCTTTTAGCTGCTTCTTGATATCAACCCCCAAAGCCAAAACAATGCGACAGCGAAGAAACTGGACGAGGGCGTGACACCAAACTGATCTATTGCCATCCCCATCTCCCAGATATGTCGAATCCATCTTCCAACCAACCTAATCCCGGACTGTACGATCTCCAAAAGCCCGAGAAGCTGTCGAAGATCCTCAAGGAGGACAAGGATGATTGCCTGTCCTGTAGGCTGGTCGGTCAGCTTGTCTTCCTTTCTTTCAAGCAACGTGTATTTGACTATATTTGACTAACCCATTAAACAGGCGCATCGGCATTCATCGGGCTTGGGGCATATGTCTATTACTCTGGGAAACAAGGGCTAAAAGAGCGGGGACACTTAATCGCTAGGCAAAGTGGAATGGGTGGAGTGAAGTCGAGGCTTCGGGGAATTGCGCTTCTGTCTTCGTGCTTCGTTGGTATGGGCTTGTATCGACTGGTGAACTAAGGCAGAAAGGAAATCACAGGATAGAATCGTCGGAAGGAGGCACGAGGTATGGACTACGGGTCAGCAAGACTCCAGCTTCGGTCTGGTGGAGATTCTAACACGGGGCCTCGGTCATCCAGAGTTGGCGTAAGCTCGTCGGGGATGACCTGGTCGAAAAGTGGGGCCGAATCAAACGCTCCACTCAGAAGACGGAAGTGGATATGAAGGCTCTTGCATTCATAGTGAAGAAGCTTTATGCAATTGAAGCAATTTGTAATTGTCGATCAAAATATCGACAGCCCTCATCCCATACTATCAAGGCAACTCGGTCGCTATCTCCAACTGCGATACCTTCATGCAAAGTTATCCCAACGGTCCCGTATGTACAACGACCGGCATGGTCTTAGCAATACCATTATTTCCCTCTTAACAGCTTCTATTACTCAGGTAAAGCGGCCTCGCTTCCCGCCTCCATCACGTCCATCTTTACCGTCCCCAAGACTGCCCAGATCGAAGTAATCCCCAAACGTAATCCTCCTCTTTGACCCTGCCACTGAACCTAGTGACTTTGCGCCAGCAGTAGATCTAGCACCATGCCGGTTTTGATGATTGCCACCTCGGTGTGGTGTTCGGGATCCTCGAGACACCACGTCAACTCTCACTGCAGGACTCGGTAAAGGCTCTGGCTGAGGGATGGTGTTGCTGGTCGTGTCGGCGGCCTGCATGTCGACGTCGTAAGGGTATGGATGAGCGGATCTAAAAGAGAAGACCTCGGGGGCGTGAAATAAATTGTTCTGTGGCTGAGAAGTTGCTGGAGGAGCCATGGGAACAGAAGCTGCTCGCACAGGCGATGTTGATCGTGAGGGCTGTCTTGCCTGCTCACCCTCTGGTACAGTCGAGCGTTGGGCGGTTGGTGAGCTACTCCTAGCTCTTTTTGTTGTCTCGCCTCGATCATCATCACTATCACTGCCCATATGTGCCGGTGGACTACCATCCAAGCGCTCCGTAGCCCACTGCCGAACCTTCCACCCTTCTCCATCACCTAAGCCGAGATGCTGTTGATCGAGGAAGGTCAGGAGGTCATCGAGTGCATCTTGGTATCCAGCATCTCGGGATCGAGTCTGATCGGCGGCGGCTGTTTTGTAGAGATTTGTGACGGAGAGAGCGGCACTCTTGAAGCATTGGATAAGCTGTTCAGGTGGTTGGTTGGCCCTTTTTCTTCGCGGGGAACGAGGCAGAGAAGTGTTCAGGGTTCTCATGGAGTCCATAGCAGTTTCTGTGGTCTCTAGCCTTTTGTAATTTCGAGGCAAGGAACTTGGATAGACGGGTGGTGGTCGGGAATAGTGGGGGTTGACAAGAATCGTTGTAGGTTTTGGCTGGAATATTGCGTTGAGACACTCTGTTGTAGTGAAGCTTGCGATCAATATCACAGAACGGTGAATGACTGTCTGAGTAAGAAATCCTCCTTCACTCGAAATATGATGAGTTGTAGGAATCTGGTGAGCCGCTCTCGGCTGACAACAAAAGGCTTGGCGACTACTGAAGCACCTAGCGCCGGAGTTACGGCCAATCGGGAGCCGCGTAGGAAGGTTTAGCGAGATTTTAGAGTGAACGCGAGAGCTCATACTTGAACGCAATCTTCTCATTGCTCTCTCCATGCCATTTCTCTACCTTCACAACTCCACATACTCCATCCACAATCCACTCTACACGTCTATAAAAGCTTCAGCCACCCCAGCGACCCCCACAAACCTCTTTGAACCATCAATATCAACTTGCGCTTTCCCTAGCTCGCGGGTGAACACCCCCAGCGTCTGGGAGGATGGCACCCTCTAATAGAATCTCCCACGCCAACTCCAGTGCGACCACGCCCTCGGACACGTCTATGACCGAGAACAACGGTCGTTTCAATGGCCGCAAGTCAGCTGCACATGACGAAGACAGCGTAATGGTATGTTACTTCCCCCCTCCGCCGGGCTAATAGAAGACTTGGCACTACCCTCGCGGAGGAAGGCCTGCGGGATCGTGGCTTCAGGAACACCCACTAATCATAGTCACATTAGGATAACCAGGAGACTCCAGACTACTCGGTCAGCATTATGTTCCCTATTATTGCTATTGATTTTACTTATCACTTATGCCCTGAATAGGACTCAGACACCAATCCCAATACGACGGCAAGCAGTGTCATGGGTGATGTGTTCCAAGCCGATGGTCGTAAGCGGAGAATTGAAGCGACACAGTTACGAAAGACTGTTTTCGGTAAAAAGCACAGTCGGCTAGATGACACTAAGGTATGGTTCACGCTGTGGGACATTGTGGATCCACATGTTTTACTAACGGCTCTGATACAACAGGAAGACGACACTATTAGACGCTTTCGCTACCTCTTAGGATTGACAGACTTATTTCGGCATTTTATCGACGCTAACCCGAATCCACAGATCAAAGAGATCATGGCTACAATTGATCATCAGAACGAGGAGGAGGAACGGAAGGCCAAGAAAGGTCATGGGAGAGCAGGCGGAGCGGCCGGGGAGCGACGGCGCAGGACAGAGCAAGAAGAAGATGCCGAGCTGCTGAAGGACGAAAAGAGAGGCGGACAGGCAGAGACAATGTTCTACGAATCACCCGGTTTCATTCAAGGCGGGGTAATGCGCGACTATCAGGTTTCTGGGCTCAATTGGCTCATCTCACTCCACGAGAATGGCATTTCGGGAATCCTCGCGGATGAGATGGGCTTGGGAAAGACGTTGCAGACTATTGCCTTCCTAGGTTATCTTCGGCACGTTTGTGGTATCAAAGGCCCTCATCTCATCACTGTGCCGAAGTCAACACTCGACAATTGGAATCGTGAATTCAAAATGTGGACACCTGAAGTCAACGTCTTAATTTTGCAAGGAGCAAAGGACGAACGACATCAGTTGATCAATGACCGCCTGGTCGACGAGAAATTTGATGTCTGCATCACAAGCTACGAAATGATTCTTCGGGAGAAGGCCCATCTGAAGAAATTTGCCTGGGAGTACATCATTATTGATGAGGCACATCGCATTAAGAATGAGGAATCTTCTCTGGCGCAGATCATCCGCCTCTTCAACTCACGAAACCGCCTACTCATCACGGGCACGCCCTTGCAAAACAACTTGCACGAACTTTGGGCTTTGTTGAATTTCTTGCTCCCGGATGTGTTCGGCGACTCAGAAGCATTTGATCAATGGTTCTCAGGGCAGAACGCGGATCAAGATACCGTCGTTCAGCAATTGCACCGAGTCCTTCGGCCTTTCCTGCTGAGAAGAGTCAAGAGCGACGTTGAGAAGAGTCTGCTGCCAAAGAAGGAAGTCAATCTTTATATTGGCATGTCCGAGATGCAAGTCAAATGGTACAAGAAGATTCTCGAAAAAGACATAGACGCCGTGAACGGCGCTGCAGGCAAGCGTGAGTCTAAGACGCGGTTGCTCAACATTGTCATGCAACTACGAAAGTGCTGCAATCACCCATACCTCTTCGAGGGCGCCGAGCCTGGACCACCATACACCACTGACGAGCATCTTGTCTACAATGCTGGTAAGATGGTCATGCTTGACAAGATTCTTGTCAGGATGAAGAAGCAGGGCAGCAGAGTCCTTATTTTTTCCCAAATGAGCAGAGTCCTGGACATTCTGGAGGACTACTGCGTCTTCCGTGAGCACAAATATTGCAGAATCGACGGATCAACGGCTCACGAGGATCGCATTGCTGGCATTGATGAGTACAACAAGCCAGGATCAGAGAAATTTGTCTTTTTGTTGACCACCCGCGCCGGCGGTCTTGGCATTAATCTTACCAGTGCTGATATTGTAATCCTCTTCGACAGTGACTGGAACCCCCAAGCAGATCTGCAGGCAATGGATCGAGCGCATCGGATAGGGCAGAAGAAACAGGTTGTTGTATTCCGATTCGTCACGGAACACGCTATAGAGGAGAAGGTGCTCGAGAGAGCGGCGCAGAAATTACGTCTTGACCAACTGGTTATTCAGCAGGGGCGTGCACAACAGGCGGCAAAAGCAGCTGCGTCCAAGGACGAGCTGGTCAATATGATTCAGCACGGCGCAACTGAAGTGTTCGAGAGCAAAGGTGCAACTGGCGTGCTCGGCAACAAATCCGATCTAACTGATGACGATATCGACCAAATTCTACAGCATGGTGAAGAGCGCACGAAAGCTCTAAACGCGAGATACGAGAAGCTTGGCATCGATGACTTGCAGAACTTTGCATCAGAAAATGCCTACGAGTGGAATGGCGAGAACTTCAACAAGAATTCCAGAAAGGATGTGGGAATTGCATGGATCAATCCATCAAAGCGTGAACGAAAGGAGCAATCATACTCGATGGACAAGTATTACCGGAATGCACTGTCAACAGGTGGGAGGACGGCCGATACAAAACCCAAAGCGCCCCGTGCACCGAAACAAGTCCAAGTTCATGACTATCAGTTCTTTCCTCCACAGCTTGTTGATCTCCAGGAACGTGAGACCGCTTGGTTCCGTAAAGAAATTGGGTACAAGGTTCCTCTGCCTGAACGAGAGGATTTGACCGAGAGCGAAGCAGAAGCTGAGCGCGACTTGGAGCAGCAGGAAATTGACAACGCCACACCCTTGACCGAAGAAGAACAAGAAGAGAAGGAGCGGATGTCTTCTCTAGGGTTTGCGGATTGGAATCGAAGAGATTTCCAGCAATTCGTAAATGGCTCTGCTAAGTATGGTCGAAACAACTACGAAGGTATTGCGGAAGAAGTCGATGGCAAGGACGCAAAGGAGATCAAAGACTATGCCAAAGCCTTTTGGCAAAAGTACATGGAGATCCAGGATTACACTAAATACATCACTAACATCGAAACGGGCGAGGAGAAGACCCGGAAGCTGAACCACCAGCGGAAGATGCTCAAGCGAAAGATGGATATGTACCGCGTCCCACTGCAACAACTGAAGCTGAATTACTCAGTCTCGACAACCAACAAGAAAGTATATACAGAGGAAGAAGATCGCTTCTTGCTTGTCATGTTAGACCGGTATGGCGTTGATGGAGAGGGCATCTACGACAAGATCCGAGACGAAATCCGCGAGAGCCCTTTGTTCCGATTCGACTGGTTTTTCCTGAGCCGTACACCTATCGAGATTGGGCGTCGGTGTACTACTCTTCTGACAACAGTCTCGAGGGAATTTGAAGGGGCGGACGGGAAGATGGCCAATGGTCATAAGGGCAGAGCTAGAGACGAAAACGACGAGGAGGAAGAAGATGTGGCGCCTGCCAAGAAGCGGGCTAAGAACGGAGTCAAGGTATGTGACTCAGGTGCGGGAATCTCTGCGGATCATGCTGACGTCTTGTTATTACAGAACAAGCAGCTTGAAGTGGTCAAGAACGGCAGTAGAGCGAGCTCCGGGCAGACCTCGAGAGCAGTCAGCGTATCGTCCAACGGTACTAGTTCGAAGGCCAAGGGGAAGGGAAGGAAGAGATGATTCTTCACGCTGTTCGACATCCTTGTGTAGGCGCATGAATCTTATCATGAGTGCAGGGCGTTGGTTGGAGGAGGGTTCTTCGAAAAGACTAGATTATGCAAGGCTTTGTTTGCATTGGCATTATGACTGGCTTGCGAATGTACGCTATTAGTGTTAGATGTAGCAGGCTTGAGCCTTTAGATATGACTCGCTCCACTATCGACACATTTCTATCAGTCGCTCGCCCTAGGTTGCATCTCTTTGCAGAAACCAATAGCAACCTCATGGGCGGAAATGTGTTATGGAAGGAAGCGCGGCTACCTAGGAAACTCTCCATGAAAAGATCTATAGGTATCCCGGAAACGCCAGGCCTCTTGACCGTTATGTTCGAAGACGCCATACTTGCCCACATTAGGCACCTCGATGAACGTAGGCCCCAAAGTAGAGTCAACATGGGCTTCAATTCCGGCCTCAGAGCCCAAAATCACGTATAAAAGAGGGGTTTACAAAGCAGTGGCGACTCCTCTTCCGGAGAGCGTCGTGGAAGATGTATTGAAAGTCATGCTCTAGTGTTAGAAAGAGCACCTCGAGCCTTTAGCGATGTCAGGGCCCAGAAGCTAACCGGAAGCCGGCCCGAAGCTGCTGGCTTAGAGAGGCTTCCGGGGCCCCTTTGCGAGGGCGCCTTCCACGTTCCAGTACAATAGGCCCTTAAATTTCTTTTGCTCAGCCCTGCACGTCTGTTAAAGATACTACTCATCGAAACCAATCCTCAATAGAATCCCATGACCTTTATAATTCCCAGCAGACCTTTTCACTTCTGTCAGAAATCGATCAGCTCACTGCATCTCCTCACTCGAGCAATGAGCCAGACGCCGAGGCCGCCAAAGCGATTTGCTCCCCTCGACCCACAAGAGGGCAATGTCTCTAGCGCTCCACCGCTGAAAGGCATCGTGTTCGATGTTGATGGGACACTGTGGTATGTATGTCTTATAGAGTATAATGGATTTGACGGATGTAAGGTGGCGAGTCTCAACGTCCCCGCTTTAAATTTGCTCCTGTCTTCGCATTCTTTGGGTCTCAAACACAGCAAGCGTCTCTGAATAGAACTACGGTTCCATCTATCTTAAAACTTGATCTTGTTGTTAGAACGCGATGTCACGCTCTTCTGTCTTTACTTGACGAGACCCTTTGAACAAAGTAATTGAACGCCATGCCCCAGGAATCCATCCAGCTGTGACCACTCTAGTTCTAGTCCTAACATGCAAGATGTGTCCTGACCTGTACAACACTTTCAGCAAACCTCAGTCCTACATGTTCAAACAAATGCGGTATTTCGCCCTGTTCCCGTCCATGGCGTGCTGAAGCCAATCCTCCATCTTCAGAGCCGCCCTCTCCATCGACAAATCCACCGACATCCTCGACCACATTTATTCCCTCCCACATCCCGCTCAAGAGCAAGCTCAAGCCGCCATCCGCGCCATCGAAACATCAGCAATGATAGAACAAGAACCCCAGCCCGGCTTGAACGAGCTGATTGCATACCTCGAGAGCAGAAGTGTGCGGATGGGTTTGTGTACGAGGAATTTCGAGTAAACGGCTCAGCCTCTTGTCTAACACTTACATTGCTTGCTAAGAATTGTAACCAGTGGTCCAGTGACGCACTTGCTGCAGACCTTCCTTCCAGGCAAGACGTTCGCACCTATCGTCACTCGGGAATTTAGACCACCCAAGCCGGATCCGGCGGGTATTCTGCATATTGCCAGAGCTTGGGAACTGGATGATGGAGGGGAGGGTTTGATCATGGTATGTCTGACGCTACCTGGGCGAAGCGCATAAGGCTTAATGAAAGCGGCAGGTGGGCGATTCAATCGATGATATGACGGCTGGCCACAAAGCTGGTACGGCCACGGTGTTGTTGGCGAATGAGAGTAACGGAGACCTGAAGGAGCACGAACATACCGGGAGATGGATAGATAGATTGGATGAGTTGATTGGGGTTCTGGAGGCCGGATTCGAAGAGAGGGGGGTGGCAGAGTGAAAGGAAGCGGCAAACGGGGCGATGAACCTGTCTGAGAGTTTCTACTCAGTTGGAGTGTCTTCATGGCGCAAGGATTCGATGCAATGCAGTCACTATTTCGCGGAGAATCATAGTAGGTAACCCTCAAATTGTGCTCTTTGAAAACCGGGCTCGCCTACAAGCCCTTGAAAGACACATAAAGCTGGTATATTTGAGCAATCCTACACCTTCACAAGATCCCATTGAGAAATCAGACTCATGAAATCAAAACCATTCAAAGCTTCTCTGTAACTACTCTTCCTCCTAGCTCAAGGGTCAAGGCCCACCAGAGCACACTGTCCTGGTGACAGAACATCTTTGCGTACGCTGGGCTCTATCTTTACGCCTCGAAGACATTCCTTTATTCACTAGGCCTTCTCGAAGCTGTGACCCGAATGTGTATTTGCGAGGGTGCGCTGACTACGTAGTACCTGAAGCTTGAGTAGTAAAATTATCTTATTCACAGATTAGATACCATGTTCATTCTATCCACACTTGATAGGAATACAATTTTTGATGAGTCTTGTGCACTCAACGAAAGAGAAACAGTACTGAAGTCGCCGCAATTTAAAGCAGGGGGTGGTGATGTTGACCACATGAGCTCGGGGCTGCCCGGCCTGGTCTGAGGATATTGGAGGAGCCGTAGCGCGTAGAAAGAAAGAAAAAAGAAAAACAAAAGAAAAACCAACAACCTATCAGCAAAGAATCTCATGCGAGAACCACGTCCGGGTCTCGCAACCGGAACCGACCAGACCCTCACTCCCACTCCTCAACCCGACTGTAATTCCTCGCCAGACGTTCGTCCCCCAGCACCAAACTGTGCGTATCCCAATGGTAGCACCCGTCCCTCGTGGCCCCGTCGCACAGCGGCCAGTGCACCTTCGCGTCCATGTCGCAAAAGATGCCCTCGGAAAAGGACAGAAAGTCCGGCCCGTGCGACCGCGCGCTCGCGCACAGCTCCCGCGCGCTGTGCCCGCCGTGCGGGCTCGCGATCAGGTGGGAAAAGGCGGCCGAGCCGGAGCGCCTCGCGAGGCGGCCGTTGCGCCGCCGGCCGTTCCTGCCCACGCCGTCGTTCTCGGGGCGCTCGGCGCTCCGGGACGCGTCGGCGTCGTCCCAGAATTCGATCGACTTGGGCTTCTGCACGCGGGTGCGCTGGCCGGTCGTCGTCCATTTGTACCCGGGGGCGTCGGCGCGGAAGAGCATGGTGGGCCAGGTGCAGTAGGAGCGGGGGTCGTGGTTGTAGTCGGAGGTGAGGTTGGTGAAGTCCTGCATGTGGATCTGCAGGGCGGCGGTGGTGATGCCGTGGCTGTGGTCGTGGTCGATCCAGGTGCATGCTGGTTGGCGAGTGAGTTAGCCATGAGGCGATTTAACTTTTTGGGCCGGGGGAAGGGGGGGGAAATGTAATGTATGACTCACTTGGTTTATGATCGTCCCCAACGATGATGTTGGAGTAGTACCAGTCTCTGTCGCAACCCCTTCCCATGTCCCCAGTCCACCCACGGTGCGTACCGTCCGCCCACGTCTGGGCTATGTAAGCAATGCAGAGCTCATTGGTTGTCGGAATGATCTGCAAAGCGGTAGCCTGCTCCCCCGGTCCCCCTCCATGCCTGGATTGCCAGATGGTCATATCCTTGAAAGAACCCGAAGTGATGTATTGGTGATCGTCATCACTCGAGCTGCCACACCAGTTCTGGTTCTCGTTGAAAGCGTTGATCAGAGGGGCTTCGCCCGCCGCGTGTCGTAGTGCTCCTGGTTCCCCTTTGTCGCCATTGAGGGCGACTGCGACGCGCACCGCCGAATCCATTGGGCCGGGATCGTGCGGTAGGTTGTTCTGCATAAAGCCGACGAACCCGATAACCGCAGAGAAGACACTGATGACGTTGAAGATACTTGCTCCCATGGCGAGGTTTCGAATATGAGACACTTGGAGGTACGAGGCAGCTGCAAAGATTTTGTCGGTTGGCAGTTCGTGTCACAATGTCCCTCACTGATGTTTGGAAGAAGATAGACTGTTGACAACTTCTTCAATGAATGCTTTCCGAGCTGTTATTGTATAAGAGATGTAGGTAGAACAAGAGAAAAAGAAGAACTATGGTAAGAATATATATGCTAAAGGGCTGACTCACTTTAAAGATTCCAATAATGCAATATCTTCGAACTTGTCTCCATTTGGATTGAAACTCCGCAGAACAAGAAATACGTGATTAAAAAGTCTGGAAGATTGAAAATAGAGCGCTTGGAAAGAAAAGACTATGGATGCAAATACATTTTGAGCAATATCTACCATGCGTCACAAAAAGTTCACTTTTCGCCAGAATAAAGAGCAATTTTTGAATCTCTGCATTCAGTGGTCACAGACTAACAAGGTGTGCCACGCAGAAAAGCTCTGATAGCGCGCAGATGCCACAGCGGTGTGATATTTAAATAACTGGTAACTGGGTTCTAGACGCTCGTAATGTCTGATTCATTTCTTAGCCCGCTATGGTCGTTGTCGATTAATTCCGAGTTCCGACGGTGATGGCTGAGCGTGGCATGACGAGCCGCTCTTGATACGTTGGTTTGCTATGCGAAGACTGATTGGAATCGTGGTGCCAGGGCGAGATTGGAGATAAGCCGTGGATCGAGTTTAAGGGCAGATCACGAAAGCAACACCATCCGTTCATTGAGACTGAGATTACACTGACGCCTATACCGAACCCCAAAGCACGTACTTGAAGGATATTAAACTCAACTTGCTCGTAGTAAAATTTACGCATAATTCAGGCATATCATTCTCTCTGTAACAAGGTTTTGGGCAGGATATGAGACAAAATATGATTGGAACAGTTGTAGGGAATGGCAGAAGCTGCAATTTTATATATATACTATCGTTGGGCAGAATGACGCGAGCAAATACGAGTGCGGAAGATGACAAGCTGGATTTCTGATGGCTTGCAGAATATAATGTTGGAAGAGAACTCCGCGGGGCGCTCATTGCTCCTTCTTTCAAAACCCAATTGTCAAGCGTTGGAAGAACGTCAAGTAAACCAAATTAAAGGAGAAAAGTAGGGATGAAGGCATTTTTAGACAAGGCTGAACGCACACCAATTGAAGTACCTTTCGAAGATGAATTCTCGCTTCCCGCGACCGCATCGGCGACCAGGACATAGATTTCACCGGAATCATCTGAGCTCACAAACAGGCGACCTTGCCGATCGAAAGCCATGCCAACAGGCCGAAAGCAGGCGTTAGGGCATTTGGAGTTATCCGCGTTGGTGAGAATATCTGTGTACGAGGTAGTACTCATAGCAGGAGCAACGGGCTCGCCATTGGCGAAGTTGATAAGGGATACTTTGTAGCCGACTGGCTGGGTTCGGTCCCTGATATCATGTAAGTAACTGTACTCCTGCATGAGCATTCAACTGAACTTACCAGCTTCCGTGGAAGGTGACCCATGCCTGATCTCCACTGCTGTTGAACTTGATGTCCAGCGGAGCCATATGTGCCTGGAATGTCAGCCTCGGGGCTGTTCTCCGAGCGCATATGCTTTCAGAAGTCGCATTAAGTGCAAACTGACTGCCAACGACCAGGTGGGTGTTGTCCGGAAGTGCACTTGGGTCCCAGGCTGCAAAACACTCGGGATAGCCGTAGTTGCTGCCCTGAGACTTGTCTGTGTTGCTAAGTAAGGTACCGTGGAAGTTCATCTCCTCACCAGGGTTATTTTGGTGCACGTCGACGCCGTCGCGCATGATGTCATCGGCGGAGTTTTCAACAGAATACAGCCCGCCGGTCTCAGGATGCTCGGCAACTCCAACCGAGTTGCTACGCAGATTTCGGAGTCAGAAATGCGCATTCAAGGTAAGAAATGGAGATCCGGGGAATAAAAAGGTCTTCTTGCTCCCGACACATGTCTTGCGACTCAAGTTCAATACCAAATGGGAAGTATTAGCTCCGAATTGTACGTACCGAAGGCCCCATCCGAGGCGGAGTCCATCTGTGTCAAATTGGTAGCCTTTCGTGGGAAGTTGTCCAAGGTCGAATACTTTGATTTGACTGTGCCCAGTGCTAATGTTGGAGGCTAAAGGGTCTATATTCGAAGTACTTCCGCGGCTGATCAACAACCTGTTCTCGAGTTTTTCGGAAACCAGGAGTGTCCGGGTGGTGTGGTCATCGGTATTCATTCCAGTTACTACGGTATTTTGAGACTCAGCGGCGCCAGTCAAAGAATTATAAGCCCATGAATAAGCTGCGGTAGGGTCGGAGGCGAACAATGTTCTTCCGTCTGTCGAAAGGGTCATTCCGTGATTTAGCTGGCATCATGAGGGTCAGACCTTTTCCACAGCTTGGAACAGCCGTTCACCAGAATGACTTACAGCCGTATTGGAGATGATCGTTTGCTTTGATGGCGCCCACACACATGCGCCGCCAGCGTCATCCAGCTGAAGACTCACAATACCTTTACCAACCTGCAATACGAGCAAGTTACCAGCATCGTCAAATTGTATAGACCTAGGCTTCGTGAGGCCATTAGCCACCACAGAGAAATGATATCCCGGAGCAGCTACAGGCGTAATCCCGTTTCCAGGCGCAGGATTGACACCGCAGGCTTGCCCTTTAGTGCGGACGATGAGGACGGTCAAGGCTGTGGTCACAGCTGAGCGCAAGATGTCAAACATATTTGAAACCAGAAAATGGCAATTGGGCCGAAAAGATGTGGATGGGCGCTTTGACGGGCACAAAGAACGTTAGCAAATCCAGAAACGAAGACGGGATGGTGAGCGACAATGGCCTTTATTTACCTTCTATTGTCCAAGTGCATTGCATAAATGCGTGGTCTGTTAATTGGGGGAATCTCTGCATTCCTGACCTTAGCTTGCCTCCCTTTCATTCCTCAAGTGCCCCCATGACCGTGCATAACATTGAAGGCATCCTGGCACCTGTCAGATGGCTCCCCCATGTTCAAAAATATCACTATGTTGAGAAGTGGGTCTGGGCACCTTGATGATACATGCATCCAAGCGAGCGAATCAGATGCTAGTCTAATTATCAAGCCACGCTTTTCTCCACAGTCAATCCCGTAAGAGCAGCAAACTATCAGTCTGAGATCAGTGAGTCGTTTTGTCTAACCATGGAATTGAGCACCTGCCCCACTCCCGCACGCTTGTTCGGTGCTCTGCGCACAGCCATTCGGTCAGCCCTCTAAACTTGCGTATTTCGAGAAATATTCAGGTTGCCGAACCCCACCATTTGTAAATCACGTCAACTCGTTGCGATACCCACCACTCTTAACCTGCAGCTTCATGTATCTCCCACAGCAGTCGCAGATTTGAATAAAGATGCTGAAACCTTGTCCTTTTAAGATAGAGCTGAAACCACAACCTGTGGCGTGATGCGATGCAAGGCAGCCGAGACATTGGTGGCCAACCGAAGTTTCGGAACCGATATCAACGCTCAAAATCCTGCGACCTGCCCCTGGGAGAGGAGCTGATTGCAAGCTCCTCAACTATCTTTTGACCGGCATATCAAAAATAGGAATGGACTCCCTGCTTTCCCCTGAAGCCAGTCTTGCAGGCACTGCGTCAGCGGTCTGCAGTCCCATGAAAGACTGGATGCTCGACACGTCGAATTTCTTATCGGCATGATCACCGGTATCCGTGACCCCTCAATTATATTGCTTCTGGCTTCACCGACCACTAAGAGCCTCCTCAACACCGACACCCTCGGTCCATATGTCGCTGTATAACTTTGAGTGAGAAGAGGCATTGGGTGGTGATTGCGAGCATGAGAACAGTCTCTATTCTTGCAACCCGGGCTCCGGGAGCTCCTTGAACTATTGGGTGGCGGGCTGGAGGTGATGATTAGCTTAGAGCGTGATGCAATGGAAATATCGAAGTTCGATGCGCTTTAGATGGAATCTGCGGGGTCAGTAGGCTACGTATTAGCCCAAGAAGGTGGGACAGGATGAAACGATCAATTTGGGCTTTGAAGGCGCGGACGGTCTTGAAGTCTGCGAGATCTTCATGGACAAGGATCAACAGTCTCCTAAGGATACTTGTCATGGCTTGGTGTCCTTCTCGATTTTGCTGGAATGCCTTCATCACCAGATCGAGATCGATCTGGCGTTTGCGGAATTCTGGGTTCTTCGCTCTTTGTCAAGTTGTTGTAAGGATCCTCGAGATTGGTAGCGTTCGCAAACACTGCGCCATGCCATTCGACGGACGGCTATTTGATGAGTTTTCGGACTGTTGATCGCTGCTGCTCACATGCGAGTTACCAAGTTGATTGATTACTAAACTAGCCTGCCGCTAGTTAAGTAAGTGGGCCAATTAACATCCATCTCATCTGCCGACCAATGCGCCTACAACAATCCTCGTCCACGAACTTCCTCCACTTCTGATCGAGTAGCCTGCTTTCCCTAGATTGAGCATTCCTGCACTCGCATCTTACGATGCTCCGAGATCGAAGTCTTCCTAGCCGCTGCGTCATGTGCTCGAAAGTGCGCTGTAAGCTGGTAGGCCTGGATTGCCGTATTGATATCACAGAAGCATTAGCTGGATCCACGCCATGTCTCTCCGCGAGCGGTTTGCTGTGGCATAGATCGACTCGGTAACAACGAGCTAGTCCGAGCAGCAGGTACATGTCAGTTATGATGCTGACCTTTGGTGACCTGGTACTCGTCCTCTAAGTCCTTAGCTTATGCGTCTATTGTCTGACATTACACCCTTACGCCAAATACCCGGGACCTTTCTTGGCCAAGGCAAGACAAGTGACGCATATGAAAGGTTTTCGCTGACCAAGTGGTCTAGGTGACATATATTTATTGGATTGTACCATGCGTACAAGGGGGACATGCACCTTGATGTCTGGAAATGCCATGAAATGCACATGAGGAAGGTGTAGTCTGGGTACCTCTATAGAAGAGAAGCTTTGCGAATTGTACTGCGTCCAAGTGATCGTCTCGCTCTGCTGTGTATCCAACCGCATATTCTTATAGCCGCTGCGTGTGTCACACAGGCGACAAATGACGTGCGTACGTATACTTACGGCGGACGACGGCTGACACTACGACAAAACCAAAAAAAATAAAAAAATTCTCTGCCTGCCGCTAGTGTAAGTGAACCAATCAACATCCATCTCATCTGCCCACCAATGCGCCTACAAACAATCCTCGTCCGCGAACTTCCTCCACTTCTGATCGAGTAACCTGCTTTCCCTAGACTGAGCATTCCTGCACTCGCACCTTACGATGCTCCGAGATCGGAGTCTTCCTAGCCGCCGCGTCATGTGCTCGAAAGTGCGCTGTAAGCCGGTAGGCCTGGATTGCCGTCTTGATATCACAGAAGCATTAGCTGGATCCACGCCATGTCTCTCCGCGAACGGTTTGCTGCGGCATAGAATGACTCGGTAACAACGAGCTAGTCCGAGCAGCAGGTACATGTCAGTTATGATGCTGACCTTTGGTGACCTGGTACTCGTCCTCTAAGTCCTTAGCTTATGCGTCTATTGTCTGACATTACACCCTTACGCCAAATACCCGGGACCTTTCTTGGCCAAGGCAAGACAAGTGACGCATATGAAAGGTTTTCGCTGACCAAGTGGTCTAGGTGACATATATTTATTGGATTGTACCATGCGTACAAGGGGGACATGCACCTTGATGTCTGGAAATGCCATGAAATGCACATGAGGAAGGTGTAGTCTGGGTACCTCTATAGAAGAGAAGCTTTGCGAATTGTACTGCGTCCAAGTGATCGTCTCGCTCTGCTGTGTATCCAACCGCATATTCTTATAGCCGCTGCGTGTGTCACACAGGCGACAAATGACGTGCGTACGTATACTCCCCACCTCAGCCAGCCTTTTTAACGGTCAAGATCCCATGATTAGAGAAGGTGAGGCTATTGCTGCGAAGCGTGAACTACCGCGGAAATATCAGGAGGGCTATGCGGTTGGCCAGTCTCTCGAAGTTTGTCATAAAGAAAATGTCGGAGATCCACGAGCTTGTGATCTGAAATTTTGACAGTTGCAACCTGTTCGCGTGTGAAATTTTTGAATTCGAGACTTAAAACCGCTGCCATCCTATATGTCGTTCGATCTCGTTCAACGTTAGAAAGCCATCAGGCTCCGGATCGGAATCCCACGATCGATCCTGTTGTTGAGGGGTAGCTATAAACAACGCAAAAGGAGTAGTCACTATCCTTGGTATAAGAGCTGCTCCTGCGTGGATACCCAAAACCTTTGCGATGGAGGCATGATGGAGATATGGGAAGCTATTCCTGGGTAGCAGAAAAGATCTGACCAAGTCCTGTAGTGAACGGGAACCGGCTGGTGCATACATCTTCTGTGACAAGTGTCATCCCTCAAATACGGACGCAAATGGCCTATATCTTCCCCAACGCTGATGTAGTCTCCCCTCGTATACTCTCAACTCAAAAGCAGCTCAACCCTCCAATGTGTCTCCTTGTCGGGCATTGTATCCTTCTGGCAATCATCCGCGGCGGGCTGAAGAGCAGTATGGACGAGGAAGATAAGGCGGCTTTCGTGGCTGTGGATGCGAGAGGCCTAGGCCCCTAGCCACGAGATGAGAATTTTTATAAAAGCTTTTGTAAGTTAGCCTTGGTGCTGGGATGTCCCAGATGGTTGAATCGTAAAGGTGGTTTGGCTTGGCAAAATCCGGAGAATTCCTACAATAAGGTAACTGCCGGCAGGTGATTCAGGACCCCTTGACTGCAGCTGATCCGCGACATCCTAATCTTCGAGGCTGAGCAAATGCAGGAGCTTCGCTCTCAGGTTGTCAAGAGCGGCCTGATCTTAATCCAAAGTGGGAGATCGTGGTTTCTAGATTTGGTCGGAGTTCCACTGCTGGAGTGACGACGTATTTGTCATGATCCGCATCCCTCTTCTGGTCGCGCTTTCTCCAGAACGCAAGCCTGTCTTCCCGAACAGGTAGACCCTGCGGCACTGAGATGGTTCTCATGGCCTCCTGCTCTTGGTATTGAGCGTTTGGCTACCTCGACGCATTGAATGGGAATCGCAAGGTGGCCGTAGGATACTTAAAAGCAAAGGTTTTAGTCAACGAAACCCATTTCTTCATCCATGACACCAACAAGCCCTTTGCCAGAAGGATCTTCCCCAGTATCCGCCGGTGGCCAAGGATTCTGTGTCTTCCGTAGACTCTCCGACTGTCGGATCGCGGCTGGTAAATCTCTGCACGAGGTCAACCGCTTGCCCTGCACACTGCACCTAGAGACTGTACTGGAGATTTCCATGAACCACATAGCCTTGTATTGCAAGCTCTTCTGCCAACTCTTCCTGATGATTGTCCAACAAGTCTGGATTGGGAACAACAATAACGGGGACCGCAATTCGTAGGGCGTCAAGGATAGAGCCAGATCCTGTCCAATACGTGAGCCTGAGGTCTCATCGATAGCGCAGGGATAAATTGGTACCTGCGTGGCTGATGACAACACCTTCTACACCGTTGCCTTGGCCTTTGGCAGCCCGCATCTCGGATCCCAAACCCTGCTTGTTGAAGTCGAAACCACTTATGCTGAGGTCCTGCACTTCTTCACTCATGGTATAACTGCTTCTTCTGAACTCCTCGAGCACCTTCTGTCCATCTTTGCCATGTTGTAATCGCAGGTCCGTGTAATCATGGGTCTCCAAAGCTTCCAGAAATTGCGGGCTAAGGGCGGCTTTGACCAAGGAGTCAAAGCTTGCCGTTGCTCCGACAGTAACAAAGCAGACCTTCTGCGACTTGCGTTTCTTGCGGGACATTGACATGATAAAATTTGGTCGATAATCTACCGGCCAGGGTGGTCCAATGTCGTAGAGGGCCGGTGGGGTCAAGGTAGAGTGAGGTTCCCGGAGACAATGTCTTTTCCGGGGTAGGATAAGCGCCCGGACCGTCCAACCGCGGGTATCTAGGCATGTTTCCGAGGCCTGCTGGATGGGTGCCGTCGGGTGGACGGGCGGGCCCCGGAGCTCCCACATTCTTTTATGTGCTGCAAAGATGTCGCAAAGAGGCTCAGCGTTTCTAGGCTTGCTTGTGGGGGCTAAGAAATATCGTCGTTCTAGCTATTTAAACATGCGTCAACATATCTACAAAATCTTCCAACTTTCATTGAGATTGGCACCGTCTTTTTATGTCTTGTTATGCATTGACAGGGAGTCATGTACGCTTGCGGTACTGCACCGAGTTGCTTGTACGTGAATGCTTTCAAAGATTTGCTTGCCCGAGTGCAAAGAGGAGGATTATGTACTATCCGCCGAACTATCTGCTGTTCAGCATCGCCCTTTACTGCCTCAGAATGAATAGCATCCTGACACATCCAGTTTCACAATCAAACCCCTGACCATTTGGTTACTTCTTTTCCGTATCTCAAGCAAATGATGAATTCGCTTTCCTGAGGTTGCAACATCATTGGGGAGAAGGTGCTGGGGACTATTGGATGGTGGACTCCTCTGTTGTACGGGAGTATTAACTGCCTGCTTTTGGGGCACAAGATACTGGCACGGCTGGAGATGGGGTGCAATATTGACTTACGCCCTGCTAAGGCACCAGCTAAGTGTCCGGGGCAGGAGCGCTCTTCGAGTCCCACCAGGAATTTTCCCGACAGTACCTTCAAGGAAGACCAGTGGAGCTCCAGGGAAGGGGCCTCGATCGAACGATCAAGCTCCTACATCAGCAAGCCAATGAGCACCGCAACGCTAGCTGTTTACTCAGATTTCAATATACTGTCATTGTCTTATCGGCGGTTCGCCGCCATCTATGCATGCTTCGAGGACCTTCTCATAACGGCAACAGCTTTCTTTCATGACGGTAACGAGGACAGCAAATCATTTCTCAGGGCTCTCAACATTGTTCTACCCTATCAACGAACTGTGTCTCGTCATCCAGAAAGCTAGGGCCAGACTCAAGTGCGCTCACAGGATTTATCAATAAATCATCGGTAGGCAATGCAGCATACTGACCGCTCAAGCACTTCGCCGCTCAGCTAACATCCGGGGCTTGCCATGTTGGACGATACTGAAACTATTGAAGTGATCGACGAATTGTCGGAGACAGTCAAGAAGGACTTGAGTGAATATAGAGTAGTTCTGCAAAGCTGTCAGATCATGCTATTGACTCTGACTATGTAACAAAGGTCAAACAATAGACTGCAGCTTGGTTGTATCAGACCTGCTGATGATGGAATAGAATAGGTGCCGCAAGAGGTGAAGCGGTTGATATACAAACCCTTTACGTCTTGACAACAGCAGAGATCCTATGAGTTGGCAAGTCAGCAGGATAGACGCAGAGACGAACGTTTGCTCCGAGTTTGTCAATTCTATGGCCGTCGATCTTGCACAATATAGCAAAGGACGAGAGAATGCGCGGGGGTTTGCCGCATTATAAGGCGAAGGTAAGGGTCTTGACGATGATCTTGGTCTGGAGACGCTCGGGGACTCATTGAAATGGCAAATCGTCCGTGGTTGCATGTAGCTGACACTTGCACTGGTTGCTCCAGCTCCGAGCAAATCCGCAGGCCGGAAAAGGCGAGTAACGGCAGTGTACTATATGAACAGCATGCCAAGCCACTCAGTGCGAGCATTATCTTCGAATAAGGAAGTACGAAGGAAGCGCGGCAAAATTGTGGCCATAATCGGTGCGGGGATCATTATTGAATCTCCCAGCAAGAGGTGAAGAAACTTTTTCAATGCCACGAACAGAATGAGATATCGAGACTTTGACGGCTAGATCATTTCTTGGAAAGGGTTAAAGTCAGGCTTTTGAGTATGCAAGGAGTTTGCATCTTTACACAAGTGCATTAGCATCTGAATCGTAGAGCCTGCGGCTGTTTCGGTGTGTAAGGCCGTTGAAGGCCATGAAGCTTGAGTGAAACAAGATTATTGCCGACGTCATTGTTTTCTATAGCGATCATGATCTTTATGAGATGATTGATGATAAAGGTGTTTGATATGGTCCACCATGGACTTGATCGTTTCGTGTAACAAGCCCAATGATGGTCACGGTTGTGGGGCCATCATGCCATATTTGTGCATCTGCATCTCAGTAGAGAAGTTTTCCCGCAAAAACATGTCAGGAATTGTTTATCAGTCATGGGATACTGTTGCATTTGTTCAATACAAGGGGGCGGGGTCTTGCCGCCTCACAGACAACCGTCAAGCTTACCTTAGCTAGCGCAGAGGTCAGCCCTATAGCACAATCTACGTCCAATGCTCAGGAGAGGATTGGAAGTTATCTCGCACGTCGATGCCGGATCATGCCTCTCAAAGATGATGATGACATAGCACCACCAGTGCCGGCAAGTATACGAGCCGGAAGGGTACCTCCTCCCTCCAGCCAAGGAATTTTCTTCCTGACTGGCGCACTCGCCGGCGCAACCACAATACCAATTGAAAGCCTCTGGCAACGTCTCGTCCTTAGAGCACCTGGATCCCTACCACTTTTGGCGTGGACTCCTATATACCGAGGCGGTGTCCGCTTCTGGGCCTTCGACCTCGCCCGCTATCATGTCGAGCGTCTTCCCATACCTGTCGCGATCAAAGGCGGGCTTTCAGGTGCTGCTGGAGGGTTGGCAGAAGTATGCGTGCAGTCGCTGTTCAGGAACAAGTTGCCAGATATGGCGAGCCTGACGAGCCAGTCTGGCAAACTGTTCTGCTGCTTTGGCACCTACACCTTCCTATCTACGACGCTTTCTCCGGAGCAGCTACCCCCGAAGCCGTTTTGGTATTGCTGGCTTATAGGGGCAACGGCTGGAGGCTTGGGAAGTGGGGTCATTGCGAGGGCAGAAGGGGTCACAGGGTCTGCTTTATGGAGGGTTGCGGTTCCAAAGGGAGCCCTGACTATTGGGACGGTGATTGCTGTGCAGGTGACGACTTGTGCGGTCATTCTGCCGTACAATCGGTTCATCCCCAATGGAAGGCTCTGAATGGTATCGGTTGAGGCAGGGAGCTTAATACGATGACTCCACGAGGGATTGATGACACCTAGCATCTGCACCCGGGAACCCATTGTCGATGGAGACTGGAGACAGACTTAGAATCTCACCTCCCCCTAGGCTAAGACCACGTTGGCCATTTAGGCGAGAATGATTTCTTAGTATCTAGGGAATTCACGCCACATGAAAGCAATCGAGGAACCGAATGGTTCTCCACAAGGTGCGGGAAAGTCATACAATCGTAGACAGGAATTAGCCACTATTGAGGCATCATCAAAAATTTCTTGATGTTCTTGCAGAATTGGCTCGAAGAGCCTGCAAAAGGTATCTCATCAAATCTGCATATGTTCCCACGGCAAGAAGTATTTGCTAATATCTAAATCGACAGAATGACCACATATAGGTGAGACAACGACAACGCTCGGAATAAATAAATCATGCAACCTGCGCTCTATCTTACTTGTAGGCTCTATAAGGCACCAGCTCTGCAACTCCCGGTTCAGACTCCCTCCGTTGTCAACATCTCGTGATCACGAATGTCCAGTTTGGCCTCACCAGTCAGGTATCTTGCAGGAAAGAAAATGTTAAAAACCCCTACGCTCAGAGCCATAAGCGCCCCATCGAGGACAGCGAAATAAACTTCGTGCGTAATCAAGTACCCTTCCCAACCCTGGGAGAGCTCGATGGCGCGGTAGAAATTACGGACGATGATGCAGAAAGCCGAGAACGTCGTTACCACCAATAACACCCTTGAGATCGGCACTGCTCGGGCACGCCAAAGGAAGATAAGCCAGAGCAGTCCGAAAGCGCTCATCGAGACGAGTTGAATGATGATACCAGCCATCATGATGTGTGTTCCAGGCGCAGTATTTCCCGGCGGATCTTCTCCTCCGGCTTTAGACGCGCTAGCACCACCAACAGCCTGAATAACGATCGAGATAATATCAAAAGATACGAAAATGGCAAGGTACATTCGTGCCGAGATGAGACTGTAGCGGCGGCCGTATTGCGTGATCATCTGCCCGAGAATGTAATAGATGGCGGCACTGAAAAAACAAGGTGCTGTACTTGTCAGCTCGTGTAACCGAAGAAGGCCGCTCGAGGAGCACGCATACAGATGATGAGGATGGATATCTGAAGAGAGAACAGGGTCTTGTTGTATGGGCAGTGGTGGGCACCGGCTCGTCCTGCCCAGCCCAGGCATTCGCCTAGAACAATGAGTTAGCAAATTGCGGCATGTGAGCTCCGTCATGACTGCAAACCAAAAGCACCCAGTGCGAAGGCAGAGTACCACCACTTGCGGCTCATGGTCACTTGTATGATGTGCGCCAGCATTGAGAGAAAGAAGACGACGGTGAAGACGATGCCGGCACCAAGATCAGGATCATAGCCGTAGGTTGGGGCTGTTGCGTTGGGGTCGTAGGGGACGCATCCCTTGCCACGCTGTGAGTTATCCAGCGTGGCGGCCAGCGTGGATGATCGGTCCAACAAGGCCATTTGGAGAGAATATGGATCGCACTGGAAAGGAAAGGTGAACGGTTCGTTCAAATGGCTCGTAGATCTTATGAGGCAAAGGAGCTTAGGGACGGTCTACGGCTACTAAAGAGCAAGGGATTTATCCTGGCTTTATATGAACAGCTCGAAAGCCTGATTAAAGTTACATCCTACCCAAGGTGTGTAAGAGGCGAGGAAGAAACCCCTCGTGGGAAGGGGAATCTTAGCTCGGTCCCACCTTTTACCGCTCTACTCAAAGATAGTAGCCAATAGGCGCGCAGAGCTTGAGTTGGATATAGATTCAATGGGATAATGCTCATACCCTGTCATCCAAAATCGCTCGAGGCTGTCTCGAAACGTCAGTCACGACGCGAATTTCTGAAGAGCCGTTGCCAAGGCTCGGTTATCTCAGAACTTCTCGCTCCTTGATATCGCATAAGGGTTTAGCGTGTGATACAAGTAAGGTTGCCGCCGGCGGGTGGCGTGACTGGCGTCAAGGTTCGGCGACACCATTAGGCCGACTTCCAATCCTCATTTACCAAGGACCAATTGCATTTAATGATTACATTAGCTCTCATGTTGATAATCAGGCCGCTTCAAGGTTGGCGGTACCTTAGTGCTAAGAAAGGATGCCGACTGAGGCTGAGGATCCTGCATCCTACGTTAATCATGATCCGTCAAAAGCGGAGCCGGATAAAGTGATTGTCAGTGCTGGATGACGATCATGTGGCTATGTAGAAGACTTCTGTATATATGAAAATTGCGAAGGACACATCCAGCAGACTCATATGAAAGACATCTAGGCTGGTCAAATCTCTTTCGACATTAGATAGAAGCTAGGAATTCCTTTTGTCATGGTTGGCGTCCCGGGAAAATCTAAGGGCTGCACTACGTGCAGGAAGCGGAAAATACGAGTAAGCACTCTATCTCTCATTCTGCCGCCAAGCTAATCACCAACTTGGATCTCAGTGCGATCTTCAAGAACCATTCTGCAAGACATGCACCAAGAGCCGTCGGATTTGCGAAGGCTATGCACGCTTTCCAGTCTTTCTCAACCGTACCTTGCAGGGTCCAGAGAAGAGATATGGCCTCGAAGAAGTCAAGGCCCCCTTCTCACAATCATCAGACCGAGATCTGTCCCAGCCACAGCCCATGGTATCCAACATTGATTTTCAGCGGGGGCTTGTAGAGAGCCGCAGAGCATATGACAATCGCGTTCTTGTTCAGCCTAATGGTTGCACTGCAGTCGAGCAGCAGATCATATCGGCACTGTGGGAAAAATACACCCCTTCCATCAGCAGCGCTCAAGGTGGAACACCCTGCGTCTGGCTCCACCACATAATCAGTCTTCCAACTCGCGCGGTACCGCTGGATCTGTCTCTCAAGGCTTTTGCGATGACCCGAATTGGCTGGATCAACAAAGATGAGTCGCTGGTTCTGCAAGGTAACCTGTGTTACGGCCGTGCCCTGAATGCGGTTCAAAAACATCTATCATCAGAGGCTCTGATGTGGCAAGACGAGTTGTTTGCTGCTAGTTATGTCTTGTCGATCTACGAGGTAAATAATCTTACTAAGGTTTCACGCTCGATTCAGACCAAGCTGACAATCCTCCAGCTATTCGAATCAACGACTCCATCAATAGCCGGGTGGAACAGCCACATATCTGGTCTCAAGCACCTGGTCCTTATGCGAGGTCCACAGAGACATATGACGCCATTCACAAGAGCTGTTCTTGAAGAGTTTCGTACCTCATCGGTATGCATCCTGTAGTCAGCAATTTTACTCCAGATTTCAAAATAATAACCAGTCCCCCTAGATGATCCAATGCATACAATACCGCAGGTCAACGTTCCTTGGGAGCCCAGAATGGTTGACGCTGCCCTGGAGCGAGACCGGCAAAGACATCTTCCAGCAGCTCTACGACAAAGGCTTCGCGCTAGCGGCTCTGCTAGAGGGAATAGACAATGCAAGAGTCACGGATGAGAATACCAACTTCTCAATCTTGTCCGAGTACTTGGGAGGTCTCTCTGGCTTGGATGAAGAACTAAACATTTGGTACGGCGAGATTCTCCAAGAGTCTCCGTTGCCCCTCTACTGGTCTACTCAATCCACATCTCCCGGCTGGCATCTGAAACAAGCTGTAGGACCTCGCACACTCCCATCCTTCGCGTTCCATACGCTCCGTCTCGCCAATATAACTGTCGCATACTGGGGCTTAAGACTCATCCTCAGCAATACCATCGCCCTCGCATGCCGGCAAGTACTATCAATCAACATCCAATTACCCACCCAATCATCATCCTCTACCCCGCCCCAAGCAACTCAAAACCTTAAGACCATGTCCCTCCACCTCCTCGAAGCTCACACCACGGCTTACCGCCTAGAGCTCGCTACCAACATCATCCGCTCAATGCCCTATTGTCTGAACGACAAGATGGGCCTCATGGGCGCCCAAAAAAGCCTGTTTGCATTGCGGACCGCTCTCTTCGTACTACAGCGTTATCCAGGCCAGGAGTTGAAGTGGTGCCAGGCCATGTATCAGGAGTTGGACGGTAAAGGGTTGAGATATGCGAGGGAGATTGCGAAACTAGAAGGGAAACACAGCGCTGCTAGTAGAGATGATTTACCAATTATAGCATCTCATCGGCGAGATTCAGAAGGGCCTTGACGGAAAGTGTTGAAAGACGAGGAGCAAAGTCTCGGCAATCCGGCCGGAGCAAGAAAACAAAAAAATTCAAGGATTATAAATGAATTAACGACCAAATCCCCAGACAGCGGCGGTTCTCTAGCTCAGGCTGAAGCCGTGTCTTGCGTCAAAATCGTCGTCCGACTATCAGAGCTATACGTTGTAATTGACCGCCAGGTACTTAATCCGGTAGCCAGTCCGAGACAAATCGCAATCTAGGTCGGGTCAACTTTGGTGGCGCATCGTTTGACCTGGCTCAAACTTCGAGTATTGCGGAGGGTTAACCAATCCCTAAAGATGTCCCCTATATGGGTTATTCTTTTTGGTGTTGTCTTGGGTCTTGGGTTCGAAACCGGCGTGACAAATTTCTTTTTGCTGCTGACTTTTGTTTTTATTTGGTCTACGTTTCCCTTTTTGCTGCACCAAGTCTTACCACCATCACCTTCTTCCAGCAGTTAAATCCGAACGTCAATACGGCCAGGCAATCCTTTAGCCAGATCTCGCTCGTGACTTCCCAACCTCTATCAATCCAAAGTTCGCTTAGCTAGCGGGAATACTCTTATCTCAACACAACACAACACAGGGGCCGCGGCTACCCCTCCCACCTCCCTGTTCCACCACAGCAAAATCTGCGCTGGATCGAAAATGCACGGCGCCGCTGAGGGTCCCTTTCCAATTGCAGAGGCCATATCCTTGTGCTCTGTTTTCCGCAAAAGGCGCTGAGATGGAGCTGGAAACGCTGTAATTGAACGAACGACACAGGCCTAACGCGCCGGTCAAGCGTACGGGTATCGACGGGGGGGGGGGACGATGAAGAGCCATAAGGCGGTTTCTGGCTTGTCTGTTTTATATTACAACGTCTAAGACGGATCCGAACCCTCTAAGCACCGACGGTTGGCTCAACCAATCTCTCATTCGAGGGAGCGCGCGTGCCGCATCCCGCAATTCCCCGACGATTTCCGACTCCTCCCTATCATATCGTGCCGTCTAATACGAATCCAAAGTCACTCATCCCCAGCGGATCTCTTGATGGCTGGCTCGAGAGGGCTTTTTTTTCCGTGGGACGCAGTATGGGGCCTGCACCCCGCGATCCGCTGGCGGTCTCGTCCGCTTTTCGGTGTTACTCTGTTGGGGAATATGGGCTGCACGGCCGCACGGGTTGAGTGGGAGATTGGGTAGAGCAGGCGGAAGGACGAGTGTTTAAGGTAGCATGGCGTTTATGAGACCTGGATGAGGTACGCTTTGCGATCGACTGTCAGTGAAACGATCTTGTAGGTATCGTAAAACTCTTCACACCTGGCAGATTTCTTTTCCCATTACTTTATGCATTGCTGATTGGGTTTGTGGTCTTACAGTTATTTTGATTGGAATTAGGTCCCGACCAAGTTGAAAGAATGAATGAAGCAGTCCATCAGCGATCGGCAGGCCCTCGTACATGCGTCCAGACGAGACCACATGACGCTGACCCTCGGCCCTGCCTAGAGATCCTACCCCGCCCTTTCCTCCACCCCTTCTCACCTCATCTCCTTACCAGAACCCCTTGTTAATTAGCCTGGAATGTGGGCCCGAATCCCTAGGTGCGGCCCAGATGATTTTGTCTGTACGCAGTGACCATGCCACATTGAACAAGTCGCCATCCTGGAAGCTCTTCTTGCCGTCGTCAGTGATTTGCCTAAACCACTCGCCCTCAATCGTTAGATGGCCAAGGTCACAGCCTTCTAATTCTGACGGTAGACGTTCATTTTCATAATCTTTGGCGCCGAGTGCGACCCATTTGCATTTAAAGGCAGGCCCGTGGGTCAATTCCACCGTGCAGATGCGCCGGTAATCTCTGAAGCTCACGGGGGGACGCTCGAGTTTGACGAAGACGTCGGAACTGGACTGAGACATCGCGGTTGATGTGAGAAGGTTCGGTGTCGCCGGGGAGGATGTTTGGCTTTTGTAGAGTCTTCTGCCGTATGGGGAGACGGAGTGTATATGTGTGGAAGCTGTGTGCGCGGGTGCTGTACGTGGAGACTGAATGTGTGTGTGCAAGCTGTGCGTGTGGGTGCTGTTCGTGGAGACCGGATGTGTGTGTGTGTGTGTGTGTGTGTGTGTGGACGCTGTGGGTTTGCAAGATGTGTGTCTAGATGCTATGTGTGAAGTTTGGATGTGTGAGAAAGCTGTGTGTATGGATGCTGTGTGCGCTTGCTGAATATGAAAACAAAAGAGAAGAGGGAGAACCTCTCTTTCCATACCCATCATGAGACTTTCAGCCTTTCGAGGCAACGAAGAGACAGGAAAAGGCGACTCAAGGCGGCCTCGTACTACTCACACCATACAGAAAAGAGAGCGTAGCTCGCCTTGACAAAACAGAGACTCGGGTGCCCTTGGCTGGGTGAAATGCTTCATGAAACGGCATCAACGGTTTCCAGCCTTATAATCAGCAGAGGCGGCCTCGAATTACTCACACCATACAGAAAAGAAAGTGTGGCTCGCCTTGACAAAACAGAGACTCGGGTGCCTTTTCGTTGGATGGGTGAAATGCGTTATGAAACGGCACCAACGGTTTCCAGCCTTACAATCAGCAGAGGCGGCCTTATATTACTCACACCATACAGAAAAGAAAGTGTGGCTCGCCTTGACGAGACAGAGACTCGGGCACCTTGCGTTGGATGAAATGCTTCATGCAACGGGTTCCTGCCGTATGAGCAGCAAAGACTGAGTAGGGTATCGAAGCGAATGAGACAAAGAGGGGTGCTGCGACTCGTAATGGCAGGAGCTGCCCGCCTCGTTTGGACAGGGTCTTTGGAGCCTTGCATTGACTAGGGGTTCGCCGCCGGACGACCGCCTGATGAGACGGCACAAATTGAGCAGGGGGCCGGGAACGATGATGGGATTACCATCGGACGACCGCCCAACGAGACGGGACGGATTGAGCGAGAGGCTGTGGGGCAGCGCGGATTTTGGATCCGGTGTCGTTCTTTTTGGGTGATAGACTTTAAAACGAGACATGCCAGAGAGGTTTCTCTGCTCTTCGGTTTTGGATTACGAGTATTTTGTTTGGCATTAGGTGCTGTGTCTGACTAGTGTCTGTATAAAAGAGTGTGAATGGAGTGTTCGGGCTTGAACCAGACATCCGAGAAAAGCAACGCATGTATGTTCCGGGAATTCCAAACCGACAGGCTCAAGACAAGATACCCAGGATCTCAAGCCCTAAACCGAAAGCGAACGCTATAGGCTGAAAGATCGAAGCAGTCAATCGTTGCCCGGTATGTCATGGCGCCTGCGGCGAAAGGAAACCCGATGACCCCAACCCTCGGCGCTGTCGAGAGATTCCATCCCACCAACCCTTTCCTTTTCCGCCAGATTCCGCCTCAAATCTCCCCGGACGGCAGTTCACCACTCCATGCTTCGACCCTCAAGACCGCTCTCGACCCGTTAGAAAACAAGACTTTGACAGGAAGGTCATCGCTCCAGGGGCCTGCATTGAACCTAGCCGCTGCCGCCGGCTCGCCCTCAAGCACCACGTCAGGTCCTCCGGTTCTGAGGCGAATTTCAACGTATTCATCAGCGGGGGCAGAGTCGTAGCAGCGGGGATTCACGTAGCCGTAGGACCAGGACGCTTGGTCGGTCGCGCCATTTTGGGAGTTGCTGCCAGGGGGATTTTCAGAGGCGGGGGTACCCGGAGGAACCTGAATGTGAGGTGGTGGTTGAGCGCTGGGATCGGAACCAAAGGTATCTGAGGGTGAGGGTCCGGTTGCGTGGGGCATGACGGTTGATTTCTGGTTGTTGTTACTAAGGGTTTCCGAATAGTGTGAAGTCTGGTACTGCTTGTGAAAACTGTGCGTATGAATGCTATGCGTGGATGCTGTGTGTGGAGTCTGAGTGCGCGTGAAAGTCGTACGCTTGAATGCTATGTGCGCTTTTTTGGTATGCTTGTTGTGTAAAGACACAAGAGAAGAGCAGGGCCGGACTTCTCTTTATACTCAATATGAGGCTGCCTGACTTTCGAAACAACGGAAGCCAGGTATGAGACCGGAAACATGTTACGGGACGGTCTCATATTGTTCACACCACAGGTAGGAGAATGGAGAGCGCTTGGCCTTGACAAAAGATAGAGTCGAATCCCTTTCATCGAGCAAATTGTTTCATGCGCCACTTTTCTAACCTACGCAGTCAGAAACTGCCCGTCTTAACTGAACAAAAACCTGAAACTTTCTGTGGGTTAGGGAATTGTTTCGTAGAACAATTTTTGACGAGACGGCGCGGACTTTGGACTCAGTCTCCTTCTTTCTGGGTAATAGATTGTCAAATGAGACACGCTTGAAGAGCAGCAAGATCCTTTCGCTGCCGAAACATGGGCATTTCACCTAAGTAACAAGGATTCATTTCTGGAGATGTAGCGTAGCATCCCTGGTCCCGAGATATGCAGATTGTGGCCCCGACTGGCGTTCCATGTGGGGTTCATTTCAAGATGTACGTACATACCGGAGGCATAGTGGGCGTTCTGAATGGGGAGAAACCGACGCTTTCGCTGTCCGACCACGACGTTTTACCCAAGTAACAGGACAATGCTGGCGGAAGACGAGAGCTTTCTGCTCCTGGGGTACGGAGTGTGGCTCCCATTTGGTACCAGACAGGCAGGATTTGCTCCAATATGTCCGCACCCTTGTCTCTCTGCATTTTTGATGAAACCACGAGGGCAAGAGCTGGTCCATGCACAAGGCACAACTTCCAAAACTTGTGTTGGCCGAAATTGCTTGATAAGGAAAGGCGCCTATTGTGTGACAACAAGGGCAAAAGGCGACCGGAAGACGGCAAGAGCCGTCCGCCCGGGCAAAACAGCGAGTATGACATGAAAAGATTCCAGGGGATATTATTATTATATTACGTAGCATTCGTTTCATGCCGCAATACCACCATGGTTGTTGGAGATACAACACAAGTCCAAACCAATCGTGCTGGGCTTAGCACGGCAGTGGCAGTGGCAGTGGCAGCTTGGTACTCGTAAGGCTGAGATAGATGACTCAGCCACCAAGAACTGTTCTCCAAATCAACTGTGAGCTACCAAAGACCAAGTTCCGATTGCAAAGCTCGCATGGCTGCCGCCGCCAATCGCTTGGGCTTCACAGCTCTTCGATATACATCACAGATACCAGTGCGAAGAAAACCCCTTCTATTAACGTGTCCCAACCGAGCCTTCCACACCACACCCCTCCACCGCCGTCGAGACGACTCAGAAGACTACGCACCCCGCCACAAATCCGAGCGCCAGCCCTTCAAATTCTCCCTCTCGGACCTTGACTCCGAAGAACGCTCCACCTACAACTCCCTCTCACCGGAAGGTCGCCAGGAATGGCGCGAAGAAGCGCAGCAAATGCACAACCACATGACCAGCCCGGAAGTCGAATCCGTATTACAGGGCGAGGTGTCTCAAGCAGCGTACGAGACGTCAGAAGAGGTACCGCATGACGATTCGACCGTGCCGCGGATAAAACCCGGGTTGTTCGCCATGGGCGAAGTGGAGGTGCAGGATTCGGGCGAAGATGAGGAGTTTGAGGGCGACGACATCACGTCGCTGGGCCACGGCGAGCTGGAGCAGCATAGGGAGATGAGACACTACGCGAGGATAGCTGCGTGGGAGATGCCTTTGCTTAGCAGTACGTCGCTCCCCATGTTCCATTGAAACCACGCGGCCTCAGCTGACACAAGCGTCTCCGCAGAGCTGGCCAAACCATTTGCTCCGCCTCCTCTCGACCACCCCCTCCGCTTCCGCTACACGACCTACATGGGCGAATCGCACCCGGGCTCCAAAAAGATCGTTCTCGAGTTCTGCACGCAGGACCTGCGCGCCCTCAGCGAACCGCAAAGGATCAAACTCATCAAATTGGTCGGATCGCGCTACAATCCCGAAACCGACATTGTGAAGATGAGCTCCGAGATGTTTGAGACGCCGGCACAGAACAAACGGTACTTGGGCGACTTGGTCGATACGTTGATAGAGGAGGCGCAGGATGGGACGGACACGTTTGAGGATGTGCCGCTCGATTTCCGACATCATAAGTTTAAGCCCAAGGTGGAGTTTCCGGAGGGGTGGAAGTTGACGAGGGAGAAGAAGGCGAGGCTGGAGGAGGATAGGAAGTTGAGGTTGGAACAAGAGAAGGAGAGGGAGGTGCAAGGGAAGTTGGTGGAAGGGGTGAGGGTGGTGGAGGAGGCGATGAAGAGGTTACCGGTTAGAGATGTAAGTAAGGCGTTGTTGGACGCGCAGCAAGGAAGGAAGTATGGGAAAGGAGGAAGGCAGAGGATGAGGACGTAGCAATGGTACTTATGGCTACTCGACAGTGAATTGTATATACAACATCGCGATGGCGGGCCACTTTGGATGTGGTAGAGGCTAGGTAGAGGTGCCTCCTATGTACAGAACACCCCCAGCGACCGTACAATCACATTTTCACAAGCGACTCATTGGAAATCCCCATCAGTGAAAAGCATGCTAGATTCCCTCCGCAGTCTATCCACCTATCTAACGCAAATAACCCCATCGCACGCTCCATCTCTCGGAATTATTTTTTTAGTGTTTTTTTTTTCAGGTTTCCACAAACCTATCGGCGAATGGAAGAGTGAAAACCGGCCGCCACCCCGCACCGACAGAGGGAAAAAAAGGAAACAGGGGGCTGCGGAGCCAGCCATCTCTGAAGAGAGAGAGGGCGAGCGTATGGCCGAGCGGATGTGAAAGAAGGTCTGAGACACCTCGTGTCACGGTGAGTGTGGCAGTCATGAGTGTGCTTGTAAACCGACGGATAAAACGTGTGAGAGTCAACACCCAAGCACGCATGAGGTAACGAAAGGTAAGAAAAAAAGAAAGAAAAAAAAACATCATCAGCGGTTCGCTGCTCAACGCCCAGCGCTCATCTCCGACGAAGCCACCAGACCCTCCCCACGCACGATCACTGCTGATCGTTCACATCGACGAGCACATCGTACCCATTCCCGCTCATCTTCCCCTTCGCGCTCTTGCCCCCAGTCGCCGCATGCACCTTCCGGGCATGCTTCCTCAGCCCGTGCGGCGCTCTGCCGCCCTTGGGCTCGGGCGGGTTGGTGACGAACTCGGGCTGACCGGGCTTGCGGAAGAAGACGCGGTGCTGGACGGGGGGCGACGTGACGGATGTGGCATCGGACTCCTCCGCGTGCGCGGGGGCCGGGAAGGGGGGGTCCCGCGCGCCGCCGGTGCTGGGGGCCGGGGAGTCGCGACCGAATTGGACGGGGCCTCTGCCCTTGACGGGGACGTTGCCGATGTAGTGGGCCGGAGTGCTGGCGCGAGAGTCGGACGCGGCGGTGCCGGTCAAGCTTCCGAAGGCGTTGTTGCCCATGTTGGGGTTAGGTGGGGCGGAGGCGCTGCTGGGAGTATAGGTGGGAGTATAGACGGCTTGGCTGCCGGAGCGGGTTGACGCTGATGAAGGAGCGATGAAGCTGATGTCCATCGAAGCTGGTGCGTTGGTCTGCGGGTTCCAGTTGTTGGGCATACCGCTATACCCCTGACGGGCGTTGTTTGGAGCCTGGTTGCCGCTTGAAGCAGGTGCGCCGCCACCAGAAATTCCGCTAGCTCTATTCATGATGTGGTAGTCCGGAGCTACCTTTCGTGTAGATGCGCCCGTGTGGTTCTGGTGTTGACCGACCGAGGATTGTCCCAGGCTGGTTGGACGGCTGATGGGTGGCTGCTTTGGTGGCGAAGAGCTGCCAGAGTGACCACCGTTTATGGCTTGGGGCGCAGATTGGTTATATGAAGGTGGTGAAGCGTTGTGCTGAGCTGAACGCTGTTGGTAATTCTCAGCAGAACCGTTGCCAAGGAAGGATTGACCACCTTGAGAGAATGGACGCTGCTGAGCCACGTGGTTTGCATGAGTCGGGAAATGCTGGTGGGGAGCCATGAACGCAGTAACGTTGGGATTGTACTGCGTATTGGCAGCAGGACCTGGAGTCGAAGCGCCAGCTGACACCTGGCCATTACCGCGAGCCACGATGGTTGGGGTGCCGTGTGCAGCAACTGGAGAAGCAACGGCGCGATGGAGAGCGCCTGGAACACCTGGATGCTCAGACTTCCCGTCCTGACGTCGCCAAGGCTTATGAAGAGCTGGGGCAGGCTTAGCTTGGATAGGCAGTTCTTCTCTAGGCCAGTTCGGGAATTCTCGGAAGCCAATCGCGCGACGAGTATCTTCGTCTTTTGGGATCTCGTGCTTATACTTGCAACCTTCCTGCATATAGTTACAGTTGCCGGTTTGGATCCAATAGGTGCAGTAGACCTTCTTTCCCATGGTTCCCTTCTTTGCCATGGTGTCAAAGATACTAGTGTCATTGGTGGTGAGCGCTGGTGTCCTCTAAAATGATTAGATAAATGTTAGCATGTGCATAGTGAAAGAAATACTTGGAATGGCTGGAACATGTGTGCGCTCATACCAGGCCCTTGTCCTTGGACTTAGATGCTTCACTCCCACTACCAGCAGCATTGTTGTTCCCTTTCTTGTCCGATGCGGCAGAGCCTTTCTGAGTAGAGCTCTCAGATCCTTCTGAGGCGGGTGAATCATCGGATCCATAATCGTCACCTTCCTCATGTGCGGCGGTCTGAGTGTTGATGGGTTGGTAAAGCTGGTAGCGGAGACCGTGCGCTGGGTGGTCTCCGGTGATAAGCTCCATGCGAGCTTTTAAGGCTTCGAGCACTGTCAACGTGATAGGGACACCTTTGAGGATAAATGAATCGGGCAGCTCGTCTATCGCGATCAATGGTACAACGGTGTTGTCGTCGCGCTGGACGCACCAGCGTGGTCGTAGAGGCTCCGACATGACCGGATGCTGAGCCTTGGTGCTCTCAGCGGGCGATGCGGGAGCTTGAGCTCCAGTGTTGATACTGGTGTTCATGTTGGAGATGTTAATATACCTTCGGGGTGTGGTATATTTGAAGGAGATGTTGATAGGCGATGTTTCGAATAAACTGGATTTCGTGTGTTGAAGAGATGAGTAAGTAGGTATCTATGGTGGTGATAGATGAGTGTTGAAAGAAATAGCTGAGGTCGGAGTGATGCTATGTTGCAGTCGATGAAGTTTGACAGCAACAGTAGGTTGTCTTTGCTCATGTCATTAGCCATGTGTCGGCCGGAAGAAGGACGTTTGATAGCTACCTTTTTCTGTTGATGGACTGATCGTGGTGGTCAATCTTTCACAATATAGATTGTTTGAAGCTTTATTGTTGTCAAAGAGGTATATCTAGTTTGCTCAGGAGTGTTTGCTGTAGGAAGGAAGGAAGGAAGGAAGAAGTATGTAGAAAAGAAGCAGGTTGGTTGCATCAGAGGGTTTAAATACCCTCCGATGAAGAAGGCTAGTCACATCACTTAAACAATTCACTGTCGAAGAGGGGACGGAATGAATCTTACGAGTACTGCACTGCCTACCAAGTGAAGGCGCGAAATGAATTTATTTCGTAGGGCGGCCGCATGACAGCACATGACAAGTGAAGAAACGGTCCCGCACCGAGAGGGCGGCAAAATTCACCACCCGAGTGGTGCAAAATCGGGCAGTAAAAACAAAAGTGAAAACACGAAACAAGGCCGAAGTGAAGCCATCTTACGATGCTGGCGAAACACTGTAAGGTACTGTGAGCTGCATACGCATATAAGGTTGACTGCAGGGTAGGCCTACTGCAGCGATGCAACCATGTCATCATCTGCCGTTTACTGCGGAAGATCAAGCAGATTTTTCAACCCCCTCTTTCCAGGCGTAATACTACCTTGAATGTTTCAAAAGGCGACTGTCATGAAAACGACTTCATTCTTGAAAAGGGGCAGCAGAGCCGCGCCCAATGAGAGACGACCGGGCCTGTGTTTGACCGTTTGACCGGCTACCTAGGAAAAGTAGACATTTTTCACAGAGCCAAAACTAAAAAAACGTCTCTCCTGATCTACGTCCACTCTAGACTTCCGGTATACTGGCCTCTCGGAAACGCAAGGATCTTCATGGAGAGCGTGTTCGATTCAACGACTTCTGGAATGTGAGCTGAGGCGCTTGGACCTATGATGAGCCGTCCTTCACACGAAGCTTCCTTGAAGAAAGTCCTGCCGTGCACGCCAAGAATATCTGCTAGGGTTGTCTGCGTCAGCTGTCCAGAGTTCAGCAGGCCCTGCCTACAGCCGTGTTCGAGAGAACCCAATGCAGGAGATAGAACGAATGGCAGAACCCATACAACAGCTGCATTTTGCCTTTGCCATCCTGGCCGCCTCGTTCGGCTTGTGTGGAACGAGGAGCGCTGTCGGAACCTGGAAGAAGTTTGGGTCACCCGATGCTGCTGCCTTCAGCAATGCTATCCTATCGTGTGTAGTTTTGCTAATGACTCTACACGTATTCCATGCATCAGCGCTACATCATCACGATAACTGCTAGGTCACGAAACGCGCCAAGGAAACGAGAAGGGTCCTTTGGTCCCAAAGAGACATGCCACCAAACACGAAACGCCAGGGAGGAAGTGGGTACTGGGAAAGCACAGGCTGCAGGATTTGATGGATCCCCCAGCCCAATCGTCAATGATCAGCGACAAGGGGTAGGCGGTGATGATCACGACAGTTTCTCTGCCGTCGAGGACGGTTACAAGTGCAGCCTCTGTCGAGCTGTGTTCGGGAATGATCCTGGATACTTTAATTAAATACAATCAGAAAATGAGGCACTAGACGTAATCTCACCGTAGCCTCGGGAAGCCCTGGTGGAGGAGCTTGACTAGGGTCTGGATGTATCTCTCTTCTGCATGCAACACTGTAACATGATGTCCTGAAAAATACCCGCCTGCGCACGTTACGGAGTTAGAGAAACTTGGGGTATGAATCGGGTTCGAGGAGTAAGAAGAGACCTTTGCTCCCGAAACGTGTTTCATACCACTTTTGATACCAGCAGAGAAATGAATCGTGCACATTCAGGGCCATTTTCTGGTGCTGCACATACGCACACACACACAGATGTTTTCTTGGAAGACAGGGTAGGAGAGCCCCAGGTCCTCAACCCCTGAGGAGGAGTCTGTTGTAAATCCCGAAGAATACACTGTATGTACCGCTTTATAGAAATCCAGTTGGTCTTTGATAAACTTTGATACCCCTTATGCCTGCCTGCTCAGCCTCAGTCACATTATCGGTGTGATCTACCTCTCAGTTCGTATCTGTCAGTCCTGTAGGCGGAGATCTCTTAGTGAGCTTTGTAGGATGAATTCAACTGATGGATGCAAAGTATAGTGATGTCCAAATCCAACATCTGGAGCCAGAGTCTCCAAAGTCCCCTGATAACCGAACGTCTTTGCGACTGTCGTCATGGATGGCAGTAGGTTGGGCTCTCTAATTCTCGTCGATGTTCCCTGCCATGGTGTAGCTGGCGACTTCTGCTAATCACGACATAGACTTTGTCGACCCCCCCGTGCCTGATAGTCGGAACTGCCTACATACCGTTGAGCATTGAATCATCTTCACCATTGAGTCGGTGACCTTTCGGTGAAGGGTTACTGTTTCCATCGTGGCCGCCATCGTGAAGATGAAGATAGAAGTCCGCGCCACCATGCAAATGTGTGCCTTCAAATGTCGAGGCCATGGCTTAGCAGCCTCAAGCGAACTATGAGAAACATTCAATGGATGTCAGTTGGCGCTGATGTCATTTGGAGAAGTCGCCGTCTTTTTCATGATCGGGCTGGACGATATCCGGTCGAGAGCATCAGCTTCAGTCTGAGGTCGGCTCACCTCTGCCGACTGTATTTGGTCAACTTGTGCGATCGATTCGGTGGACAAAAAGTACGCTCGTGAGCACCGGACCTTTCCCCTCTCCAGACTAAACCTTCTCGAGTGGTTGGCACATGTCACTTTCGAACAGGTTAGGCTGAATCTAGAGAGACGGTCCGCGCGCCAGCGGTGAGGCACATCAAACGGCACAACACGAGTAATGCCATTGGAGGAGCATCAAGAAGACACTCTACTTAATCAACATGCTTCATTTTATTTATCGGAGCAGAGTCTAAGTTCTACATGTTACAACAGTCAATCTATGCCAGAAGATTGGGTATCCAGAATGTCAACGGAATTTCAAAAGACTCGATTCTCCACCTGGACCTTGGCACCATGTCCTGGGCTCACGGTCCATGATACATCATCAACCGGCGCATCTACATCCACTTCCCTTCGCCCAGCAGGCTTACGGAGAAACGCCTCACACAGTAAGCCTGCTGCAACACTGACATTTAAGCTATCGACTTTACCCTGCCCACTTCTTGGGCCATCAATTCCAACATCGAAATCTGCCTTTCTCTGTATGTTCCAATGCAAGCCTTCGCCTTCGGCGCCAAGTATCAAGAGGCATGGATGATTCCGAAGGGGGCTTCCCAGATTAGAGGTGGAGAAGTAGTTACCGACCCCAGTCCGCTTGCCAGGGGTTGGAGCAGCCGCTGCGTAGATCTTCCAACCGTTGCTTTTACATTCGTCGATGAAATTTCCAGGCCGGCTTACTGACACAAGGGGCAAGGTCTCCGAAGCGCCAGCTGAAGCCTTGATTGCAACCGGAGAGACGGGAGCGCTGCTGCGGTTAGAGATGGCAACAGTGTCGACGCCGAGGAAAAAGGCAGTCCTCAAAATCGCACCAAGATTTCCAGGGTCAAGGATGCCGTCCAGTAAGAGCACAAAGGGATACCTTGGGAAGCCGACCTCGTACGCTATGATGGTGCTTGTGCCGTTCACAGCTTCGTCCTCGCGTGACTGGTGGTCCAAGATGACATGAAACGCTCCATTCCGCTTTCCAACAGCCCGGAACCCTGCGACAGGTAGCTTCGGTAGTGGAGACGCCTCCAATATGTAGCCATTATGAGGTCTTCCTGCGCTCATTTTATCCATCAACCGCAGCCAATCTCCTTTCACTCTCTCAACGACTACGCCACACTTCAACGCTAACTCTCGGATCCTTCTATCCTGCTCATGGACTTCTCTGTTATCTCCACCGTAGACGTAGAGCTTGTAGAGCTTCCTTCGTGATGACAGAAGAGCTGCTGTAATTACAGATGTACCATAGAGAAATTCGGATGCCGGTGTAGTATATGGCATACTCAATGGAACGCTTGTACCTCGATGTGGTGATTGCTCGTCATCAATCTGAGATAGCTCTCTTCCATAGCCTTCGAGAGTGCCACTACTTGCGCTAGAGGTTCGGTTTGCATATGTTGCACGGTCTAGTCTATCGGGAGGTCGTCTCATTGAGAATCGAGGCCTATGAGGCTCCGTGGACGGGTCCATATCATCCTGCAATTCTTCAGGCATTGAAAGTCCATGCTCTTGCTCTTCTTCATGCTCAGGTGTAGCTGCACGACGAGATGTACGGTCAAAGGGGGCGCGCTTGAAGAGGTCTTTCTCCGAGGTATGGTTCTTGTCCCCATGGAAAGCCTTGCGGTGAGCTGCTCGGCGGATGGCTGAGTTGGACCGGCCTAGTACGGCAGGCTCTACCTCATGCCCGTACTTGAGCGCTCGACGGAGGGCGCGGGTGCCCTCAGGGTGGGTAGTGTAGTCGTATCTAGCCCCTCGAGTGGAGCGGTCGAACTCGCCCTTTTCATTCCTTCGCAATGGCTTCCGAAGTCGTCTTTGCGTTCTCTGATTCTCATTGATGCTTGCTGACTCCCTGACGTTCTCGACGTCCGTTTCCTGCTGGTGGTTGGGCCTGGGTGTCCGTCCGCGCGGAGCATCGAATCCACCCATTCGCTTTCCAAAAGTCCGTTCTCCATCTCGCGGGAGTCTATCTGACACAGAGTCTTGGGGAGAATACCTGGGTAGATCCGTACGCCGCCTCTCGGGCCTGTTGGTGTCATATTGTGATCGCCTTAGAGACTTGTTTATTGCTGTATTGGTGGATATGTACGCTGAAGAAATCTGTCGCCATAGAGGGTTTCGAGATTCTCGCAGGCACTTGCTTCCAAGTCCATTGCTGATGCACGCAACAGCTTTCAGCATCACATTAGCGCGCAATAGGTTTCATCAATACCTTATTAGCAGGAAGACTTCCATGCTCGATGGGATCTTCGCGCTAAGGCCATCGGTCATCGGCCAAAGTTTCGCCGTGATGCCAAGTCTTTTGCCTTTCGAGAACCCTAGAACCAAGTCATAGATGTCTTCAATTATTTGAACGACTGTTGACGTGGGCCTGAGCACCGAACAGAAGAGATGGATTGGACTGCTGATTCCTCGAAAGTACCAATAATTCCGTGAAGCTCGCTCTACAAAACTCAAGGACCGTCCGAATCCTGAGACATCTCGTATCTCAGAATTGATCGCGCACTTGTGGACTGCAGGGAAGACGGATTGATTGGTTTCTCGCCAGCACGTGTCGTTGCAGATATCCGCCTGATGCATACAAGAAAGACGGTCTTTGACGAAGGAGGGTTTCTGCTTGTCCCGCTTATAAGAGATCGAGACTGGTCATAATGGCGGAAGTCAATCCACGAAGCATTTCCCCTGCCCCACGCCTGGCGCAGGCGCAGAACTCTGCAGAGCAACCATCAGACGCCGGTGCCAGAGATTACCATAAAGGCGTCACATATTCTCCAATTCGTCAAGAACGTTCGAAGCTGAACGGTTCCACCAAGACGGACGCGTTGGTATGTCCTTCTACAACCTCCGAAGCCACCGGTTTTCCTTTTGGGAATAGTGTCGATACCTATGAGGATGGAACAAACAGCACTTCAACAGATGTACCGCGCCTGCGCGGCATTGCACACCAATTACTTTTACGAAGAGCTTCAGCGGATCATGCCAGCGGACCGCAAGACCAACCAGCGAAATTTAGCTCGGAGGATTCCAATTTCCAAGGCCCACCTAGTGTCCAGTTCTCGCGTCCAGCAGTTGAAACCGAGCAGTCAGGTTCACAGTGGAGGTCTGGTTCAGGTAACATTGCTGGTGATGAGACTGTGAATAGATCTCGCCGGGGAGGAGCACTGTTCAATAAGATCAAGGCTTTCGCCAGCCCGCCTAGTGTGCAGTCCCACAAGAGGACATCAAGCGGCTTTAGCCTTGGTCGAGACTCTGTCGACGAGCGGAAGGTCTCACATGTCTCAGAGGGGGATGAGCCCATGAATGTTACGTCAGGCGAGGGAGAAAGTGATCTCGACGCTGATGCAGAGGAGAGCACTGGAGAGGATGATACTGTTGGCTCCTCGGATCGGAAAAGGCGGAAGAGTCGACGACCACAGGATGGAAGGCCTCAGACGGCCCCCACGACCCCCAAAATGATGCCTCGAAACATGAGGCCAGGCTTCTTGTCCAGTAGTTCCATGACTCCAACAGGCAAACCTCGTCCCTCCTTTCTCCCACGAAGAGCAACCATGACAGATTTGCCCGCAGAAGGACGCCAAGGAGTCTCTGAGGATGAAGGTCGCGACAAAATCCATCGAGCCAACGCTTGGCGCAAGGGTAGTGCATGGGTCCAGGGTGCACGTGGGATGAATTATGCAGGTAGCCGTAAGCAAAGCCAGCAACCTTCTACCGAAGAACGCCGACCGAGCAACTTGAGGAGGCTTACTGGTTTCGGAACAAGCAATGACGGTACCGAATCTTCTCCTTTCTCGCCATGGAAAGGTCACCGAGGCGAGCGTGCTACAACAATGAGTGCAGCGAAATGGCGACAACTGAAAGCCGGCTTGAGAATGATGGGTCAACGTCGGAAAGCTGAGAACACCATCGATCATGCCAAGTCTGCTGAGCTGCTTGCTGAACTCACAGCTGGCGTTCCTGCGGCGCTTATAGTTGCGAGCATGTTCCAAAGAGATGAACATGGAAACAAGCGGATACCAATACTGTTGGAACAGCTCAAAGTCAGACTGACGGACAGCCAGCAGGTCTCTTCGAAATCCGGTGAACGTCACATGATTTTTCGAATCGAAATGGAATATGGCAATGGATTGACCAGGATGAAATGGGTGATACACCGCGCGCTTAGAGACTTCGTAACCTTACACACGCGCTACAAGATACAGATCGGTGCTCAAAAGTATGTCAGGTTGAAGAATGCTGATGCACGTACGAAGCTGCCTCGTTTTCCAAGGAGTGCGTTCCCGTATCTACGGGATGCGAGAGGTCTCAAAAGCGATTCTGAAGACGAGGAAGACGGTGAGGGGACTGGTCCGAGTGGCGGTGAGGCAAGTGAAGCAGAACGTTCCAGCAAGAAGAAAGCACGCCCTTCCTTAGGGGGTTCGAAGCGAAAGTCAAGTGTTGCGAATCTGCACGGCGGAGAGGGGTCTAGTGCTCCTGCGCGCAAAGACGCATATCCAGAAAGGCAACGTAAGAAGCTTGAGCTTTATCTCCAGCAGATGATTCGATATCTCATATTTCGGCCTGAGAGTAATCGATTGTGCAAGTTCCTCGAGCTTTCTGCTCTTGGGGTGCGCCTTGCTGCCGAAGGAAGTTACCACGGAAAAGAAGGACTTCTTATCATACAATCCGGGAAGGGTGTTGACTTCCGAAAAGCTTGGACACCGTCCCTGCTTGCAGGTCGTCATGGTCCCAAGTGGTTTTCTGTTCGTCACAGCTACCTTGTCTGTGTAGACTCTCCAGAAGAGATGAACATATACGATGTCTTTTTGGTAGATTCCAGCTTTCAAGTCCAGACTAAGAGAAGAAGCCTGCGCGAGCGGAAGCCTAAAGACATGGCAAAGGCCGCAAAGGAATCGGCGTCACATCCAAAGCACCATAGCTTGAAGCTGTGCAATTCGGAAAGAAAGCTAAAGCTGCTGGCCAAGACTGAAAGGCAACTGCACCAATTCGAAGAGTCGATCAAATGGATGCTAACAACTACTTCTTGGGCCAAACCCAAGCGTTTTGACAGCTTCGCTCCTGTTCGATCTAATGTATTTGCCCAGTGGCTAGTCGACGGCAGAGATTACATGTGGAACGTGTCTAGAGCAATAAGCATGGCTAAGGATGTCATCTACATACACGACTGGTGGCTGAGCCCAGAATTATACATGCGAAGGCCTGCCGCAATCAGTCAGAAGTGGCGACTGGATAGACTACTGCAACGCAAGGCACGAGAAGGAGTCAAAGTCTTCGTCATAATGTACCGCAATATCAACTCCGCCATCCCCATCGACTCAGAATACACCAAATTTTCACTTCTTGACTTACATCACAATGTCTTTGTCCAACGGTCACCAAATCAATTCCGACAAAATACTTTCTTCTGGGCTCATCACGAGAAGATCTGCATTGTTGATCACATAGTGGCCTTCGTTGGTGGAATCGATCTATGTTTCGGTCGATGGGACACTCCTCAGCATTCAGTTGTGGACGACAAGTTGACCGGCTTCGAAGAGTCTGACGCACCGAAAGATGCTGATCACTGTCAGCTTTGGCCGGGCAAGGACTACTCCAATCCCAGAATTCAGGACTTCTATGCTCTAGAAAAGCCATACGAAGAGATGTACGATAGATCCAAGGTTCCTCGGATGCCATGGCATGACATACATATGCAAATTGTAGGCCAGCCCGCCCGCGATCTGACTAGGCATTTCGTGCAACGATGGAATTACATCCTACGCCAACGCAAGCCAACTCGGCCCACCCCATTCTTATTGCCGCCACCAGATTTCCAGCCAGCAGACCTTGAAGCTCTAGGACTAAATGGTACATGTGAAGTGCAGATACTGCGGTCCGCCTGCTGGTGGTCGCTGGGGACGCCAAACCATACTGAGCATAGCATCATGAACGCCTACATCAAGACGATTGAGCAATCGGAGCACTTTGTCTATATTGAGAACCAATTCTTCATCAGCAGCTGCGAGGTTGAGGGTACTCGAATCGAGAATAATATTGGTGATGCTCTTGTCGAACGTATTGTCAGAGCCTCGCAGAGAAGGGAAGACTGGCGTGCAGTCATAGTCATTCCTCTAATGCCCGGTTTCCAGAACACCGTTGATCAACAGGATGGCACAAGTATCCGACTTATTATGCAATGCCAATATCGGAGCATATGCCGAGGAGAAGCATCTATTTTCGGTCGAGTACGCGCCCAAGGCATCGAGCCCGAGGAGTACATCCAATTCTACAGCCTACGTTCCTGGGGCCGGATCGGACCTACCAAGCAGCTCGTGACAGAGCAGCTTTACATCCACGCAAAGTGCATGGTCGTGGATGACAGAATAGCAATCATTGGTTCAGCGAATATCAATGAGCGCTCGATGCTGGGCTCTCGGGATTCTGAATGTGCGGCTGTGGTCCGGGATACTGATATGCTCTGGTCAACTATGAACGGCGAGCCATATCTCGTTGGTCGATTTGCTCACACCTTGCGAATGCGCCTCATGCGGGAACATCTCGGCATTGCCGTTGACGAAATCTTGGAAGATGACCTGCAAGAGGAGAGGGACCAGAAAGAGCGACAGTGGGAAGACGACATGAACAAGTTCCACAGCAAGGAGGCCATGGATCGTGATACTGCAGATAAGATTCTAGAGTCCAAACATCGAGCTCAGGATGAGGCCATTCAGAAGGCCGAGAGAATGTCCAGCTTCAACTATGATGCTCCAGTGGAGCAGGCTAACAATCCTAATTTGAAGTCAAACAAGAAGCTCACCGTGGACCCTCGCATCACCGACAATGTGGAGCACAAGAAGGACGTCGCTGGAGAGGGAATAGATGCATGGAAGCGAGAAGAGGACGCTGGCAAAGCTGGTCGTCGTGATACGTGCCTGGTGTCTGCAAAGACTGGCGGCAAAGAGGTGCTGCTATCGCCGGAAGATGCCAACGCTGCAAAAGGTAGACCAACATCACCGAACAAACAAGATTCACCACGGAAACGGTCATACACTCCCGTTGGTGACGACGACGGCAAAGGCAATGCCGCGCTACCTCCACCTCCTTTAGCTCGAACTAGCACTGCAACACTTGGGCTATCACAAACATCAACGCTTCCTCCTCTGCCTATGACCGACGATACCGACATTGGTGGACCCTCTATACAACGGACGCCATCGCAGAAGGCGGCTGAGATCACGAACCCTCTCGTGGCTGATATGAAGCGACCGTTCGTCGACAAAGATTGCATGCGTGACCCACTCAACGATTCTTTCTTCCTAGACACCTGGCATACCGTAGCGGAGAACAACACCAGGCTCTTCCGGCAAGTCTTCCGATGCATGCCAGACAACGACGTCAAATCCTGGAAAGAATACAAAGAATACTCAGCGTATGCCGAGCGCTTCTCCCAAGCACAAGGTGGCGGCAAGAGCAAGGACCGAGTTCAGCAAGATGCTCCCGGCTCTAGTGGACCTCCAGGCAACATCAGTCTTTCTGACAAGCTTCGTCTACTAGGACCCATTGGCGAGAAGGCCGGCGAAGCAGAAAGCAAAGCCGAGACATTCGGGGAGAAATTCATGCATAGCTTGGGCCAAAAGGACAGCCAGAAAGACAACCACTACAAAAACCATTCCATGGGAAAGATCGAAGAGTGGGCCGAAGAAGCCAACAAGGCACAAATTGCACGACAGGCAATAGAATCTAAAGACAAGCGCCCAAGATCGCCCAGTGCCGCTGACACTGACACGACCATCGACGAAAAAGCCCCCTTACGCACCTCCAATGAGCTGAAGCATGCTACAACCTTTGATTCAGAAGCCACCACGAAAGTGCCGCCGCCGCCTTCTGTCGCCTACTCCGACGCCCTCAACCGTAACACATCTACACAGAAACGGAGGAGAAGGGCAACAACTCGCAGTTCGAGAAGGGAATTCCACGCCAGCGACGATATCATCGATCCTAGTGATGCGGATGACCTGATGCAGATGGTGCAGGGCCATCTGGTGCTTTGGCCGTACGATTGGCTGGCGAGGGAGGAGCAGGGAGGGAATTGGCTGTATAGTATTGATGGGTTGGCGCCTTTGGAGATTTAGTAAGTCCTCGGCTCCATTACTCTGATGTGCGGTGGACATGCTGACAGTGAACAGCAACTGAATTTTACTCATCTTGCTTCCTTCGTCAAATCGTCATCACAAGCTACCAATCCGCAAGCCACACGTTCGGCTCTCGCACTCGCATAGCGGCATAGCGTTCTCTTCATTCGGCATATGCACAAGCGGCGGCGTTTACTCTGGGCTACACGTCTATATTCTGGGTGCAATCTTCTGGTGGACGCTGGAGGTCATGGCCTTGATGGTCCTTTCATTCGGTACCCATGTATCTGCTTGCTTTGACACTGCGTGTACAAAGCCGTACTGAAAGTATGAAAGTACCGGGTAAACCATTGCATGCGGGTATATATGACTATCTATTGTCTAGAAACCTGGCTCGTTTCTGCGCATCCCTCCATGCCTGCAAGTGTCCTCCAATTGAAAAGCGAGATTGAAAAGAAATGGGTATGATGCCACAAAGTTCCGCGAACATGAACTTTCTAAATATGGCTGAAAAGGCAGTCTTGAAAACGCCACCAACTCCATGCAGCACGAGTCATCTGCGTCCATACGCCCAAACCCACCTTTTCACCCTCCGTCAATCCTTATCATCACCCCTCGCCCCTCTTCATCTATCATTGCTCATCATGATCGGCAACGTCTCGAACACAACCTCATTCTTCTCATAATGCCCCACAAAACCCCCCTGCAACACCCTCTTCAGCCCCTGCAACCTCGTCAACTTCCACCACTTGTCAATCTTCATGACGCCGCCCTTGTGTATCCTCACCACCATCCTCGACCCATACCGTTTTCCCGTCTCATCGCTGATAGCGTTTTGATATCTGGGGCCGCGGGTCGGGTATTCGACGGAGTTCAAGATGTCTACGAAGTTTGTGCGGAGGGCTTTGCGGTCGGTTTTGCTAAGGTGATGGGTGCTGATCGAGGCAATGGATTGGAGGGAGTGGATTAGCTGGTCGGTGCGGCGGAAGGCGGGGTAGAGTCGGATGAGCTTGGGGACGCCGGGGGTTTCGTCGGGGTCGGACATGATTTCGCTGTCTGGGAAGTCGGCTAGGCTGTCCTCTTCCGGGTCGACTTGCTTGAAGGATTTCTCAAAGAGAAGAGCTATGTTCTCGCCGGCTGCTATTTGGACCGAGGGGAAAGAGGAAGTAATTTGTTCCGCGAACGCTTCGACTGCGTCTTCAGACTGAGGGGACATGTCGTCGATAAGGGTGCAGAGAAATCCCCATTCTTCGAGCGCAGCAGCCACAGGCTCAGGCTCGTCGGATGCGGAGATGGTGTACCCATCGCTCGTTATGATCTCAAGGAGGAAGTCCATGTTTTCGAGGATTTCGTCGTCGGAGGCGCCGCCGTAGAAGGTGCAGGTGCCGAGGGTGTGTATGGCGGCTGCTTTGCTGGCGGTAGAAGTAGAATGAGAGATCGCGCGTTTCAGGGGGGTGGAGGCGGCTTCGTAGATTAGATCAGAGGGGGAGGTCATGAGGGTCATGGCGAGAGCTACATATAAAAACAGGGTTAGCTTCATAGGGCACAATGGAGAGATGATGGAGGTTGGTGGTACCTTTCATAGCGAGTATTGTCTCCTTTTCCGTCTTCTCTTCCTTGATGCTTTTAAGAAAGGCAACCACAAGCTCTGCTTCCTTCCCACGGATTTCTTCTTCCGCATACTGCGCGGTCAAAATGTGTACGTAGGCCTTGTAGCACTTTTCTCTTCCCTGCACAGTGCTGCCCTTCCTGGCGAGTGTTTCCTCTATTCGGTCTGCGAGCTCAGGCCTCCATGCGTCTCCCGAGTGTTCTGTGCTGTCACCATTGAGGACCTCGTCGATGGAGCCAACACTACGCCCCTCGTTAACAACGATAATTCCATGTAGCACGAGAAGAGGAGCGTAGCCTCGCCCGAAAACGAGACAAATAGAAGAGACACTCTTACCTGAACGATGTCTCATCACTGAGCTCTCCCTCATCATCTGAGCCCGCCCTGCTGCTATTTCCCCTTATCCTACTCGCGGCGCGAGACGTCGCGGGCGAACTCGGCTTCGAGTTGGCCGGAGAGGATACTTTGGAGCGCGCCTTGCGAGACGTAGTCTTGCCGCTCTCGAGAGCTTGTCGGCGTAAATCGTGCATGCTCTAGAGCAGTTGCAACAGCTATGGAAAACTTCTTGTAACAACTAATGTATCTGATGGCGGTGAGGTTCCTTGGAAGTTTGTGTGCTATTTGAGATCAAGTATCAGGAATCTGGAGAGTTCTGAGGGCAGTAAATATAGTCGTAGTTCCATTAATGGCCTTTGTAGAGGGAGCTAGGGAAAAAGCTGTTGTGTCTGAACAACGCAAGTGAATGGTTGGGGAGAGGAATAATCGTGAAGCGAGTCTCTTCGAAGAGTCATCTGCTATTGTTCTTTGGTGTGTGGCGGCATGTAGGCGAAAATATTGCCGGGCCTACTAGCGTAAATTGTAGACGCCCCGTTCCCTCATGCTCGAGCTCGTCTTACTGTCAAAAACATCTTAAAGTAATTCGGTCTTATCGACGTCTCCAAGTTTCCGTGTTCATTGTCACAGGTACTCGGTGTTTGTAAAGGCTTCGGTGAGAAGTGCTCTCAGAGAAGCTGGAGGAACGCTCGGCTGACACTGATATACATCGAAATAGACTCCTATTTGGGAACATGAAAGCCTTGAGATGTTCTAAATGCCTGTGTTCAATGACTAACAATTCGATCCATATGCAGCGTCTCTCCTTTTGTTTCAAGTCCCCGGAAAACCCTGCGCCTCGCTAAAAATCAATCGTGTGTTTTTGAACCAACCCCTATCCCCGCTTTCCTTGCTTCCTATGCTTGGAAGAAACAAGTTGACAGTCTCTTCCCTCTCTCTATTCCGTGCTGGAGTCTCGCAAGGCCCCCTATATCTCAATGTCAATCCCCAAGTCCATGGAAGCGATGATCTCGTCGTCCATGTTGCGATTTCCAAGTATAGGCATGCCCGAAGCCGTGAACTTTTGGGCTGGGCTAGGAAATACGGGCTTTTTCGCCTCCACTTTAGGAGTCGTAACTGCAGCAGGGGTGGCAGAACGACTAACGTCGCGACTGCTGCCATTCTGGCGAGCAAGAAGCGGATTCAGAGCCTCTTTGGCATCGTGATGAGTCTTGGCGTAAGTCTTAACACGCGCAAAGGAATTTGGCATAGCCTCTCCACGCTGAACGGCTTCACGATTGATCCGGTCCGCCTTGCGCTCTGCGAGTTGAGCTTTGCGGACATTTTCCCGGTTTGCCTTGCGGTTGGCTTTGTTCAACTCAGCAAGGCGCTCCTGTTGGGTCGGTCCAGCAGGGACAACGGGTTTGGCCTTAGGGTCCACGAGGAATGTGCCGTATTTGAGCTTTGGTCCATCTAGGGCAGCTAGCTCGGCGTCGCACTTGGCAATCGCTGCTTCATCGCCTTTCACTTCGGCGGCGCGACGACGGGTGTTAATGCCATTACGCTCAAAGTAGGCGTCCTTTCTCTGCAAAGCACCTTGACGTTTTAGCTTCTCTGTGAGCTCTTCATCGGTGAATCGATGTTTGACGACCGCATCAAAATCTGCGAGCTTTGATATAAGGAACGATTTGGTAGGCAGCGTTTTCCCCGAGTCACTCATGGCGATTTTATGGTTTGCGACCTCAGCCTGTACGCGTTAGTATTGTGAGTATCGGGGCGGAGACCTCGACATACTTCTGTAGGTCTTGAATTCGAGATGGCCGCGAAGTGAATGTCCTTCATAGCTCCATCAATCATGAGTTGGATGTGTTGATTGGTAACGATCTTATTTCCGTTCGGTCTCTCTACGGCATAGTCGAAACTTTCTTTCTCCAAAATCCCTGAAACCATTAGTGGAGATCATGGCCAGACATGGAGTATATGGTACCTTTGATCAACATCAGATCATAGTTCATCTCACCACTGGCCTTTGGTTTCGATGGTAGACGGACATAGAAGTCCTTAACAGCCTCTCCAAACCCAGGGTAAAAGCAGTAGTCTGCGAGCAAACCGCGAGTCAAAGTCGCACGACGGACATCATTGTAGTCCGCGGGCTGCGTGTTGCGAAATTTGAAGTCGTCTACCTTAAGCTTCCCTTCATCCCACTCAACCTCGCTCTCTCCATCAGCATCGGCACTCGAATACCTATTTTCACTAGTGCTTCGTGCCCGGCGGTCTTTTCGATTCGCCCCATCACGTTTCCGCTGTTGATCTCGCAGGCTCTTCTCCTCGCGCTGACGCTTATATGCATCAATGGCCGCTGATGTTTCTCCAACTTTGCGTCCGCCGAGTGTAGTCTTCTGGCGGGAACTCTTTCTCGGACTGTCTTCAAGATCAGTGGTACCGATCTTGCGCTTCTTGTCGGCCAACTTCGTATCTGCGTTCCCGCGGGTTTGCAAAAGACGACGAAGATGCTGGTCTTGCTGATTGCGTTCGAGAATTTGAGCGCGATCTGCGAGGATCGACTCCCGCTCAATTTCGGAGAGGGCCATGATTTTCTTCTTGTCTTGCTCCGAATAGAACTTATTGTCGACTGGAAAGATGGGACCTCCGGCACCAGCGCCATGGGCTGGAGAGGCATCTGAGTCGGATTCAGACATTGGAGCAGATTGTAGAGAGTCCGGTGATCCAGGTGCGGAAGAGCTGGAGACATGCATAAACAATTTGTTGAGACTTTGAGTTCTTTTGTGATGACTTACGCTTCACCTTCGTCCTCGGACTCAGCCTTGCGTTTCTTCACAGTCTTGCTAGCACCTCCACGCTTGGCGGAAGCATTCGGGGTCAGACTGGATTGGTCTTTGGTATGTGGTGGAGAAAGCGCGATTGCAGGTAGGGGAGAGATAGCTTTGGCGACGGTAGGAGGTGCCTGTGTGGTCTCCTCATCGGAAGAATCATCACCTCCCGCAAGAGCAAGAAGTTCGGCATCGTCGACCTCCATCTCGGGCGCTAGGTGGGGTGTCAATTCAATAACGTATTGAAAAAGTGTGACGAAGCCCGCTTCGCCTGGGTAAATTGATGGATTCAAGCAGTCAAGTGTTGCAACAGCAGTAGGTTTGATGTGATCAAGCTGATTTTATAGATTTGTGGGTATTTGAAGTAAAAGTAGAAGTGTGGAATCAAATGGTGGTGCGTGTCGAGATCTCCAAAGGTTGTGACGAAGCTAAAGGATGAGAGGGGGCTGGTGTTTTCCCAAGTGTCGAATGCTTCGAGTTATTCACTTCCGTGAACAATATACTACTTTAACTTCCTTTGTGCCAAGACCTCAGCCGCTGTAAGCGCGCCGTCGGGTGAACTTCGGGTTTCCCAAGATGATGATGAGCTGGAGTTGAATGAAGAGATATATATCATGAGCAGCGACTCCGCTCTCAATAAATTTCTGCTTACACCTCCTACGTGATAAGCCCTAGTGACAGTACGCCATGAGCGTAGCAATTACCAGCCGATCATTCTTCGGTCAAGCTCTCCGCCGCCCAACTCCATTTCTCGATTTCCTCCTACCCAGCTTCACCATCCCCTCGTCTCGAACTCGCTATGCACCAATCACGACTTCCTCGGCCTCCCCAAACACCGAGCCATCGCCTTCATCCTTAAAGAGCTTCTCTTCAAACAAACGCCGGAAACCTCTCTCAAAGACACAGCGCGAGTTCCTCGACCGCGGCCTTCGAGTTAACCAAGCTGGCGAGCTCGCCGCAACTCTAATTTACACACACCAAACACCGCCCATAACTCGTGCCCATCCACATCTCCGGTCTTTAATGCACCGTATGTATTCCCAAGAAGCGGGCCACTTCTCCACCTTCAATGAGATGCTCGCGAAGCACCGCATAAGGCCAACGGCTATGTATCCTGTATGGTCTGCCGCTGCCTCTGTACTCGGCTGGGGCACGGGGCTGATGGGCAGGGAAGCAGCTATGGCTTGTACGGAGGCTGTGGAGACGGAGATTGGAGGACATTACAATGGGCAAGTGCGTGTATTGCTTGGTTGGGTGAAGGAAATGGAGGACAAAGGGGAGGAAGTGGGAGAAGAAGTGCGGGAGTTGGTATCAACCCTGAAGAGAATCCGGGATGAGGAGTTGGAGCATTTGGATGAGGCGGTCGGAGAGGGGGCGAGGGAGGCAAAACCCTATGAACTGCTGAACAGGGTTATTAGAAGTGGTTGTAAGGGAGCTATATGGATCAGTGAGAGGGTGTAGAGCTCCATCGATCGTTGATGGATATAGGACGCTGATTGGAAGCGCTATCCGCTTTCCGTGCCTAGTCTCGCCGCCACGCCAATGAAGTCTTCTGCGTTGACGATCTCTGTGCTTCCATACACTATTCTTCTCTTTGGACCTCCAGCCCCTTGCGCAGCACTTGTCCTGTGTGCCCAATCCTGCAGATTTCCATACTCGTCCATGCTCCCACCACCAACGGTGAAAACTATTGCCTCACTAAAGCCTTGTCTTCGTTGCCCAAAAGTCGCGTTTGAGCCAGGACCAGAATTACCCGGTCCGTTTTGTTGGCCTTGCCTAGACGAAGGCGCGCCGGGCATGGTGCCTCGTGCATTGGCAGAGCGAGGGTCGAAATAGAGATAGTCTTCAGTCTTGGCGATGGCGGACGAAGAAGCGGAAGCAGGGTCCATCAGAGACTCAACGATCTTGGTGATGGTGATGTCTTTATTTGCTGGGAGGAAGTTCTTGACTCCCGATATCAGGTTCTCGAAATTAGTGCCCAGGGCTCCAGCGCCAAGGCGGTCAGTCAGCCTATTGGAAATGGAAGAAAACCCACGGAAGATGTTGGAGTCTGAAGCAGGTTGTGTGGGTTGAGTGGGAGCTGAGGTCATCATAGTCATGCGGGTTTCGTCGCGGACTCTCTTGACATATGTGAGGGCAGTAATGTCGGCGCCTGCACGTGTGAGAGCTTCCTCGAAACGGTCCATTTCGGCACGAGAAATGTCCTGTTCGGTGCTTAAGAACCATATGATGAACAGACGTAGTTTGTCGAGGGGTTCTCTGCCTTTTTCGGCATCGTTCAGAAGTTCAAGCATTTGGGCTTTTGTTTGTTTGGTGATATTTTCTTCAATCTGGAAGAAATTATCTAGTTGCCTGGACTTGATTCCCTCAAGTAGTGCAGTCGCGATATTCATGTGCATGTCCAGGATGGCCTTTCGCTCGCGCAATTCAGGGAGTAGAGTGATCACAGCTTTGAGGTGGGATGCTGATGAACCTGTCTCGTTCAGATCATCAATAGAAGAAACACCAGTTTTCCGTGTCACCTCGGCTGCATCGTCTTTGTATTTTGTAAGCTCTGTATCGATGTCCTCGGCAACTTGTGGGAATGGGATCCCAGCATTTCGAGTCCAAAAAAAGTCGTTAGAATTCAGGTCATATGCCCTTCTCGTCTTGCCCTTGCTTGGATCCTCCGCATCGATCAGAGTCTCCACGGTGATTCGGTTAAGATGCATCTTCAAGACGTCGTGGACAAGAGATTGGTACGTCCAGGAATGCGAGAGCATGGGTATGAGGTCAACGTTGCGGTCTACAACGACGAGTACTGGCCTTGAGGACGAGGTGTTTGTAGCTGATGATGATCTTTGTCCCTGGTTGGAAAACAAGTTGTCTTTAGAGTTCAGAACATGATCTCTGAGCTTGCGGTCTAGTTTTGCAGCTATCATCTCTGCTGGACCGCCTCGAGGACTTCGAATAATTGGTATGGAGCCTAGGACACTGTGAACAAATTTCCAGACGGACATCAGGGCGAAGTACCCATAGTGACCACGACGCTGAATAGACCGCTGACGGTTTTGTCTACTAGCACGTCTATCTCCTCATCTGTAGCCTTTGGACTATTCAAAGCCCAGTATGTATCTTTCCCCATTCCTAAGCTAAACAAATCTGGCTCGCTCACGATGAAGTTCAGGTACTGGTCATACATTTGACACACGCTTTCAGCTGTGCCTGATTCTGCGATTTGTGATGCGAAATCTTCCATCAATGGCCTGGGTATCGAAGAAAGAAAGTTGATGTATGCATCTGCATACAGACTTTTGGCAAGATCGGAATTAATGTTATTGAGATTGGCCGTAGTAGGCTCGAGGAGATAAAGGACTGGAACATCGGGTATAGGATGACGCTGTGCATTGATGTTTCTAGGGACCGAGTTAGCTATGCTCTTTGTTAAGCTCACGTCTATCCGCAATTGCCAATCCAGGGTATACCAACAGATGTATTGTAACGCCAAATCCCCGTAGGTCATTCACCCTGAGAACACTGCTTATTATATCTCGGCCTAGGTCGTCAAACACGAGGACTTTCCATATAGGATCTCCGTCAGAATTCAGAACAGGAGTTGACTGAGGAATGAGGCCATTGGCGGCAGCTGGATCATGGCCATTGGTAGACGTAGAGAAGGGCAGATGGTTGAGGTTAAGTATCTTGCCCAGAGACGCTGGAAGTAAGTCAGCGACAAAGCTCTCGTGGCAGCTTAAGCATTGGAAGGCCTACCTACTTGCCGGTCTCGAAGCGTTTGCGGGTGTGCAACCATGTTCAGAGGAAATTTCTTATTCTGAGAAAGGTAGGCACATAATAGAGGCAAAAGTCTTAGACTTAAACAACTTTCGATTGCTTCAGCATCATGATAACACCCTAACCATAAGTGAAGGTGGCTTCACAGCATCGTGGTCGTGGAATGTTACCGCAGAAGCTTAGGGCTAAGACTAGCGCTTCACGTAATAAAACATGTGCAACGTCGCGATCTTTTCCTCCTCCGCACCTCACTTACAACTCCATCTCTCACCACTCGACTCCATCGATGAGCGACATAGACTGCTCATTAAATGGTTTAAGCATTATCAAGTATTGATTGGACGGGTCTTCACGCATTCTGGAGTAGGGTGAAGGCTGTGTTAGGTGGACGTGGTGAGGTACTTCGGTTGAGGGGTGGATTTTCTTCCCACCGAATCTTTTCGGTATCTTCAAGCAGCTCTCTATGACTGGCGTTAAGTACCATGGTACCTCGAAGTACTCGATTTGAATTGTCTATTGTGACACAGAATTGACGGACTCGAATATCCATCAAGTCAACACCTAATCTCTACTTTCCCAGCTATTCTTCTCTACGTCCACGCCAATGACAACGGCATAGCTACGGCCGGTTCATCACAGCCAAGAAACGTCCCAAAAACCGTCAGATCCTGAAAGCAAAATCTTCCGACAGAGCAGGCACCCGCCGTACAAGTATTCACGAAAAATCTTACCACGCCTTACCAGATCGGTCATAGCTACATGCCTAGTGCCGGAGTTTGAAGAGGTTAAACCCCGCTAAGGCTGAGCATCTTTATCGTTTGGAGAGCGTAATGGATCCACGACAGCAGGGCCAGGATTATGGAGGAAACAATGCTTCGAGAGCAGGAGGGAACTATGGTTTCAATAGTGGCCAAAATGATCCTTTCAATTCTTTCGTTCATACCGATAATGAATCTGCCTTTGATTCGTCTTGGAATCCTCAAGCATATCCTGCACAGCAGCAGCCAATCAATGGCTTCGATCACGGAAACCAGCAATGGCAACAGAATCCTTACCAGTCTCCCAATTCGCTTCCCATGCCCAACTATGGAGGCCAACCAAGCGATTACGACCAGATATACTCAAGGAATCCCGCATCTTTCAGCTATTCTGGCTTCGACCCCAACACGAGCCACGCATTTTCTGCCTCTCCATTCGACAGTGCTTTGAACTATGGTCAGATGCCATTGAACAGTGGCACTCCGTATGACTACTCCGCCCCCCCAGCGTACTCGCAGCATAACGAGACAATATCCCCTCAAGCGCTGCAGAACTATCCATTCCCATCAACAAAGACTGAGGAACCGCGTCAGGTATGTTGCACACTTGCAGAAACCTCGATCAAAAGGGCCCAGGCTGACATCCGTTAGCCTCAGCACTCACAGCATGGCTCCACCATGCCCATACGGCGAGCTTCTGTGACAGGAGTCCCTGCTCCCAACCACCAAGAGTGGATCAATCTCGCGTCCGCGACGCCACCTTCTACCATTTTCCTCGAGGGTTTACATATCAGGCCTACTCAGAAGCTTTCGACCGCCACTAAGTCCACACACCTCAATGGCTTTACATTTGTGGGCAGTAGTACGCTACCGCGCAGCACAACTAAAGGTGAGCGAAACAGGACTGGTCGATCTCCATTCAACATGAGTTTTCTGACATGATATGCAGCCACCGTACCTCGCTTCAAGAGAAGAAAGTCTTTGAGGGAGCTCAGACGTCTGCTCGAATTAGGTTAGTGCTAATCGTTGTCAACGTGTACCAAGATCTCATTGCTGACATTGATTACAGAGAAAGGAAAAGACCCCTGGCCTCGAGATCGGGAGCCTGTTCTGAAGAAGCTCAAGACCGCAGAGACAAAGATGTTCGGTCCACGTACTCCTGCAGCTTCCACGCATGCGCATAATGGATCCGTAGCCGAGTCTATGTCCCCTTCAGAATCTTCGGAGTCTGAATCTGAGGACGAATCGGAATACTATTCGGAGTCTGAAGAAGTAACTGAGCCGGAGGAACCTTCGCCGCTTCCCGCGAATCGCCCGGCAGATCCCAGCAAAGCGATAGAGTACGACGTCATCAAAGCCGTTTGGGCCAGAAAGAATGTAGGCCTTTCCGGCACTGTGATACGCACCGCCCTCGGTGAGTATTGGAACATATTCAAAACTATTCGCGACAAATGGAAGGCAAAAACTACGTCTCTGCAGCAAGCAATTGAGAAGAAAGACCAGGCCAGCATCAAGACGTATGAGCGTCGAGTTGTCGAATCACGGCGCCTCCTAGAATCATGCATCAGTCTGACTCTCAAGCACAGTCATCCGGACATCATTGAAAAGTACGTGTATTTCCTATTGAGCTTCTTCTTCTCGCTGTCGCACACTCTACCAGAAAGTCTTGATCTGCTGTGATAGTCAGATGTAGGCGAGCGGCAAAAGACGTCCTGACAGGGCAGTCAGCCATCTTCAATGCCTCATGAGTGGGACTCAATGAGCGACACTTCATGAGCTTGCTGCCCAATCGGTCGTGTATGGAGAGAGCTTTTCGCCCAGCACCAAACTCAATTTTTTTGTAATAGACCAATGGAAATTGGCGTGAATTTTGAGATTGTTGCCCGCTTTGCGTGCGTTGATAGCTATTAAGATGGTACCGTCGTGGGTGCTTGCAGTAGCTCGATAATTACGCACGACCAAGATTATCATCAGACTGGTCTAAGCATGTTCACGCCTTCACAAATACATACATAGACTGCCTCACAAGAATTGGAGACTAACGTCTCCATAGACTAGGCGAAAATCCTGCCCTACTAGTTGTGTTCTATCAATTCCTCGCAGACCGATTTAAGGATAGTGAATATACTGGGAGCTTCATCGCCAGCATCCTCGAGGTCAGTCTAATCATTGGTCTCAAGCGACGAATTTTGCTCATGCTTACTAGCTCATGACGCGATGCACTACAATCGATCAGTCGATCTTGGAATTGACAAAGATAGAAAAAGTGCTCCCTAGACTGATCAAAAGAGGAGACGACCAAGGGAAAAGGTTTGCGCAGAAAGTTCTAGACAATGCTGCAGATGTCTCGAAGCAGAAGACTGCAGATGATAAGTCAGCGCTGGGCCAGGAAACGAATGGAAAGCTACTGGGTGAAGGAGCAAGGAATTCTAGCTCCAACGAGACCAAAAATGCACGGCCAATCGATGCCAAGAAGGGCGAAAAGGGTGTCGCGAGCAAAACAGCCTCTGAAGCTCGCCAACCATCAACAAAGGTCGACGCAAAGGCAGGGGCAAAGCTGCCATCAGCCGATGTGTCTTCCACGAAGGCGAAATCCCATACTGTTACTGCTAAACCTTCTGGCTTCTTCTCGAGTTTGCAGTCGGCATCAAAGAAGCCAGGTACCTCTTCGAAGCTGAAAGATAGCAAGCCTAGGTAAGCTCACTATCGATTTCAATGCGCTGATCCGGTGATCTGTATTGCTGCCTAAACTTTTTCTGACACATCGACAGTACCGGCTCCGAGATTAAATCTGAGCTCGCCTCAGAGCCTCCGAAACCGACTTTTTCATTTGCTGCAACGATGGCGAATCTCAATAAACAAGCAGAGGCCGCACCCGTGAAATCCGAGGAGACTCGAAAACCAGAAACGCCAGAAGAAAAGCAAAAACGACTCCGCAAAGAACAGCGCCGCAAACTCAGGGTCTCTTTCAAAGATGATGATCTAGTCCAAATACGAGAGTTCGTGCATGACCCGGATGAGGAACTTGGTCACGAAGACAGCCAAGTCCGCGATGTCGGCGATAGTAGAGGAGAAGGTCAAATGTTGAAGATGCACAGAGATCTTGATCTTATGGATGAGGACGAGGACTATGAGCCTCCCGACGAAGTGCTACCAGATTGGGTCACTCCTAAAGGTGATTTGCAAAGCTCATTTTGCATAGAACATTTATTCTGACTTTGATATACAGAGGTCGACTTCAGCGTCATCGATCCTAGCGAACTAGCTCGAAATTATACCAGCCGTGGCGGGAAAGCTGAAGTAAAGAGCGATGAGCGGACGGCCCAGGAGCAACGGGAGTTTTCTACCCTCATGGTCATCTATACAACCCCATCGGATATTCCATCTTCACCTCGAGAACCCTCAGATCCCTTTACTGGCGACACCTTAATGGAAGACAGCTTTGGAACGCCGGTTGAACAGACCAAGGTGTGTCCTTTTTGATTGCAAAGTATATCCGTATTGCTTACAAGTAGTCCAGACACGCGAAGCCCAGTATCTTGCAGGAGAGAACCGTCAAGCAGTCGCTGCTCAGCCGCCAACGCCTGATATATCTGCCCTTTTTCGCATTCTGAGTAGTCAACAGCAAGCTCCGGCGCCGCAGCCACAACCACCGCCAGCCGCACCTGCTGCTTCAACAGGCCTTGAGGCCATCTTTGCGCAGTTTGCAAATGCCAACAATCAGCAAAAGACTCCGCAAATGCAAGTCCCTCAGCCTGTGCAACAGCCGGCGCCTGGCTTCAATCTACAGGCAGCTCTGGCGAATATGACGCAGCCAAGCCAGTACGGGGCACCTCAACCAGCCCCTGTACCCGATTTGCAAGCCATACTAGCCGGTTTAGGTAGTGGGCAGCCGGCACCACTGGCGCCGCAAACGCAAGGCTACGGGTATCCCAACTCATACCAGAACGACAATGATCGCAAGCGTCAGTACGAGCAAGACGACGGCGATTATGGCTACGGCAAAGGCAAGAGACCTCGACAAGGGGTCGGTCAGGGCAAGAAGCCAGTACGTCCTCTCAACTCTGTGACCCCGGTCAATTGATAATTTGATACTGACCGTCCACTAGTATTACGGTCCACCTCGACTTCCTTGCAAATTTTTCCAAGAAGGCAAATGTCGAAAGGGGGATGAGTGCACCTTTCTACATGAATGATTACGGACCTTTGTCACCACTTTCTAGAATTCTGATCCTACATTGGCCAGCATCATTTTAGCATTTTCGCTGCATAGCGGTCGGCGTTTCTAGGCTCCGGCCCGGGAGCTCACATTAGCGGCATAGTGGCATCCTCCACTTCAAGGCTTCTTCATTTTTTTCATTATTGTTCCACCGAGGACAACTGTTTTGAGCTGGCATTTTACCAAGCTCTGTACCCTTTGTATCATAGCCAAGTCAAGAGAACCTTTGCTGCATCAACGCGTGCTTCGCTTTTTCTCCTGGATAATCTATTTGTGTGGGGAGATTTGACGTAGACCTGTCCAAATTAACTCATTCAGTCAACAATGTCCCATTTCGATGTCAACTCTAAGTTGAGTGACTCTATTACGCATCTGATCGTAGTATGTGGCCACGCCATATGGCTTGGCGGGCCAACGAGTGGGCGAGACGAGTCTGAGTGGTATTTTCATTCCCAATTTCTATCATCCGGCTATTCCCCTGACTCCTACAACAAGCGTTTGCCGCTATTCCACTGAATCAACTCGCTCGTACCGTCTTTACTAACTCAGTTTCGGCAGGGCGATCGAGTCATTTCAAAGTGGCGAAACACCAACTTTTATGGGGCATATCAAAGCTGGGCTGAAAGCGTTGAAGGAGGAGTCGAGCTCGCTGCTGGTGTTCTCTGGGTGACTTAAATTCCGCAGCGATGTCCTCGAAGATTGGCTGAGAAGCGGTAGCGGTGCCACTAAGCAGAACAGAACGCCGTTGAGTGAGGGTGAATCATACTTGGTACATCCTCTCCGAGCTCAAGCTCACAGCCGGTTGCCTCGTGTTGATGTCCTGCTGTCCTTGACAACATGTTCCTTTGCCTTCCTTCATCGAACGGTCAGGAAACATCCAGAAGAACGATTTACTCCACTGACAGTTTCCGATCCCAGGACCTCGCATACCGCCTCTCGCCCCAACATCACGAGCGCATATCGGCAGAAATCCACGCAACAGACTCCTACCAAAACCTTCTCTTCTCCATCCTTCACTTCCACACCCTCACTTCCAATTACCCCACCCAGATAACGCTCATATCTCACGCCTTCAAACGCGCGCGCTTTCTCGAGTTGCACTGTCGTGCTATACGCTGGCCCCTGTCCAGATTCACATATATTGGCATCGATCCGCCGGAAGATGTGACGCCAAGATGTGTGCTGGATCAGGGAGAGAGGGAGAGAGGTTATGGAGTTTGGGAACGTGATTTGTATGGAGTGGGTAGCGTGCTTGGGGCGAAGAGGGAGATGAGAGGGTGGGAGCATAGTGCATTCGAGGCGGTGGGAAAAGGGAAGGAGGAGAGTGTAGACGGGCTGTTGGAGTGGAAGGGTGGTGCAGATGGGAAAGAGGTCTATGAGGGAAGACTGCCATGGGACAGAGAGGTCCTGTGAAGGCCATGATAGGCACATATTCCGCTATAGAATCCTAACAGTATCACACTACATCATCCTCACATACCAAGCCTCTCACATCGTTACACTGCTGTTAAGCTATTCTGCTGACTAATTAATCTGCTCCTCTTCACGTCACTTGCCACAAACAAGCAAAGACAGAAATGCAGTCGGTGATTCCAAAGCTCAGTGGTGATCTCGTATACCACAGGTCATCTGACGAGCCAAATAACGAGAGACGCAGAGACCCATCCTCGATAAGCGATACCTGTCCTCGAGATGACATTGCACCTGAGCCAAATTCTACCTCGAGGCGCATCTTCCCGAGGTAAAGATAGAGCGAGAAAACTGCTTTGGTCCACGGGGAGCTCAGTGCCGACGAGTCTTAAGGCACTTGGGCGGTTGCATGGGCGTACATGTAAAAGTCATGCAGAGGTGCAATCCCAAAGTTTCGAAGTTTTAAAGCCTCAGGAGTGCGCGGCCAGAAAACCGCTACGATTGTAAGGAAATGGACCTCAAGTAGCGTCCTTTTGAGTGAAGGAGAGATGCGTTGCGTCGGTCGAATACTCTATGTTTAGGGGTTTTTGGAGGTGAATGACCAACTTGTTCTGGATGATGCCCACAAAAGTGTGCAAGGATGAAAAAATCTGAGGTCTTAGCATTGTCACTTCTATTTCCGACAACTTGTGTGATTGCAGGACAGGGCTCCGGGATCGTAGTGAAAGTTGGGGGTTTTCTTGGGAGTTTGGCCTGCTTATTCTCCCCTTTTATGCACCACTTTTGTTCGATTCTCTTGGCTAGACATCAAAAGAGCTTCCGGTCAGATCAATCATGCTTTCCTTTGCTTACTGTGACTGAGAGTATTTCATCTTCGAGGTCATACATTCCCAAGTTTCTCATAGATTGTCATTACTGCAGTGGTGCCACCATTGCCAAGCAAGATGACAGTTTTTCATAAGAAAATGGGATTGGAATTGCGCTTGTAAAACTGCATTGCATATATGCCATCCACAACTCGTTCCTCCCTCAACATTGAGGCCAAGCACACCCGGCCCCGCCAGGGCCAGATGCAGCAGGCGCGCCACAAGCAAATGATTCGTAGACTACGATCATCACAAAATGCTTGACTGATACATCAGTCAATCAGTACACCTACACGTCCTCAAGAAAATCCTTGCTCTTGGATCTACTTCTATCTCAAAGGTCGGATCGTTGACTTCCACGGAGAAAGATGATTGCCTTCGAGTTCTTGACATCGCTCTCACGCTATGAGATGCTGGTGTGGTAAAGAAGGCATACATGTTGTTGCTATTGCTGTTTGGGGCGGTCGTATTCTGAATGTTTAAGTCGATTTCTTCTAGAGTCTAGCAACATGAGACCATCCCATTCTGATTCGGAAACAGCCACTGCACTTCCTACCTAGAATCGATGCTCAAGTCGTTGAGTGCCTCTGCTAAGCCTGTATATCTGGTTTTCTGTGGAATACGCTATCATTCCGAAAGATCTCTCGCGGACATACTCGTTCATATGCCATTTCGGTCCATGCAACTGTCTTCTGGCTGTTCCCCGCAGAAAGCGTGTGCCTTTGTCATTCTGCGTTGTCTTGCAATTCTTATTATAGATGGCGGCCTAGTATCGGGCAAGTACACAATGGAGGTAGACTAGTATCAAAGTCCTCTCTCGACTTATGCTTCAATAGTAGCTACCAGTGATTCAAGAGACAGGAACTGACTTGCATAATCTCGAATTTCCCTAGCGTGTCGGAGGAAGTCGGGCGGACTTTAGAAAAGGCTGATCCTCCGGCTTGGCATGCGGGCCATACGAGCATGTCCATGTTTACTCTTGAGGACATTATTGTCTGCAAACCGGTTTTTTCTCCTGAGCTGCGTTGTACCAAAAATGCCTCAAATCAGCTTCCCCCTACTGGCAATTCCCAAAGCCTACCCTTGATATATGATCGCAAACCCTGTATTGCAAGAGAAACCACCATGGCGGGCATGGAGCAGCTCGAGATACATAGCAAGGTGAGGAGGGATTGGATATGTACCCTCAGCCTCTGCTGATTATCACTCATTTAGTCATACCTTGTCCGCTGGGTTAATGTCAAATCCGAGCATACAATCTCCTGGAGTATTCGGCCGGACAAGAAATCTATCAATTTCGGCATCTTCAAGCACCCTGGCTCTGGCCAGGCTCCTACCCCAAACCTTCCATCATCTACCTTCGAGCCACCGCCCACCCCAAGCGTTCGTCCCGAAGATGCGCTCCAGGAAGCTCATTTATCTAAGAACTCATCATCCACCGCAACCGAGAAGCTGAAGAGTATAGGACTCAAGCCAGTGTCTTGGTATGGAACATGCGAAGCGAACAGAGTATCGACAGGAACATATGACGTACCCCAAAACGAAGGGGCGATGTACGCTCTGGTCTTCGATAATACCTTTGCCAAATCATTCGCCAAGTCGGCAACTTTCGTCTTGTTAACATACCCCACCGGTTCTCCTCCACAGTCGAATTCCCACATACATCACGTACAAGGGGGATCTGCCGAGAGCGTGACAAGCCTTAAAGATACCTCGAACGCTAGGAAAGTACCTATGAAGCGCGAGTCCTCGGGTCCTGCCACCCAGAATGGCTCGTCCAATTCAGCAGCCCAGCAAGGTTCAGACGAGTGTAAATACAAACGTCAGCGAGAAGGTCACAGCGGATCAGGCTCAAACTTCTTCACTGGAGTGCTGCAGAAGAAACGCCGTAAGAAGAACCAGGGTTGGGCGCGCAGATTTTTCTCTCTGGACTACACATCCTCTACTCTCTCGTACTACCAGAATCGCAGAACACAGGCAGTGAGAGGGGCAGTGCCTTTGTCGATGGCTGCAATAGGAGCCAACGCCAAGACCAGACAGATCAGTATCGATTCAGGAGCCGAAATATGGCACCTCAAGGCTGGTAACCAAAAAGACTTCGACGCATGGAAACGGGCCTTGGAGCTTGCAAGATCATGTGCAAGTCCCACCACGCCGGCGTCTGCAACACGATTAGATATGGATGGGAGAAGTACATCAGCCGCGCGCACCAGTCCAGAGGAAGAACGGCATTGGGCGAAGGTCGAAGATCTGGTGGCTAAAGTAAGAGAATCGCGAGACGCTGCCAAATCATTGGCCATAGATACGGATCCGAAGTACCTACCCCAGACTCAGACGCACACGCCTATTGATCCAGCACTTGGCCGAGTAGACTCGGCCCCAATCTCCGCAGCGTCGAGTACCAGTGGAAGCCCTGCCGAACAGAGCTTGCCTAGTGGGTATTTTGCCGAGGGCGATCGGAGGCCTTTCTGGAAACGCAAGCCAACTACTGATAAGCCAATGCCGGGAATGTATCGAAGTGTATCGGCAACGCCTTCGACGCCGTCAGTAAAAGTATCTCGTCCGACTCCAATCAGGACATCTTCTTTCGGGAAAACCCTACAGAGTCATCTGGAAGAGGAGAGTGTGCACGACCGATGCTTATCACTTCTCCGCGATCTTGATTCGATCGTGGCAAATTTTAGCCGTCTCATCGCAGAGACCAAGCAGCGCCGCGCGCCAGTGATCCCTCCTACCACCTCTCGACAGAGCATAGACACCCAAGGGGATGATGAGTTCTTCGACGCCGAAGGAGGCAATGTTTCGCTATTGCTGGATATCCATCATGAAACTGAAGAGGAAGGCGAAGAGGCAGACCGTGGTTTTGCCACCGACGAAGACTCGGCCTCTGCCAGCGATGTCGATGAGCCTACCGTCCCAGGCCAGCACAGCGCAGAATCGGGGAAAGCTACACCAGCATTCCCTTCAAAACCAAAGTCTTTAACACCTCTCCCAGCGCAGTGGGTCAAGCGTAGAAATGCCGTAACTGCTCCTACCGGCACTCCACCCAGCCTGGTCTCCTTCATGCGCAAAAATGTTGGCAAAGACCTTTCCACGATATCAATGCCAGTCACCGCAAATGAACCGATATCCGCTCTTCAACGCTTCGCTGAAGTTGTCGAGTACTCCACTCTCTTAGACGACGCTGCAAACAAGCCTAGATCGAGTATCGAACGTCTGATCTACGTAACAGCTTTCGCCGTCTCGAATCTTTCCAGTATCCGTGTCAAAGAACGTGCTATCCGCAAACCCTTCAATCCTATGCTTGGTGAAACGTTCGAGCTTGTACGCGAAGATCGTGGATTACGATTTCTCGCAGAGAAGGTCTCCCATCGCCCGGTGCGCATGGCTTACCAAGCCGAGAGCGAACATTGGACGCTCACTCAGTCTCCCTTACCTACACAGAAGTTCTGGGGCAAATCCGCAGAGCTGATCACAGAGGGTAAGGTTCGTGTCATCTTGCATTCAACGGGCGACAGATTCAGCTGGGCCCCTGGATCGAGCTTTCTCCGCAACATTATTGCAGGCGAGAAATACGTTGAGCCTGTAGGAAACATGACCATTGTCAACGAAGCTACGGGGGAAAAAGCAGTCATTACTTTCAAAACCAAGGGCATGTTCTCCGGCCGCAGTGAGGATGTCGCTGTCCAGACCTACGATTCCTATGGCGACGAGCAACCTCTTGGCTTGGTTGGAAAGTGGACTTCTTCCCTGACCGCCACAGAGAATGGCAACTCTAGGACGAGTGAACCTCCGATCTGGAGTGCTGCTGAGCTAGTTCCGGACGCCGCAAAACGCTATGGTTTCACCACTTTCGCTGCATCCCTGAACGAGATCACGCCCATTGAGAAGGGGAAATTGCCGCCTACTGATAGCAGACTTCGACCAGATCAGCGTGCAGCTGAAGATGGCGACTTCGATGAAGCTGAGGTGCTGAAGGGAAAGCTGGAAGAAGCGCAGAGAAAGAGGAGGAGGACCATGGAGGATGAGGGTAGTTCTTGGACGCCCAAATGGTTTGAAAAGGTTGAGGGTGGCGATGGGAGTGGAGAGGAGGTGTGGGTTGCGAGGGCTGGGCAGGACGATTATTGGGAGAAGCGAAAGAACAGTGAATGGGAAGAGGTAGAGAAGATTTTCGATTTGTGACGCCCCAACTTGGCTTTGATGGAGCATGTAAGATAACATTACAGTGACGTGTAATAAAATGTCACTCTTTGTCAAATTTTCTCGACCTACGCTTGCCTCTCTTCTAAAGTAGGAGCAGTAGCAGCGGGGTGGTAAAAACCGGAAGCAGAAAGAAGATTGACGACATCGCACTCTGCAAGAACTGCGAATAATCTCAGGCTCGCTTTCCCACCTCGTCTGACGCTCGAAACTCAGCCCTCCGACGATGATTCCCACTGGAAGGAACTCCCCGCCGCATCCCCGTGAAGGGCCGAACGAGGGGACACGGATGGATTTTTCTTCTTCGGAGACACGAAGACCACGATACCCACTTCCGGCCAAGCGACGCGACCCACCCATACCGATCGACTCGGAAAATCTCAGGCCACTCCATTCCAATCCGCGCCCCCTCCCCTTACGATGATGAATCCCGGTGAAAGAAAGAAAGAAAGAAAGAAAGAGGGAGGTTCATTTACCCCGTTTGACAGATCGACTCGTTGTCGCATCCCTACGCGGCGGGGTTTGCCGCGGTGCGGGGAGGCGGGGCGGGTTGTGTGTCGGGAAGGGATGGGGAAGAGAGGAGGGGGATGGATTGCAAGTTCTCGAGGAGCAAGTTCCTTCTCTTTTTATTTTGGCGGGGTTTGGTGGGTGGGAAGTAAGACAGATGGGCGCTTTCTGTTAAGAGATCTTGGATCGAGAAGATTGAACGCGTGGATAGCCACCCTTGCAGGTATGATGGCGATGGTTCTTGGAGACGAGCGTCGCCTTTTTCTGGCTACGCGCCTGGATCGAGGATGGGAACTTCCCCGAGGCGTAGGTTTCCAACATCGTTCTTGCAGCTTGATCGGGTTGTACTCGTATACGCATCTACAGACTATCTGCGGGAAGGCCTGTTCGTTGATAGTCTCAGGAATGCACACCGACAGTCAAAACCAACTCAAGCATAAACAAGGAGCAGCTGTACGATATGATCATGACCGCCACTCGACGCCGCTCTCAAAGTGTGCCCGTCGACATCGGCGCCTCGATCGAGCAACATCCGCACGATCCGTTCATGACCCCTCCGGGACGCCGCCTGCAGAGCGTTCCAATAGCGGCCGCATTGAGCGTTGACGTCGGCCCCCCGGTCGAGCAACTCCCGCACGATCCCATCGTGGCCTTTGTGCGACGCCGCCTGCAGCGCGCTGCCGTAGTATCCGCCTTGGGCGTTGACGTCGGCGCCGCGATCGAGCAATACGTGCACGATATTATCGTGACCTTCGGAAGACGCCACTTGCAGAGCGGGCTCGTTGGATGTGCCTTGAGCGTTGACATCGGCGCCTTGGTCCAGCAGTAGCAGCACGGTATGGCCGTGACCTTTCGACGACGCCGCTTGCAGAGCGTTGCCGTAATCTTCACTTTGGGAGTTGATCTCGGCTCCGTTGTCAAGGAGCAGCTGCACGATATGGTCATGGCCTTCATAAGACGCCGCTGCCAGAGCGTTCTCATGATGTCTGTCTCGAGCGTTGACGTGAGCTCCTTTGTCAAGAAGCAGCCGCGCCAGGTGATAGTGGCCTTCCCTCGCGGCAATGGACAGCAAAGAAAACTTGGCGTTTTTGGATGTTTGGCATTGGTTCCAGTCTGTTGAGGACAGCTCAGGGCCTTCCAAGAAGGATAGAATCCCAAAAGCAGATGCTGCAGCGAGAATTGTATCTGGTCGAGATGCTGCGACAAGTATTCTATAGCCCAGGCGATCATCCCAGTCTAGCCCCAACCTTTTGTTCACATTCCACCCTCTGAGATCTCCATATTTACAACGAATGTCAGATATCCACTGCACGTATGGGAGCGACCTTCCTTCGACTCCCCCTGTAAATCGCGATACCCTTGTCTCCAGCCCATTGGATCTATGCTTCCCGACATTCTTGTAATGTACTGGCCAGTACACTTCTGCATAGGGCTTAAGAGCGTCATTCTGCCGCTCCATCTTTCGAGCGATGGAACCATGCAGCGAATCAGTCAGATACACATCTAGGCATCTCTCTGTAACAAGCGCATGCTGTTCCGTAGCCGTGTAATGTGGCCGCTTCAGGAGGTACTCGCGAACGGATTGGTGCGCGAAGCGGAAAATAGCTTGCTCAGAATCAAAGACAACCAGGTTGCGGCAAAGCCGAAGAATGTCATTTTCGGGCGATTGCAATTGCTCGTTTTCAGACTCAGAACCTTCATCCGAATCCGAAGACATGTCCTCGTCGACTTTATACACCGCGGCAATGAGCTCCTCAGCAGATAACAGGCGCTGGGCACATAGCAACCATTTCAGTGTCTGAACTGCTACATCCCGTCCGTGTGTCTCGGTCTGGTCTATCTGCGCGTAGATAATATCGTACAGGCCGGAAAGCTCCGACGGGAGCTGGCCAAGGGCTTTCTTGAAGTCTGGGAGGAACTTGATCCTCTTTAGGGCCTCTAGCGACATTTCCACCCACCTAAACATCCCTTGAGCACCGTCGATGAGAGTCTCGATCATCTTGCGTTTGAAGTTTGGGGACACCTTGCCGTCCAAAAGAAGTCGCTTCGAGATCAGACGATCTACTTCTGATTGGACAAAGCGCGCGATATCGCTGGTGTTATTCTCCACGCTGATTGAGATATTTTTGGATCCTTCCAGATGCAATTTCTAGAGAAATGGTGTTTGTTAGCAGGCACGTCTCAGCTCGAATCTATAGACATTCATGTATGTCTATATTCAGAGCCAAAGACATAATGTCACAAGGACACTACTCACGATATCAATGTCACCGCGACTAGAAACAAACACTTTCACAACTTCCGCAGAATTGCTAATGATCTCGTCCAAGGCTTCCAAAAGCTCGTGACGTTTATTTTCTTCACATTCGTCGAGAGCATCAATGATGATTGTTGCCGGGTGAATCTTGGTGAGTTCAATGATCAACCTGGTGCAGTCCTGTACTGTCAACTTCTTGAGCGCGGAACAATCCTCTTCAGCCTTATTCCTCCGGGCTTCATACTCTTTTGCAACAGGTTCCTTGACGGGCAGATCTGGTTTGGAGCTGGCAAGCTGTCTTAGTACGGCACCCATGATCTCAGCAGGCTTGGCGCGTTCTGGCTCCGCGGTGCTTCTTGCGCAGTAGAAAAAGGCAATAGAAGAGTCCGAGTTTGCATCAAACACAGTGTTGATGACGGTCGCTCTGATCCAGGGCCTCAAACTCAGCATGTGCGGCACTGCTAATAGTGAAAAAAATACCACAAGTCCTCCAAAGGAATTATGTTGGATTGAGCTTTAGGAAACCAACAGCTTACACGAGTCTAGTCTTCCCCGAACCAGCTGTGCTTAGATTAGTCACAGGTAAATAGTACTGTAAGAAGGGCACTTACGTATTCCGTGGAGCCAGAGTATGGAGGACACGCTCGACTGTCCCCACTCAATGAAATGCTGGTTCTCGAGTAACCATTTGCCGGATTCGTCTAGTAAGCCTTTCGATAGATCCTCATGATGGCTTCTGTATTGGATTGCGGACATCCAGCGGAAGACTTCTAACCGCTCTTCTCCTGGCAAGAGCTCAGTATTACTGGCTGAAGTATTCAAGTGAAGAAGAAGCTACTATTAAACTTATCCTGAATTATAGATATTTGATCGCTCATCTGCACCATAGGCTTGTTGAGTCCTATCAATGTGTCCCCGAGTATCCGATCACGTGTAGTGGTGTCTTCTCTCATTGCCCGTTGCACTATCATATGATGAGCCAAGTTCGACGTGGTTGGGAAGAGGACATGCTCACGCTCCACATCGACCAACTTTGTCCATTTCTCGACCTCAGTCTCCGAGATCTTCGCCCGCAATTCGTCATTCTGCTTGCGTATCGCCTCTATTAAGCTTCGGCCAAATCTTTCTGAGATCATGGATCAGTATAGAACTCCTTGTCTCTCGTGGATTCATGCGTTCTTGGACTGCTATGGTCACATACTCCAAGCATTTCCAGTACAGTAAACCTTGACTTTTGCCAAGTAGGTAAGTATAGCTGCGTAGAGCTTCGTGATGGCTTCGAGAAGTCCTAATTCCGCGTCGCAGTTTTGGTATAGATAAAGCTTTTCAACTATAGTGTACCGCGTGATAAGGCTAGAAACGGACTCAATTCCTTCCACAACGTTGCTTAACTCATCGATATCTGAAAATCCGATCTATGCTCTTCAGCATCAGCAGATCTTGAGCTCTGTGGTATGTCACCCTACCGTGGTGAGATATCTCACGGTTGCCCACGGCAAAGCGGCGTAGCCACTCTGATCAAACAAAACTCCCATGTCAATGATCTTGATGAATTCCTTGACCCATATGGAGATCTTTTCAAGGACATGTCGGAGCTTGACCTCTTCACCATTCTTGTTACGATAAAGCCTCCAGCCTTTTGAGAGACAATCATTCTTTCTGCTTTCTGTAGCTTCCTGAACCTTGTCGACGGAGCACAGATCAGCACGTTAGACGTGGGTTTCATAAGCCACGGAAGCGCTGTTCGCTCGCTTTATGGAGAATCGTTAACGTACGTTCTTCAGAACTTCAAGCATACTCGATGAAGGATCTTTAAACTGCTTTCGATCCTCGGCACTAAGAGTAGTCAAAGCTTGCTCCCACAAGTCTATGTTTGCGGCATTGTTGGCGCTAGATGTCGAGAGTTCCGGAACAAGAATAGGCGCTATCGAAGACATTGTGATGGACGTCGGCGCAGGTGATGATCATCTGTCTGTCCAGGACTACTGTTATTGCAGTGGCGCCGAGATGGAAGTGAGTGAGCAAAGGTAGCCAGCAGATTGAGTCCTCCTAGCGTGTTTAGGTCGCTGGCCGCGGGGTTCGAGCCGAAATTATTCCGTTGGACAGCTTAGTGCCTCCACCATGGGATAACCAAGTTACCTCTCGATAGTCTAACATTGTATAAGCCGATCTGTTTGATCGCACTCTTAAATTGGTCTTTCCTGCTCTACCGTAGAGCATGTTGTTAAGGAGGTGGGAAAAGGGTGGATATCCTAAAGGTCTCGTCCTTTCCATTTTGGCACACTGTTGTTTTTCCTTCGGTAACAGGACCATCATTTAGGGCTCATTCGGTCACAACCGTCACCCTTTCAGAGAGAGAGAGAGAGCCTATTGAGACCGACCAAATTCTATACAAGACTCTTGCTACATCCTCTTACTTCGATATGGCAGAGACGCTGACCTTTCTCGACGAAGACGTTCCGATAGCCGACAGGGATTGGTCTCGTAGGTGTTTCGTAGTTGTCCAACCCTTTGAGCTTTTGCGTAACGGGGGTAAGATGTTTATCTCCTCATACAGCGATCCTCAAAACATACGATCTACCGCTCAAAGTTCCTTCCTGGTAAACTGCGGCGAATACGAGACATGTCGCCCAATCACTCGGAGGTCCGAACATGTCACCAAGTTATCCAGAGGCTTCTGAACTATCTAGGAGAGTAGGAATCTACACTGTGAGATCTCTTGGCTCGGCTGAATACTGTGTACACAACCAGACATATTGGTAGCCGGCACCACGTACTAGTACAGGTAGATCTCTAGCCAGCATGTTGACAAACGAGCCGATAGCAATGTCTAAGATGGATATTGGTCTGGAAAAACTTTGCGAACGGTGTCTCTTGAGAGTCATATATTACATTTATCCAGGCTCAAACACTCAGATCCCACTGGAGCGCCAAGAAGAAGACCCTTGTGGTCAGCGGTGCAGGTACTTCGGTCGGTACCGGCAGTGGGTTCTTCTTTCCCTTTCAGAACCTATAAAATTCGACAGCGACTCCGGCTTCCGGATTGGGGAAGACCAGGATGACTGTCCAGATGGTACCTTCCGCTCATCTGTTCTGGATTTCGCTGTGACTGTCGAGCTTCCAGGTTAGTTCTTGCCCGGCTGTCCAGCAAGTCAGAAGCTTTATGGGGGAAGGAGTCCATCGTGTAGATGATGACGGCAGAGGCCCAAGGTTGGAGCATGGCTAGTGAGTATCAGGTCTCGCAAGTACGGATGGCTTGAAGGATATGCAGTCACATGACCGGGTGGAGTGCCCTGACAAATGCAGCGGGGAAGCTACTGTCTCTTGCAGAGTAATGTTGTACGATACTTCACTGCTCTGCTTAAGTGGCGTTATAGCATAGAGCATAGGAAACATCGTCTCACGAATCAGTGTCGTATGGTTGCGGTAGGAGAATCATGATTTGAGGCATTCCGCAAAATGATAATTCAACAGCTATACGTGGTACCCTTGAACTGTCGACGAAACGATTGTAGTAGTATTCGAGGAGAACATCTTGTATACAGAAAGCTTTATGTTTAGACCACTGATGATTGGGTTGTTTATGTTAAGACTGATAGAAAGGGCGTTCAATCTTCGATTTTGCCGGGGCTCTCATTCGGATCGATTTTTTCATACTAGCAGGGCGAAATAGGCTGAAGCAAGTGCTGGGAAGGTCCTAAAGCCCCCTCCTTGCTGCACAACATGCAACATCATCAATTGCGCAGTTCATGCACATTTACGCTTGCCTCGGGTCGAAGAAAAAAGAACGGAACGCGAAAAAAGGGCCGGCGATAATCGCAAGAATTACAACGTCTTTCTTGCCAATCCTTACTGTATAATTTGACAGCGGGAGTCTTCAAAACGAGCTTTCACTTTACAGGGTGGTCTAATTTACTAATAGCACAATTCTCAAAATGAAAGTCTGGGTGTGCATGGGGCCCTCTTGAATCGATCGATAAGTTACCTGTTCGACTCCAAAGGTCTGCCTCCGTCCGGTCTATTTTTATACCTCTGGGCTTGCATAAGGCTGTGAGCCGATTCTGCATCTTCAATCCCTTCAGGACTGCATATGCAACGTTGATCTTTCAGCCTCTGGATGCAGGAAGCCGGACTATCTTCTTGCTTGGGCCAATGTGGTGTACGGTAGGTATACATCTCCTTGTCTCGTCCGTCCTATCCGCAGACAATCATCTTCCTTTCTTTTACATCTTGAAGGGTGCATAGCCTCGTTTGGTACCTTTCGCAATCGTCACTGTTGCTGTCATCATGCTTTCATTCGTTCTTGCAGCCGCGCTCGCCCTCGCCCAGCCAACTTTGTCCCTACAATCCGAGGAGACTCTCCATCCGGGTAGTCCGGCTCCCGGCCAACCTAAAGCCAATAAACGGAGGGCCCAATACTTTCTACATATCATCAATTGATGACCCCATGACATCTGTTTGCACGCACGGGAAGCATTGGGACTGATGCTCTCCCTTATTCGGGGAGTGTAAGGAGTGGTAGGTTTCTGCCAAAATCTAGGTGAGTGCTCTATTCTCTGGCAGTCAGCGCCGGGATGTTGGCGCTGGACGTTCCGCTTGCTTCGACCGCGAGTCAGTGACGCCTTTTTCGTTTCGTACTCTCTGTTCATTGTTCTTGTAAGGACTATGCATGCACTGCGCAATGTATGGGGGGGAGAATCATGAAGGATTGCAAAATTTGTTTTGATGGTGTTTCATACCATTCAGCTAAGGACGGCAAGTACTCGCAAAATGAGCCTGGGAATTGTTGGCACTAGAGCAGGCTAGGCAGACGTTCCATGCGCATTAGCTGAACGTGGACTTGCCGCTAAAGTTCCTTCAAGGTTCCTGCATAAACATGCAGCCTATCAAGTGTCGGCCCAGCCGCTTGGATTTTAGGGATTTTCATTGGACATCTAGAACGCTAACAGTCCCGTCTTAAATCGTCGGCGTGTTTCTACGAAGGATCTCTGCATCTTCAAGCATCTCAGAGTTCAGGACTGCATATGTAATATGTAATCTTGATCTTTCAGCCTCTGCAAGACTGGATGCAGTAAGCCGGATGGATTGTGTCTTACTTGAGCCCATGCATATCCCCTCATTCCCTTCATTCTTTTCGACATTCACTGCTGGATAACCGTGCATATATCGATCGCATTCATTTCTAACATTTCGCAATCTTCACTGTCGCTATCATCATCATCATCATCATCATCATGCTCTCCTTCATTATTGCAGCTGCTCTCGCCCTGCCCTTCCATGGAGCATCAGCAGCTCCTCAGAGTGCGTTTAGCACGCTTCCCTTGTCCTATCTTACCACTGACTTTTTCAGCATTCTCACCCAATTCCACCGCAATATTTCCGTCAGGGCCAGCGGTAACCAAAGCACCAACAGGGAACTGTTCCAACAACTGTGCCTATCCTCAGATAGATCTAGGCTTCATAACATGGTCCCAGATGTCCATTACCGCGACTTATACAGCAGCAACCGTGGTACTCATTGTGAACAAGAGAAATAACAGTACTCGAACGACTACCATCTCCAATACGGAAATCGATTTCGGAAAAATCGCTACGCCTACTAATTTAAACAGCGACGGCACAGTGACGGCATCCGTGGTTGATAACGACGGGAGCACTCGTGTCATGTGAGTAATGGTTGGACTGCTTTATACACACTATGTGACCTAACGTTATTCTCTTCAAGCGCGTACCCCACGAGTATCTACTCTGATTACGCCCCAAACATAACATGGACCGGGACTCTCTCCACCACCGTTAGCGGCACCCCAACATGCTCAATAGCTCCTACCGGCGCAGTAGCCGTCTTCCCATCGCATCCCCTGCTCCCCGAAGGCGTACAGGCGACAGGTGTCAACACGATCGAGGATCCACGGGGTTGGACGTTTGTTCCTATGGGGGACCGGACGTGTGGAGACACGGGGGACCTGATCGAGGATTTCTTTCCGGGCCTGGGTGTCTGGAACTGCGAGGCGTCAGGTGATTGTGTGGGACCGATAGGAGCGTTGCAGACAGCGTTATATCTCACAAAGACTTCGACATCGACGGAGCCGGATACCGGGCCAACCCCGCCGCCGGCGCCAGCGTCAAGCACGCAGCAACCGGTGGCCCAACCGGAGAAGACAGCACCCGCCGAAACACCTACATCAAACGCACCTCCGGCAGAAACACCTTCTTCCACGGAGACACCCCCTCCGGAAGCTTCCCCCACGGAAACACCTCCAGTGGCGCCCCCCCCACCACCCGCGTCCACGAGCATCGTCATCACCCCCTCCCCAGGCCCCGCCCCGACCGCCCCGGTAGCGATCCCAGTACCCGTCACCTCGACGGATGCAAAAGGCCGCATCACAATCTCCACCAGCACCGCCGTCGCCCACCCCATCGTCCTCACCACCACCAACGCCCAAGGCCGCCCCGTCCCCACGACCAGCCTCTCCACCGCCTCCATCTCCGCCTCCGTCCCCCTCGTCCTCACCTCCACCAACGCCCACGGCACCATCCTCTCCTCAACGACCCACCTCCCCGCCATAATCCTCACCGCCACCGACGCCGCCGGCTCCGAATCCCTCACCACCTCCGCCCTCACCCCACCCCTCCCCCTCCCCATCACCGTCGGCGCCGAAACCATCACCCCGAACCCGCAGTCCCAATACCTCATCTCGGGCCAAACCCTCTCCCCCGGCTCCTCCATCACCCTCGGCGCCGGCCCCGCCGCCACGGTCCTCACCCTCCAAACATCCGGCCCCTCCGCCCCCGCCCTCGTCTACGGCCCCCGCACCTCCCCCCTCCCCTCCCCCGCCCTCCTGACCATCGGCGCCGACACCGTCACCCCGAACCCGCACTCGCAGTACCTCATCTCGGGCTCCACCCTCGCCGTCGGCTCGCCCGTGACGATCGGCGCCGGGACCGTGCTCGCGCTGCAGACATCGGGCGCCGCAACGGCGCTCGTCTACGCGGCCCGCACGTCCGTGTTGACCCCGACGGCGCTCGCGTTCCCGCCCGCCATCGTGCTGGGGTCGGAGACCATCACGGCGAACGGCCGGACGCAGTATGTGGTCGGGTCGCAGACGCTGACGGCGGGCGGGGCGGTGACGGTGGGCGGGACGAGGGTGAGTCTGGCGGCGGGCGGGAGCGACGTCGTGGTCGGGTCGAGCACGGAGGCTTTGGCGCCGTATATCACGGCCGGGTTTGGGGCGGGGGCGAACGGGACGACGCCGTCGGCGTTTACGGGGGGTGCGGAGGGGAGGGGTGGGCGGGGTTGGGGGCCGTGGTGTGGGTGTGGATGGGCTGTTTTTGGGTATGTACTTCAAGTAATCTTTGTATAAAAGTGTGTATATATATATATGTATATGTAAAACCTACCGTCAACACGTCGATGGCAAATTCCCACCAGCAGTCACACAAACCCTCACCTCACCTCACCTCACCTCACCCCCCCTCCCCAACCGCCCGCGTCCCCACCTCCGCCCGCCAAACCTTCACCAACCCCAACCCCACAGACTCAAACAAACCCCGCCAATCCGCCTCGCTCCGCTCACGTCAACACCGTCAGATCCATCCAGTAGCGGTACAGCTCCTCCTTCCGCACCCGAGGACCTCGGCGATCCGGAGTCCGGAAAAGTCGGGGCCCATAGCATCGACGTTGCGCCGCAGGATCCTTCGACACACGACGTCCCGGTCAGCGAAGCCGGCTCTCGTCATCCAACGATGTTTTCTCGTCAAAAAGGTGGGTCCGGCCTCACGGTCATCGGGCCAATCGTGCATGATCCTCCTCCGGTAATAAAACGCACGCGTTCCTCACCGGCTGCCGCGGCCAGAAACCGTGGACCGTCGGATGGATGTCCAGCTCCGGGGGCAGGTGATCCGCCGGGACGGGGTCGACGACGCGGGACGAGGTCTTGGGTTAGGATTCTGCCTGTCGGCCGGGGGGGGGGGAAGGTCTGGCGGATTTCCTTCATGGTGCCGCCTCGGGAGGCGCCGACGTCGACGACGAGGACGCGGTTTTTGCGTTGGCAGGCGGTGGAGAGGGGGGCGAGTTCGGTGTCGGAGGGGTAGATGCCGACGGCGGGGACGGTGGACCAGTTGCCCTGAGGGACGAAACGGCTCGTCAGGGCGTGGGGTACAGGGCGAGGGGGAGTGCCTACGCTGATTCCGATGGCAAATTTTCGTAACTTTTCCGGGGAGCGTCCGACCGCTTTGATCCGATCTTGGCCTTCCAGGCCGTATGTCCAGGAGTAGGGATTGTGGGTCGGGCTCGATGGCGACTCCAGCGGATGAGATTTGAAATACTCTGGCAAGCGAGAACATGGCGTGCAGCATATCGTCCATCCTTGCAAGGTAGAGTACTCGGAGTCAGACAGACGCAAAAGCGGAGATGACATAGAGAAAGGATGCGGGAATGCGGAGAAAGGTGTACGTGACGATGAAGACATCTCCGTGCCTTACATGACTTCGAAGAAGTATGCATATCCCGGTTCCGGAAAATTGATCGAGCGGATCGGATGAGCGTATTCGTCTTGCTCGACTTCATCCAACGTGCCGTCTGCGACGAGCATACGCATCATTCGGACGAGAGTCAAAGTCAACGGTGACCAATTCTTCACCACAGCTGTTCACGTAAAGACATACTAATCCAAGTCTTTTCAGACCCCACTTCCGCAGCCAGCGTCGCAGCCGTAATGCTTCCTTTCCTCGGAATCTTTTCAAATGCGCCGATTGCCATGGTGAAGCGCAACGCGTGCGCTGCATAGACCTTAAACACAATTGTAGGTCAGCTCGCAAGTGCGAAGGACAGAACCGTCAGAGTTGACACCCCATACCTGCGCAATGCGAGCAAAGAAAGCATCGTCTCCATCCTGAAGTTCGGTAACGAGGTTTTTGGCATCACGGAGCGCTTTTACCCTAGCTACGCGGTCCGAAGGATTCTCAAGATAATTATTGACTGTTAATTGCGAATCGGCGGCGATGCTGCGAAGTCCTTGTAGGTTTGGCGAATTCATTGCTGACCGAAAGGGTCTGATGAGTATAGACTACTTATACAGTATGTCCCCACGTTCGAGGGATGAGTCTAGGATGATGCCGGTTCTGCACGATGATGTGATGTAGGTAGGCTAGCCGCTATCTGCTGACACTTATCGCTGGGCAACCACTGCGAGGTGTTATCTTTGTCACATTTTGCTACATCTAGTCATACCAAATTGGCTACATACATTAGAATATCATGATCAAAGGGGGGATAGCATTCAGCCTCTCTCAAGCTAGTTCTAGCCCTCAGAGTATAGCGAGTCAAGCCTGTCAGAAGCTTCACTTGAATGCCAGTGACATGAAGCCTAACCTTGACAAAGCCTCTCTCTCTACTGCCCGAGTTGATACAAGCAACTCTGCTACATTTGATGGTAGCTCGTCAGCAAAGTGCTAAGTGACCGATATCTTCAATGAGACAGGTTAGACAGGGACTGAAAATTCTCCGGTTAAGGTGATGGCGGGTGCAAGGATGTATATCCCGAGTGCATTTGTGGGGAAAGCTGCAAAGTCGGCATCCGGATGCGAGGGAGAATCTCATCATGAGTGTCGTGCTGCTGGCCACCGTCTGTCTGAGCCTCTGGTCCGTCACCATCTAATCGCTCCGGAGTTCGGCTATCGCGAGAGGACCCCTCATGTTGTAATTCCTCCATCAGAGGCCCAGTGCTTGACCGTCTGCGAGACTGGTCGTTGAGTGCTTGATTGGCCGCCCCGTCTGCGTTATTTGGCTTTGCATTCCAATCCCAAATCAACGTCTTATTAAATGCCGTCGGTTCCCGTCCTGTGGCGCTTTGCCATGGGATACGAACAACTTTCCAGATTAGGAGCAGGATCTTGTCCCATAAGCCGAGTAGCAATCGAATCCAGTAGGTGTATTTCTTGAACCGTCTAGTAAATCTAATCCCTTCAGACGCGTTCCCAAAGTCCTCCGTGGCGAGATGGCTTTGAGTGCAAAATTCCGCAACAATGTAGGCAAGGCCCACGACCAATACAGCGCACGAGAGTGAGGTGCCGACACCCCAGTAGTATGTGACGCCATGTTCACGGTAAAAATCGACGTTTTCAAAATCGGTATATCCCTAGTGCCAGATGTCAGGAAACTTCTGGAAATTTTGGAAATGCTAGACAATCTCGTACTCCGCCTGAGGCCCAGATGCTCGATATGCAATCGCAAGTTACATAGGATCCGACACTTCCAAGTACTTAGCCTCAGTCTACCACATTATACTTCCAACACTTACGTTTGAGCAAAGACAATATAGGCCAGCCTAAATGATTTTGGACTTAGAACGTCTCTTCAGGATAAAGTTTGGGTGGTGAAAGAGGTCAGGGAGCCTCTCAATCCTGCGCAGAATGGATTGGGGAATCAAGGCTTGCAGAATGTGACTCACCATATCGAATTTCCTACTTCTATGACCCGTAAGAGCATATCAACGTGATCTGTCCACCTCGATTTCTCCCACCAGTCGAGCATCCTTTTGACCTTTGTCCTTCCTGCTTTCGTGAATCGGCCAGTGTTTGCGCGGTTGAGTGTCCGATCGAAGTGACACAGCAGCGTAGAGACAGGATCCTGGGGCGTGTGATCACTGATCCACCACACCCAACGCCGATACTCTATGTAGCCAGGCCGAAATCCCCAACAGAGCATCTCGACTAGGAATAGAGTCATTGTTGTGACAACATAGATCATATAGCCGCCAGATCTGCAGCCGAGACCGACTGTCGGTGTGTAGTCTGCCTGTGGTTAGTAGAGAGGTTCAGGAGGTGAAACAAAAATTGTACATGACAAGATGAAGGCGCCTCCAGCTGAAGTGCAAACTACGCAAATGGAGCTCGCGATTTGCCGAATCATTCGAGGGTCAAACCAAATCAATCGATGGTCTTCGTCTCTGTGATCACGCATCTAGATTACAGTTTCGCAGTCAGCATTGCCTACCTGAGGGGTATATCGAGCCTCGGAACATGTTTCTGGAGTCACAACTCCCAGGACGTCTTTCGAGACTCAAGATCTGGTCCAAAAGAGGGAACTTGAACGGGGAAGATACGTACAAAAGTCCTTGCTCTGTTGGCGTTATGCTCGGGCAGCCAGCCTCTTCCATCCTCAGCCATGAACTTATCCTCGAAACTACACAAGAGAGGATGGGCAACTCCGTAGTGCCATCTAATTCTCCCCTGACCAGCAAAGTCTGTAAAGAAGTCCTCGAAACTGTCGTCTCCTAAGAGTCTGATCCAATGAAAAAATTCTGGGGGGCGGTGAATCCGTTTCCTATAGGTCTCTCGAAGTTCATCATCGATGAGAGCGCTGCGTACAGATGCCAGGAGACGATTCAGCTTCACGCGGATCCGGCCTGCCGCCACAGCGTTACGATCTACAACACATGACAAGATGAATATCGGCAGAAAAGCTAGAAGCAGCCCCAGCGCAAGGTCGTGAGCGGCCTGGTTTGTTCCTATGTTTCCAAATGCAGACTGAATTGATATTGCCATGGCGAGGAGAAACCATAAGGTGGACACAAACACTGGAATCACTCCTTTCTTGCGGAAAACCCTTATGGTTCCAGCAAGTTTCTTCCGCTGGTCCGTGAGGCTAGCTTCGGTGGTCATTGGTAGCTCGTCACTGAAAAGTGCAATACGCAGAAGTTTCTCAGCTGCAATCATAGTTTCGTCCCGGCCGACTAGGTCCCGCCTGATCAGATCTGCAAGGTACGTCCGATCAGTATAGAACCAATTCTTGGGCGATAGCGGAACTTGCACTGGTTCATGACGCTCAGTATGTACAACGAGTCCCGCATTTGAGCAAACTGAGAGTCTTCACCCGGGAACTCATCGTATGGTGTAGCCATGTCCACCATCATGGCACATTTGCCGGTGATTTTGATGTTCCACAAGACGTAGGAGATGCTAGCGATTGGGTTGCCAATCCAACGTGCGAGCGCCAGGAAGCTTTTGAAATTCTCGTTGCTTTCGAAGGGGGCCTGTAGAATTAGTCCAACGACCGGCAGTACCTTCATCTGCGTAAGCCACTGATTGCACTCGGTATGGCAAGAATCTTACCCAGGTGGTGATAGTGGAGCTCACATCAACCCAAGCGTAGTAGTCTGAGCCTTCGCCGCAAAGATTTCTGCAACCTTGAACAGTTATAAGTGGTGGTGGGGGGACGACATGTTCCAGAATGCCTCTGATGGTTCCGTTGTATGCATAGTTGGGGTATTTGTACGTATAATTGCCGGGGTAGGTGCCGTTCACGAACTCGACGCCGCAAGCCGCGAGATTGAGTCTCATCTTGGACAAACGGTATGGGAAGTGACGGTCAAGTAGAGATACGGTGTAGTAGAAACAAGACGGCCTTAGGGGAAGATGAATATAAGGAAATTATAGAGGGCGCGCGTTCATCGACGGGTAAAATGCGGCTCTGTCAGACGGATATGCCAAGTCATGCAGGATGCAGCCTTATGCCAACTCAGATTGGAAGGTAGAGAGTTTTCAGCTGAAGTTGGAAGCGGCCGCCTGCACGGCGCCCGTGTCTGGTTAACCTCAGAATCATGTATGAAGAAATACATTTGTAGGAATCAGCCTCGACTCTCGGATATGTTCCACTCACAGGTCGGCATCAGCGTCTCAATAAGTTGATGACTTGAAGAGGATACGATGGAAAAATGGTGGGAGGAGTAGCATAAAGAAACGATGATGCGATTGGATGACGGGTATTTGCCAAGACTTCTTGGCCCTGCAAGGCGGGTGCACTCGTCAGCAGAGATAAGGTATCTTCTGGCGGCGTCAATATCCTGCGTAACATCTAGGATCCATCCCTTCTCCTTCACATCGACGAGTAGCACAAAACGTGAAGCGTATCACAGCACGTGTCCTGGGTATCAATCACCACCCTAAAACGATACCTTATCGCCGCATCTGTCTTTGAGTCTAAGTCTCTGCGCTGCAGCTCTAACGCCGCCCTTCCAAATATCTGTCAACGAAAGCGGGATAGTCACGATACAAGCTGTCGTGTGGCTCCCAAGCTCTACTCCCATTGTTCCAATGCACGTGATATTCTGTCCCACTGTTTAGACGCTGTCTGGAGATGATCCACAAGGGCCGACGAGGTCGAGCTATAGCCGTTGGGGCTATCGGCGGAGCTTGCATGCTGGGGATAGAGGCAGAAGTAGATCTGGGCGGTAGGTTGAGCTGCGTTGATAGGTTAACACCAAAGCGCCAAGAGCAAGGTTGAGACAGCTTACCGATCGCTGGAATAGCTCTGGCACAGGAGTTCGAAAAGACCTTGAGCCTGATGCGATTGGTGGAATCGCTGGTGGGTGTAGCGCGATGAGAGCAGGTGCTAACTGTGAGTTCGACTGTATTCCGGAATTAGCATTCCTACGCTTCAAAAAGCTCGGATAAACGTACCTCCCCCAGGTCTACTTCAGATCCAGGATCCTGAGGAGATGGTGAGCCTGATACGATTGGTAGGACCGCTGGTGGAGTTGGCGCACTCGTAGTGGGGATAGTTGTTGAGCTAAGCTGCATCGATGGTGAGTTCAAGTGTATAGATGCACGTCGTGCACTGGCGGCAGGTACTAAGGGTGGCCCGAGCTGTATGGATGGAATTGGAGCATCGGTGGCAGGTGACGTTATTGAGCCAAGTAGTATCGCTGGATCTTGAGGTGCTAGGGGTGATGAGTCGAGTAGATTCGGGCTCTGCGCACTGGTAACAGGGGCTAGTGGTGGGCCGAGCTGACTTGGCAGTGAAGCACTTGTAACGGGTGCTATTGGAGAGCTGACCTGACTTGGCATGGAAGCACTCGTAACAGATGCCACTGGAGAGCTTAGCCGCATCGAGCGTCGACCTCCGTCACTTGAAACGGGCCTTAGTGGTGAACTGATCAATGGTAGATTGAATCGCGTTGGGCTTCGCGCTCCGGCAGCAGGTGCCAATGGAGAGCTGAGTTGTAACAACCGTCGACCTCGAGCACTAGTAACAGGTGTCGATGGTGTGCTTAGCTGTATCATGGAGTTAGTATCTCACGCTTCAGGCAATCTTGGAGAAGCGTACCTCTCGCGCGTATGCTCTAGATGGAGGGCCCGGAGAAGGCGTTCGGTTTGAGGGTCTTGCAGTGGCAGAGGTCACAACCCACGCTCTCGATGGAGGTGTGGAGGCCAGCAGCTCAGGCGTAGCTTGATCCGTCGGCGCATCTGGCATCGGAGTATCGGCAATCGAGGCATCAGCTTGAGAGGCATCAGGTATTGGTGGGCTATGAGGTAGGCGGGGGTCAGGCGTAGCGGCATTCAGTATTGGCGAGTCAGGCTTCGGGTTGTACGTTCCCTCCACGATGGCTTTTATGATGGGATTCTCAGAATGCTAAATTTTTTTAGCTCGGTATCAGACCTAGGCTTCTACTGCATCACACTCACGGAGCGCCGAACCACAGCATGTCTCCACTGGGATCTTGTCCTGAGAAGTTCGCTGACCATAGCATAGTATGTGTTCGGACTCGTCAAGGGCAGCGGATCGCCTCTCTCGTATTGGCGATTGACAAGGACGTACTCCCATTGGCGAAGCGATTTCTCAAAGGAATCACCATAGAACACGTTATAGAGTCGCCAGAGGAACTTGTCATAGGACTCATCTTTCGGAACAGTCACTCGAATTGGCTGCGCTTCGTCTCCTCGACCGAGATCGTATGCCACATGGAAACTCACCTTGGGCCTCAGCTTGAAGCGGCCAACAGCTAGGTTTATATTGTCTGCTGGAGGTGTGCTTGATGTGGACATGCTGGGACCGGATGTCGTTGCGAGCGAGCGACCGGCCACTGTTGGATCCGTCGCTACAGGTGCAACGCCGTGCTTGTGTTCCAGGTGGTAGACCCATGCCCCCTTCACAACAAAGGTTTTTGAGCATCGAGGACAGTCGAAGGAGGACATTGGTGGGTGATTTGAGTTTCAACCATAGGTTGGCGACAGTCTTGATTTAAGACGTCATCTTGATGTTGAGTTATCAGCAGTCTGTTGTTGCGTCATGAAGTGGCGAATGCATATCGATTGAGAATAGGGTTGTTGTGGGTGCTAATTGTCATACCCGCCCTCAACACATCAACGGTTGTAAAGTGATATATGGCGGTAAAGTCTTGGCAAAATCAAGCAATCTTCCATTTTGCAGAAAGGATAGACAATCAGTCCTAAAAGTCACCAATATCCTCGTTAAACTATGCGGTTGTTTACCATCTTCACACTAGAAATAGAGACATGGAGTCTATCCAGTGCTCAATCTGTGCTCGGATATTCTCACGCAAATACAGCCACAACGCGCACTTCCCAAGTGTGCCGGCAAGGCTGAGAATGTTTTAACAATTGGAATCAAGCGTCCAGCGCAAGTACCGCCTATATTGAAGGGTCATCAGCTTTCGGCTTTTCAGAAGCCTAGGCAGTGATATGGTCATCCATCCCTCAAAGGGTCTAACTGGGAGCAAACTTAGAACCCAGCTCTTAGACAGACCACAACCTCAAGGCCAAGGCAGAAGATACCCCCCCCTCCCCCAAAAAACTACAGAGATCATGAAGTGTTTCAAAACCGCTTCGAGAAGGCTCGAGTAAGTCAAAGATACTGTCTTGGGCCTCTCGCTAACAGGTAGACCAGAGGCTAGGACTCCAATACCCTACGTTTTAGATGGTCTGAGGACACCTGTGATAAACATCCAGGATGGGAACAGATTCTCTTGTGGCTTCTAACGGATAGATCCATCTGCGGCCCCTGGCATCGGGGTTCGGGGACTGCAGCATGCTCAAGTAAGAGCAGCATACCAACAGCTTACCAACAGGCTTTTCTCGCTAAACAGCAATGCATTGATCCGAGGCAGGCATCCCGGCGAGAGTGCCTATCGATGGGGTGTCACCTCAGTTCCGAGTCTCTTCAGCGAGGATTTTCTTTCCCAGATCGTTAACAGCGGTGGTGGCGGTACCGTCTACAGGCACTTAGAGTACCTTGTACGATGGTGCGATGAGCGACACCAAGCATGGCAGGCGAAAGCTGAGCTTCTAGACAGGAGCGGTTACCAATGCGGATGGATGTTTATGGTGGGAGATAGCAGATGGATGATGGTGGTCGTCGTGCTTTGCGTTGTATTCCGTGCTTAGCCCTTGATCTGCAGTGGGGAATTGGCAGCAAAGGTATGCTCCTGTCAGCGATTCAATACTTCTGCAATCTTACTTCCTCTACTGTGCGGCAAGAGTGCCACATGTCATCTCTTAAGGTAGATGGGTATGGTAAGCTTTGATGATAGCAGGGCTTTCCCGAATACGCTGCGGCTCCCGATTCATCACGACAACAATGATGCCCATACATCAAGGCATCGAGCTCGACGAGTGCCTTAGCGAGTGCGTTTTGAGTTGCAGATAAAGTGTACCTTGTTCACCTACGTTAGAAGGTACCTCACCTCAAGATTATGGTGGAAGGCTCAGATTTCCCCAGCTTTGATGATGGTCAATCTCCGGTGCCTGATCTACAGGATCCGGGAGCTAATGCAAGCCCAAGCCTTCCGCCCCACCATAAGGTAGACGTTGTAGCTTACCTTCCTTACCTTACCCATGACGGTCAAGAAGTTGAATCGAAGACAGCGACTTCTTGTCTTTCTCCAGAGTCCCATCATTACCAATTATGGTATGTCGATCGATGACGGGGGTGAGGGGTCATTCATATGAATGTGAAACGGCCGGCTGCTGGACTCGGCCTAGCGACGGGTGCTTCCCGGGCCTCATCCTGGAATCCGCCCATTGACCCTGACTTCACCGTTGCCACGCTTTTTCAACGAGGGAAACACTTTATCAAGTGACTTGTGCGGGCTAAGCCTGGCTGCAAGCAGAACAGAGGCGCACAGTTGAGGAACTGTTGTCATGGTGAAGCTCCGTTACCAGATTTTCCCCCTTGAAGATCCCTGCCATCTCGCAGTAGAGTAATACTTAAATGATCATTGGCTGAACCCCGCCAGATTTGCAAGCGCTGCCGGTGCAAATTTTGTTGGTAAAAGAGGGAGCCTGCTTGCAGAAATCCGCTTCGGAGGGTTAGCCCAAGCGGCTTCATTCTAAGCGTGTCATGCCGCCCCTTCCATTTTATTCTGATACACATACGACTACATTCCAAAACCTCATTTCCTCTGCATTCTTGCCAACACTTTTATCAACATCTCGCCTCCCAACCCCGCCCTTCTCTTTTCAACCACGCTCATTTTTGTCTCTGTTTTCAACCAGTGCCTCTCGCAAGCCTCGGCCTTGCCATCACATTCATTCGTCCATATTTGACCACACCTTGCTCCAGTACCAAAGTTCCTTACAACAAACCAAGCTCTCGCCACGACAAGCAACGATCAACCAGTAACAACAAAATCAATCCCCAGCCAAAGCAACATGCGTACCTCACTCCTTCTCTCAGTACTCCTCGGCGCTGGCGCCATTGCTCATCCTCACTACAAGCTGAACAACCCGCTTGCCCACCACCACCACAAGCGTCAAGACCCGATCGTCGCCGTCGACTATCTCAAGAACGCTCAAGGTCAAGTCACCGAAGTGGTAGACATTGCAGAGGCTGTCGCTACCGTCTATCAAGGAGGTGCCACTGCGCCGACTCCACCTGCCGCCGCCCAGCCCAATGAAGCTGCTGCAGTGGTCCATGTCAACGCAGATTACCACGTTTCCGCGCAAGCCAATTCTCATCCGAATGGCAATGGGCAAGCCGCACCGCAACATGAACAGCCTAAAGAGGCCGAGAAGCCAAGCACCCCAGCACCAGCCCCGAAACCAGCTCCAGCACCAGCCCCGAAACCAGCTCCAGCACCCGCCCTGAAACCAGCTCCAGCACCCGCCCCAGCTCCAGCACCCGCTGTAGTCAAAACTGCCTCATCACCATCATCAGGTGGGTCCGCGGCAACGATTGGCGGCCAGAACGTCGTTGAGGTAGCAAATAGATGGCGTACGGGCCAGGGTCTTGGCAACTTTACCTGGGACGATGGACTTGCAGGTGTGTCAGCGAATACGAACACTGCGAACGGCGCCAATGCAATGACCCATCACAACGTCGCCCCCTCACTGGGACAAGTCATCGCCCAGGGTTCCAGCACTTTGACAGGGCCATCTAGTCAAGGGGAACTAGGACCCATGGATTTGCTGTATCTAGGCTGGATTTGTGAGCTTAGCGACAAAATCTCCGGCTTTCCTTGCTCGGATGCCACGGCTGCAACTCACATGGACGCCAATGGCGAAACCATTCACGCCCAAATTCTGATGAACCCGCAGTATACCAAGCTTGGCTGTAACTTCATGGACGCCACGGATGCCGCATCTCAGGTCTTTCCTGACGTTTACCAGGGCATGTTGACTTGCGATGTGGCTTAAGGGGAAAGAATCCATCACATTCACGAGAGAAGGTCTATCGCGAGCGTTGACATCTAGCGTGTGTGTGGGAGGACTCTTCATTCGGGAGCCGGAGAAAATGACAACAATCAAGCATGGAACCCAATCATCTGTCGCACTTGCATGCATTCACACACCATTCACTTCTTCATTTTGTCGCATCAAGTGTCTGCTGAGCAGCGTTTGCTTTCTTTACACCAGAACCCATTGTATATAATCTGTTTCAGCCCATCTTGTCGAGGAGATCTTGGTCGGAGGTGAGGGATACTGGAAGTTGCTACAGCTACCACACGGACCCGCGAAACGTTCAACCCGGCTTGTTGAGATCAATACAATTGTGGTCGCTACCAGAAGCACATATCTACATCTAATTCCACTGTATATCATCGTGAAGACGTGTGTGTGCTTTGCCTGTTTTCGACGCGGCGCAGATTTCAGAGATGATCCAAACTCCATCCATCCATGTCCTCAAATGAATCTTACCACTGTGTCCGTTTTTGATTGCGATCCTGAGACATCTAAGCCACGCGTCAAATATCCATGTTGGTGATATTTTAATGTAGATATCCGATACGTTCAGTGTCTCATGCGGCAGACTCCTGTTTCGTTTCGCCACATCTACACCGCGGGGGATGTTGGATGTTTCAGTGCAACCGCCTTCGTCTAGACTTGAGCAGTGTTGAATGCCATTGCTTTCTGTCTAAAAGACTCCACAGCCAGGCATATGAAGTTCATAACGCTCCCTCCCCTCTCGCTCCCCCTACCGCTTCCCCACCAACCCCATCTCCCTCTCCACCTCATACCCGAAATCGAAATACCCCCTATCAAACGCATGCACTCTCACATACCCGTCCTCCCCGCCACTGGCATACCCTCTCCCCAACGGATCCACCGCCACCGTGTTCAGCGGGCCGAAGTGCCCCTTGACGCGGCCGATCTCGTCTTCGAATACCTTGTGGTAGAAGCGGGCTTCGAATTTGCCTTGCCGGGACGATGTGGTGGTGACGTCCATGGCGGCTTGGCCGCCGCCGAGGATCACGAAGGGTTTCTTGGGGGTGATGGCGGCGGTGTTGAGGGGGGTGTCGGAGGGGTAGGTTTTCAGGAGGGTGAGGTCGCGGGCGGAGATGAGCTGGAGGTAGAGGTAAGTGATGGGAAGGGGGATGGGCTGAAAAGGAGGGGATGAGCGGGGACGTACTTTGGCGGTCTTGTCTTTGGAGGCGGTGATGAAGTAGGTGCGGTCGGAGGACATTTGGAGGTCGGTGACTTGCCCGCCGTCTTCGTGCACTGGCTCGTTGATGAGGAGGTCGCCGGACTGCCGGCCGTGATCAGACTCCCGCCCTGAACGTGTGAGGGGCGTCGAGAGCATACCTTCGCATCGTACTGACTGACGGTCCCATCCTCGTGCCCCGCAATGATATACCTACTCAGATAACTCCACCCCGCCACCGTAGCCTTACTCTCATCGCACGTAATGACCAAACTTCTCTCATCGCTCTGCTCCGCCTCCACATCTACCTTGACATCGAGCACCACAATCGTCCCCAAATACCCCATTCTCTTCTCCGTCACAGCGAGCAGTTTCGTCCCATCATCATTGAACTCGACCCTCTTGACCGCCGTGTTGAAATCCCATACTTTGATGCATTTACCCGTGCGGATGTCCCAAAGGCGGACGGTGTTGTCGGCGGCGCCGGAGGCGAGGAGGGTGGTGCTGGGGTCGATGTCGATGGTCCAGAGGGCGCCTTGGTGGCCGTGGTAGGTGCCGAGGCGTTCGCCGTTGGCGGAGAACCAGGCGCAGATCACTTGGTCTTTGGCGCAGGAGAAGAGGATGTCGCCGTCTTTGGTGTATCTGTGGGTCAGAGTCAGAGGAGTCCGCAAGGGAAGAGTAGCGGCTGTCTGTGGGGAAGGGGCTCACTTGATCTGAGTCAAGGACCGTTCCTGTGAGTTTGTTTGTTAGCAAACGCAGCCGGTCTGAAGAATGAGAAAAAGAATAACCTACATGGCCTTGCAGTAGTATTGGTCTCATGTTTGCATTGATGGAAGAAAAAGTAATCGCGAATCACTCGTGGGAACTTTTTGGCGATTCATGGCCAAGAGAACCTTATTTGCTCCCGAGAAGGCGCCCGGTAAATCTCTTAGTTAGGGTTTACCCCAGCGCTGGAGGAAAAAATTCCAGGGCCCAAATTTGACGCATTGTGGGTTTTGGTTGGCTTCATATTTGCAAAACAGCTTGTTGAACCGTCGGGATAAACGCGTTGGTCTATTGTATGAGCCGCGATGATTTTGGTATCATAGGTAGACAATTGGCCCCGCAGAGGCACATAAGATGCTCATTCGCTGCGCTCCGAGATCTGCGGAAATAACGAGGCTAACGCACCTTCACTTGCTCCGCACTCCTGCATCCACTGGGTGCCACAGTCGCCTCTTTTCAAGCAGTCAGTCGTTCTCAGCCTGCCAACCTTCTCCGCTGTCTGGGTCTCCCGCTACGAAGAGGAGGCCATCTATTCGGCGCACCTTGTCAAATTCTCACGGCGTTAGCAAGTTGACAGCTGGGATAACACAGAAGACGAGGCCAGCTTCAAGCAAGACCCGCACTATGGCCGCGGAAAAGATTGATGGCACTGCCATTGCCAAGAGCATACGAGAAAGAATCAATGCAGAGATCAAGAAAATACAGGAAACCAATCCTCGATACAAGCCTTCCCTGACCATTGTACAAGTGGGTGACAGATCCGACTCGAGCACGTATGTCCGTATGAAGTTGAAAGCCGCGGAGGAGGCCAACATCATCTGCAATTTGGTGCACTATCCAGAGTCCATCACGGAACCCGAGCTGCTACAACATATTACGCAATTCAACAATGACCCCTCGATTCATGGCATATTGGTTCAGCTGCCAGTACCAAAGCATATTTCGGAGCATGCCATCACGTCTGCGGTTGCAGAAGAGAAGGATGTTGATGGGTTCGGGACGAGCAACATCGGAGAGCTATCGAAGCGGGGAGGACATCCTTTGTTCACACCATGTACCCCGAAAGGGGTCATGGTGCTGCTACAAGAGAGTGGGATCGAGCTCAGGGGAAAGAACGCAGTGGTACTCGGCCGTAGCGATATAGTTGGCAGTCCTGTCAGCGCACTTTTGAGGAACGCCGACGCTACAGTCACGGTGTGCCACTCGAGGACGCAAAACCTAGAGCATCACATCAAGCAAGCAGACGTATTAGTTGCTGCAATAGGAAAGCCCAACTTCGTCAGAGGTGAATGGCTGAAGCCTGGAGCAGTAGTTATCGATGTTGGCACGAACTACATCCCAGACGAGTCGAAGAAATCAGGCCAGCGGCTTGTTGGAGACGTGGACTTCGACTCTGCAGCTGATGTGGCATCAAAAATCACACCTGTGCCTGGAGGCGTTGGACCCATGACAGTCGCTATGCTTCTCCAAAATGTCATTGACGCTGCGACGACCTATTTCGAACGACAAAAGGCTCGCCATATCAAGCCTCTACCTCTCAAGCTCGCCACCCCTGTCCCATCCGATATTGCCATCTCAAGAGCACAAAGACCGAAGCCGATCACGATGGTAGCGAACGAAGTCGGCATAGCACCCCACGAACTTGAGCCGTACGGTGCCTACAAGGCCAAGGTCGACTTGACTCTACTGCAGAGGCTAGGCCACAGAAGAAACGGCCGATATGTTCTCGTCACTGGTATCACGCCAACTCCGCTGGGAGAAGGAAAGTCTACAACCACGGTGGGCTTGACTCAGGCATTGGCAGGACATTTGGACCGCATAGCGTTTGCGAATGTACGGCAGCCTAGTCAAGGACCGACATTTGGTATCAAGGGAGGCGCTGCTGGAGGTGGTTACAGTCAAGTCATTCCAATGGACGAATTCAACCTGCACTTGACAGGTGATATTCACGCCATCTCAGCAGCAAACAACCTTCTAGCTGCCGCTATCGAAACGAGGATGTTCCATGAGTCGACGCAGAAAGACGGTCCGCTCTACAAGCGACTTGTACCAGCAAAGAAAGGGAAGAGGAATTTTCAACCCGTCATGTTCAAGAGACTGAAAAAGCTTGGCATTGAAAAGACCAACCCAGACGAGTTGACTCAGGAAGAAATACACAGATTTGCCAGATTGGACATTGACCCAGAGACGATCACTTGGAGACGAGTACTGGACGTCAACGATCGTCACTTGCGATCGATAACTGTGGGAAAAGCACCGACAGAGAAGGGTACTGAGAGAGACACTGGCTTCGACATATCCGTTGCTAGCGAGTGTATGGCGATCCTTGCTCTCAGCAATGATCTCGGCGATATGCGGGATAGACTGGGACGAATGGTTGTCGCCACATCAAGAGGTGGAGATCCCGTCACCTGCGATGACATCGGAGCAGGAGGCGCCCTGACCGCGCTTATGAAAGATGCCATCAAGCCCAACCTCATGCAGACATTGGAAGGCACCCCGGTGTTCGTCCACGCCGGCCCCTTTGCCAACATCAGTATCGGCGCAAACTCCGTCCTTGCTGACAAGCTGGCTTTGAAGCTGGCCGGGACTGAAGCTGATGAGGATCACAATGAGAAGACAGGGTTCGTGGTGACGGAAGCTGGCTTTGATTTTACGATGGGTGGCGAGCGCTTTTTCAACATCAAGTGCCGCTCTTCTGGGCTCGTCCCAGATGTCGTGATTGTAGTGGCTACCGTCAGAGCGCTGAAGGTGCACGGTGGCGGACCTGAGATCACTCCTGGTGGAGCATTGCACGAAGTCTACCGCACGGAGAACATCGACATATTGAGAGAAGGATGTGTAAACCTGAGGAAGCACATCTCGAACGCAAGGCAATATGGCATACCAGTCGTCGTAGCCATAAATAAGTTCGAGACAGACACGGATGCTGAAATCGCAGTGGTCCGAGAAGAAGCGCTCGCAGCCGGTGCAGCTGACGCCATCCCAGCGAATCACTGGGCAGAAGGAGGCAAAGGTGCTGTTGACTTGGCAAAGGGTGTCATCACTGCAAGTGCTCAGGAGAAGAACTTCAAGCTTCTGTACAGTCTAGATGGCAGCGTTCAAGAACGAATCGAGAGAATTGGGAAGATCATGTATGGGGCGGAGAAGGTTGAGTTCAGTGAATTGGCACAAAAGAAGGTGGACACCTATGAGAAGCAAGGCTTTGGCAACCTGCCGATATGCATTGCAAAAACGCAGTACTCGCTGAGTCACGACCCTGCTTTGAAGGGGGCGCCAACGGGTTTCACGGTGCCGATTCGGGATGTTCGGTTAGCCGTTGGTGCAGGATATCTGTGAGTAGCAAGCCACCAAAGTTCCACCAATCGTCTTACTGACCACAACAGATACGCTCTGGCTGCCGACATCCAAACCATTCCCGGCCTTCCTACTGCACCTGGCTACCTCAACGTGGATGTCGATCCGGAGACGGGTGAGATCGATGGTCTGTTCTGATTGTTAGTGATATACCCAGCATGATACCCTCAAAAGGTCCTTCAACATCTGCGCCGTACAGCGCCTACGAAATATGAGCATCTTCAACAACGGCGCGATCATGCTGGAATAGATATGATTGAAAATTTATATTTGCACATCAAGACGGGTTCAAGTCAAGCGTAAAACACCAGCTTGAGAAGTCGAAGGTCCACTTACTCTGCCTCACTAGATCCAGAATCCGATTCTCCGTCCATCTCATCGGCTTTGCGCTTGCAGCCTTTCTGGTTTTCCTCCTCCGGTTGCTTCAATCTTCGAAGTATCCGAATGACGAGCTGATCTTTGGTAATATTTAGTTATACGACCTCAATCGGTCCCCAAGCGATCCACTTACTGCCGTCATGCAGCAGCTGTATCGATCGCATAGTCTCACATTGAATCGATTCCATCTCTAGCATATCTTGCTCGATTTGTGCCTTCCGCGCCCGAATATGCTGACCGACGACAGAATTTGGTTGGCCCAGAGCCAAGAGTTGGTTTATCATGCGGGCGCAGTCCTTGTGCATTTCCAACATCGAGTGGTAGGCTGCAATCAAGGATTTGCTTGCGGCCATCAGTTTGTCGAAGCAATCGTAAAAGCCAGCCTGGGTTCTTTTGAACTCTGTTGCGGCGTCATATCTGCCCGATGAGGCTATCAGATCTGGGTCTGAGAGGATGGTTGAAAGAGTATCGAGTACGGGGGGCATAATGTTCAGATAAGCATAGCCAGCTGGAATCGTCTCAAGCGATTTTTTGGATGGCGTTAACTCATGAGGCAGGAGCGATGCTCGTTGGTGACTTGCAAAAAAGAAACTGAAGTGTGAGCCTGAGTTCAAAAGGAACCAACACCGGCGGCAATTTCGACTAGCGCGGTAGCCGCCATACTCCAGCAGTAACTCCATGGTGACCGTTTTTCGTTATACAGCAAAATATATCGTGCCGTTACCGCCCATCAAAGTCGATGACTCTTGCCCATGATACCGTTTCGATTTGGTTGAAATTCTAGGATCGTCATTCCAGTCGAGGACTGTAAGGCCAATTTATGGTCCACATGCCATTATTGCCAGCCTAAGGAACCAACCACGATCGCTATATGGATCGGGTCAACAGTCATGGCTCTTGTACTTGTAACGAGGTCGATCAAAATGGTAGACCCTAATACCGCTTCCACCTATGATGCTAATCAATTGCTGTTTCCACGACTCGTAAGACTCGGGGCGTGCATCTGAAAAGCTCTGGCTGTCGAAGGTCCGGTATCCAAACTCCAAACAGCACGGAAACCTCTACCTTAGAGTTGAACGTCCTTACAGTCATGATGGAAAATCCTACGATCGATCGGTCGTCGCAAAATGAGATCGAATTTGGGATTGAGCATAGATGCAACAGAGACTTTGCGGTGGGCAGTATCATAGTGATCCCAACGATTCAACCTGCTACTTCTTGGGGGTGACAGCTCTAGCTCCGGACGCGGCGTGAGGTCCAAAGTCTCCGCCTCTCCAACGCGGATGCGTTCGGCAAATTCGGCGTCGTGCTGGACTTTAAGCGGCTGGAGACCCACGACTCTTGTGGTGTTTCCCGTTGGAGTCGGTCTAGGCGGCTGGAGGTAGGTTGAATTCGGAGCAACAGGTTGGGATAGTTTCCCCAGAGCAAGAAAGGATGACTCCTACAAAATCTGCTTCACCATTAGACTCTGAGCCTACATAACTCATTTCGGCATCACCCTATCCATGCAGTATACTCGTTGCAATCTGGGATGTTAGCCACCTGAGCAGAACTCATAAATACTCCGCACAACTTCCATACAAGCTTCTTGGCCTGGTCTAGACTCTGGCATAAGACGAAGTAGCAACGCAGCTTAGCAGAAACAATACGCCGCGCCCATCTTCGTAATGGAACTATGAAATCTGTGCATATTGTGGACTTCACGCCGTCAGAGGGACTTTCCTGTGTTCCTGCGTCAATCGGCTACTCCACCCTTTGTACGGAGATCGCTATTGAAACCTTTCTAAGCTCCTCCGTCTTTTGAAATGGATCTCGCGCTACCTTAGATAGCCACTTGCAAAGTGCCTAACCTTGTGAAAAGGGGGGATGGAATGAAAGACCAGCTGACAATTGAGATATACCTCTGCTATTTGAGAATCGCTACCGGTTCCCCGTATAATCTCCTAGACAAAATATCCAGTATCCAAATGCGGAGAGAACTCTAACATGAACATGGTCAGAGAAAAACACTAGCCAAATAAATGGGTACGGTTAGCGACAGAGATGTGGGCAATGATTCGGCAAACAGCAACCGAATAAGTCGGTGTTGTCAACATATGAACGCGTCGAGGTCAACGCTGAGTCTTACCGGACTTATTCCACGGACTTACGGAACAAGAACGTACGTGAAGAATGGCTTCATACCCTCTTACTCAACACATTCCGTCGACCGTTACCCACCATAGCTACAGCACTACATCCAGGCTCCTTACCACACCGCTCACGCTTCCCAAAACAGCACCAATCATTGCAGTCTCAAAACGTCCAACAAAACGCGTAAACCCCCTGTTTTATACCCTTCAGCCTCGTCAACACCCAACCAAGGCCTCCAAAACCCAAACACCAGAACCCTCTCACCACGCCCGCCAAACGACATGAACGCCGCAACGCCGGCACAAACGCGCAACGCCGCCCCATCGGGGGCCTCTCACTGGTGGGGAACATCCGACGCCTCGACGGCTACCGTCATCATCATATTCATCGATATTGCCATGGGCGTGGCTCTGGTTGTGAGATTTTGCCGGAACGGTGTCAGTAGTTGTCCCTCATACTTGGTCTAATTTAGCGGATTGGTCCCTCTGACAGCTGGCAGCGTTGGCGAGAAGAAGCAAGCGTTGGTTGAAATGGAGGAGGAGATGGATTGAGAGGGTACCGGGCCATGGAAATGGGGAGGAAAAAGGGGGGCAGAGCGATGCTTTGTTCGGCATTGAGTTGGCGTGCTAACCCATGATATGTGGGCTTTTTTCGGGGATGGGACCACGGTCTGTGAAAATTACGGATGCATAAGCAAGTGGTAGACGAGTCACGTAGTGAGGCAAAGACCCCAAAAAGTATCAAGTTACCTCCGGTCCGCGATCCCCTACTCTGGTCACCGAACCGGCGCCTGCCCCTCACAGAAATCAAATCTCTCACATCTTGATGTCACCCGAGCCGAGAACGAGCGGCAGAAGGCGAGACGTTGACGTATCCAACCCTCCCGACAAAAAAGTTTCCCAAGTCCTACGAACCTAACGCCTCGATTACCTAGACCCCTGGGATACCACCCACCGTCCGCCGCCCCGCAAGCCGGGTCGCCCGCGTAGCACGGCGTCGGCATGGTATTGGGGACCGTAGCTGAGGAACCCTGTCCGTAATCGATCGCTTTGGCCGGCGCACCGCCGCTGATGAGGTTCCAGCCGATGTTTTCCGACTTGAGCTCGAGTGTTCGCGGTGATGCTATATTACTTAGTATTGGGTTCGATTCCTAATGGCGCTGGTCCAATGGCGGAGAATGTTTTGAGTTTATCTTCGAGCACCTTCGCACTGGGACCTCCCAGGAGTCTTCTACTCTTGTGAGACGTCTCACATCTCGAATGGCAGTAGGGATTAGGGATACATGGCTTGGAGAATCGACTCACGCGCCCGAGAAGAGAAAAAAAACTTCGAGCCCCTGGTCACTCTCTTGTTGTGGTGTGAAGGCTGTTACGACCTCCGGCGCTTGTCTAAGTTGTACTGCTGCTGAGTCTAGTACCATAGCCTGTAGTGCCCATCAGCCTTTGGAGCGCCGCGAAAAGTCCTTTTGGTCTCTACTTTTATTTAAGTATAGGTAGAAAACATATTATAGATAGCTAGCCAGGCGAGATAAGCCAATCTCGGCATATTACAGCCTGTGAAATATGAGCTACGGTTTTATATCGACGCCAGAACGACTCACAAGCATCTGAAACAGAGATAGGGAGGCACTGTCCATTGGGTCCGTCAACCAATACGCTGCTTGCATCCATGCCCCCTTTCGCGATGGACATGGATTGACCTGCAGTTCCGATCACATTCTCGTATTTGTTAGTGTCCCCGAAGCCGGTAAGTATCTGTGGAAGTTGCGTTGGGAAAGATCCCTTGACGACAGTGGTCGGTGGATCAGGAATCAGGCTAAGAGCCCAAGACTTAAGCCTCGCGTCCACATCTTCCTCTGCCCACTTCGACACAGTCGGAGCCCAGTAATCGGAGGCTTCGCAGGAAACCGAGCTTGCAGTTCCAGCCGATGTGATGGTTGGCGCTGTACTCGAGGATTTCATGTATTAGCGCCAGAAAAGCTTCAGTTTCTTTATCGTAACGACGAGACAAGGTCAAGAATTCATTTTCTTGAGGTTCAAAGACCATCAGCGCTAGGATTGCTTGTTTTACATTATGACTCGTGCGGATGGTGGTGCTGTTCGGGTAGAGTGTATTAGGACTCAACGTCGAAATGGCGTTGGCGGATGTGGAGACGATGGATCCGCCGCATGGCACACCGAGGCCTGAACCGGGTCCACAAGGTTCTACAAACCCTGTGCGGTTGGTATCGTACTCTCCTATAACATATCTTGCATACAGCTCAGCAGAAGTAGTTTGGTTTTTTTCTCGGGACGAAGGTCTGAAGGAACGGCCGAGACAAGATGCAGAAATTCGAGAAGGGCCCGCAAGGTTTTCAAAGCTTGCGAGTCAAAGCAAAGCATACGGAGGGTGATGTCAAGGCGCACACCTAACTTCTCAAAGGATGGCCTGACAAGGCGACGTGCATGGAAGCAAGAGAAAGGTTTGGCCGTTCGAGCTCCATTCCCATTCTTGGCCCGTTGGATGACCCTATGGTTCTATCAGAGTTTGATGATGGGTCGATGACGTGTCGATGGCAGGAGTGGTTGTGGATAGCAGTTGAGTAAGTGGCACAAGATCTGTCGTTGCGAAGATTAGCATAGAGCAAGCATACTCGTGTCAATCACATTTCGAACGAGTTAGGATGCAAGTGAGGTGCAAGTGGCGGGTGATTCGATGAGTTGGAAATTGGGCTGGGTCTGCCTCAAGACGCACGTGGCATTCTCGGCTTTCATCAAGGGTCAGAAATGCTACAAAATATGTAAAGCCTTATCAAGTGTGGTGCCATTTCACTTATGTGACTTGGCAAGACCTTCACGATCCTAATATATGGATTCGGGGAATGACGAGAAACATATTGAATCTGTGGGGAACTGGGGGTTACGATTTGTGGGGAGTACGGCGGACGCCAGAGCTTTGAAACAAGAGCTTGAGGGCTGCGTCCGGAGAGGAGCAATTAGGAAAAGCAGATATTACAGACAACAACGATAAGTCCTTGTGCTTCCTTGCTTTATCCTAAAATCCCTAAGAGCAAAAATCCTTAAAGTGGTATGCAAGGATCCGAGTCTTGCCTTGTTGGAGTCCAAGGTTCATACTAGTCAATAATTGACGGGTGCGAACCTCAAGTCGCTGGGGGGGTGGAGAGAGACGGTTTTAGGCGGTATTGTGTACTCTGCCTATTACTCTGGAGCGTGACGACCATAATTGTAATATTGGTATAACTCGATTGATGAAGCGCATACCAAGGTTATTTCTGGAGGTTAGGGTCAATGATGCAGTCGACGGCACACTGTCCACAAGGTCCACAACGTACGAGCAGAACATGCAGAGACGTTTCGTCATAAAAAAGACAGCGTTAGCACCTAGCGCAGCACGATGAGCTGAACAGGTGGTAAATGGCGACTATCTTTTCATTGTGTAGACTTTAATCCCGCCACCAACAATTGATTTATGCTGCTTCAAATAGATAATTGACCTGTTGGACCTTGAACATGCAGAGAGTCAAGAGTGAAGAGAAGCGAGACTGGCGAATGGTCTTGTCAGTACGGGAAGGGAAAGAGCTTTGGTCAAGCACTGACGGCGAGTGGGAAAGGTCACCGGGCAAGAATCTTGGCATTACTTCTTAAGTAATCATAGTTCTTGCCCTTGAAGCCGGCACGCCTGCATTCCTGCATCATCTCAAGGAAAAGGGAGGACGACGCAATCATTCCGCCATCGTTATAACCCCCATAGAATATACTCGTACCTATCTTACGTTAGGACCTGGCGACTTCAAGGTTATGGACGATGATACCTTCACCGAAAATCTGACTATGCACGGCTCTAGGATTTCCTTTGTTCGCGTTGCGCTTCTCTTTTCAAGATGGGTGTTTCCTGCCTGATACTCAAAGTCATTGTGAACGAACGAGCTCAACCTCTTTGTGTGCTTCATCACCCTCCACGATGCTCCTTTGTGTGACGCTTTTCTTTGTGACGGATTTTCCGTCAACTTTTTATCATCCAAATCGATCTTCAGGAATTGTTCGTTATCTCTCCGTACAATTGTACAGACCGAGGGCTACCCCGAACCATTCAAAGACTGCTGGCTGTCCATTCGCGAAACAACCATCACCATGTCCTCCCCATATGCCCAGGGTCTCGACCTTTTGGCTCGGGTACAGGAACAAGTCAAAGACATCAAGCACGATGCCATCGAGCGTCGTGTCACTGTGCAGAGATGGTACACTCTCGGACAGACTTGGAATCTTCTCCGGATGACTTTGATAGCGACCGGCGAAGCAGCAGACGATGCGGTAGCCGCGAGCCACCAGCAACGCGCACGCTACCGAACTTACGCACATAGGTACATCCGTGGGGGCGAGTTTCGCATCAGACATGCTAATGCCTGCCTCGGCCATTTCAGGTACGTTACCGTACTCTCGAACCATGCCCGGGCTGTGAGGCAGCACCATGAATCGGAGCTTCTCTCTTTGGGCAATCTCCAAGAGCACTACAAAACGGCTCTGGGCCCTGAAGCTCATGTGGTCCACACCAACCAGACATTCCTTAATACCCTCGACCGCAACATCGAGGCGATCAAGCGGCGTCAAGGACTGGAGATGGTTTACATACGCTGGGTTCAGTTGAGAGCGAGCGCTGACCTCACGCAGCAAGCCGAAAACTTCCATTCCGTGTGCAGTAGACTCAATGTCCGGAAGAGGCGAGCTGACGAAGCTTGTAGGCGGGCGAATCATCTCCAAAGGCAGGTGTTTCAACGCGTCAAGCAGTATGAACACCTCGAAATGGAAGTTCGGAACGTACGGGAGGCGATACAGGCTCTGTGAAACATTTCGTTCGAGCTAGTGCTGACCTCACGCAGCAAGCCGAGAACTTTCATTACGTGTGCAGTAGACTCAATGTGCAGAAGAGAACTTCTGTCGGTATTTCAGTTGGGTTTTCGGCGTTGGTGGGCGTTGGTGGGCGTTTGGTTGCTTCAATCGAACAAGACGTGATCAAGGCCTGTTTTACTCTCGTAGAAGATGTAAACGGTACGGTATGGGCCACAGAAAGAACCGATCGTAATGTAACTCATTTGCAGATTTAAAGTTTACAATAATACACAAGCTGTTCGTCTAAGCAGTGAAACACGCGATTGACTGAGAAGGTGGATCAAGCCTACTGTTCACTCAATCGGTCAGCTCGAAGCACCAAGAAGGCAATAAAGTCGTGGGTCACATATGTTGTAATCTGCTAGTCAAGTAGGTCATCCGTCTGCATATCATCATGTTCATTAATGTAGGAGCACATCTCTTCCGGAGTTCCAGGTAGAATTCTATCCTCGCTGAGCCTCATAAATCAACAACACCACATAGTACGTCAAGCAATCATCTTCGGAAACCTCCGGCTCGCCATCCCAGACTCTAAAGTCTACACCGTCCTTTACGAGCCTCTCCCTAGCTTCCTTGGGGTCGCTAGGTACATGTACTCCCGTTACTGTCGGCTTCGTCAGTACTCTAGCAGATGTTTTCGCGCGTGGTCGGTATAGCGGATGGGATACACTTACGAAGCTTCACCCCATGCCAGCCAGTCATCTTGGTTCTTGCTGGGTTCAAGACCAAAACATTACCATCCCCAAGTGGAAAGCGCCAGTCCGCTGCCCGAATGGCAATCTCGTCGAGCTCCTTTCGTTTGCCCTCGACAGTCTCAAGCTCCAGCTCGAATGTCTTCAGCCCCTTGAAGACCGAGAACTGGTGTCCCCATGAATTGACATGAAACCCATCAGCGGCGGTACTATGCCTTGTAGCTGACGCAGTTCCCTTGGTTCCCTTGTGTTTTGCATCGAGTAGGAGTGGTGCAGATCTCTCCCACCACCACCAGTCACTGTGTCTGATAGTAATTCTTAGATGGCGAAGGTTCTTGTATCGGAAAGCGACATTTCGTGCCTTGGAGGGCCAAGAAGAGTCTTCGAGCCAGAACTGTTGGGTGAACAAGTGCAGCGAGGTCAACCATGGACAACTGTAGTTACCTCGAGCAAAGTTCCTAGCTATCTTCGCGGGAGGGCCCCGATAGTGCCATTCGACACACTCGTAATTTTGGAATGGGACGAGGCACGCTTCTTGGTAGATGCGTCGACATGTGCGCAGGAGGGCTGTGTCGAGTATCTGATCGGCATAGCGAAATCCAGGCCTGTAATAGTAGCTGTCTTTTTCAAAGGGCTCTTGCTTGCCGGAGTAGGCAGTCAGGGCAAGGTCGAAGATGTGATCGCGGATTTCTCCCGGAATCCGAGCGAAAAGAGGGGACTTTCCTTGTGGATTGGCATCACTTGTGTCTATTGGCGCCACGGTGAGATTGGCAAAGCTTGTGTCAATCGACGCCGTCCTGGGATTGGCATTGGATGTATCGATTGGTGGCATGGTGGGGTTGACATTGCTCGTGTCAACTGGTGGCATGGTGGTCACCTGAATGTTTCAAGCGTATACGGAAGTAGAGCAGTTTTGATTCAGTGGAATTCAGAAATGGAATGTGAAATTTGTTAATGGTGGGAGAGCGATTCGAGGATTGAGGAGTAGGTCGAAGGATTCCACTCGCAGTAGCCTCAGCTTGCCCCCGGCCTTGGTGGGTCTTGAAACCCTGCCAACTTATTTTTTGGTGTATTGCCGTATGTATTTCACACCCTGGTCTATGATCCTTAACAAAATGGTTAGTTATGGCCTTTTTGGAATTCTTAAAAGTGAATAAATGTTAAATAGGCCCTCGTTAATTAGAAGCTATGTGTGTTAGAGTAAGCTTATTTTATTTTATTAAAAACTTGTTAACTTTATAGTAGGGTTTATACTTAAACGCTTTCTTAAGCGCGTATTATATGGATTTTCTTAGTTATATTTGGGGTAACCGCTTGTCTTCCGCTAGGCGTTTGGTGGTTGTTTTTTTCTTACGTGTTCTTTTTTTTGCTGTAAATAAGTAGTGTTTATATGAGTAATTATATAGGATCGAACTTGCGAGAGTGGGGAAGGAGATAATTTTTTTTTAATATAAGTTGATATTAATAGCGGCGTATCGATAAATAAGATATCTTTACGCTTGAGTCTCTTATAGATATATGAATTAGAAAAGACGTCTTTAAATGTAAGGTCTTTCGTCGTTATAGAGGTTATTTTTCTCTTTTTATTCGAGAATTAAATATAACTTTTTTTCTTTCTTAGAACTGGTTCGCTAAATATCTTAAAACTTCGTATTTTTAAGAAAGGATATTTTTAAGTTATAAAGAGGTTAGTATATATAATTCGAAAATACCTCGCTATCGTTATTAGAGAAAATCGCGTATCTAAGCGCCTCTTATAGTCTTCTTATATTTTAAGTTTATTTTAAACGCGTTAAGCGCGTTAAAATTATTTAAAATATATATTTTATACTCCCTTTAACTTCTAAGTAATATACTTTTAAGTTAATAGATTATATATAGGGATAGCTTTATCTCGATTTCTATTAGATACTAATACGATTAAACTTGTAATTTAATTATTACACCCGACTCGTTATATAATCTTTTAATAATATTAAATACGATACGCTATCGTCTAGAATTTAATTATTAAAAAATAATCGGCTGAAGATAAATACTATAATCGTTAGCGGAGAATATAGATTCGATAAGCTTATGCGATAATAACGAGCTATCCGATTATAATAAAAAGTTTATATACTTATTTAGGACCTCGAAAGGTCTATTACCTCTTAATTGATATTAAAAGACTATGTGGTGATAGCTGAAAATTGAGGAAGTCGCACTTTCCGTAACGGGGTATTATTGCGGTAGGCTATAAAATTAACGGTATATGCGATTCGGGGTTTTCTACTCAGACTCTAAGGGAGGGGTATGCCGTAATAAGCCTGCGATATGATTGGCCCCCGAAGCAGGCACATGTAGGGCTGGCCATAGTACCGTCATTCTGACGCTGCCTGGAATACGGTTTCTTATGACGTCACCTCAAAATGACCAAACATCGTGGGTTCTATGGAAGTGTGAAAGAAGTTGCTGAAGAGCAATGACCATTACATGTGCCTGAAGTTGATGCCTTAGTTGTAGATACAAGCATCTTATCTTTTAGTGAAATCGAGCTGGGAACCGTAACCGCGCTAGTTTGTAATTTATTCCAGATCAGCGCCAAGGTATCATACTATTGACTTCCATCCACCAAACGAAGCATAAAGTAATGTAGCACTGTCTTTGCACCTTTGCCAACATGCTTCTACAACAGAGAGCTACCTTATGCAAAATCGAAAGGGAGGCTATAATCCCTAGTGGTCAAGTACATCTCAGTCCATACATCCATCCCTCCGTGTAATTCGCACCCACATGTCCTTTTGCGCAAAGGTCCCCGCATTCACCGAGTTCCATAGATTCGAGGGGTCGATGAGGGAAATGTCATACCTACTTAGCAGCTACAGGCATCGCACAGAATCTATTAGCCATCGCGATCATCACAGCTTTTCCCTCACACAGAATGGAAGCCAACATACCTCTACGAAATTCTTGTTTAACTCTAGAAACGCAACAGCCTTCCCCAGATATCTGAAGCGCCCGTACCCGAAGATCAGCTCATTGCTCCGTTCCATTTCCTGCAATTGAGGCTCTGGGACTTCGAGCCAGCGTTCGGGAAGGAAGACATTCGCGTCTGGACCGAAGACAATAGTGCTGCGATGGATGGCCCAAGGAGAGTGTCTACAGGTTACGGTCAGCCAGGCAATCCTGTTGAGAACTCACACTGGGGACTTTACCCGATCTCAATGCCACCAGGGAGAAATACGCCATTGAACGTATCACCTTCAGGCGGGACCACCTTGGGAAACAGCCCGGTGACTGGCGGCCACAGTCCCAGGCCTTCTTTCATGCAAGCCTGCAGATACAGCAACGGTCTCCTTCGGAATCTTGAGTCGGACTCGAAATGCTGCCATTATCCACAGCCTCGTCAATTTCCGCCTTCAAGCGCCAAAGCACCCTGGGCGTTGTAATCAAGAAGAGGAAAGTAGCTCTGATAGCCGTAGCTGTGGTATCGGGCCCTGCAAGTCTTTCCCGCCCATATCAGCCCGAATGTGAGCAGATACCCTAGCAGCGATGGAAACATACATTTCCAACGCGGCCTCAGACTCCGCCTCTTCCCGGCTCAATCCATGCCTCAAAAACGACCCCAGCATATCCTACTTCACCTTCCTATTATCTCTAAATCTCTTTGCAACCTTCTCTTTCGCGATCGCAATGAGTTTCCCAACCCCAATCTTATCCGTAGCCGACGGCGCCATCAATTTCATCAATGAACTTGTCTCGAGAAAAGAATAGACTTCCGGTAGCTCACTCATCGACAACAGCACATGCATTGCCTTATCAACCGTCTTAATGTACTCAAATAAATCTTCGTCAACGATCAAATCCCCAAAAGCTTGATCGAAAGCCCAACCAGAGATCACATCCAAAGTAAAGAATTGTGCTTTCTGCGCCAAGTCCATTCACCTACCCGGCTCCTATCAGTGCAGACATACTTGCGCTCGATTAAGCTGATCAGATCATGTTTACGCTCGTCGATCTCACTTTCCAACCGCAGATTCTCCTTTCCCGCATAATCAGCCACCATCTTCTTCCTCAACTCATCATGCCTTCCCTCTTGTCGCTCGCTAAGCACATTATCTATCGCTGGCGTGAGGCGCGTCGTCGAATTCCATGGGCCTCGACGATAAGGTGATCGGGGAGCACTCATGCGACGGAAAAGTTCCGGTCGGAAGTTACGAGGCGGTTGGGCCCAATGCGAGCGAGGGGCCCATATTTGAGGTTGAAGAGGTTGAGGTGCCCCAGAGACTCTTCAGGAGCCATAGACGGGAAATGGCTGCAAGGGGGTTCCCAGGGATGTGAGACAAGCGGCGGTAGGATCGGATGGCATGGGCGACCGTCAAAAGTGCCAGTATCAAAACCCCGACTGTGAGCACGTTCAATGAAGATGTTGCCATGATTACGAGAAGGTAATCGAAATTTCTCAGATTGCTAGAGGAAATGACACATGTAAAGGCAGGCAAGCGACCAATCAACAGCTTCGGAATAGAGGGCGTAATCGTTGTATATCAGTCCACGTGCTGTTATAGGTATTGGCTATTGCTTGAAGAAGATGACAGCATCGAAAGGAGAGAGGAAAGCTCGGGGAGGACGAAACAAGAGTACAGGTAAGCCGGGTTCAAGTCGAGACCGGACAAGCAGTAGGTACAAGTGATGGTGATCCATCAGCGACACTTATCACCTGCGGGGTTCATGCTACTTACCGGTCTATCTGCAGCATGCAAGCCATTATCAATCGGATCGAGTTCTGGCTCTGGCTATAGCCTGGAACTGCTTCCATAACAATCTACATCCTCTTCTACCCACCACCAACGTACCATAGCCTCTCCCTCTCCTACACCCCCTTTGATACATAACCTTATAGGTCCAAAGTCTTTCCCGCCCATATCAGCCCGAATGTGAGCAGATACCCAAGGCTCCCAATGGTCCGACCCAGTGGTACAAAGGCCTGAAATGGTCCAAATCGAAGCTATTTACATGTCTCGTGGTCCGTCCAACGTTTGGACTGCTCCGGTCTAGTGGTTCATGGCCCGAACGATTGGTCCAGCAAGATTCAGAAGCTAGCAACGAAACGGCGGATATATCACGTGAGAGATTTTAGTGGATGTACTGACTAAGAGATCCAATCTAGTCTTCGATCAACCTCATTGGTATTTAGAACACCCTTTGTCCATATAGCTGATGGCCCTTTTCGCTTCAATCACCAGCATCAATGGGTTAGCACATTGGGTCTGCATCCCTTGAACCGCTCTACAACCGTTCATATGCTCCTCGAAATATATAGTCTGGATTAGTGGCCCGTTGCACTGGTCCGGATCAATGGTTCAGGAAACGGTAGCGAACCGTGGGAGTTTTGATGTAAATTGGTATTGCGTCGAGGGTAGAATAATTTGTGAGTCGTGTTGCAACATAGTGGAAAGAGAAGGCGGGGCTTCAAGGCCTTTGAGAGGATACCCTTTCAGTCAAAGCTGGGTTTTATGTTTTGCCAATTTCTATGCCTTACTTCCCTCATCCTCTTTCCACTCCCAGGGAATCCACTTCTCTGGTCTCATTTGCTTACACACCATCACTGTTTCAAGACGCGATATGATAAGACTTCGAATAGACCTTCAAGACATCTCTTTCATCGCATCTGCAACCTAGCAGAACAAGGCCAGATTCCATGACAACGTACTTCATGACTCCAATGACCGCGCTCAGGAAATGGGGTCTATGTTGCCGCAAACTCAAGTTTCAGCCAGTATGCAAAGTCAGCTCACACCTGATTGGTACCCGCAAATTTACGTGAACGAAGGAGATTGACCGATTGTACAGACGATGCTTCCAATGGCGTTTATGCCGGCCACTGCACCTTCTGCAGCAGCATGCATGAGGCGGAACCGTGCCAAGCTTACCTGGATCCAATCGCGACTTTTACTTTACTGGTTGAAATTAAGAGAGGCCTCAGTCAATCTGTATAGAGCAGCCCTCCACTAGCTGCAGTGCTGTTGGATGCCACTCTAGCAGCGTCGAGCGTGTCGTTGAGCGCACCCAAGCATCTCCCGCGGCACCCATCATCGTCTTGCAGGTGTCAGTAAAAAAATCATCGAAAGAAAAGTAAGACTGCTGACGCAAACGTACCAGCACCTCCTGAATCCAATGGAGCAGGAAACTCCGTACATCCCGCTTGTACAGCTATCGCCGCACATCATCATCGGCTCTTCACTCATCATCGTCCACACAATCCCGCACCGCAAACGACAAAACCATCAAATCACCACTCACCAGCAGCATAACTCGCAAAATTCTGCGCATTTCCCAAACTCCCCGTCGCGTTCAACCCGACCACATCTCCCAAATTGTACACCTCGTCGCGATCGTCGAACCGGTTGTAAACATGCACCAACTCATGCACAAGCACCGCGTACTGCGTCGTCCTCAGATTCCACGGCTCGGTCAAAAGCCTCCCGTCCACGACCCACGGACAGGCCGCTTTCCGCGCGACGCGGGGTAGGGTCCAGAAGATGGGACAGACGGAGACGATTTTGGCGGGCTGCATCGTGTTCATGGGAGGGCGTGTAGGGGTGTTGCAGTCGTCCCGCAGATGGTGTAAGAAAGGTTCATCAGCGTCCGCACAGACCAAGGTCGGAGGCGACCAACGCGTGACGTTTAGCGCACCGACGGTGAGGACGTCAGGGCCGTTGACGATGTCCGTGAAGATTTGGCGGACGGCGTCGAGGTTCTTGGTTGTTTTGAAGAACGCGCGGTAGGCTGGTGATGCCGTCCCGCGGTCTAGATCCCTCAGGACGGCCTGCAGGCTTGATTGCATGTAAGGGATCAGGTTCTGCAGGTATGCGGCGTGGGAGTCGGTGGTGTTGGCGTTGCAGTAGACGATTAGGTAGGTGCCGCTTTCCGCATAGTCTCCTATTTCGTTCCCTGATGTTTGGCAGCGGGCAATGGCGACGCATAGCGTGAGCCGGAAAATGGTTGTTATTGCGTTGGGGACAACCTGGCGTATGTGCATGTCAAAAATGATCAGCTGAGAGTTCCTTCTCCCACGAGCACCTCATGGGGAGGAGATTTTTCAATGATCTGGCGAATGCGGTGCCCTTGCGCAGACTTCCTGCAAGCGACGCGCTTTGCTGGAAGTGATTCTTGCGAGATGCGCTTAGAGTATGGGCGGGAAGGGAGTTTTGGCCGTAATGCAGCGATAGGCGAGGTTAAACATGTGGACCATTTCCTCTCTCAATCGTGAGGACAGGTTTGGGTATTCTTATGAGATAAGTGGATGGAAGGCAGCTTGCCTCAAAGGATTTCAAACCACAGATCAACACCCTTCCAAAGTGTCGAAGTAGTTGCACCTGGTTGTCATTTGTTATCATTCAGATATATGCAAACGGCTAGTCCTAATAGAATAGTCGTGATCAGAGGATTCATGCTATGATCCAACGTAGTGTCAAGCTCTAGTCTTGATGAAAATGTCAGGATTCAATGGGTGAAACCGCTCATCCAAAGCAACGTGAAGCTTGATCTCAAATGAGAGAATGAAAGTATCCTCAGTTTGAAAAACAACCAAAAAAAAAAAAAAAAAACCCGTTTAAAAAAAAAAAGGGGGGGTTAGGGTTTTTGGGAAAAACCAAAAAGAGGTAAATGAAAGTAGTGAAGTCCTGGGGATATATCCTGCGAGCCACCGCAACATCCAGCTCTAACCCAAATGAACGTGTCGTGATGATAGGAACTTATCTCTCCATCCGAGCCAACGTCAGGCTCGAAGAGAGCCAAAACGCCTGAAGGTATCACGTGGTCCTGTGCAATATCAAGAATTGACCCCTTAAATCAACGAAATTGCAAGCTTTCGTTCGAATGACACCGCCATAATTCAAAAAACCATCGCATCATCAGTCGAACAATTGAGACTTCCGAAAGCTTCAATGATCGTCTACCGGAGAACAGTTGTCCATATCCACGGGTTGCTTGACAGCCAACCCCATTGACTGCAATTTCGTCAGACAATGTGAGGCAAGCCAATTGTAGAGAACGACAGGTCGCGGGTCTTTCTCAAGGCCTCTAGCTCAATGAGCCCCGCTAGTAGTCGCTGCTGCAAGCTTCCGTTCATCGTATCAATTGGTGGCAACCCCTCATTCAGGCGTCGGCGTAAGCGGTATACGCTGGGCCGACGGAAGGTCATCCGATTCTGCAGTGACCGTATCAACTTTCACGATTACCCGCGCCACGTACAAAGCTAGCTGTCTGTTGAAAGACCAGAAGTGTCGGTCCAGATTTGGTACATGTTTCGGTGATCAAACGGCTTGAAAACCTCTGTATGACTCGATGCTCGCGCTACCGATGGACTGCTCTCGAGACGAGACGGCGTCTTTTAATTTGGACGAGGTTAAAGATGACATGGACTTTGGTATACTAGTGTCCAGGCTTCTCGCCCTGAGAGCTCCAGAGACAGCTGATATAATTGTAATCAAGGGATCTCGCCCCCATAAACGGCGATCTCTTTACACAAAAGACATGGCATAGTATCGCTTACAAAGTACTAAGCGCATGACCTTCGAGACGCAGGGCCCCGGTCAAAATGACGGCGGTCATTGGATGGTACTGCTCCTTCGGGTGGAAGGCTCTTGGCAGTCAGGTCATGCAATCGACGACACAACCTGACACCCAGAAAGGGGCTTCGACGCCAGATATATCCGCAGAAATCTGCAATTGCTACCTATTCATTGTTACCAGCCCGTCTTCCACACGAAAGGTAGGCAGACGCTGATGCCGTTGTAGTTCAGCCACAGCGCTCAATAGGACTATTGTCCGCAATTTTTGTAGCACAATACTGTCTCCTTCTGGCATCTTGCACAGAGCATCTGACATAGTCTCAGCAACTTGGAGGACCTCACTAATTGTTGTTGCATGAACAGATTACCTTTGCCCGGGTAGAAAGGGGTCAGCCTGCCTGCACCGAGGTAATCGGGAACTGCAAAGCTACTATTGCAGATAGAGAAGAGGAGCACCTGCAGCAAAGCCTGCTTTGCCTTATTTTCTGACAAGCTAGTCTCTTCGGGATTAGCGCATATCAACATTCAAGTGACTCTTCCATTCCTTCATCCACCAGCCGAGTAAATCAATAAGCTCTCACAACAACGCCATATCAACTTTGAAGATGGAAGAACCGAATGCTAGACCTCATACAGCAAGCGATACAGCTCAGCTTCGGCTAACCTCTCTCACGCCCGAGCTAAAGTGCGCCGTCTTCGCAAGTCTTCCAGATGTGACTAGCACGAAGTCACTTGCCTTGGTGTCCTCCTCATTCTACTATACCTTCCTAGACGCCCAATCTCTCATACTCAGTCAAGTATTGCAGAACGAAATACCCACGGATTTGATGCATGGTGCTTTTGCAGCTTACAATGCCTCCAGAATACCGGTGTGGACTAAGCAAGCCGTTCAGGATTTCCTAGTCGAGTACTTCGGCAACTCCGTCCCCCACAAGGCCCAAAAATGGAATCTCTCTGAAGCCCTTCGTATGAGCAAGTTCCACAGCTGCGTGGAGTTCTTTGCCACCGAGTTCGCATCTTCCGCGCTCTCCAAAAATCCCACCACTCGAGGTTCAAATGCTGCACCATCATTTACAGAGGTAATCCGTATCAAGCGCACCATTTACCGATTCGAGCTTTATTGCAATCTTTTCCGAAAGCCAAGCTATCATCGTATGATACGAGGTGCACGGAACTGTCTGATTCAGCCCAGACCCTTTGGAGCGACAGAACAACGAGAAATTTTCTTTGATTTGTTTTCACCGTGGGAGAACGAACAATTGGGCTGCATCTACGACTACCTTGTCGGAGAGATCACAGTCCCCTTCAATGACGTTGCTGAGCACGACGTTGACTGGGGCGAACTTTCCATACCTTGGGTCGATACGTTTGGTAGCAGTGAAATCTGGTACAAGGAGCGTTACCTTTTAGTAGGCCTGGACTTCATCTTCCAGCTTAGCACCGCTAGTACCTATGATGATCGACACAGACTCTTAAAGTCGGATCAGGTGTCGGGGGAATCTTTCCTTTCCGACGCCATGATCCCACCCCGCTTGCTCCAACACGATGGTGTTCCGCTTGAGGAAGACAGCGACGAAGAAAAAAGAACCTTGGTCAGCCCTCATTTTAATGACGACAATGATAGCGGTCCCACCGAAGCATGGCGTTGGGCTCATGCTGAATGTTCCAAGGACCGCTTCTATTTCTTAGAGGATCATCGCTGGTTTCGTCAGCGAGGCTACGTTATGTGGGATCTCGCAAGACTTCTTGAGTGGGAATTCTTCGCGCTTCCCGTCCAGGCGCTGGCCGCAGAGCGCTTACCCGGATATTCAGGATGTCTTGAACAGCAAGCCGAGATGGACAGGCTGAAGGTCTCTTGGAAGAAGAGATCGCGGATCTGGGGGAAAGGCGGGACCGGCTGGTGGGCTCCGGGAGATGAGAGCCACATACAATGGCCTCGACGATATCAAAATCCACAAGTCCCCTCCACACAGAAGTATACTATGGCATTGCCGAAAATACTGAAAGCCGCCCCAAAGTCTTCGGGCTGACAGTGCGAGGTTGAATGGGTTTCGTGCTTGTATCTATGAAGATAGTCGTCGATGGCAAAATTCAAGCGGTACCGTGTTTACAAGATCCTCGAAGGAGGAGTCAAAGGCCCAGTACAAATCAATCTATCAAGCTAGCGCTTCGTTACAAGAAATCCGCACGCCATTGTGTATTGTGGTCATCCAGCAGTCCAGAGACCCCTAACCAAATTTGCGGAGCTGGTAGCATGTCCAAATCGGGTAAAGCGCAGCGTTTAAGACGCGTCGAGCCAAACGCGAGCATCCCGCGAGTTCGATAGCACCTTCCAACGAAACAGATAATTGTCAGCAGCCTGTAAAGGAAATCGCAATGCCTCCGGCGGCGAAAAGAAGAAAGGTCTTGGGAACTACGACACGTTCGTTGACTGCTCCTGCCACTCAGCGAGGAATTCAGGCTTTTGGCAAGATCTCTAAGTCGCAAGTACAAGATCCTGGGAAGGGCCTCTTGGGCAAGGACAGCACTTCAAAATATAGCAAGGACGCTCCCAGCGGCGAAAATAACAAGAAGCGGAAGCTGGGATCCATATGGAGTCCTGCGCACAAGGAGGAAGGCGAGAAAGCGTCGAGCCTGAGCGAGCAGGCACCACCCATAGATGACAGCAGCAGCAGCAGAGGGGTGGAAAGATCGGCTGATCCACCAACTTCAACCTCAACTCAGACAAACAATCCTCGAAAGAAGGCGCGTTTACCGAGTCACGTAGAAACCCCAACAAAAGGCGCTCGCTCGTGCCTCGAATCTTTTGCTCTTACTTCGTCTTCGCCCTCAAATCCAAGCTCTTTATCACGCACAACATACCATGAGACACCACCTTCATCTCCAGCCTCTGCAGAGAGCGAATCACTTGAACATCACGCTTCGCACCAACTGCCAGATGAGTTGCATGACCTCGTCAACCTGCACTCCTCGTTCCTCACCGCCCTATCTCTCCACTATGCGCACAATGGATCCATGACCCCTGCGGATCTACGCAATCTTGCACCTGGGATTGAAAGAGCGTGGAGGAAGAGAAGAGTATCTCCGCAAGATGTGAGGAGGATACTGGCCATAGGGGAGCCTGAAGGGGCCGATGGGCCCAAAAGAGCAGGGCCATTTTATCTGTCAGACTACGGTCATGGCAAAATTTATGTCGAGATCCAAGACCATCCGAACTCAGGGACGACTACAAGGCGACCGGTCAACGAAGAAGTCCTAAATAGAGTCTTTTTACGCGATCTTGAGCAGCGTTGGAGGTGCTACAAGACTGATAACCCGGCTGACCCTTCTCCTTCAAGTTTCCTTGCATCACTCGCCTTGTTACCGATCATTCCATGCACTTCTCTCTCGAAGATCACCCCTCTCCTCTCCAAAGGACAACGGCGCCTTGAAGACCTCAAAGCTGGCGCCATCAAAGCCCAGCAAAAGCCGCTATCTATTACGTCTGCAAATTCCACGACTCCTTATCAGCCAAAAACAAAGCAAACTTCTGCTCGATCCGCAGACCTTTTCTCGCGACTCAAAGCCAAGCAACTCCACCAGTCTACCCTTCCTCTACCTCCCTCTGCAGAGGCTTTGGCTCGAAAATCTGCACTCCAACGCCTGCACGAAATCATGCCTGTGCTAGAAAGTCTCTCCTTTTCCTCAAAGAAACACGCCAATGATGATGCAGCCGCAGTCGGAGTTAGGTCGATGGCATTCCCTGTTTCTTTCACGATACCAACGCTGGTACAGCATCTGCAAATGTCATTGCGAAATCCGATCGGCAAGGAGGACATAATGAGGTGTGTAAGAGTGTTAGCGGAGGTGGCTCCGGAGTGGGTGGCGTTGAAGGACGTGGGAAGGATGCTTGGTGTGACAATCAAAGGAGGGGGGTTGAGAAAGGACGAAATAGGAAGGAAGATTGAAAGCCTCCTTGAGAAGCTGTAAGTTCTCTTTTGATAGGAGAGAAATGCCAGTGTCGTAGTACTGCAACACTTGCTGGAGCTGGCCAGTATGCTTGGGTATCGAGTCTCTGGCGCCATCAATCGTGGCACATTTATTGCAGCATTATTCATAGACGAATGACAATCACTTCCGCCTCTGAATTCAACGCTATTCCCTTCAATTGTAGGCGTTGCAGCTCGTGCACGTCCTCGCCTCCTGAATCACAGAAAGATCCCACACCGCTTGCCCTCGTCGATGTCCACAAAACGTCATCTCAATCCCACTGATCAATGGCCATCGCTGCGATCGAGCTCCGCATAATCACTCACCATACACTGCTCGAAAAGGACGCATCTGCTCGCCATCCGTGTATGGAATCCCTACAACGAAACCACCCTCGGGAACTCAATCTGTAAGTCCCATCCTTGGGACCCGAGTGACTGCACATTCCCAATCCATGCCCAACGGACCCGACACGATCGGCCGTGCCTCCGTACCCTGCTCCTACACCACCGCAAACGGCTGGTCGGAAGGAAGGGTAAGCCGTGCCATCCTGTCGATATCTCTACCCCGCAAAGCACTCACACACGCACTCCCCCCCCCTCCCTCCCCATTCCATCCCCCAGCCCCCCTCCCAAGCGAATCCTACCCACCCGCCTACGCCTACGCCCGCGTCCCCACCTCCGGCCTCGCCTCCTCACACGACCCGCGAGCTTGGACCACCGGCGGGCAAAGGTTCCGGGGTCGGAAGTACCGTTCCCATCCGCGACGCCGGCGACGGGTTCGACCGTTCGGACACCGGACGGGAGAGCCGCATGCCGGTTTTCGGTTCAGTGCGTGTGTTTGCGGTAATGGTTCGAAGACGAGGGTTTCGAGTGGGCTGCTGGGGTGCGGGTGAAGAGGTGGTGGTGGGATGGGATGGGATGGGATGGGATGGGGCGTTATGGTGATGGGTGGTGATGTGGAAGTTTGGGGAAGTTTGATGGGGTTGAATCTTCCAGGTGGTGGAAGGGGATTGCAATGTTTGGATGATGTTTTTCTGTCTTGAAGCGCCAACGCGAGTTGTAAGACTTATCTATTTATGATTATTATTGTGAAAAATTATGTATGTCATTTTTGCCTTCGTATCTTACATTGTCTTCAGCCCATCGTTCAAAGGTCTAGAGCACTTCTCCGAGACCCCACCATAAATGCACGCCCAGACACCCCAGCACCACCTTCCCAACCTCGGTCACGGTCAATTGCCTATGCCCGTCGTAAAGCCCGACCAAATTGTCGAAAGACTGTACGCAGAGCCAGCAGAGCCAGATCTTGACGATCCAAAGCGCGGCATCGATCACAGCTGGCATACCAAAAGCAACATAATCGCTCAACAGCATCTTGAGGACAGCTTTCCTGTATGCGAGCACCTTTGGCGCGTCGGTACCGGGCAGATGCACGGCGCAGGCATCAAGATCCGAAAGCGCATAGTGGTGAGATGGAGACGGAAGGCGCCGAAAAAGGTAAATAGGTACCCATCGGAGGAGATTTAGTAGCGAGGTGGGTGCGAGAGAGGATACATCCAGAAGCACCGCATATTTATCTGCCGAAGCAGCTTTCCACCACGGCCGCATATTGAAAAGGTTGAATACAGCAGGGGGTTCTTCGAAAAGTTTTGTGAGGAGGTCAGGGTGAGACGTATGGAAAGTAGCTGCTCCAGGATCTGGCTTTGAGAGAGCGACCTTGATATACTCGGAAACGGATGTGCAGCGGCTGATTTGGGCGTAGAAGAGAGGTGAAGTGATCTTGAAATTTACAGGGCATTGCTGCATGTTTGGCTTGTCACACAGGGCGTGCGGCTTGAAGGATTCCTCGGCGGACATGGTCGCGATGCCCGATAGGAATCGCAGAGCGAACGGAAGTTCTGAACTTTCGACAAGGGTTTTGAGGTAGTGTCGGAAAATTGTGGCGATAGCTCTAAGACACCATCAGCAGTTGTGACAAAATAAAGGTCCCCATATAACTGTACGTTTCGTCCTGCGTCTCATTCCTCCCGATGCTGTCTTTGAGTACCTCGGGCCTGTACCAAACGTGTAGCTTTCTTCGAAAGAAGAGCTTCCCTGCTTCTCGTGCTATCCGTGGGAACGTGACAAGACCTACCCACCACCAAGCTGCAATAAATTTAAAGATACTCCATCCTTTGAGTTTGTAGGGGTCTATGCTATCAGAGGAAGAAAAAACGCGAGCAATGAGCTTTGGATGCTGTTTAGAAGAGCTAAGGGTGATGGTATTGTTGACGAGGGCTGCACCAGCCCTGCTACTTAAGTTAGGAAAGAAGGGGTCATTAGCCGAAAGCGAGTAGGCGCCCTTCCGAGAGTTGAATGGAGACACGTGGAAGTCCTTCGGCCATGATTTCGCGAACCGTCCAAGTACCTTCTGATTGGGTGTACTCTGGCCCTGGCTACCGTTCTGATCCACTTTTCCGGCTGCGAGGTTTTCATTCTCATCCACAGAAGCTCCATTGTCAGGCTCCATATCTTTTAAGAAGTACATACGTCTCTCGTCGAATGTATTATTTACTTCGAGTATCATGGCTTTCAGCTTCTTTGTCCTGTTGTACAGGTACCAGAATGACACAGGGTTGAAGGAGTACCCCAGAAATCGAGGCGCAGTCACAAGATAAGCAATGGGGTAGTCCTCAACCTTCTCATTCTGTTCAAAATCATAAGCGTGTATGCATGGGACTCATGCAGCCCGCGCTTACTTGAGATTCAAGGTATATATCAAGCTTGCCCCGTAAACCGTGCATGCTATCCCCTCGAGCGAGAAAATCGGCAGAATCAACGTTGAACCAGCCGGTTTTGGGTTTCCGGCCCCTCCATGGCAAAGTTCTGAGATCTGCAGTCAAGAAAGACGAGACCCAGCCTCGCCAGCCAACTGGGATACCCACATAAAGGTATGAGTAGGAAAAGTTGTGCTTCTGGGGGAAGAAACGTGTGTGAGACGTTCGACAGGGAAATAAGATTGGCTTCAAAGGACTCGATTCATCGTTGTAGTCGTATTGGCTGCTGTACCGGCCATTGTCGAAATCCCACTGAAGCCTTTTCACCTTGGCCTCAAGCTCTTCGATCTCAATCTTGTACTCTTGACGTTTCTTGTACACGTGGGGCAACAAGTAGACGTTTAAGAAGCCGAGGCCCACAAAACAAGCACACTGGAGACAGCAGTATCCTTTAAAAAGGAAGTGAGAGCGCCAGCGCCAATTGGGAGAAGAGTGCAGTGGCCCTGGTCTAGGTAGCCCAATCCAAAGTAGAATGAACGACTTGAGATCGGTTGCTGCGCCTGGCCGGTCATATCTATATCTCATGTACCACACAGCGGCAAAGACAAAGGCCGCGACAAATAGATCCATGAAATCACGAGTAGTCACCGCTTTATTCTGTCATGATTATGCATAGTGAGTAGTCGGTTTCTCATTTTCTGGCCAAGGAAGTAGATTCAGCTCGTTCGCCACTTGTTTGTTGGGCTGTCATGATCCCTTGATCAAAGAATCTGGAATTCGCTTATCTTAGCGTAACCGCAGCGGTGACTCGTTGCCAAGACATCTTGTTTCACTTGCATCCTCAGCTCCTCCCTCTCTTCCAGTTTGACAAACACCTTTACACAAACATCTCTCACACACATCACATCTATTTACACGCCCTTATCAAGCACACGATACCAAACCTCCAACCGACATCACCGAGCTACCTTCACTACCAAACACCCATCACACCATCACCATGTCAGACGATTGGGACACCGTTACCAAGATCGGAAGCAAGACCGGCGGAGGCTCCTCTCAGCGTGAAACCGTTGTGCGAGGAAAGGGAGCAATCAACCAAGCTCAGCGTAGCGGAGCTGTCATCGGCACCGAAAAGAAATTTGCCACAGGCAACCCCGTAAGTCTTGCCCGCAACACCCCCCAGCTTTTACCTTCAGGCTTGCCAGAAACACCTTGCGTGTGTGGTCATTTCTACATAAAATGGTGCCAGTGATCACCTTCCTCTATCTCGCTAACACGTTCCATTCTAGGCCAACAAATCCGGCTCCGAAGGCCAGCGTCTGACCAAAGTCGACCGCGCCGACGATATCATCGCCCCGAACAAAGTGCCCGCGGAAATCGGCCAGAACATTCGCAACCGCCGCTCGAAAGAGGGACCCTACAAGATGACGCAGGCGCAGCTGGCTCAGAAGGTGAACGCGCCGGCGAAGGATATCCAGACGCTTGAGTCGGGAGATGCGATTAAGAACCAGGCGCTGCTTAATAAGGTGGCGAGGGTGCTGAAGATTAGTCCGAAGACGGGATTGCCGTTGGATGATAAATGAGCTGGGCTAGTTCCGGCTGAGGTCTTAGGGGTTGGCTTCTTTGATGCGATGAAAGGAGCAATTGGCCGAAGGGGAGTTTGTGGCAGCGATTTGCATGATGCCGATAGATCAATCCAGGCATGAGCTTAGAATTACGAACTAGATGATCAGCAACCAAAGCGGCTTGGGAAGCTTTGTCTACACCTGCTTTCTACTTTTCGGTATACACCAATGGTTTACACTGAGATCTTACATACCCAACATCCAATATCTACGGCGAACATATTCAAGCACTTAAGCCTAGCGAGCTTGACAATCTCTCCTTTAGCTTACGCTTCATCCTCTTCTCCACTGCCTCCATATACTCATGCGTCGTGACATAATCCTTCCTCTCTGTCAAGCCACACGCCAGAGCCAGGTCCTTCGTCATGATATTGTCCTTACCAACGGTATCCACACACGCCTGCTCAAGAATCTCCGCAAATATTACCACCTCTGGCGTATCATCAAGCTGGCCTCTCTGCACGAGTCCTCGGGTCCATGCAAAGATCGACGCTATAGGATTGGTGGATGTAGCATTGCCCTTCTGGTGCTCCCTGAAATGTCGTGTCACCGTGCCATGCGCTGCTTCCGACTCAAACGTCTTGCCCTCAGGTGTGATGAGCACGGAGGTCATGAGACCCAGCGACCCGAAGCCTTGCGCGACGATATCTGATTGCACATCTCCATCGTAATTCTTCAACGCCATGATAAATCCACCAGACGATTTCATCATCTGCGCAACCATATCATCAATCAGCCGATGCTCATACCATATCTTCTTGTCCTCAAACTGCGACGCATATTCCTTCTCGTATACCTCCTGGAAAATATCCTTGAACCTCCCGTCGTATTTCTTTAGTATAGTGTTTTTTGTGCTCAGATATAGCGGTAGAGCTTTGCTCAAAGCAAGCTTGAAGCTGGCGTGAGCAAATCCCTGTATCGATTCGTCCGTGTTGTATTGTGTCTGCGCAACCCCGCCTCCCTCTCCAAATTCAAACACTTTTATCCGTTCCGGCTCTCCTCCCTTCGGCGTGTACACCATCCTCAATGTCCCGGGACCCGAAACGACCATATCTTTAGCGCGGTATTGATCTCCAAAAGCATGTCTCCCAATGATAATCGGTTTCTTCCACCCCGGCACCAGCCTCGGTATCCTGGGTATGACGATTGGTTCTCTGAACACTGTTCCCCCAAGCTGGTTCCGTATCGTGCCATTGGGGCTCAACCACATCTGCTTCAACTTGAATTCTTTCACACGCGCTTCGTCGGGGGTGATGGTCGCGCATTTGACGCCTACAGAGTATTTCTTGATTGCTTCTGCGGCGTCTAAGGTGACTTGATCGTTGGTTTCGTCGCGGTAGGGGAGGCCGAGGTCGTAGTATTTTAGATCGACCGAAAGGTAAGGGTGAATAAATCTTTCTTTGATGTCTTTCCAGATGATGCGGGTCATCTCATCGCCATCTAGTTCGACGATTGGGTTCTTGACTCTGATTTTGTTTGTGGTAGCCATTGTTCTTGTGAAGCGCGGTGGATGTGGTGGAGGCGCTCGCTGGTGTCGACAGAAAACCTGGGAGCTTCGAGGGACGAGGGCAAGTGGTCTTTGAAATTGATGGGACACTGGCGCCCAAAAGGAGTTCATTGTTGAAATGAAAGTCCGTATTCGAACTGGAGGAGCGGAACTTCGTCACTCATGGGAATCTGCGTGGGTAGCGCGGGGATATCTCCGAAAATCTTGGCACGGCAGTTGATGGACAGGTATAGTACCAACTACCAAGGGAGGAAAAGCAATGATGTCGTTGCGTACATACAGCTCGCAGAAGATCGCAAGTTGCAGATTTGTCTCAAGACATGGAAATATGTAGCTCTCAGCCGAGACCATTCCCTGGATCTCAATGGAAACATAGGCTGCTTTATCAGTCTGGTGCTCGGTACATCTTCGCACGGTATATTCTTGGAATAGGTATATCTTTGGGACATCCAGACCCCTTATCATCAACTTGGCTTTGGTCTCTGCCCTGGTAAAAGCACCGAGTAGAGAGCGTGGTGGCTTTGACGGGTACTTGATCATCTTGATGCGGAGGGGGGATCCGGATCCCTTTGGCATAGCGATTGATGGCCAAGTCGAGCATTGATGACTTGGCTGGGTCCATGTTCTCCAGCCACTACAGACGTGTGAGAACAGAGCTCCAAGATTGAGTGAGGAGTAGCACCTTACCGGTACTCTCGACAACGGTAGTAAGATGCAGCTGTTGGAATCGTTCATTGGTCTTGGCTGTGACGTTGAGGAATCGTGAAGACTATGTGAGAGTAAAATCTCTTTGAGTGAGGCGTATGTCTCGGTAACGAATATGAAAATGCCGTTTATTTTTTAAAAACATTTTTAGTGGTTGTCAGTGCTCCACGTCTGGTTTGATCATAGGTCGACCGGGATAGAAACGGCATGATGATTAGGCCGAGGTGCGAGACACGCAGTCAAGATACAGTCTCCTTCATTTAATGCGTGTGCAACGTCTTGGCATAAGCATCCATAAGACCTTTGAACAGACATTTAAAGAGGAAGTCCAACGAGAAAGACCGTTATCAACAATCACGATGCCTGCTTCTATCAAGGACGTCCCTCCAGAAATCTTCGAGAACATCCTATCCCACATCCGTCCTGTAGACTACCTCAAAGTCAAACTCGTCTCCAAAAGCTTTTCGGACTGGGCTTCCAATGTTTTCAAATGGGAAGACATGACTATGGAGGAGGTGGTGCAGGGCCACACCAGCGTAGAAGCTAGCCTTCCAAGGGGTCGACGTCTAAATTACTGCATTTGCAAGCACTGCGGACTGGTCAAACCTACCAACGAGTTCTCCGACAACCAGGCCGTGAAGACCAACCACAAGCGCATTTGCATCTCATGCGGGATCGGCTACAACACCTACACCAAGCGTCAGTTGCCGAAGATCAATGGAGAGGAACACATACCCTGCTGGCATTGTAGGAAGGCTGTTCCGAAGTACGACAACTGGGAGGAGATACTTGTATCAGGAAAGGCTGTTTTGACGAAGTTGCTTGAAGAAACCACGCCTGAGGGCGACCCAATAACATACATGACATCAGATCGTAGAAAGTTGGTATCGGTTCACGAGTTACCGGCGTTGGCGCTCTGCAAGCCGTGCCTGAGATTGATGATGCGTCATAGGGCGGCAGGACCGAGACTGAGACGTTGATATCCGATCACATGGATAGCAAGAGCAAACGGGGAATGTGTCTGAGATCAGTGAGCTCAAGATGTATGTAACCAGCGTGGAGCAAGCACTGGATTTTGCATATGCATTACATTGATCTTTCGGTTGGGCGGCTGACCGGTTTCTCGACGCTTTTGATGTATGCACAGGAGCAAAACTCAATGTAACCTAGATGTGTAGCTGGGAGGATGTCATAAAACTCGTTGCTCCATTCTCTCAAAATTGCCCACAACGCTGTCGGCAAGAAGCCAAAGTTAGTCTACACTTCGGCCGCTTGCATCAATAATCTCATTTCGAGAAGGGATGCAGTTCAGCTGTTCGTGCAAACGAGCGGAAGGCGCCCTGAAAGAAAGATAAAAGATGGGACACCTCTGCCACTCTCGTTGCTGGCGGTCAATGGGACAAAAACGTCGTTTCGCGCCAAAACTTACTCGTCGTTTCTCCGGTCATGTCCTCCTGCAAATTTGCCTGATATCACGTAACAATCGCTTCCACCCCCCTTCCCTCCAATATCTTTATCTAACGAAAAGGCTCTCTCAGACCTAAAAGAAAGCAAAAGAAACTGTTTACAGAGTTCGATAACCTGCAAGAGGAATGGAAAAGTATCCACCTTCCCTACGGTAGGTCTACTACAGGACTGAACGTTACCAACAAAGCTCTCCAAACTCGCAGTAGCATGACTGCCGGCGATCAACAAGAATTGCTTGTCCTCAGAGCAGATTTTGAACGAGAGATCCAGAGGATAGAGGGTCAGGCGTTCCAAACTTAGAAGCGTATTCCGGAGGTCAAAGACGAGAGTGAGTCTTCAGTTTTAAGCTTGCGTAAGGGCTTCAAGATTGGGTATTGACAAGCGAAGTGATCAAGATCATCGCACAAATCAGAGCTTTGGAAAAGCAAGCAGTTGGGGAGGAAGACAAAGCCTAGAATTTCGATAGTGTTTGAGAGGTTAGATAGAAGCTCGGGAACCCCTAGGACGCCAACGTGAGCGAGCGAGCGATGCCCATCAGTACATCGATCCCGTTCATGCAGACGAGAATGACGCACTATCGATATGGACAGAAACTGGGATTGGACCTCTGTTTTCGTAAAGAATGAAGACACATTCGCCACTTCAAAGTGACTCGTGAGGTTAGTTCTCTTCGATTCGAACATCATGCTTCCTCCAAACCTCCCTTCTCAAAAGTCCTCAACTGCACCTTCTCAGACTGGACTTACTCAAACCCGAGTTCGTCCTCGAGCCAACTGTGCGGCAGCAAAAATTGACAACAAGAGACGTGGATATACTCAAACCCGAAGTTCGTACTCGAGCCGTTTGGGGAACAGCAAAAAGCCAAAGAGCATGACCATTTGTACAACGAATACATGAACTACCTCAACCCGGACCTCATCATGGAGCGGGCTTGGGAGCAGAAAAAGGCCGATGAGCATGAAAAAGCCAAAGAACATGAACGCTTGGACGGCGAATATCAGGTCTTGGCCCGTGAGACGGCCGATCTGCATAGCTTCCTAACGCACATAAATCGGTTGCTCGACGATCCAGACAATGATGCCTCGCAGTTGGACATGCAGCAAGACATCAAGGTAACTCATGAGCGGATGATTTCGCGAAACGAGGATTTGATGGCCGAAAAAATGCAGTTCATGAAGTGGTTGCGCAAACCAGGTAGGTGGCATTCTCCAAATAAACGATGTCGTGTCGAATGTGGAGAGGGAATTCTTTCTGGCTAATCTAGTCAGATGAAGATTACATGAAATGGGAGGATGCTCCCAAGGCTGCGTCTGCTGATGAGAGCAGCGCAGCGAACAAGTATGAATCTGAGATGTATGATGAGGGGCGGAGCTCTTTCAAGGTGCCTGAAAAGAATGGCGGAACGGAAGAGAGCTCCTGGAAATAGTGCAGAGAAGGGAAGTAAGGGGGCTGCAGGTAGTCTGCATGAGAAGATGAGTGGAGGCGAGTACTAGAACACAGACGTTGCTAGTTTACAACCTCATTCCACACACTGGTAACATGAAACCACCGAAAGTCCAAAGTATCTTATCTCCCCGAGTGCACCACCCTACCAGCATCTGAATACTGCCTGGGATATGCTCTACTTGCCAAACCCAAACCAGCTCGAGATCCCACTCTTCGCCTCCGCCGTTTTCCTCTCCACCGTCTTATCAAAATTGTCAATGGATTGATTGAACTCCTTTTTGGTATCATTCTTAGACTTGTCGAACTGAGAAGCGGTATTGTTCTTGAGTTTTTCGAACTTGGCCTCGGCTTCGCTCACTTTGGCAGAGATAGTCTTGTCGGCGTCGTGAACCTTGTTGCGGACATCATCGACCTATATGCAGATTTCTTGTTAGCTGAGACCAATTAGAGCAGGGTTAAAAGCAGGCACGCATACGGTGTGATCGATCTTAGAGCCCGCGATCTGTGCCCATTCTTCACCCTGTTTCTTCGCTTCCGCACCGGAGATGTTCTGGCCTTTCAACGAGGCTTTGGCGCTTTCGGCATCATCTATCAGTACGTGTCAGCTTGTGGCCTCAGATGACTCTTGTGATTACCAGTGGACTAACGCTCGGCTTTCTTCTGCGCGACCTTGGGTTCCCCTCCAGCAGCGTAGAGGTAGTATCCTCCAATTGCTGCAACAGGTAGGCCGACGTACACGATCCTACGTCCAGCCATGGCAGAATGTTGCTGGTCGGGTTGGATTTTGTGAGTAGAGTTTGACGCTTGAAGCTGTGTCTTTTTTGAAGCTTGGGAGAATTGTTGTTTGGCGTTGGAGTTTTATTATTGTATTTATATATAAAGTATATATTTATAGTACGCTAATAAGTGTTTATACAAATTTAAAACTTTTAATAGCTTAAATGAATCAAAATTAAGGATAAGTTCATCTCTTATTAAGTTGAGAGAATAATCTAAGCTAAATCTCTATTTTGTGTAGAGTTAATATTTACTAGAATCCGATCGTATTATAACGCTTATTTCATATAAACTTCGTCGTAAATTTTATAAAGTGTTATAGTTTTATAAGTTTACTATAAAGCCTATATGTCTAAAGTCGATAGCTACTGTTTAAGTCAGGCGATTATTATATTCATCAATAAGATCTAAATTATAGAAGAGGTAAAGTATAGGCGATAGGGAATTCTAATTGCTATGGAGTCTTTAATATAAAATATTCGCTTGTTTTTAGCACTGTTATCCTATTGAATAGAAACGATTCTATCCAATTAACTACTCTTATATCGATTTTTCGCTTTCGAGATTATAGAGCAGTGAGGATAAGAGATTTTATTTTATAATCTGAAACGTCTAACAGTAATATCATAGCTACTTTATTAGAGTTTCAGGCTTAATATATTCTTTCTAGAAGGTAGTGGATACCGTGTTCATATAATCGTAATTATGTGTATAATCAATAGGAGTTTATATGTCTTCAGATACGCTATTCTCCTAGTAAGAATAAACTTTATTACCTTTTCTATAGTATTAAGTAAAGCTATTAACTGATATTCTTTAGAAATCGAGTAGTTTTACTCGGCTTCGAAAGGATAATTATTATTGATATTCTAAAGTACTCTAAGTAATAGCTATTCGTTATGTATATATTAAATATTCTATATAGATAAGGGAGTAATGACTCCAGAATCTCCTTAAGAATTAGGTTGGGATCGCGTCTCCCTCGGTACTCTCTTTGACGATACCTACGTTATAGTCTTTCTTATCTCATTTACGATAATTATACCCATTATATAGGTTATAGATATATTATATAATAATATTTTTTAAACGCTATATCGATAATAAGAAGAATATTCTTATAAGAAGATCTGCCTTCAAGCCTAGTTTGTTATATTCTTATTTATCTTTATTAAATAGTAGAGAAAGATACATTTATATTATAAGTTGTTTTCTAACTTACTTAATCTTTTCTATATCATTTATAACGACTTATACGCCTCTATTATAAACTCTCTAAACGCCTTTCTAGTAGTTCTCTTAATCAGATTATTTTTAAAGTTCTTAGCGACTTTATACTCATCTTATACTTTCTTCGAGAGCGTTATTCTCTAGCTTCTTTTTAGTAATTTATAACGCTTTTATACTTTCTTATATTCTAATATAAATTTCAATCTAAATTATAGCGATAATCTAATAATCGAAGTAAACTTCTTTATAATCGCTTAAATAGAGTTAATAATAGCTATTACTTAATAATCGATATTATTATTAATAAGATTTTTACTATTTCTCGAGAAATTAACTAAATACTCTTTCGATATTATAGCTCTAGCGAGTATCTCTCTTAAAACCTCGGCGTTTAGTTTATTAAAGTTTCGGTGTATCGTTAATATTAACTCTATTATAGAGCTTAAGCTTTATAAGAATTAAAAGGTAGTTAGATTTACTTTCGAAATTATTTTCAATATTATAGTTAATAATATTTGTTATTAGTACTAAAATAACGAATAGTAGATCTATTATTATTTAATAGTTTTCTTTATATATCATTATTTCTACTAATAATACTTATTCTATAGCGAATTCTTTCGCTATAAGTATTAATTCTTCTACTCTCTCATCGATATAAGCATTTAATCCCCTTATATCGTATAATAAAGATTAAAGTCGTCTAATATAATCTATTCATTATTCTTAGACTTTATAAGCGTCTTATATAATTTATTAAGTTCGTCTATTTATTAGTCGTAGATTATAGATATTATATATATATATAATTCTATTATTTTTAAACTTAATATTAGAGTGTAGAGGTTCGATAAATAATATAATAAATACTATTACTTTGATAATATTCTCTTATTAATATAAGTATACTCGTATATTATTATAATAGGGATAGATTAAGTTAAATCTATCCTTTAGAAAATAATATAACGTATTTATATTAGTATTTCTTCAAGGCTTCTAAATTACTATATATTTTTTTAGATCTTTTTATTATCAAGAGTTCTATTATAACTATTTAGATTTCTTATATTGTATTATATATTAATAGCTAACTATATACTATCATTTCTCATATTATTATTAATATTACTTACTCGCTCCGCTTAATTTATAACATCTTCTTTCTAAGTATTCTCCTTTTCTTAATCGTCGATAAATTATATATTCTTTTATATAACGAGATTCTCTTATTACTATTCTTTTAACTTAGAGGCTGTTTATCGTCCTCATTATTAATTTCCTTGTTACTTATCGTCCTTTATCGTTTAGCTTTTACTACTTTGGGCGATTATTTCTTGAGTGATGAAAGCTTAACTAGATTTGATATAATAATTCTTTCGAGGTCTAGCTTGATTTCTTCTGCTAATTATTCTACCTCTATCTTAGCCTATCGCGCGTGAATATTGCCTTAGCTATAATTGACGTATTCTAAAAGTAGTTATTTAATTAATCGCTTATTTGATAGCTAGTCGCTTCTTCATTATTATAAATTGTAAAGAAGTCTATTATCTCGCCATTCTCATTCTCGCTATCTTCTCTTCTTTACTATATATATCTTATTCTAAGCCTCTATAGTCCCTCGTAAACCGAGCATTTGCGAGTATCGACTATGTTTTTTATAATAATGCTCTTCTAAGTATTTCCATATACTAAGTAATTCTTTTTAGAGTATACAGTCGATAGATAACTGTATTTCCAATATATGAAGTATTGCTTCGTTTATTAATAATTTTATAGATTGTGTATTTATTTTTTTTTTTTTTTTATTTATAGTATTTAGTTGTTTCTTGAAGCTGTGTCTTTTTTGAAGCTTGGGAGAATTGTTGTTTGGCGTTGGAGAACTTCGAAGCTTGGAAGGTCCAGCCCTTGGCGGTCCCATGACGTCCTCGCGTGGCGCTTTCCCACTTTGGGCTTCATCAGCCACACTGTAGAGCATGTTGAGCTCTTGACATTATTCCATTTCCTCTTACAACGCCATACTCGGGAATCTCTCTGAGCCTCTCCAGAAATGAAAAAAGTCAGATCATGAAATCCAGGCATCCAGACTCAACGTTGCAATGTCAGTCTTTGGACTTGAACGAAGCCAAACCGACGGTGCCCAAGCCTATGACCATGCCATAGACCTCGTGGATACCACCAAGCCTAAGGAAAGCTTCGAGGAGGAAGGGTCATCTTTATCCTCTCCGATACCCAGGTCAGACAGCGGAACTCTTCTGAGCCGACAATGGACCAAAGGCGGACTTCAGAAGCAGTTAGCTCAGCGGAAATACGCAAAATATCAGGAAGGCAAGGAAGACAACCCTGAATCATTACCTGAATCTGGTGACGAGAGTGGTAATACTGAGGCAAGGACGTCTCAAGAGGGCGAGCCTAGGAAAGACAGTGTGCGTACCGGTCGACTACGAGACAGGATACCTTTCAGAAAGAAGGCAAAAGCGAAGTCTCGAGAGAAAGTCGACACTTTCATTGACGTTCTCTATGAGAACCAACGTGGCTCATTTTTCTGTGGCATTCCCCTCTACTCGTCGAACTCGCTCCTCAACTTCGACCCTTCCCCTTGGCAAACGGCCAGTTTCAAAGACAGTGCGGTCAATATTACCAACTTTCAGCTACCGGACCCTAGCTGGGCTTGGGATTGGAAAAAATGGTATGTAGACATGTCGCATGATGTCGACGAAGAGGGCTGGGAATACTCGTTCAGCTTCAACAGCGTCTACTCGTGGCACGGCACGCATCCCTTCCTCTACTCCTTTGTACGGCGGAGAAGGTGGCTGAGGAGGAGGGTCAGGATACACCCACACAAGGCAGATGGAAAGAAGGGTAGTATAAAAAATGCACATCTGTTGAATGAGGATTATTTTACGATTCATGCCGCCAAAAGGAGCAGAAGTCGTGAGTCCAGCGCGGACAGGTCCACCAACAACCAATCAAGCTTTATGCCTGAGGTCAAGGCTGAGGATGAAGCGGAAGAAGATCTTGGTGAGGTTAGCGACATATCAGCTCTTATGGCAGCCCTCAGAAGATCCAGAGTGGACAGAGAAAAGATTGCTGCGGTGAGAGTATTCTTAGAGCAAGGCGGCGATGAGCTCTTCTATCTCGCAGAGAAGATGCCGGAGATATTGGCCATTTTTGTCCATCAGACGTCATGCCGTCAACTCCAATCCTACCTCCTTCAGGTTCTTGATGAAGCTATCAATACGGAAAGCACGGGGAAAGACAAAGAGAACGGCAAAGAGGACTCGGATACTGACACTGCAGCCAAAAAGCTCAAGATTGATAATGTCCTCAAAGCGATCAATGCAGCTGGAGTCCACATCAATGATCTGCACTATTGGAGTGATCTCAGAGACCGAGCGACCAGCAGCGAGGCTGGTCCAACAGAGCAGACTCATGCCTTGGACGCTAGTGAACCGGCTGAAGTAGCTGGAGATCAGCCTCATGCACATAGTGATGATGATGAGACTAACGTCCGAGAGGAGATCAAGGGCATTCCGAAGGATGCTCATGTCTCCAAGGAGCCTCGAATCCAATTTAACACTCGACGCAATGATCCTAGTGATGCAGAGGGCAGCGGTACAGGCCCGCTGGATAAAGGAAAAGGCAAATTATAGTGGCTCTTGTCTCTGCATTTATCATGGACGTACGGTGTTCATGATGGGGACTGGGGGTTTATTCGTTTGAACGGCAGCATAGCGATGGAGTCACTGGCATGGGATTAGAGCAATAAATACCCATGGGATCGTTTTTTTGGTTTTTTGGTGAATTTTGCAATGTTGATGTTCATCGTATATAATAATTATATCTCATACACCACACTTCTGGCATCCTTCTCCTACTTTACCTATCTTTCGTTGAATTTTCGAGCCAATCCCTTTCCAGCGAAGATGTGGCGCAAAAGGTGTGGGGCAAAACGTCAACATTCGATGGACGGAACGATCTCCTGGCTTTCTCTTACTATACACAATAGCTGTAGCTCTAATGAGCCTACAGCTTTGCTCTACCAAATTTATATGGCATCATGGTGGTCTTTGTTGACTTGGAAGACGACGTCCCTGACGATCCCCACGCCGATCCCAATGAACCCCGCGGGTTCTCATCTCTCCGCAAGCACCATCTCGGAGACAGGTCGACGGCGGAGGTGACGGCCAACGGCCACGATGAACACGTCGAGGAAAGGCCCAATCCCAACATCAACAGCTTCTCGGCAGCCTTGGGCGCCTATCCGTACGTCCGACCGCCGTTTTCTGTCACAATGGACTAACATCTCCAATCCAGCATCGTCACCCAACTAGCCCACAACGTGGACCTGAACACTCTCGACGCCCTGTCACGTACATGCCGCCAGATCCGCGCTAACCTGTTGCAATACCGCACTCGCCTCGTGCAGCAGACGCTCCGCTGCGAAAACGAGTTCCGCGATGCCAGGTCCTCCGAAAGCGAGAAGCCGGGGCAGAAATGGCATATACTAGGCGAGGCGGGACATCTGGTCTCTGGCAAAGTGTCAGCTTGTGCGAGGGATCTGGTCAGCGATTGTCGGCGGTGCGGGAGGATCGTTTGTCGCGTACGTCCCATCCACTTCCGCCTACCATTCACTCCACCAGGTTACCATTGCGTGCCGCCCTCCTATGCTAAACGACCAACCCCGCACAGAACTGCACATCCAAACCCCCACCCCCCTCGTCCCTCCCCTCCCGCCACCGCCGTCTCTGCCCCTCCTGCCTCTCCGCCCCCCTCTCCCTCCTCACCTCCTCCCCTTGCGCCTGCACGACCAGCATCCACCTCTGCGCCCCCTGCGGCGCCAGCCTCGCAACCGCGGACACGACGTACCGCCGCGTGTGGACGTGGCGCACGCGGTTCGCGACCAGTTACGGGGGCTTGGGGACCGGGATCGGGGAGGGGAACGAGGGCGTCAAGTGCGCGCGGGGGAGGGGGTGTCAGGGGGCGGTGGATGTGGAGGTGGAGTTTGAGTGCGGCAGCGGTGGGAGCAGGAACGGGAGTGATGGTGGTTTGAGCGGGGGCGGTGATGGTGGTGGTGGTGGGGGGGTGAGGGAAGGCGGTGAGAGTCCGTGGGGAGAAAAGGACGAGGCGGGGTATTTGTGGCAAGAGATTGAGGGCTTGGGGGGGGTGGTCAAGAAGAGGGTCAGGAAGAGGGAGAGGGTTGGAGCCACGGTGAGGGAGTGGGAGGATGAGAGGGAGGGGAGGGGTGAGGTTTTGGGGAGGGAGAAGAGAGGGGTGGAGAGGAGCTGGTGCGGGTGGTGTGGGAGGGTCGTGCTGGGTGGGAGAGACCTGCTGGAAGAAGAAGCAGCGCTGCGGAAATTGATGATCTGACTATGCACGGAGTGTGAAGCATTCTCATACATCAGTCTATCTAGTTTACATTAGAGACACAACATGCTGCTGCTGCAGGAGCCTGTCCCAACAAGTATTGATTGGATGAAGGAGAAAGATAACATGAATGATGAACACGCCAACAGAACCCAAACATCTACATGAAACCCTTTGAAGTCCATGCGAGCCAGCGCCCAGTAATGCCACGAAAGCAATAACAGCAAAGGGTGCAACACTAGATGCATATGCGGATAGTGTTACAGGGACTTGCCATTCGACCAAGGACCAATCGAAAGCGAGATGGTACGAGGTGGGTGATGGCGATTCGAAGACCTACCGACACGATGACCATCAATGATGCGTCCGAATCCATCCCAGGATGGTCTGCAATGAAGGGTCATCATGAAGCCAGTAACCAGCCTGTTGGTCCGCCGTCCGAAATGCGTTGGCGATCCTCTCGTTCGTAATGGCGGCGAGTTCCTGAACACCATACCGTCAGTATAACGCACGTTTGCTCGGGCGAGCAGATAGTCAGTACATTTCTCATGGTAGCGTCAGCCTGGCGCAAGGCTTGTAGATGGCCGTTTTGCGGTTTGCGTCCTTGGAGAATGGATTGGCGCCGCTGGACCCATTTGATGGCCACGGCGGCTCGCAGGAAGATATTATGGGCCTGGAGGCGGCGGGCGCTGGCGTCGATGATTACTCTTCGTGAATGATTAGCACTGGAAAGCGCGATGGAGACTGAGAGGGTGCGTACCGCTGCAATTGGCGCTTCTCGGCTTCATTGGGACCACTGGGTGGATGCAGCATCTCGGGAGGGTACGGCACATTGAGCAAGGTGCGAGCTTCGGTGTGGCATTGGCGCAGTGACGAGTAGCCGATCTCGTTGCACTCGTCTCGCGGAGGGTTTGCCTGGAACTGGACTATGCGGCGTTGGATGTTCTGATAGTCTTGGAGGATCTCGGTGACTCTCAGCGCCCGGGCTTCATTGACTGTCGCAAGGTTTAGCATAGATCATTAGTCACCGGTGATCCTGACTCACGTCCATCTGCCATGATTTTAGTCTTGGTCAGTGTGACACTTTGGCTAGGCATTGAATGGAATGTTGATCTCTCACCAAGCTGTCAAGGCATGCCATTCTCCCTCAAGGGGCCCCAAAGCCTACTTTATGAATGCATCTCGACGTTCCATGAGATTCGTATCAGGGGTCAACGAGCTGTGAAGAAGACACTTGATCGATTCAAGGTGCCAAAGGTATCAGAGGATTGATGGCTTGATTGGTGAGATGTCAAAATATTGAACCAGCTGCAAAGGGCGTGATGGCGGAGAGAGGCAGATGGCAGCGTTGATAGATGGAATGAGAATAGCACAACAAGAGCAGACTGACCCCAAATCAAATCAGCAAGACATGATATGGTAAAGTAAGCTACATGGTAGCGAGAGGTAGCGAGAGGGCGTGCAATGGAAAGGGAGAAGGAGGTAGATGCAAGAGTTCAGCTGCGCCACGATGATGCAAGTAAAATGATGCGACTTCCTAAAAGGATCTTAGAAAGAGCCTGAGACTGCCCAAAATCGTATTGCTCCCGTCGCGCTTATTCTGGCACCACATGGCAAGCTGAAAGAAATCGCATCCATTGGTCAATGCGATACCGCTGCTTAGGATCAGCATACCGAAAACAGTGAATGCACTAACGGTGCGCACTGTGCGTCCATCTATGGCATCAGTCATTGGAGAGCTCACAGTCACCAACTAAGTTGAGCCGCAGGCCACCAATGTACTTCGCCCTGGAGGGTTTTGCTTCATCGTTGCTGAATGAATCCACCCATTACGGGTGAACAGTTAACGCAAGCTAGCGGATATCGAAAGTCTATTCGCCAGCCGGAATGCTATAGAGACCCATGAGAAGCTGGAAGATATTTCAGACCTATTCTCCGACTTCATGCAGGTGAGATAGGAATCTCGTCATGACGAGTGTATCATTCATGCCACTCACCAGCTCCAACGCCACCACGGTATGCGAGCGTGGTGCTTACATACCACCTCCTCTGCTTGTAGTCTCTCCTCAGTCTTTCTCAGAGATGGCTTGCAACCTCTCTTCGATCTCGTCCTCGGTCAACGCTCTGAACTGCGCATCTGTCCCCTCCTTGTCGCCCGCTTTGGGCCCTCCCACAATACCGACTTCTAATTCGCCCTTTTTGAAATCCACACTGAGCACTGTGCTTAATGCTGATATTCCGAGCTCCACAACATCTTCCCAATTCCCCTCGGCACACTCCTTATTTTTCAGCTTCTTCTCCAGATGGTTCAATGCCTCCTGTTGTTTCGGTCCCGATGCAGTCGCCTTGTAACCCACGTAATATCCTGCTGGGTCACACTTGTAGAGCTGGGGGCCATATTCGGAATCTACCGAGATCAAGGTTTGAGCAACTCCTAGTGGTCTCATGTAGGCCTGCCATCGTCAGCTTAGTCTCGAGCACGATTCAGGATTCTCCAGTGCTTACCCTCTGCGTGTAGACTTGGTTGATGTTTGCTAGTCTCTTTGCCAGCACGTCACAAGGCATCTCGTATCCGTTCTTGTACTTGAATTCAGCCGCCTCACCTCTGGCCCTATTGACTGATGCCCGTGCGTCCGCTATTGATCCTGTCATGACGCAACCGACCGAAGGGGAGAGTTTGAAGATGTGTGAGACGGAGGATGGATCAATGAGCTTGTCCTGTACTCCATGGAATGTCAGACCGCTTCTTGAACTCGAAGCAAGTAAGCTGAGATCACTGACGGGGACCTTCTTCTGCGAGAGAACTACTGCACAGTCCTTGCCTCGGACCCCTATCGACGTGATGTTTGCTGCTGTGATCGCTTTGAATGCATACTCTGACCAGTCCAGATATCAGTCAGGCCTCCTCTGTATGAAGCGAAGATGAAACGAGGCTTGGATGTTACAAACCAACTTGGTACAGTCTTCCTTGATCTGAGAAGATTGTGATGTGTCTATCAAAGCCAGCGCTGCCTGTGTGTCGAGCTGTCAGCGCCTCCTGCTGTACATTTCGCGCGGCTGGGACATGGTTACCTGACATCGTTGCAGTGGGAAATGACCGCTGTCTTCGTAGCTTGCAATTTTTCTTTACAAGAATATCAAAGAGAATTGAGTATTGTGATAATTCGCGAGAGCAGAGATTTGGTTGCTATGAACGTGTACAAATCTACTCAGTGATGAAGCTCCCAGCTGCCTGATCGGGTTAGGAAAATAGTTTATCCGACTCCGAAGTGTTTTTGGCGCGCAATTGAAAATATAGCAGCAACCATTGCTCTACCATTCCTGCTGCATTTCTCGCCATATGTACTCGAGAGGCTGTGCATATAGCATACTAGATGGGATAGCATGTTCTGCCGTCATCCCTCGACACGGTATTAATTGCCGTTTTCCTTGCGCTCCAGACCTTCGACAGGCCCTCCCACCAGGGAATCATCTTGGCTACCAATGGATCAGTCACCGCCACTCGCATGCAGCAGTAGCGGAAGAGGAAGACAAGAACCAACAAGATACAGGATCCGGAGTGGCGATACGTCGAGTCCAATCCAATAATGCTTATACTGCTCCCATCCTCAGGCCCATCACCTTCGACCAAGCCCAGCATGATTTGGAGGCAGAATCTAGGGAGACGTGGGAGAGGGAGCGATTTTCCGATCTGATTGCAAGATTCCTGCCCATACAGTCAGCATCACAGAAACAGGATAAGCGATTACAAAAATTCGGGAAGAACAAGGCGGATAAGCTTTTTGTCAACAAGCTGCTGAAGGACAAGGGACTGCAATCACACGACTGGAGGATAGCGCTTTCCATATTGCAGCAATACTACACGCCCGAAGAGATCGATAAAGTCAAAAACATTGATACCTTTGATCCCGCACCGAGTCTAGACCAGACTCCTGGCTCTCATGCCCAACATTTTGATGCCGGCATCGAGATTCAGAGTCCTGTGCGAAGAGTCACCTCCAGATCACGCGATCACAGATCTTTTCGACTTGCTCACAACATTTCTCCTCCCGCTGAATGGTCAGAGGCATATCTGGCAGTCTACGTTGAGGCCCTCGCCGAGTCTCAGAGAACTCAAGCCAGAGTCGGTTGGGCAGAAAAGCCCCGGTTGAATGGTTGTACTAATATTTGGGAAGTTGTTGCTGCTTTTGAACAGGTTTTTTACAGCACGGCGTCACAGAAATCCTTGAGCACCAAGGCTTGCAACACCGCATTGCGTTTCTTCTACGATCACGGAATGATGGCGGAGGCCCGGTCTCTCTTTATTCGGATGGAGGACTTAAAGATGCATATTTCGACAGAAACATGTAATATCCTGCTGCGCGGTTCAGCTTCGCAGAAGGACCTCCACAATTTCACATTTCTTCTGAGAAAAATGACGTATCGGGGCTTCAGGCCTAACGAGAAGACATGGACACTGTTCCTCCAAGTAAACCCTTCCAGTACGGTGCGAGCGGTCATTGTTCGGAAGATGGCAGACATGAATATGCTAGACAAAATTTCGATTAGAAGGGACGTTGCAGCTCACATGGTCCACTATGAGATTGTCAACCACCTAGGCGATGGCCATAATCACCATAGCTTTATTGATCACATGAATAGCAAGTACGGGATTGGATGGCTATCGACTACTGCAGGCAACAGGCTTTTGAACGAGGTGGCCAAGTGTAAATCGGCGGCGGAGAGCCTGAGTTTGCTTTATGAGATGAAGGAAGCCGGTTTTGTGCCTGATGACATCTCAATGAACACGCTACTTCGGCACTGTTTACCATTGAGGCGGCACGAGCTAGCAATTCGAATACTAGAAGTTTTCCGGTATTATTACAATCTGTATCCAGGGCCGGAGGCATACGAGGCACTCTTTCTACAGGCGTGGAGAAGTCGCTTGCTCAACTTCTCTACCGTTATCTGGAGATCTGCTTGTATCTATGGTGCAGTGTCACACAAAATGCAGGACTTTGTCTTTCAGAGTCTGTTGACTTATACACCCGCGCTCGACAAACGGGTCCAATCAGACGATACGGTCGAGCTAAGCAATTTCAGCAGAAACGAGAAGTTCAAGAAGTTTGCTGGAAGATTCGTGGTCGGTGAAAACGGCCCTAGAGGAGCTGAGTTAAGCCACGCCTTTGACACTTCAGAATTAGACCCTCAAAGAAGGACCTTGAAATGGGCCCAAGTTCTTCTAGAGAGTAGTCTCCGCCTTTCCAGGAATTGTCTGCTGAGACATGATTTGCCACGGCTGCTACGCCAGGCTCTGACAATGGACAAGACCTGGGCCGCCGAAGGCCTGTATAAAAAAGACGACTGGCGGGAGATGTTCCCACATGCCATCGCGGTATTCGTGAAAGTCAAAGGAAGGCGCCAACGCAGACATTCACTGCGCTTGCGAAGACACGTGGTTCGAGGCCGTTTTGCCACTCACCTGCGCATGCGATAACGTGACTTATCTCGAGGCCCAAACCACGGAAAATCGCCCGGGTTGGGCGCGGATGAACAAACAGCCAAAAGCAAGCGGAGAATCAAGAGCCTCCGCAAAGCCGGACCCCTCTTGCATGGCAGACAAAAGACTCGGCCAATCCCATTCACCTTCACATCAGATCTCTCGACCGTTTGGCCAAGGTCCTCTACTCGAAAAACTCCTCGCTTTCGGTCTCGTCGTCGCTCGATTCTGCAGACTTGAGGACGAAGGCGAACAAGACCCACTTGAGGGGGTTTTGTGGCATCATCTGCGGTATCTCGGCCACTGCTCCTGGTTCCTAATCGAAACAAGAAACGGTCAACATTCCTGCGTCCACCCTCAACTCAGAGATTGAGCTCTTGTGTCGTCCGTGGGCTCTTCTAAGATAAGAAGCTGCCACGAAGATCTCTGAGGTCTTGTACACACTGCAGTGGAGTTTTCAGGTTCATGTACCAATACGTTGTGTTCATGTACCTTATGATGCCCATGTAGCAATTTGAATTAGACGCAAGTTTTTCATCAATACAAGACTGTAATCTATAAACACTCCCGTTCTAAGTTCAAAGTCGTCTTCACGGCAGATCAATAATATAAAGGCACTGAAATCTCATGGATCATTTGCGGCTAAGACGGAAACCACACTCATGCTTAGCCGCCGCAATGCTATGGAATTGTCACACCATAGTCATCGACAGAGGCCTTTGCTAATCCGCCCTTGGGATCTGGTGGCAGGAAAGCTGTCGGAAGAAGCCATGGCAAAAGACAACTGCATAGAGAGTATTTGAGACCAGGGAAACCCAATTGCTCTTCACTGATATGCGTAAGACTTATCCCGCTACATTTTCACTTCCTCTGCCAGCGCGCCTGGTGGGTGACCTCCAAACTCAACCTCTTCGCCATCGTACCGCCCTGACCAATTGCCCGATTGATCGGAGGGAGATGGCCGTGGCTGATCACCACGCATTGCTTTATACCAGCCGTGTCGAGCTCCTTCCCTTCAATCTCGACCTTTTCACTCAACTCTCGCTCTACCGCGGGACCAGCATCGACACATTTATTGGATGTCAACAGATAAAATACTGACGACTTTCTTCACGCATCCCTTGAGTCTTCTGCCAATTCGGGAACATTTCGTCGTCCATCTGTCCCCAGTACGCCAACACTCGTGCCTTTGATGCCGCTATTGGCTGCTGCTGCGTTGGATGGTGGTGTGTGTCTTTGAGATGTCTATTGACGTGTCACACGCGGCCAAGACATAGATGATAGCGGTGCATTAGATGTTGGGCTTCGTCTCTCATGGCGTCATATCTTATGTAGAGATAAGTTTGCGCCAGTCTCGGTTGCTGGAGGAGTCTGATGTCGGGAGAAATCCATGTCGTGTTGTGAAGGCTGGTTTTAGCCATGAAAGAGGAAAAGAAGATGTCAGACATGGCGGTAGCGATTTGTCTCAAATGCCCGCTCTCAATTTCCTGCCGGCCGGATGTCAGGACCCATTCGTCGTGCGCCTGTTGCTCGGGGCTTGTGTGAAAGCACCGGTCGACGGAGGATTTGAGGGTGTCGTGGCCGTGGGGGGTTTCGCCTACGCCCTGTTGACCACATATGGTAAATTAGGCACCAAGGGACGAGCGAATCCGCGACTGGACATGAAATTGAAAAAGTTTGAGTAGCATTGTATGATGGGTGTGTATGTTGGGTGCCGACCGGGTGTGTTGACCTCTTACGAGGTCAAGTCAGTAACATCAACAAATTGCAGTGAGGCTGGTGGAGGGACGCTGCTAGTAGTCATGTTGAATGTTTGGATTGGCTGACGAAGACCTTCCTTCCGTTGCAGGCCACGTTGCTCAGGTACGCTGTAGTGGGATACCTAACTCAGCAAGCATATCTACAATCGGGTGTTTGAGCATATCATCTCGCTGCTCCTCGATCCTGAGCCACAGTGAGCCCACCATATTCGCTGCATTTGCGATAAAGGACCCCCAGCCTTTCCTCCTGCGTGGTATCAGAGCCATCCATTCGGATACAAGTATCAAGTTGTAGTCAGTGCCGGCATGTGCAGCTTTCAGGGCGTCTTTCGCCATTCCAAGAAGCCTCTCATACTGCGTGTAGACTTGTTTGGAGGACGATTTCTCTGGCAGGCGGACAACAAAGTGCACAAATGGCACTCCCGAGATGCTGGTCTCCACGTATGGCTTCAAAGGTCAGCTTCGTGAACTTGAGAGCATGTCCTGCAATAGTCCCAATGCAATATACTGGTGGAACGAAAAGACCTGCCTTCTGTCGACGTGGCTTTTGAAGGGAACATCTGGAAGTCCTCAGAATCTAGTCTCGGGAATATTTGGATGTGCTTGTGTCACTGAGAGGAGCCAGCTTCCACACCACAATTGTATATGATCATTTGTGGTGTCTCAAATTGTCTCAAAATCGCCCATGCAGCTGTCAGGTCATCTACATCCAAGTCATTCGTCTGTGGTACGAATAGCGTTGTATGCAGAATCAGCATTAGTCGATAAACACATTATTTGTTCAGTATAAGCTTATGCGACTGCCCGATCCTTGCTATGATCTACGCAGATTTTGGAGTCAGTATCGCTTATTCGGGGTAGAAAATGGAGGTCTGGGGAGTAGAAAGGTCTTCTTGCTCCCAAAATATGTCTTGCGACTCAAGTCGGATACCAAATAGGAAGGATCAGCTCCGCAATGTACGTACCCATTCCTCTGGAGGGTCGACAAATGGACCGATGGGGTTTGAACGACCTGGATCTTCGGGCGAGAGTATTGGCTTGTTGCTCAAAGCTGGCGTTACGTCAAACTGGAACTGCACAAGACATATGTTCAGTTCACCGCGGTCCTACTGCATCGGTGTGGATATCTGCCGTGAAGCATCGCTCAAGTACCTGAAACCCCTGTGCCCATACTACCGAAGTCTTTGGCCGCTCGTACTGTATCTCTCCTCTGTCCACAAGGCTATCGAATTTTCGCAGAGCAATTGCTTCCAGCTCAGGTGGAATCTCTCTGTTGGAGTCCATGATCTAGAATTAGACACTAAAGTCAAGTGAAATTTTGACCTAGTCACGAATCCAAAGTTCGGCTCTTTGAGCACACAATCATCACCGCAGCCTGGCCCTGAGTACGGTACTCCAACTGTGAACTTGTGAAGGCCAAGGCTTTCGGATTTCGCTCCGGCTTCTGGCTCCAGCCGCAAAGTTAGCGCTTTCGTCTCGCGTAAGTACTACAGTACGTGCATCGTCAAGGACTTCCCGCCTCAGGAGATAGATCGCCAACAAGTGTTCTGTTTTGATATCTCGAACATGTTTGCTGTCAACTGGCCTGGGTTTCCACTGATAAGCGGGAAGTCGTTGATGATGCACGATTGGCGCCCTCGAATTTGGTCACCACATACGAGTATTGTTTGACCAAGATCTGCCGACCGCCGTTCCCCACACATGCACATAACGTCGCAAGTCTACGGAGTAAGTGAAAGGTCGATCTGGATAGTCTGGAGAGCCTGCGAACTCGGTGAGTTGAGAATGCCTGCTCAATCCGAATAAATCCGTTGGCGGGATCTCCTTAGAAGCGGTATCGAATAGATGGCTTTCGTTTGCTCTAGGCTGTGACCCCTCAAACAAATCTTCCCCACACACACACACATCCTGCGTACAATTATTTCGAATGAAGAGGCGGCAACAGCCCTGTCGACGTTTCCTTGTTCTGTATGTACAGTCTACCTTGTGACTCGCCCTCCTAGGCGGCAAGTCCTCCCATCTGCCACAGCATTGGAGAAATCGACATTTGTAGCGCTAGATGAGGTACTGATTGCGAGGCGTATACCGCGAGGTGCATATCGCCTGGCCGAGCCCCTTCTAGCACACCAAGAAAAAAAAAAATCTGCTGCTTGAGACGTTTCCTAAACATTTGCCCTAATCTGAAATAGCTGCCTAAAACATGTAGGTATGGCACGTTTAGCCATGGGGCTGTGTCGGGACTCGGTCTAGACTCTGTGTAGAGAGAATTCGATCTGATATAGAGCGCACGACGCACTCTAGTCTCCGTCTTACTCGAATTCTGTTTGTCTCAGTGACCATTATGTCCGCTCCTACCGACATCGAAAAGCCTACCGGGCAGCGGCTCGCAAGCCAATACAAAGTCATTGAGAGGAAAGAGCTCGAGAGATCACAATACCCATGCACACTTAATTCGTCGTCTGCATCCATTCACGATCTCGCCTACCACCAAAGTATCCTAGGCAATGAAGACAACTTCGCCGAGCAAACCACCTGCAGTATCTTTGATGTGAATGGAGACGGGGTTGGCTTTCTGAAACCTGAGGTTCACGATGACGAGCTTCGTTGCTACATCCAAGCATGGACAACTGCTTCGATTCTGCTCGCATTGACTAACAGTCGACTAGAGTCCAATGCTCCACAATGCTACTCGCATTATGTGAGTCCAAACCATGTGATTGTCCACCATGGGTCTTTTCTCACTTATATTGATGTTGCAGCTTCTTCACATCCAAGCAGCAAAAGGGCACAACATTCGCCTAGCAGATATCTCTGAGCCAAACTCTGGCTCGAGAACTCCTCCACACATTCGAGGTGTCACCACATTTTGTCCCTTTGCTGCTTGCCGAGCCAGAGTATGCAGCCCCGGGTACCTATCATGGCTATGACCCCACAGGCCAGCTCTTTAGGCAAGGTAATGCTACTCGAGCGGAGACATACTAGATGAAATGACTGATGATCGTGCCAGAATTCATATGTCAGCATCCGCGATGGAACATACATACAAAACTTCAACCGTGCTCCATTTACATGAGCTTCCACAAGGCGATGGCGGTGACCACATACATTGTCGTTTCAGGAGATGCCGATCCTATAGTTGAAGTCGCCAAACAGAGATTGAAAGACGCGTTCGCCCATCCGCATCAACTCAACAAGCTTCACGCAGGACTTCAGACTCGTTCTTCCTGCACGGCGTTATCGCCCAAGAGTCGTTCCTTCAATCAAAAGGTGTCATCACGAAACTTCGACATCGTCTCTACGATCAACTGGACGTCGTCGATGATGACAAAAATGCAGAAAAAGGCAAGACTGAGCTGGCATTAGACCGAGATGCCCTAAGAGGCATAACGAAGAATCTACACATGATCTCGCAAGATGCCGATGTACTTGTCTCAAGCACAGAAATGGGCACAATGGTAGTTGAGCGTATGGCTGTTGCGCACGCCTATCTCAAGACAACGTCCGACATCTCCTCGCGACAAGGGCACAATCAAGTCGATGACATGTTGGAGCATCTTATGCACTCTTTGCAGTCTAGGAAACGGTGGATTCTAGGCTACAAGTCGCGGAAAGACACTGCTATGAACCTTGTGAGTTATCCTCGATCGCCTTGTGCAATTAGCTAGCGACTAACAGTATGCAGGTCTTCAACTTAGTTACCCAGCAAGACAGTGAAACAAACACTTCTATAGCACGAGCCACAAGGGCAGACAGCTCGGCTATGAAGATCATCGCCGCCTTGACCATGATATTTCTTCCTGCGACAGCTGTCTCGGGCTTTTTCGGCATGGTATTCTTCGACAACCAGAACGGCGAGGTTGTCGTGACAACTGATTGGTGGCTTTTCATTGCGACGACGATACCTATCACCATCATCTTGATAATGATCTGGCGGATTTGGCTATCGTGGACAGAGCTCATCGAAGGACCCCAAATCGTTAGACGACTGGCGATAAGAGCCTGGTCCGCGGTTAAGTCTAAGATGACTTCGATTTCATTCGAGGGTTTCGGCGATACCCCGTCGAGCATACCAGTGAAAGAAACCGATGATATAGTCTGAAGGCATGTCTGGCTCACACCAACCTGCTTTCCAGTCATCTACAGACCTATCTATGGTGCATCCAGTCCCAGAAGTAGAAAAGACCATCCGTGTTAGGAGATACAACTCAACGTAGCAGCATCTAAGGCTCTAACGCGTTGTTTAGCTTGTCTCGCGTAAAGTTCTGATCATCAAATGTCAATAATACAGCTTCTGGTTGGAAGCCAAGGATAGAGTCCGAGGAACATAGTCGATGCCCTTCTTTCCCTCTCAAGCGAGAGCTGTTGTTGGAGTGATGACTGATCGTATACATTACCCAGATGCTGGTTAAGAAGATGGTCGAAGCGGACATCGACCTCGTCCGCAGTGAACCCTGAACAGAGTTTCTTCGATCGCGCACGACAAACCCATCAGTAGAACCAGCTGAAACCCGAAATCGCGCTTGATTTTTTCGAAGATGTCTCAACTACAGCTGTGCTCAATGTCTGGCTATCTGGTAGCCTACACACCACCCTACTCAAGCATGCTACGCTTTTTGTTGCCTCAACCTTCAAAATACCAAAACAAAAAGCCTTATTAGCCAAGTGTAGCGCAGAAATGAGCGGCCAAATTTGAGCGAACACCACGGCGCTTTTTTGTTCTAAGCACTTGCGTCGAAAATTCCATTTGTGTATGTGCACTGATCCCCTATGAATTATGGACTAAGCAAGAAATCTGTATCCGCGGTCCAGAAGTACTGACCTCTGCTTGGCTCATCCGTGCTAGCTTACGCGTGTCTGGTTTACAGAATGATTTGCTCCTTGGCTTGAGCATTGTCGGCATTTGCATCATACCACTGGATGGTCTCACGGAGGCCTGAGGATGTATCTCAGTAATAGCACAGCCCACGCTGGACGCATGAGCAAACACCGAGGTATCTGACCAACCTTGTTCTAAAGGGGTGAACTCGAAATCGCCCATCAGACTCCGCATCTTAGAATTGTCTGCGGTCTTCTTCAGCTGTCCGTCGGCCTTCGAGTCGTCCCACTGTTGAGAATCAGCGATGATGCGGTATCCGAAAAGTATGGACGGGGCCGATCGAAGATACTGACCATGATCTCTCCCTTGAAGCCACTCAGAGCGCAGACAAGCTTGACAGTGTCCGAAATGGAGGTCTCGTGCTCTTCGCCCACTGTCATAGCAGCATAGGACATGGGGTCAATTTACATCATTGCTTAGAAGCACAAGGGTGGTACCGCTTCTCGTACCTGAAAGGATGAGTGGCTCGCAGGAGTTGTATTCTCGAAGGGTCCGGACGATGAGTGCGGCGAGATCACGAGAGTAGATGAACTGCCTTAAAGCTGCGCCAGTGCCAGGAACATGAATGGTTGATTCGCCCCTCACTGAAAGATCCTTTCAGTCTGGAATGGCCACCCGGGAAGACCTAATCTTCCCGGCCAAATGAATAATTGAGGCTCTACACACCTTTCGCGTCATGGACTCTCTTTATGATACCAGGTATGAAATGGCAGCCCTCCCGGAAATTATCATGAAGCCCGTAGACGTTGGTCGGGATAACGGCGGTAAAGTTGCAACCGTACTGGGCTTTGTACGCTCTGTTATAGATCATCAATATCAACACAGCACGCGCTTGAGGGACCAGCAATACCGGTTCGATACATCGATCATGCGTTTCGCATGTGCGTAGCCAAAATTTGAGTCATGAGGAGGCCCAGAGTGGAGCATAGTCTCCTCGATGGAATAAGAGGTTTTGTCCGGGAAAATGCATGTGGACAAACATGACACCACTTTTGCAACCTGGAGGTGCGTGAGTCTTTCATTGTTCGACCGTGGGCGAGGATGCCGACGCCCTACACTATATTGGTGTGACAGCCGTAACACGTTTTGGCCAATTGAGAGGTTGCTTGTAGAAAGTCGACTGTTTTGGTACACACCGCCAACCTTTGCAGCGAGATGAATCACCATATCTGGACGGTATTTACGGAAAAGCGCTTCGGCGGCACCGAAATTTCTACAGCTGAGTCAGGTCGGTCGCTTGAATCGGGGTGCAAAGGTAGAATGGAAGGATTTCCTTGCCTCAAGTCTCCATCCGCACTGGATAAAAAAACCCAATTCTCGCCGTCTCTCCTCGCAGTTGGACCGCCGCTCTGAGTTCCTGTGAGCCACTGAATGCCGTGACCTACAAGACCACTCCCGCCCGTCACAAGGACTGTGGTTGACACTCATTTGGACTCGGCCATCATGGGCAGCGTAGGCAGAGATTGGACCTCTAGTTTTTGCTCAGACGACAATAGTATCCGGGGGGATTGCGTCCGCTATCATAAAATGGACCTCCTATTATGAGATTTGGTCTCGTTCCAGGTTGACCTCAAATCATGCTGATAAAGAGCAGCATCAACTACGGACAGAAGATGTCCAGCGCTTACTCGCCTCCTCCTTTTGATCGCTATGGGCTCCTTGGACAAGACAGCAAGAATTCCCCTGCTAGGCCCCCACTTGCTACCTCAGCACAGCGTGCATCGTTGCCTTCTTCGACACCGATCAGCGGGCTGATCTCGTAGAGCGAGCTTCGTAGGGCGGGACGGGATTCTGAAAACGTTGGCTGTTGGATTCCTGTGGGTGTGGGTGGAATCGCACTCATTTGCTGTCATGTTATTCATTATTCGTTTCGCTCATCTCGACTATCGTGACTGTATTAAGACCGCGTATGATTTCTATTCTTTTTGAAAGAATACCAGCACAGGTAGCCGGTCCACTCTGGCTGCCTGAAAGTTAGATCACTTTCCCCGCTTCTTCGGGTGATATCTGAACAACCTCCTAAATTCCGAAGATAGTCTCCCAGCAATAGGTGATCGGTAGTCATGGTCTCCGCGGGCAAAGTGGGCTTTCTCGGCCTTCCCGAAACATGCACTGGCGACCTTTGGCATAATGCTGCGGCTCAAATCCTGTCCAAGCTTGACGGACGAGGAATCCGAATGGCACACGTCTCGATCCGTGGGATCGTTGCCAGAATGAAAGAAGAAGGAGAGAGCGTGCAGCGCATTCCGGAGCTGTTCAGTTATCTGACGTCGCTCGGTCTCCCGTGTCTGCTGGTCAAGTTTGATGTTGGCCGCGACACGGAAGAGCAGCTTTTTGATGCGATGCTTGACGTTGATGCGAATCCATATCGTCTCTTGTGGGAGGCCCAACAGCAGCGTGGAAGTCAATCATTTCAAGCTCTCTGGCCAATTGCCCCAACGACCAACAGGATGGGAACGGTGAGCCCGAACTCTCAAATATGTTATTGGGAGCAGGACGGGTCTTTTAGATGTTGCTGTTTTCGAGGGCATGAACTGCTGTTCATACGACGGAGCTGCATTTGACATTGCTGCCGGTGCCGGCGATCCAGAATGGGCCTCCTTTCGTACCAAGGAGTATCTCGGTTAGGAGGTTCCGCAGGACCTTCGCCCCCTGCAACAATGCTCTATCATGAGTATTGGCTTGCTCGAGCCGAGTAGCTTTTGCAAAACATCGGGACGTTATCTAAGACTGAAAGAAGAGCCTTTTTACCGGTGGTTGGGTGGTGAACAAAACATTCATCCCGTGATACATTCGTCACAAGAAGCAGTAATAGAGGCAATAACACAGCATCACTATCATTAGTCGTGACTGATACAATCTCATGGTACCAGTGCCTTGAACGCTACCTCAAGCATCTTGAGCGCCCGGGCTTCGGGATTGTCGCAAATGATCAATTTCTGAAGGGTGTACTCCTTCATGTGAATCGCAATTCAATTGGAGTCTCTTGCATTTCAGAGTGTGACTGCGAGTCGTTCAAGGGGAATTGAGGGATCATGTGTCCCTCGCCGCCAACTACTTTGTTGCCAACGAAGTGAAGTAAACCAGCGGCATCGTTTGGGTTGGCACATAGCGAGGCTAGCTAGCGCTAAGCCATCTGCAGAGAGTAGGCACGCGGGTTTCAAAAAAGCCTGCACACCCCAAAATCTACAAATCTACCACAACTTGTCAACGAGTGGTCATAACAAAAGGCTTTCGCTATATATGTCAAAGATTACATCAGAAACAATAAACTCACCGCAAAACATATTTTGTAAAGATAATATTGATGGAGTTATTTCAAAGAGTATCATTGGGGATTTCTTGGCGTGTGCAGGCTTTTTTGAAACCCCCGTGGTAGGCAAAATCAGGCGTCGGGTTTTCGAAGGCTGCAACGCGAACCACTCTGGATGCGGTATCAAGCGGTTTTGCAAAGCCTCCTCGGTCCTCCTGTCAGAGCCTGACCTGACGTCGTGTGTGTAGCGCACCTTAGGGGGCAGTGCTTTGCTCAACCGTCAAAATGTTGCGAAGGCTCCGCTCCTTTCTATATTCTGGCTGTGTCCTTTTGGTAAGGTCGACTTGATACCTCGACTTTCGATGTAGTCGCTGTTATATATTACGCCTGCAATTGTTGTCTTTCTTGGATCTTGGATCAGACTTAGCCTTTTTTAAATAAATATTCGCCACATTTGCGCAACGCAAATGAGCCGTCTGACCGCATTACGCCCGTTTCAATAAATTGGAAATGGTTGATCCGGTAGGAACGACACTTGGAGCTGCCTCGCTGGCGCTGCAATTGCTTGATGGCTGTGTCAAAGGTCCGTAGGGCGGTTATCAGACCCTAAAGCTCCTTCAAGCCCTGAGCTAATCAGGAACCAGGCTACCGATACTTCATTGCGGCCGCTGGCATGCCTGAAGATTGCCGGTACATGCGGATCCGACTCCAAATCGAGTACGCCCGGCTGTTGGATTGGTGTGAGGTTGCAGGCCTGCCTGAGAGCTTGAAAGTAGACACGGCTGTCTTGCTTGCTGTCCTCAAAGAAATCCGCGAATCGATGGAAGAATTGGCAAAACTCAGCGGCAAATATATCGAGCTGAAACCTGAAAAGCATGCTGCGACCGAGAAGTCAGCCATAGAGCTTGATTTGCTCGAAGAATTTTCCCACATAACACTTTCTTATGACAAGAAGGGTGGCCACCGCAAGTACACTCGCGGCTTGAATAGCATCGCACGCGGAACCAGCATGGCCAGTAACATCGCGAGGAACCCAAAGAGGCTGCAATGGATCGCCTTTGACAAAGATGCGTTCTTGAAGCTGCTGGGGAGATTGACCGAGTTTAACGATCACCTGTATGAGCTGATGCATGGACACCAAGCGAGAGCACTTGAACTTGCGACGCAAAAAAGCTACCTTGAGATGGTACAAATGCGCGCTTCAGTCGAAGAGCTCAAGCACCTCGTAACAGCAGCAATGTTGCTGCAAGAGCACGATTCAGCCGAGTTCTCGAGTGCCCCTACCAGACGCCGCAACGAGAAAGCGTTAGCATCTCTTGCTGATTTCAAACGTCTCAATGCCACCTTCGACGAGCTTCCTCGCCAACACTCCAAGTCTCGCGAGCAAGTCACGAGGTCTTCTCAATTGACTTATTCACAAGTCTTTTATGACGGAGACACCGCCCCCACTCTCTCAGTGGACGGCAGAATCCATGCCGAGGGGAAGCTGTTTCTTGGCGACGGTACGGAACACTATGTCTGGATCGAATGGAAGAGGTACAAGACCAAGTATAGTCGACGTCTCGAGAAGCATGTGCCTCTACCAGAGAACCTCAAACGCGTCAAGGAGCTCGTTTCTCTTCTGCAGTCTGACAAACCAAAACAGTTCTGTGCGCCCCAGTGCCTCGGCTTCTTTGACGATCGTGACGATATCAAAGACAGTCAACATGACGCCCGGTTTGGCCTCGTGTTCAAAAAGCCGGACAAGAGCAGCTTGCCAGTGTCACTGCGTCAAATGATCTCCAAAGAACCCAAAGCATCATTGACAGACCGAGTCTCATTAGCCCACGGAATCAGCACCTGCGTTCTATACCTTCATGCGGTCAACTGGCTGCACAAAGGGCTAAGAAGCGACAGCGTCATGTTCTTACCAGGAGACCTCAGCGGTGATGCATCAGCAATTGATCAGCCACATGTGACGGGCTTTGAATACGCTAGACCCGATAGAGATGGCGAAACTACCACCAGTGGAATGGAAGTCAATGACTACGTGATGCTCTATGTGCATCCAGATTACCAGGGCTCTGACGCCAAAGGCACCTACCGGAAAACCTTCGACATCTACAGTCTTGGCATCATATTGCTGGAGATTGCTTACTGGAAGCCCATCGACAACATCCTAGGTATTGACATGAACAATGCTACTCCTGCCCAACTCAAGGGCATCCGGGGCCGATTGCTGCAACCTGGCTCAGATTATCTGGCCCATCTGAAGGCCAACCTTGGTGATAGATACTGCACTGCCGTCAAGAGCTGCATCGACGGATGTCCTACTTTTGGTGTCGATGTTGATGAAAGTGAGGTCGATGTTCAGACCGGAGCAAAGCTACAGCACAGCTTCACTACGCTCGTCGTTGATGCTTTGGACAGTATTGCCGTCTGAAACCGCATGAGTAGCACTGGGCCAATTGGTCTCCGAATGTTCGGGGATCGCTTTAAATGTATCGCTGTTATCGGTCTGTTCACACTAATAGCCCTATTTTTCTTTGTTGCAGTATCAACCCATGCGTGAATGGAATATCGTTGAATTGCGTACATTTCTTCACACTTCAATGCGAGAAAATTAAAGAGGGTATTCCTATATCCTCTGGGAGCATCACCTGGGTTAACCACATGCTACCTTCTCAGCGACCAACCGCAATTTTCTTGTCTTAGTATTATGAGATTACACAGAGTAACGTGCGGAATGTCTCTGTGTTTAGAGTCCTTGTCCCCGATGCTGAACGTAATGATCACCTTCCACGATTCTTAGTGCTGCCATTGTGTGGTCCACGGAAATTTCAGGGCGCAGGCACCCTCTACATCCATACACCAAGTCCTGTGTCGTCATCCTCTCGTTCTCTCGCCAGGCAGACGGTTATTTGCGTAATCAAGAACACTCCTAAGAGGCAAAGTGTACGAAGAGATCCTGGAAGAAGGAACAATGAACATAGCACAAAGAGATCAATGGTACTTCAAATTCCAGAATGGTGGTTTCAAAGTTTGCTTTTCATTTCGAGGAGTCAGCCCCGCCCAGATTGGATCGGCTGACTGCACGGGAAAGCTGATTGAACCATCCGAGAAATGTACCTCACAAATTTGGTCAGCATGAGTGGTATGATTCATGGAACACAGAGGTTGACATAGGCTTCTTCAGTCATCAGTCGTAGCTCACTCCAAGCTGACTCAGATCTGGTGCTCCGGACCTCTCCACAAGGCTGGTAGAGACTGACCTGACCGTTTTTGATTCATGAGAACAGAGCTGCCTAATCGAGGCGTCAGGCTGAGAGGAATCAGCTCCTCATACTCTACGGTCACAGTCTCTTTGCTAAACATTTTTGGAAGTTCCGGGTCGTGTCTTATCCCAATGTGAGCCCTGGTTTGCTGTAGGTAGACCCATCCAACGGTCATGACGGCCAGACCATCCCAACGGTGGGATACGCAGTCACCTTCCGCGCTCGGAAGGGCAAGGTACATTTCCAAGGCGTCCAATTTCAACAGCGAAGCATCGCCCGACGCAAATATTATTTTCTGCGAATCGGGACGATGGACGATGTTGTTTCATGACCTCAAGTCACATACCGCGCCGCTATTCCGCATCATACGCCTGGATTCGTAGGATCGCCTTTCTTCATTCCTATCGCTCTGAAACGAGTGGACGACAATCTGCTGCGTGATAACCATGTAAGGAGGAATGGGGTTCAGCCAGTGTGCATTAGCGGCACACCCCAGCTGCTCCGGTCATATCCGCCCGATCTCGATAAAAGACCGCGGGGTCACCAGCCTCGGGTGCTTCGGAGGGTAAGGCTTAGTCTCTAGTATGAGTGTGGGCTGTACGCATACCATTGCATCTTGATACCAGTGGCTTAGCTGTAGTTCTGTTACTACAGAAGCTCGACAGTCACTTTGAGCAGAGCTGAGTTAGCTGATCCGTCGAGATCAGAAGGCAACATGCAACTTGGAATCTCCAGTGCCAAGAGATGGCAGTGCAAGGATCCTCCGCCTAGCTTGCGAGCGCGGAACTACCATTGGCTGTACCAAGGACGGAGTACAGGACTGTGCTGAGAAAAGGATGCGGGACGAAGCTGCTGTTGAGCGGTGAAACTCGTGACGCATGGACTCTCTGTGGAATCCCGCGAGGATGCAGCCTGCTTAGGGATGACAAGCCCTTGAATTTTTGAAAGTCTTGGCATGAAATTTTGCTGAAATTTCAGAAACGATTGAAGTGATTAAATACACTAACCCGATTAGATAACTCGCTAATGTTCTGATAGGGTAGAAAAGTGGTAATTTTTGGCTCTAAAGCAGGGTTTTATGGAGGAGTCTTTGGGCCAGACTTGATTATTTTGCATGGTCAACTAGTACTATCTTGAATCTACCCAGCAAGCGGGTCTTGGCTAGTTCATGAAATCGAGCTAAATCCATAAATTACTGAAATTTCAATACCGATACATGTTTTCATGAAATTTGGCATCCCTAAGCCTGCTACTCTTTCGTCATGAAGAAGTCACCGTTCCATTGCCGACTTCGCCGGTCCCCACTCAGTGAGACCTCTGCGATAGGAAGGTGGTAAGGATGTCGGGTTTTTCGGGTTCCATCATGAGCGCAAAGGGGCGCCCAATTGCTGTCCAGTACCACCCTCCATCACTGGTCTATGCTACACGTGGCCTACGTTCGGTGGAATTGAGATTCATGGCGATACGTCAAACAAAGTCAGTGGGTCTTGCGCATCTGCTTAGAGTCTTGTCTTGCTCTATCACTCACCTCAGCTGCATTGAGTGTGTGCCAGACAAAAGCTGATATACCTACCGTAGACGCCTGGTCCAGTGGTCCACTTGTGTTTTATGGGTGGCATCATTATTGCACCCAAAGATTCTGATCCTAGCGGAAGCGAAGGATCCGAATCTTGCATTTGAATCTGCAACCATCCTGTTTGAATGCAAGCCGCATCCTGCATTTCACGTCTGCTTGCAGATAATTGTCAATTGGTTGGTACAGTACCTAGCTTCGGCAAGCGACGGCATCCCTGAACAGCCTACCGTCTGCCAGCGTGGCCGTCCTGGCAAGTCCCTCATGAATCCCTTACCTCTGGCTCTAGAAGCTGTCAACATGCTGGAAATTGTGAAGGCTCTCCTATTGATGCTGCACTTGTCCAAGCCATGTGAGACGGTAGTCATGAGGCGGTAAGAAATCTTCCAGCTATGGTGGAATTTTCTGCGCGATTCCAGTGTAAAATAAGCCGGGGCTAGTCAATGCTGCGTCGCAGATCCGCAGGGTCAAGCACACAGTCCTGGCGACTAGGCGAATTCTTATTTTGGGCGCGTCACTGATTGGAGCGCAGTTACCCCAGAGCCCCTGACTCAGCTTGAGATCTTGATACGATTGGTGGTCCTTGGCGTCGTACGGCGGAGGACGATGGATTCAGCCCTCCACAATGGTTGGCACTGATTGGTGACTCAGGCCTGAGAACCTCGTACTAATCGCTCATTGGTGTCACGCTGGGAGGATGCACGACAGCTGCAGGGAGGATGCACGACAGCTGCATCTACAAGATATGCATGTCCATGATTGTCCGGGCCTGCTTGCTGACGAGTTCCATGGAGCCACAGACCAAGATGACGGAAGCGCGTTGTTATCCCTCCCACTCTCACAACCTTTTGGATCGCCTGGGCCGTTCTAAGATCGAAACGGCGCGCGTTGGATCGCTTTTTTGGAAAGAAATGGGGGCGCCTCAGCCCTGATGGTTCATTTCAGCCTGACGACAATGCGCATTACATGCGCCTGACTATGCCATCAGCCGGACTTCATAATGTTTGAACAGCTGGTCGTCAGAATTAATATTGCTTGCTGCCGGGACGCCTCAGTATCAGGATTTTACCTTCCGGTTCGACCAATCTAGCAAGCACCATATCCTCAACGGCTAGAAACCAATCATTATCCCTCAGCCAACCAGCTTGCAAAGAATAAGGAGAGACGATAGTGCCTACAACCCCAAACTTAAGAGCAAACGATTGTGGGAAACCCACGTCTTCCTACTTTGATATAGGCCGCAGTCTCTCCGTCTATCATAACTGCATTGAGCCGGTGTCCGCTAGTCGCCACCGTGCCCTCTCTGTCGCCGTCCTCCCTCAAGGAATGTTCCCTGTAAGCGCAACGTTACCATCAGGGAGGTCCACTGATGTCAAGAAAGGTGTGCATTTCGGAAACGAGTATGTCATCCATAGTGCTCGGATATCAAATTCCCACGGGCTCACTCAAGGCCCATCCAATGGCTCGGGACAAGGGACAAGTGACTGCGACGAACCCTCTGCGGAACCCTCACTAGCAACCATCGATGACGATGATCCCTGGGATAGAAAGACCTTATTGAGCCTAGATGGGGGCGGGGTAAGGGGATACAGTTCGCTTTTGATACTGCAAAGGCTCATGAAAGAGATTGGAAAGCTTGAGATGGAAAGTGATTCTGGAGCAATATCGAGCGCATACTCTCCTTTGGTGGATTGTCTGCCAGACGTACCTCTCGCAGCGTCACCCAATGGAACAAGACCTGCACTGGAGTACCTCCCGTGCCATTATTTCGATTATGTTGGGGGGGCGAGTACTGGTGGATTGCTTGCAATCATGCTGGGCAGACTGCGAATGAGCGTGGACGAAGCGATAATGGAGTATAAAGAGCTCTCTGCGAATGTTTTCGAGAAGCCATCTTCTCGACTGAAGAGGTTTCTGACGAAGTATGACAGCACGGTAAGGAAGGAGAAACTCAAGGGTCAATTCGACGCCCTGAAGTCCACAAGACCTAGCCCCCAAGAGGAAAGCAATCAGTTCAAATCAGACCGAGACCGATGCAGAACGATAGTGTGCTCCATCAAGAGCAGCGAAAACAACAATTTCCAGACACCCTTCCTATTCCGTTCATACGACCGCAAAATGTCATATAGTACACCGTTCGATAGAAACCCGGGCGATCCAAATACGTTCGCCATCTGGGAAGTCGCGCGAGCGACTTCAGCCGCTCCTTCCTATTTCAAGTCCGTACGCTTGTTTCAGGCACGATACTATGATGCCGCAGTAAATCTAAACAATCCGAGCTGGGAAGTACTCAACGAGGTCAATCTGCTTGCGGACAAGTCTCAGGATCCCATTGATCTTCTGTTGAGCATTGGTGGCGGAAACGCGAAAGCAAACAATCCCAAAGTCAAATTTGGCAACGATACCCTGCTGCAAGACCTAACCGACATCTCTGATGTCGTGCACAAAAAGGTCGAGTACGAGAGAGAACGACAGCTGTTTGATTATTATCGTTTCGATGTGAAGGAAGGCCTTCAGGAAGTCCACATGAACGAGTGGAAGCCCAAGCCGAGCGGCTCAATCACGCTGAAGCGGATTCAAGAGGCGACTAGTAAATACCTAGAACACAAGAAAGTCAGCTATCGCATCCAAGAATGCGCGAAAAGACTGGTCGAGAAACGGGCGCAAAGAGCACAGACAATGCGGTGGGAGCGCTTTGCAACAGGTATAAGGTACAAGTGCCCACTGGACTACTGTCCCATGTCCAAGACTCATCGTTTCAACACACGTAACGACTTGATGGACCATCTACGAATGCAGCATGACCAGGCTCCTCCAGACGCAGATCACTACCGGCTTGTACAAAGTTTGCTTGATCGAGGAAGAACTAATAGTGATTGACGAGAACAATGCAGACTACAAACGCCTTAGGATCAGCTATCCCTTCGCAAAAACAGGCTCGGGACAGATCGAATACGAAAGGAATGCCCGTGCCATACCTGTCAATGATAATGGGGAACGTGCTCCGTTACCTCATGGTCCGTGGAAATGCCGTGCGCTGTCTTTGTGCTTGCAACGGTCTGGTATCATCCTGCCAGCTTGCCACTGTGCCTTCATGATGGCTTGGTCGCTTGTAAGACACGCGTGCAAGCCAAAGGAACAGGTCCACATAGATTGTACAATATGGTCGATTGCACTCCAAGAATGCCAATGGTCTTTAAGCCATTTCGCGCATGCTCGTGACCTGCCATCAAGAGTATCAAACACCCTTCTGGGCCATTATGCTCAAGCTGCTTAGGAGTAGAATTCGAGTGTGTTCTCGAACCCCAAAACTGTCCTAGCGTAAAGCTGCCAGCGCGTGTAGTCTTCACGATCACGTTTTTCGCCTAATCAGGTTGCAGGGGATGCGCAGCATAATTGCGGACATATATCCTGGGGAAATCTCCTTTCCAGCGGCGAATTCGAGTTCCCCAGCCAAGTGGTCCAAGATTCACTTTGGCGATGAGTATTGGCCTCTCGCCAATTTCAACCTGTTGACCGGTCTTGGGCAATGGACACGAAATATAATCGAGATCTGAAACATTTAATATGACATCAGAGAGAGACAAAGGCGACTCGGGCAATGGACTGAACACACCTTTGAGAGAGGCGAAAACTGTCACGAAAACTATAGATTGGGATACATCATAAACTATGATCGGTGTCTGTGGAGTTGGAATGGTTTCTTTAGTTATCGTCGCAACGCTTTCTCGGTAACTGGTTTTCTCTTGACTATTTGCTCGGAGTTGCAGGGTTTGCGAAGTGGTAGTTGGGTAGGAGGCAGAAGGCAATCCGGGGTCGCCCTTTGCAGCTCGCAGGCCTGAATTTTGGGATCTTGGACCTAGGGGTATGGCTTCGATATTGCTCAGACTTTGGGCTGGGTAATCCAACGCTGCGGTTTCGATAATGCTTGCAGGTATGATTTGTGATGGAATTGGGACCTCTTCGCCACTCATCATCTCTACACTTGTTTCCGAAATGTGCAGTCTAGGGGATGTGGATCTCTCATTTCGGCCCGCACTTCCAGGCCTCTCAATCGGTCGTTGAGAGATCGGAGACTTTGGCCTTGACATTGCTTTGGGGTGATCACGCCTCGTGAAAGTCCGTAGACTTGTGCTTGGTGAGGATCCGCGCGGTCGTCTTTGGTCAGAACGAGTCAGCAAATTATGAGCAGAGAGCAGGGTACTGTCAATTCTTCCGTATCTGAAGGGCTCTCTGGCATCAATGTCCGGATCGTTTTCCACATGCATAGAGCGACGATTGATGAGGCCAGTCTTAGCGTTACTTTGCTGCCTGATTGATGGCTCCCACATATCTTCAGGCCGTCTTGGATCACAATCTTTACATCGCTCTGAGCCGATTTCTTGAAATTGCTGCCATAAATATTTAGACAGTGGTCGGTTCGAGGGAACCTCATCCAGCATTCGTCGAACATCAACTAGAGCTCCAACCATACGATTTTCAGGACTCGAAATGAGATCTTTGGCTCTCGATATCGCGCTGGGCCGCCAACTGTCTTGCACTAGCTTAAATCCATTTGATGCCCTCAGATGGTCTATCCATAAGTAGACCTTGTCAAGGTTGCAGTAATAAGCTTTTTCCTTCGCAGAGACGTTGACTGTGGTAGTGCAATGTTTGGAAAGACTGGTCAGATTCTCGCCCAGTAGCAATGTGGCTATCTCGAGGAATACGCATCCAAGAGAGAAGACATCAGAGGGATCGTCCCGGAGCATCCTTTTACCCTTCATCATTTCAGGAGAAGCGTATTTTCGAGTAAAATTCCACTTGTCATTGGTGACATGGGGTTTGTCCTTCGGAAAGCGCCTGGATATTCCAAAATCGGTCAATATTACGCTCCCAGATTCATCAATGAGGATATTCTTGGGTTTGATATCCTTATGTCGAACCCCTGATTCGTGCAGATAGCTCAGTGCTTGAGATAAACAAACGAAGAAGCCTCGTAGAATTTCCATTCTCCTATCAACGGAAAGCATCAGAGGCCAGGCCTCGGTCTTGCTATCACGGTTTTCAATGGCCTTCTGTTTGCTTGCAGGAATCTCTGGGCCGTGTGGATTTCGAGAATGACTTGTAGTGCTGTCTTGCGTACTAGTGCCAGATGATTGGCTGACAACTCGATGTAGGGTATTGGATGGATGGCTCTGATCGCAAATTCCTTGTAGGTCTTTGGACAGTTGCTTCATGTATTGATGCAGGTCGCAACGAGCAGCTGGAAAGATCAAGATGCTCAGTCTTTCTTGATGTTCAAATGTGCCAAGCAGAGCACTGATATGGGGATGGCGGAGGTCTCGCATGTTATTGACCTCGTTAGCTGTCATACTCCGGGCCTTTTGAGAATTGGTTTCCCGTATGGTCTTTACCACGAAAGCCTCCCGGAAGGCAAAGCCCGGAGGCGCCTCGTACTTGTCGATCGAGGCCTTACTCTTGTCAGATATTTTTCTTATCCATTTCAATGGTATGCATTCATCCGGCCTAAGGTCGCAGTGGTTCCCATAGCATTCTCCTAGGTGTCCTGGCCACGTAAAATCCATTCCAGACTCAAGAAATTTGCGCATGACGGAAATATCTTTGGCGGGTGACGAAGAGCTGCAATTGTCAACCTCCTCCTTACCCTGGTCCAGGCCCGTCCCACAATTCATGGTATAGTTGTGACTTCGGGTGACGAATGAGGTGAATCATTACTGTATATAGAAAGGTACGCCAACAGGAGAAAGGTATAGATACTGCTCGCGTGCTGTCAGCCAGATTCCAGAAGTCGGGCAGAATACCTACTGTGTAGTATATACAGCTCGTGAGCTTCGTCGCCTTCCAAAGGGCTCACTGTCCAGTACTCTTTGCCCATTGCCGGTACATTGAGGACGTTACGTACATAGCCAAAGGAACAGGCGAAGACTCACCAATAAATTAGAAAGTCACCATGCGAGCGCCCAAAAACATGCCCGGAAGCAAAGCTAGCCTTGTCCCACCCAGATGAAAGTAGGACGAGTACATCGCAGCGGGGCGCTTGGCTACCCCACAATTTGGGGGTAATCGCCACTCGCTCCTCAGCGCATCCTCCGGGGCAACAATTCTTGCCAGACTAAGATCTTCGTTTACAGAAGATGACCCAGTCTGATCTGGTGAGGTATTAGCTGATACAAATGATGAAGACAAATCAAACTGCAAGGTCAAGAAAATATCCTCTAACAGCATTACTTTACAGGGACAACCCTCAAATCAACCTTCAAACCAATACCTTAGACCGAGGGACATGGTAGCTGCCGCTGAAGCTTATCGGAGGCTTGGGAATTTTCTCGAAACTCAACCAATCACGTACATACGAGATCGGGCCCTTCTGCGTGGTTTTTGGTATCTCTGAGTCTTCTCTCACCTTCAATGACTCACTGTTCCAAGCGTCTCGATGACGGAGCATGAGTCTCGAACAAGAAGCACCCTCGTTGCATGCTGTCCAAATATCGCGCATGTCTTGAATCCTGAAATATTTCATTGAACACACGCTGATGCTCGTGGGCAACTTGCAATCCTCTTTTCAGTCGGAAGACATGCCCTGAGGACAAAATGAAAGCGATGTGCCTTTATTGTTGAAGGTCGATACCGATGATCGACTTCGTTTTGGAGTCGCAAACCGTTGGAATATATAAATCTAAAGCTCCAAGCCTAATCTCGATCCCTTGCATGAAATGATAAGTTGTTGAGCTTTTGCGTTACGCTCAAGCATGGAGCACAGGGGAAAGACACTTTGGGATCTGAAGACATTGGGCAACTGCCATGTCTGCCCCACTGCTTATTGCTTTGTTCAGCTGCGCGAGCGGCATTTCCAGGTATAGGTTTTACTGATTTGAGGCTATGCACACTGCACATACATCAGGTCGGATGCTAAGGCACACATCGCGTGGAGAGCTAGATACTGAAACGAAGTGATCCTCCGAGAACAAAAAAGAGAATGTCGATAAGGCGTGATATGGCCATGATGTTACTTGCTTCGCAGAATCTTGCAGGCGTTGTTTTTTGGAGATGGATATCAGTCCACTTTTTCCGCAGTGCTTGTGTCACTACTGCTCTTGACAGATATAAGATGATGGCTATAAGCGAGTATTCGCATTCGGGAAGAACGTCTTCTGTCACTTTAAGAAACGGCTCACAACGGCCCCTACACGTTAGCGAGTCTGATTACCGATTGACCAAGGTAGCGTCAAACTCAAAGACGCATAACCTGCTGCAAACAGTCAGAGAGTAGGGCCTGCTCTCCAAGGAGTTGCAATTCAGGCGCTGCAAGATAAAGGATAGTGGGCCCGGGAAGCGGTGAAAAACCTGCGGGACTGAGACATCATGTGACTACTTGCTGATACAGTCCGTGGACGTGTCTCATATGATCCGCAGTCGGCACTTGACTGGCTGTATTCCCGTCGTCTGTTCCATCCGTATAGGAACAGATGTGCGATCTCCAGATTATATACACCTTCAACCCTCATTCGGTCGTCTTTCCCGTCCCTTATCTCTAGGAGAATTGCGACCATTTCTACCCTTTGCACACCATAAGAGCTCGGTACTCAGGAACCCTTTCGTCTGGAAGTAATGAGTATTTGTATAACCCTCATAGAAAGTTAACGCTGCCGGTGTGTAGTATACAAATGTGTTGTTGCCAAAACGCATATACCCTTCATGATTGTTGACGGAGCCTGCAGCTGGACCGGGGTGTGTCGGATGAGTTGGATTGAGCTGTGCTCAGTACTCTGTTCTTTGTTAGTGGTTGACGTCCACACATCATCCTGTCTGGAATCGCAATTTATGCATATCTGCGAGGCTACGTGTTTGGCTATGTGTAAAATCAGAGCTCTCCGACTTTATGCTTGTCGAATGGGCCAACTGCCATCATTCGGAAGCAAGTCAAAGACTAGCTTATCCTCGTGCGCACGGGAAGGTGACAAGCCGGATGCTCTGGGAGTTCATTCTCGTTGTTTACTTAGTTCAGACACTCTCAGAGTATAGTCCAACAGGGGCATCAGAGTCAGATTTCGAGCTCAACACTCCCAAATACGAGAAGAGGTGCAAAGCAATTATGGCTCATTCTTCGAAGACTGGAGTCCGACATGGGTCACAGGCCCCAAATTCCGAGCCCAAGATACCATCAGAGGAAAAGGGGTACTCAGCAGTCATGGCTCACTGTCCTAAGACTGGACTTTAATATGAGCATCAGGCCTAGCGTTCGAGCCTAACATGCTCATAACCAAGCATAGATGTTAAGTAATAATAAATCCAAGAGTGCCCTCCAACCTAGGCCAAAGCCCCAAATCGCACCCGGGACATACTTAAGAAACCCCCAACAACCAGGCGGTCACGGCTGGTTGCTTCAAAAATGGTAGCGAAAACATGGAGTATCATAAGAGAGGCACATTCCTGAGGGGGCTTCCGAAATCAGCATACCGCATATCATGGAGCCATGATTAGCAAGAATGCAACGCGCTGTTGAAGTGTCGCATGTCGCGACAGCGCTTCCAGACAACCTTTCACTCATCGATAGCCGCCTTGCTCTGATACCAATCTCTGAACCTTGAAAGAAAGATCTTTGAGCATCTGGCGATAATGGCTTCCACTGTGGTGACTGCATAAACCTTTATTCTCCCTCCAAACAACCTCGTCTGCCAACTCGATGAGTTTGCGCATGGGTAGAACCATGCTCTTCACGCGTTGTCGACTCGTCTTCGCTAGCCTCATGCTCCACATCTACCAAGTCACCCATGACGCAACGCCCCCTGGGGCACACAGGAGGGAAGCGAAAATGACCTAGGAACCGGCGATCCTATTGTTCTCCAACGAAAGTGTTTATAAGGTCGAGGTATCCGTATAGCGGATGAGAGATTCTCCCAAGGTGCACCATCCGGTGGTACTGTCAGCAAAGGACATGAGCAACGGAAGCGTAGAACTCGAGGAGACCATCCCGGAACATATTACGCTCTCTCACTACGTTCCGAACAAGGCTCAAGACCATTCAGCGATGAATTTGCAACAGGTGCGGCGCGAATTAGAGGACCCTGAGGGTTCACAAGGACGCAAGATTGAGCATGCGCAAACAGTAATAAGCAGCACAACAGTTGTACCCTTTGAATTACATGTCGGCTACGTCGTTGTTTAGACACCATTATCCACAAATCACCGAACAGCGAGCTTTGTTCAGCGTCGTGGTTTCGTTGCCGCATCAAGAGCTCGCTCCACAGAGCCCTTTCCTACACTTTGAGGACTGAGAAGCTAATGATTCTCAGACTCAAGAGCAAGACCTCGAAGAAATTTCTAAAGGAAAGAGAATTCCAAAAATGATCTGCCTTCGACATTTTTCGTTAGTTTTATATTTTAGGAGGATTATATGTGTCTACTATGACTCATGTCGTCTCAAATCGATGCTTCAACGGCCCATCTCAATGCAATAACACCTCGTTACATATGCATGCAGTATGCCACAACTCGCTCGCTAGCATCCAAACTAAATCCCAGTAACACTCATTCAATCATCCGCACGCATGATCATCCTCAGCTCATTCCACACTCCTTCTTGCCCTTGGTTGCTGGAGATGCCAGGCGACCTCTTCCATCTCAATCACTCCTCCCTTCCTCCCTCTCCTTATCTCTCCCTTTCTTCCTGAAGACGCCCCCGAAATCCAATCTCAGTCTCGAGATGTTGCCATCTCTACTACCAGGACTTTTGGGAGGCCCAACAGGATCGATAGCCTGCTGACTCGTGGAAGATGTATTGAGACTATAGATACTCCTGCCTAGAGGCGCCGCGTTGTGCCTACTCTTTGTCGAACCGTGAGCACTCCCTGGACCTCTTGGCCCAACGATTTTCGAAATGTCCGCCCTGTCGGAGGAGCGGCGGAGACTGTAGGCGCTCCGTGGCCCAGGATGTCTTTTATCATAAGCTGGTGTGATGAGTGGGATGGACTTGGGGGTACCGCTTGTGCTCGTGCGTTTAGAGGTTGGGGTCAGGCTGTAGATGCTCGAGCCAATGTCAGTCGAAGATATGCCTAATTCCGCCTCTTCGTCAATGTCGTCGATCTCCGAGGGCCTTGGAGGAAGGTTCGAATCAGAGACGACGCCAGGATCCCAGACGCTTGAGGACGAACCGGGAGGTGTGTCCATCTCTGAGCCTAATTCGTCAAGGGGTTCATCCTCTGGGGATCTGGGAGAATGGGGCGAACTCGAGACAAATGCTAGCCTAGAAGCTCCTTGAGAGCTGCGTGGAACGGCATTCCGGTGAAAGTAGCTGTCTGCTAGGCTTGACGTGCTGCTGTTCACCGTATGGCTACTACCAGGTACAGTTGGTGTGTCGGGTGAGCTTTGCTCGTTCGTTTCTCTAGACCTCGCCTTCCGCTCCATCTGCTCCACCAACTCTTCCCACTTCGGCTCGAGAGTGCCACTTGGTCGCTCGGCTTGTTCAGCGCGAGTAAGACATTGTCTAGACTTCTCACGAGACTCTTCGCAGAGGTCATCGAATCTTCTCAGCTCTTCGCTCATTGGGGTATTAGGGTCTATCTCGCGCCGCGCGTCTAACCAAACGTCTATCAGCGCTGCAAATTCTCTAGCCTGATCAATCAAGTAGGGAAGGCTTGGGAATCCCTCTTTACTAGTGTCAGGCAAGCGCTTGAGTATTGTGATAGGCGTAGCGTAGGAAGGCGGAATAGCAGATGTTCGTGCCTCTGGACTGATGGAGCAAATCTCGTCCACAAAGTCCTTGAACTCTGGACGATGAGCATGCAGAAACTCGTTCATTTGCTCCATCCAAGGCTCTTTGCTACCAAAGGTAGTCATGTTGGCAAGGGTCTGCAATGCCTTGGTGATCAGTGTGAGGGTACGTTGAGCACGAGGGCGGGCGTGATCTGATGCAATGTTAGTGACGGTCAATATGAAGTGGATCAGTCCTCTCGTGAAGGACCAGGAAGGGAAACCGACCTTTGAGTAAGCCGAACAGCTTGGGATTGAGCACTGCCGGACAGAAGAAGCGAAGAAAGAGAAAGCCTGACACGCTACTGTAGCTGACAGTTCGGGAGAAGTCTCCGTAACGATCCTCAGCGCAGGCACGGATGTGCCGCATGATATGGCGTATCTCAGGAGGGCAACGGTTTGCCGAACCCGCTATGGACTTCCAAACGTTCTCAGTTAGAGCGATCAAGTTCCGCCAGTTGCGCGACAAGTCTTCTGGGTTCTTCACGCGATTCGGGTCTACCTCGCATTCGGGGTCGCTTTCGTCAATGTCTCTCATTTTCTCGCACAAAGTCTCTTCCAGATACTCTTTGCCAAGCCGGCGCATATGTAGATCGAGGGCTTTGGTGAGAAGAGAGTTGCCTCTAAAAAGCAGGTTGGCTTCCACCGTTGCGTTCTTCCCCAGATCTCGAAGGAACACTTCACGCTCGACGCCTGATTCGTAGGAATCGTGCGACGCAATGCGTCGTCCGAAGCGAAACTTGGACATCGGGGTCTCTTTGTGAATACTGTCAATCTCGTCCTCGACGAGCGATTTGAGCCAGTTACTGGCTTCCAAGGGGACCTGAAAGATATTCAGGAGAATTTCCGATATTCGTCGTAGCTCAGTGTGGGCCATTTGAGCGATCTGAATTGTCAAACCGTTTGAAAAGTGGCACAACAAATCCAACATGGGCCCGTAGTCTTGGCTCATAAGTACTACCAACTCTTCTATTCGAACCTTCATGAGTATATCACCAACAGCTTGCTCTTGTTCATTGACGATAGGCCACCATTTCTCCGTATCAGTTGCCCTTTCAAGGTCATCAAGTCTGAGGTCCAGTCTCCCGTATGTCATATCCAAGGGTGAAACCTCGATATCGCCATCAATGGAATGCGGGTTGATGTCGCCACGCTCGAGGTCGATGGGAGCGTGGGCCAGAGTCCAGTCCTTTTGACCTGGATTGCGAGTTTTGACTTCTATGGACGCATTTGAAAGGACAGGAGGCAGATCGACAAACTCGAAATCCTCCCTCCAGAACGGGTTACCTGTCTCGGGCCTCACGGCTGTCCGGCCCCTCAACTCCGTATCCAGTTGGACTTCGGCATAGTAGTTGCCAGAGACCATTCCCATTTTGCTTGACGGCCGCTGTCCCGGTTGTGAAATCGGGCCATGCGAGAAATTGTCCCGACTAGAATGCAACTTGGCTTCTATAATCCGTAATGATAGCAGTCTCTCGACACGAAACATGTCAGAATTTGTGGTTTTAGGTGTTACCATCGCAGTGTCTAGTGAGTCGGAGGGGGTCTCCAAGGGTATTGTCTCAGGACCGTAAAGTTCTGGAACAGTGAAGGCTCTGAGTAATACAAGCCAAACCTCAAAGAGAACACGAGACTCCATCGACAGATAGACTGTCTGCATAGTGGGTAAAGTGGTGGTTGTTGATGCATACTGAGGGTAAATGGCGAGCGAGAACTCATCGTCCAGTACTGATGGATCTAGTCGTTGGATAGCGCACCTTGAGAGCGCAGAGAGCGGAATAAAAGCCATCAGAGTCGAGTCTGATTCCGAGATCACCTTGAAGTGCCCATTCTCTTGTAGTGTACACGAGACCTTCCGCCAATTGCTTGACATTGCCTTTAGTTGCTTGTAGGTCGATGCTCTTCTGTGCAAAGGCGGTGGCGAAGAGATGCCTGCCCGATCTTCCTTGTCCCACATCAGCATTTTACCCACTTTGATGATGGACGCATCTTTGGTCGAGAAGTTGCCAGAACGCCTTTTGCTGTCCCCAAGCTTACGTTCAGCGATGTGTGCTTCTTGTGGCTTCGTCATTTTGCCTCGGACACCCTTGGGTCGAATGGGCTGCCAACATAGTAGTGCAGCTAGCCATGAGTCAAAAGTCTCAGGCACATGCGGACGTAAGTGGATACCTATACTAGTGCTCCGGGTAGCTACATCGAGAAAAGTGGACCGTGAATCAGCGTCATACAGAGTCCGAACTTGACATCCTCGGAGGTCAGGGATCAAGGTTTTGTTCTCAGACACCTTGCCTTTGGCCTGGTATATTAAGCTACCTGTTGCTACGTTGATAGCACAGTATCCAGAGGCCCATGTGCTCGTGGCTGAAGTTCGAAATGAGAGAATACCATGCATCCTTCCGCATGTGGTCTTCATGAGCTGCAGTATCTTTTTGGCATCCGTAGAAGAAGAGGACAACGGTGTACCCGGCTTGGCAGCGATTGGGTTCCTAATGGGTGATAGTGGCCGCAGCACTGGTTTAAGGGCCCGATGCCGTATCCGTGGCTCTTCCAACGGTGGAGAAGGGATGATTGAAGGGAAGCCGATAGACGAATCCTTGACACCTTCATGGAGACCAGGTGACTGTAGCGAGCCGACGCGTCGTCGGCCTTTTGATACCATAGACGTAGGAGATATGTCCCTGTAACGCTCCTCTAGAGTCCGGGTTCTCGGTCTTGAGCTAGTAGATTCCTTGCTGCCATTTCTAGAATGGCTCGGTACCTGAGGACGTACTTTGGGAGTAGGTGCGTGGGAAGCAGGATATGGGCTCCGAGGAATTTGTGGTGAATCGCTTCTCGAAGATGAGAAGGCCAACGTTGGAAGAGGAGTCCCAGAATGATGTATTTGACCTGGGTCTGGAGTAGTAGCTCGCGCGACCGTTTCCTTAAACTCATCGGAATATATCTGTCCTTGTCTGTCTCTGGAGGAGGCTTTTTTGCTTGTGCGCCGTTGTATTGAGGGTGGTCCGGTCTGCTCTTGCCCGAATATGCCCGAATTGCGCTTGCTACCACCGCGCCTTCTATTCTCGGCCCTCTCCTCCATTGTATGTCCTGCCTTCTCAGTCGCTATGGCCTCCTAATTTTGCACTCTATTACTGTCTATGTCATTACTGGGGTCTCCAGAGCAGGCTTTCATATGCTTCACGGGGCTGAAAGATTGTTTTATCGCGCATAAGGGCACCCGTGCGATGAGGCGGAATTGTGCGGCCGAAAGGCAGCGAACATGAGGGACTGCCGCGATGACATCGGACGTAAGGTCTTTGGTCGCCTGAGGCAGTAGCATAGGGTCCGGAGACGGGTGGGATGCCTGCGGTGTTGTCGATGTGAGGACAAACAAGGCTCGCGGATGAGATTGAGATATCTTTATATAGAGCTTTGGTGGGAATCATGCAATCATATTCCCCTAAAGCGCCGCACCAAGCTTCAAGAAGAATCACATCGGTCAAAGCGGTGCTGGAAATGGGTAGTTTTGGCGAGACGCACAAATGTCTCAGGCGCAATGAATGTAAAAGATGTAGGTGTAGTGGAGGGCCGCCGAGATAGGACCGAGTAGCCTCAGGAAAAGGGTCCCACTCTTCAAACTTTACTCAAGGTACACCAGTAGGGTAGGTACAGAGGTATTTAACGGCTGAAGCCAGTAGCCTCCCGCCGAAAGGCCTTAAAAACTAAATCTACCTACCTACTCAGCTCTACCTAATAAGTAGGCTTTACTGCCTTGGTCGTGAGACAGCTGGTCAACGTCTCATCATCGAGTCGGGTATTGAATTATCGAGATAAGGGCAGCTGATCCTTACATGTAGTCATCATAATTCAAGATTGAAGTAAATACTCGCTGCTGGAAAAGGGTAGTCGAGGTACAGCAAATGTAAACATAGATCGTTATTGGGACCCATAGCCTCTCCGCCAAATCTACAGGCCGACCCTTAAGCTTCGCTCCCAGGGCATGATCCCACACAATCCAATAATATCGCCGTTTCTTTCATACATCCTTGAAAGGATGTTCGCCAACCCCTGCATCTCCACCCACAGCACTCATTGGTGCGCCCCTTGCACCACTTAAGTCACCACTTCCAGTCTTCCTCAACGCTTGCCTCATGGTCTCAATCGTCAGTTCTCCTCCTGTTGGCGGACTGTGGCCGGAGTACGTGCTGCCGAGTCCATGCCCCCCTCGACTGGGAGAAGTCTCCAGACCACGAGAAGAGTCGGACCCACTTGCTACTGGCGAGCCGCCTAGACCTTGAGATGACAGTGGAGAGCGCACGGGGGACGGTGAGCGGTTGCGAGCAGCAGCGAGAGGACTAGAAATGGTGGGCGCAACACCACCAGAGTGATCCACATGTTCGGCGTGCACAACATCAGCAAATGATATGAAGCTGAGCCGATGGACGTCGTTCGAATCCAATGCGCCGTAATTTGACGCGGCATCGTCTTGGTCTGGATGGGCGACAAGGTCCTCCTGCCAAGAAGCTCCCGTGGCTTCGCTTGTTCCAGCTCCTGTTACCGTTACTGCAGCAGGCTGATGGGCTGAGTGCATTATTATTTCTACGTTGTCTGGATTCAGGTGATCGTCTGTGATTGCCACTGAAGAGGCATCTAAGACAGGAGGGATGTGATTCTCGGTGGTAATGTGCGCTGGTATGGCTGGTGAAACGGAGGAGGCGAGACCATCTTCTTGGACAGAGCGCTCGAATATTTGTGAGGAAGCTGGCGATGGTATCCCAGGTGACGACGAATTGAGATTGCGCGATGGAGACGCTGGCGCGCCGTATGGATGTGAGATCGTCTGCGTGATTGGCGCACCAACTCCCGCGATTGGTGACACCGAACGCATAGACTTCGGAGGAGCTGTTGTAGCTGTCGGAGGGGGGATACTGGTTGAAGCAATCTCCCTGGTCCTCTTAGTCTTATCGTCTTCCTTCTTCCTGCCTAAGCCCCAGAACCTCCGCTTCCCGGTCTTCCCATCCAGCTCAGGGGCGGCACCGGCCTCAGGTGCGTTATTCAAGCCTTCACCCAAAAGCGGTACCGATGATGTCCGCGACCCAGTATCATCACCTGCGTCCCTGCTTAGACTGATCCGTCTATCGGCCATTGTGCCGAGTGGTCGCGAGGGCCTATTGCAATTGCATGGATGGACGAGGTCTGGTTTCCGGAGAAAAGACCTGATCGAGATTTAGTATAGAGCCACTATGAATGGCCGGGGAAAAACTCTGAACGCGTATCTCAAGGAGCGAGAAAATGCCCGGAGATGGCAATGGCATACCTTTCAGCTTTGAGTTTCTTGTGCGGCCTGAAGGCTTCCTCTCCACATGCACTTTCTTAGCGAAACGTGTGCGATCTGTAAAACCGTCGATCGAACTGTCTGATAACTTTGCAAGAACCAAAAAGGTAAGAAAGCCTGCTTCGAGTCAAGAGAGAGTGCTCCTGAGATGCTTCCAATAAGCTAAGAACAACTAGACTTGTTGTTTCACAAGGTTGGCCACGTCCTTTGCCAAACGGTGACGCTGTTGGCAGGGATCTTCAATCTCGCTACCGGCAAGATCCATACCGGCCGACATTTAGCCGACAAGGAGAAAAGATCAATTGCTAGTGACATTCTGTTCGACGACGAGTCACAACGCAGCAGCGACATGCCTATTTCCCTCTCACTACGACCACCTTCCAATCTCTCCTTCCTCTTCCCTTCATTCTCAAGCTTGGTACCATATGTTTCCCGAAGAAACGAATCCTCCGCGCGCCGAACAACCAAACGCCTCAGAACGAAACCCGACCCATCATTCACCTCCTCAATCCCTCCGTCCCAAGTCAACGACCACATCGTCTTCAATCCACCGTCCTCCGCTCCATCTCCCTACCATACTCCTCCAGTCTTCCTCCCAGTCAATGACCCGCGCCGGACCCTCCTCGCTCAATCCCATCAGCATGCCAACCCCTACGACCAACCTAATAAGCGATTACCACCAATCGTCCACAAGCATAAACCGTACGAGAAGAAGTACCACCTCCGGGAGAAGGAGATTGAGGAGATAAGAAGGTTGAGAAGTGAAGATCCGTATAAGTGGACACGGGCGAAGTTGGCGGAGAAATTTGAGTGCAGTCAGTTCTTCGTGGGTATGGTTGCGGAGGCGCCTTCAGAGAAGAAGGCGGCGGAGCAAAGAATGATAGAAGAGATTCAGGAAAAGTGGGGTAGGAGAAGGAGGTATGCGAGGGAGGATAGGGGCAAGAGGAGGGAGTTGTGGGGCAAGGATTTGTAGGGGTGTGCCAGGAGTTGGATGCGTTTTATCTAAATCGTCGGTGGAAGCCTTGGGGTATTGCACATCTTACAATGTAAAAGAGATAATCGAGCCGCTGGGTGTGGAGAAGCTGCGCGACAAGAGAGAGGACCAAAATCGAACGCTACAATGTCTAGGCGCTGTCCTAATGGTCGCGACTGGGCACATATGTATATCAGAGGTGCATAGCAAGGTGTATCTTTGCATTATTGAAGCGAGCGCTTCTGTGTACATATTCATTCTGATCTATGGCATCACCTGTATCAACAACATTTCAAATGATCGTCTGCATTGCTTTGTCGTTTGCGCTCTGGTGGATATCTGGCAGGCAAAATCAAGGCTCCCTCTACTCAAAGAACTTTTTGTACGCCGCCTTTTCTTTCTTAGCATGCTCAGCAGCTTTCTTCTTCGCAGCGCCCAACTCCTTACTGATGGCCACGTCGCCTGGCGCCAGCTTTTGGGCTGTCTCGAGGCTCTTCACCGCCTCCTCGTCGTCCTTGAGCCCCAGGAGAGCGAGAGCTTTGCGGTAGGATGCCTTGGCGCGATCCTGGTTGGAGACTTCTCCAACCTCCAGAGCGTTGTCCGCGCTGTTCTGGGCATCTTCAAAAGACTTCAGCTTGATTTGAAGAAGGGCTGAGTTCGAGTGCAGGGTGAACCGGATGTGCGTTAATTCCTTGGAGAGCTCCGGGGGGTCCTCAGGCAAAGCTTCTGGATACTCGTTCAGATAGCGTAGGCCTTTCTGGTACTTTGCAAGAGCAAGAGTCAGATCATTGGCTTTGAAGGCCTTGTTGCCGAACTCCTTTAGTTCGGTGGCAATCTTGAGAATCTCGGGGCCTTTGTACTCCTCGCCTTGGTCTTGGGGAAAGTCTTCGTACGTGTCGCCTGTGCTATCAGGTTCCTTCTTGCCAACGTTCATAGCCTCATCGCCAGATAACTGACCGCAATCTGCGTCGTCCAGTCAGCGCCTATTTAGCGATAGGATGAGTAGAAACACACCAACGATTGTGACATCTTTCGTGGGCTTGTCCGCCTGTGTTGCCAGGTTCTCTATTTCCCGTATGAGACCTTTATTGTCTAGGACCTCTCCAAACACCACCTTGCGAACCGTCAACAAAGAATATTCAAGTGTTAGTAGCCTTGTCTGATATGACTTACATGCTTGCCATCAAGGTGGGGCGTTGGTACAGTCGTAACGAAGAATTGAGAGCCGTTTGTCCCTACTAATGATGAGAAAACGTCCTGTGTCGGAATTGCTGTTACGATTACCCGGTCCAGCATTTGCCATTGAGAGCAGGAACGGTTTTGAATGCTTCAGCTCGAAGTTTTCGTCTTCAAACTTCTCGCCGTAGATCGACTCTCCGCCAGTGCCATTGCCAGCCGTAAAGTCTCCTCCCTGAATCATAAAGCCTTTGATGACACGGTGGAAGCCAGAACCTACAATACGTCTTAGACAAAATAAAGATAGCAGGCCTGTCAAGTAATCGAATAGTATCGACGAACCTTTGTAGCTTAATGGCTTCCCAGACTTTCCTTCGCCCTTTTCTCCGGTGCAAAGACATCGAAAATTCTCCGTGGTTTTGGGGACAACTACAAAAGGTCAGGCTAAAAGATCCTGGATATAAACCGGCCAACACTAACCATCATCATACTACTCATTCATCAGCGAAGAAAGAAAGTCAGACCCCAGAACTCTTGCAACATGAAGGATGCTCATGAAATCATATACGTCTCTGATTTAGGGTCTTGGGACATACCAATTCGAAGACAACGCGCCCATTCTTCTCGTGAGATATTTCTATGTCAAAGAAGACCCGGCTACGACCTGTTTGGCTGTATTCAGCACCGGTATTGTAGGTCACGCGAGCCCGACACATACTTGACTTCTCCGATGCCATCTTGGCGGCTTGTAGGTTTGTGTTAAGAAAAAGAGGGGCCCGCAACGCGTCTCAAACAATATTCAAATGACTGTCAATGAATGTGTGTATCAATTTTGGTGGTGAAGCAATGCATCAAATCGCGGAGTGAAATCCGCTGTTTGTTGGAATCTGAGGCACGAGGGGCAGCGGGCCGCAACTGACGTGGGGCTCTTCCATGAGGTTCTAAAAATTCACTCCTTTCAGCCGTGAGAACATGTCAGTACAACATGAGAGCAGTACTGGAGAACCATGTATCTACATTTAGGGTGAATATTTACAGAGTGAAGACATTTGGTGACAGCAATTCTTAATCTAATAATTCAACTGGTAATTGAAAGCTCTCTGCGACCTTGCTTTTCCCTTCATCAGCTGAAGCTCTGCTCTGCTGATGCTCCCCTTGCTCATTTCCAGGCTTCTTGTTTCCATCTTGACCTTTGTGAGGATTGGTATCAATCTCCAAAGTGACCTGAGAACCGCATCATTAGCAGAGGTTGATGAGCAAATAACGGATAGAAGAAGCTAGCAGAATACCACTTCATCGTGACTGGTGTAATCTAAACCTACAGGGCCAGAATTCTGTATATCCACTACCATAAACCAGGTAAGCAGTGCACCAGAACGAGTAGTATGGGCAATACCTTCCATCATGGCCTGGAAAACGCCGTTCTTCACCTTTGCAGGCTCATAAAGCTCTTGTACTTTGGCAAAGAATTGATCATACAGCTCTCTAGCTTCCTCACCACCTGCGGCACCATGGAAGTCCGGCTTATTCCCTTTCTTGGTTGATGCCAGCAAGGTGAACTGGGATACTGTATGGACTGAGCCTGAAAAGTCGGTGCCTATATCCACGAAGTTGCTTTTAACGTACCGCAAAGGACCTCCCCTTTGATGTCCTGTACATTTTGCTTCCACTTCGTGTGAGAGAGTCAGCATTTCCATACTCTGGAGGAGTGGTCTTGCACGCATACAGTACCGCCGCTTTCGTCGGGCCACATTTTCAGCTTCAGCACTTTGGCCGCCATAGACTCTACTTCCTTGCGCGTGTCATCCTTAGCAACTGCAGCAAACACCAGTACACCCTTTCCAATCGAGGATACCAAATTTGAATCGACTGTCACCGAAGCCGATGCGACTCGTTGCAAAACAGCTGACCGATTTAGCAATTAGCACAAGATCTAGGAAACCTATTCAGAATACTTACCCTTCATCTTCGCGCCGAATTATCAACGAGCAGATGAAATGAAAGGTTTAAGGTATGAGAGGAAAAAGGTAGAATTAGCAACAGTATCAGCAACAGTGATACATGAAAAGAGCAGTAGAAAGGGGAAAATAGGTCAAAATCATGGGTGAAAAGCGGAGAAGTTCAAAAGCCTCATGGGCTGTTAACTCATTGAGTCAGAAGATTTACAGAGGATTCCGTCTCATCTTCCAGACCTTCAAATCCTCGTAGAATGCTGGGTGAAAATGGGCTTTAGGTAATTTCTCAAGAGCTGATGACCTCCAAGGCTTCGATAGTTGCGGCCTCACAGCAGTATAAGGTAATCTGCACCCTCTCGCGGCTAGCCTTACGCGCCTTTCGCGATCCTTGGCACCTTCGAGAAAGTGCTTTGAGGTACCTCTAGCAACACCGAGCTGCGTATTCCTACACCATAGCTGTGAAACCTTCATAAGGCGCCCACTTGATGCCTGTCTCACCAAAGCCTCCATTCTACTCTCAAACCCGAAATCACTGCAGCAAGTCAGCTCGAATACGGCTTATTCTCAACTCTCCTTCCAGCCTGGCCAATAACACAGGCAATCTCCTGTTTCCCTCACTCTCAATTCAGCGATCATGGCTCAACGAAAGTTGCAGCAGGAGATTGACAAGACATTCAAGAAAGTTGCTGAGGGAATTGTGGTGTTTGAAGGCATATTCGATAAGATACAACAAGCCACCAACGCCTCGCAGAAGGACAAATTGGAGGATGCTCTCAAGCGCGAGATCAAGAAGCTCCAACGGCATCGAGACCAGATAAAGACGTGGGCCGCGGGAAATGAAATCAAAGACAAGAAGCCGCTCATGGAGCAGCGGAAAGCCATTGAGAACGTAGGTGCTGCTTGTAAAAGCACTTCTCAGAACCATGCCACGTGCTGATTGTGGCTGTTCATGTAGGAGATGGAGAAGTTCAAGGCGGTCGAGAAGGAGATGAAAACCAAGGCCTTTTCGAAGGAAGGACTGCAAGCTACAGCGAAGCTGGATCCTAAAGAGAAGGCGAAATTGGATATGTGCAATTTCCTCCAGAATATGGTTGAAGAGCTGGAGCGACAAATCGAAACGCTCGAAGCCGAAGAGGAAGCTTTACAGGCCACAGTTAAAAAGGGCAAGAAGGACACCGGTAAAGCAGACCGTTTGTCCGAGATATCGAGGACTACGGAGCGGCACAAATATCATCAGGGGAAACTAGAGCTACTGTTACGATCTTTGGAGAATGGCAACGTTGAAACGGAGCAGGTACAAGATTTAGAAGAAAGCATCAAGTACTACGTTGAAGAGAATCAGGCGGTGGACTTTAATGAAGACGACTCAATATACGATGATCTAAATCTCGAGGAAGAGGAGGAAACTTTCGGCCTGAGCAATGATAATGATCGAGTCTCTTCACAAGATACACAATCGATAGCAGATGACATCCCAGAAACCGCGGATGCGCGAGGTCCTGGCACAGGTGCTGGGAAACCGAAATCGACGTCCGTCTCAGAGCCTCAAGGTACGGGTGTCCGAAGACCATCGAACCAATTGAAGTCGCCCTTACCAGCTCTGGCAACACTTCATACCCCCTTAGCAAACACAACCAACGGTACGGCAAACAACAACATGAAGCCTGCACCTTTACCCACAAGAGCCCCAGGAGAGACGCTAAAGTACGCTTCAGCAGCCGCAGCGGCGGCAGCAAGTGACAAAGCTGCTGTGGGAATAGCACCATTACCTCCACCACCAAGCACGGCCCCAGCGCCAACGCCTAGCGCGCCGCCTGGCCTGTCTGCTTTCCCGTCTACACAAAAGAGCAGTGCAACCACCTCACCCAGCGCAGCACCTTCACTACCGGCGAGCTCTGGTCCCACACCTGCCCAAAAGCCTGCTGTGCCTGTATCAGCAACCTCAGAAACTCCTCCAAGCACACAAACCCAACCAAAATCCCCACCACCTACCCAGCCGAATGCGACTGCTTCGGCCAGCACTCGCAATGTCCCAACTCCATCTGTAGCGGCTGATACCTCTATACACTCGCGGGCTTCGTCAGCTTCGAAGATAGCAGCAGCTGTTCAGTCACCAGCTAACGAAGCTCCTCTTCCAGCGCCACAAGAGACGCACAATGCCCTTGTTCAACCCAAACCGCCTGTTCCAGAACAAACAAATGGCGAGCCACCAAGACAAGAAGAGGATGAGTCTGTTTATCACCTGCCAGCAAGCCTACAGGATCTTCTACAGTCATTTGAAATCACAAAGAGCCGAACGCCTGCATCCGACTCACCTTCTGTACAACGGCTGCTTGCAGCGTCTCATGCCAGTCGTCCAGATTATCTGGATGCGGAGAAGCCACGCCACTACCGACCAGACACAAAATATAACACGCCAGCATATTATCCACAGGAGCCATTCCCAAATCTAGACGATCCTAGCTTGTACAGCAAGATCGATACCGACACACTATTCTATCTCTTCTACTATCGTCAAAATACTTACCAACAATACTTGGCGGCCAAGTCGCTCAAAAGTCAAAGTTGGCGGTTTCATAAGCAATACCAAACATGGTTTCAGAGACACGAGGAGCCAAAGACAATCACAGAGGAGTATGAGCAAGGGACTTATCGATTTTTCGATTACGAGAGTACATGGTAAGAATCGTCCCTTATCCTGGCCTTGGCCTCTCGAAGTGACAACAGCCCTCTCCGTTCCTTAGATCCGTTACTGACAGACTTTGCCCCGATCAGGATGAATCGGCGGAAAGCAGACTTCAAGTTTGCCTATAAGTTTTTGGAAGACGATCTGTGACTGCCGAGTATTCAGAGAGACACGAAATCCTTTTAGGTAACTCTGTGTATGTGCGATGAGCTCTCTCGCACGTTTGGTGATGGCTCCGGTCTATCGCTACATAGCGTACCTAGGAAATCTAATTGGCAGCATTTGTGATCGTGAAACGTGTCCACTAAGCAATTTTCGTTCTTGCATGTTTGTTGTATCAAAAGAGCGCTGACAAGCACAGCCTTGAGTGCAACCATGGTGAAGAACGAAGGGAGGCTGACTGTGCAGGTACCATTTTCTCCTATGTGGAACATGCTCCTTCAACGTCTCTGGCGCAAGTACTCCACAATACTACCGATCCAAACCCGAGGTCTGCGCCTCGCCCAGGATCGAAAACGGCAAAGTAATGCTCTTCTTCGTCAGCCTTAGCTTGTCGGTAAGTTCTTGTAGGAAAGAAGGCAAACAAGGCTATCGCGCTAAAACCTCATTGCCTCATTCTAGCCTTATGAAAATGTTCGACCTCAATATTTCACTACCAAAGACTCACACAATACTATGGCTCAATAAGGGGGCGTATGTGCCCCGTCGTGTGCCCGTCATCGCTCCAGGTATCTAGGCTACAATATTCCACCACGATGGCCGCCAAGCTGTTGGCTGGGGCAGTGGGAAAGGTCGTGGCCTGGTGTATGGCGGCTATGGCATTGCGCAGCTTATTGTGGTGGTGGGGACCAGTCTTTCAGATTCTACGGTGCAACGATTGATCGATGAACAGGTATCGATCTGAGTGCGAAACGGACTGTGCTGCGCTGCGCCCTATTCCCTCAAACGTCATTGCAGCCAAGCACCCCAAGCCTGGACGGGCCACAGGTAGGGCGAAATGGTAGATATCTATCCTCATCGGCGGGGTTCCACTTGGGGAATAGATATCATGATAATTGAGCGTTGCGCAAGAGTGAGACCTGGATCGTAATGGCAAGGCTATCAGAGTAAGTCACATGCATCAGAACGATCACGTGTTCCAATACACATGGCTTCAAATTCACCGGTCAACGGGAACGATTAACGCACTGCCACAGCTTTGACAGTCATCGCCCTCGTCTGGATTAGATTCCGATGGCCCGGCCGTCCGGTCATGTTGCCAAAAGTTCCAGGATTTGAAAAGTGAGTCGCGCCGTTGCACTGATCCTGCGAATCTTCACAATACCTTGGGTCCTGCCAGACTCTGCGCCATGCCAATTCCCGAAACTTCTGTCAGCAACGGAGCTGGGGAAAATGGGGAAACATACTCTTATGTCACAACGGATCCTGAGGATCGAAGACGAGTGCTTTCTAGAAGCATTAAAGCCAACGCCTCACGAAGTCACCATTCCTGCTGCTTCCCGTACAAGTGTTATCCACCAGCCGGCAGTGCTTGTGGTGCTGCGGGCCGCAGCGATGGCGCCGCTACCAACGAGTTTAAAGAACCCTCAGTGAGCCAGGATTGCAGTGCCCGCGGAGGACTCGACTATCTTCGCGCCCTTCCTGCCAGGCCTGGCAATTGCATTTTGTTCCGACCCTCCAAAGTCATGGCAGCTTCACCAGAATCTCTTGCGAATATCTGGCGCGTTTCAATCTTGAATGGACACCGCAATGTTTTCCTCATCACACCGAAGGGGCACTACACTTTTCTCCGCCCCGGTGAAGATTCGACTTCGCCCTTTGGAATATTCCCTTTCCTTCCGCATAAGTGACAGGAAACCACACCGGTGAGTTTGATCCAGGCAAATGGCCCTTCCTTCTAGCGGCGGTTGACACACCGACCATAGGTTTGCTTCACCTTATCAAAGCATACAAGATGTCCATGCATCCCCATACCTTGAACCTTTCCCATACAAACTAATACACACCAAGCTTCGTCACTCATTCTCAACTCGGTCTACTTACTATCAATTTGTGCCTACAATACAGAAGACATGTAAGTCTTTGCCACCAAACGTATGAAAGCATTCTAACGTCTACAGTCATTCTCATAATAAGATTTCGTCTACGTTATATATACATCATGTGCAATTCATGTGGTAGCGCGAGTGGTCACCCCAATTTCACTGTAAGGCTTAAATCAATGTGGTATACCTCATTGGACTAACATCAGATTCAAGTATTCATCAGATCCTCCCAGTTATCAACATCAACAGCAAACCACCAGTGGTTACCAATATCCACATGGGAACCAAAACCTCAGGCCTCCTCCACTCAACACTAGCTATTCATCCAGCGGCTACTCTATGAACCGTACCTCCTCTCACGGCTCAAGCGACTCTGGCTATGGTACGAAAACCCCTTCAGTGGCTAGCCCAAGACCACAACAGAGCTATCCAGTCCAGAGCTACCCAGTCCAGAGCTATCCAGTCCAGAGTTACCCAGTCATAAGCCATGTTCCCAGTCGCCAGCTAAGCCAACAGAGTACGAGCTATTCCCATGACAATCAGCGGAGTCCTGGTATTGAGGTTGTTCATACTGGTCCTGTATCCTCTTCAAGGCACAAGAAGGAGCGCAGGCTTAGGTAAGATATTGCTAGTTTCGTTTGTCTATCCGACACGAATTATTATCCTCCTCACCCCACATCTCTCGCAAAACCCTGCAGTCTTCTTATTCGCTAACGTCCCATTCAGCACTCCTTCCCCATCCTCGCCTTCCGAATATCCCTGTCTACATCCCAGTTGCGGCCACATCAGCTCGCGCGCTCACGACCTCAAACGACACATGACAGTGCACTTCCCTCCTCCCCCGGACGAACTACTCGATTGCAAATATGAATGGTGCGGACGCACAGGTGCACACGGCTTCAAGAGAGAAGATCACCGCAAGGAGCACTACCGGAAGGTCCATATGAAGGAGAGTGAGTACCCAAAGACGGGCAAAGGAGGAAGGTCAGGAAGGTCGAGCGGGAAGTCTAAGCCGTGATTGGGGCACTGGAGCACTTTTGGGTAAGGTAGGCGTATGGTTTGGTATCAATGCTGTTATGTCGGTTTGGTGATAAAAGGAAAAAGGAGTTATCGTTGTTTTGTGGCCTATATTGTACGAATTACGCTTGTATACCTAGATGTACTTTTGAGGAATTCATAGCGCTCCTTATCATTTTCTACAACCAGTACGAGCCTCTTCCGTTCATCAACACGGAATATTAGCCTCGATGCTATGCAGATGCTCTTGTATGTTCTCAGTGCTCCTGAAGCTGTTCTCTAGAATTTAGGGTCTGTGGCAATAGCCCTAAGAGACTGCATCCGATTCCGCAAGCATTGTCGATTCCCTCCCACCTCCATGCCCCGTGTACAGCCTAAACAGCTCACCAATCCACTGCGTACGTCTTGCTTTGCCTCAACATCAAACCTCAAACCCTGTAGCCATACACTTTCTACAAGCGTTGCCCCTGCCCCAATCTCATCTCCGTCCCTCAAACCCCGCTTTCAGAACCGTTGTCTTTCAACATTTCGTACCATGGCGCCTCAATTGGACGGCTACTTTAAGCAGTGAGCTTTTGCCATTTCACCAACTATTTTCTGGATATAAGAGATCGATACTGATTCTGACGTGCTCTACAAGGGTGGACAAGCTATCAGAATCCTTCATTGAACGTGAGTATCATCAAATCCACAGGTCTTTCCATTTTCCTCCGGGGCCTTGCTTACACCGCTTCAGGTCTCCGCAAAGCAGTAGCCATACCGTCCGTCTCCGCAGATGACGAACGCCGCCCTGATGTCGTCAAAGTCAGCTGCTCATCTCTCACCTTCCGCCTTCAGAAGGTAGCTAAACCTTGCCCAATTACAGATGTCCGAATTCCTCGTCTCTGAACTCACCGCCTTGGGTGCACATGTCGAATCCCGTCCACTCGGCCTCCAACCCGGCAAAAAGGATCTCCACCTACCTCCTGTCATCGTCGCTCGCTATGGCTCCTCTCCTAACAAACGCACTATTCTCCTCTACGGTCATTACGACGTGCAGCCTGCTTTGAAAGACGATGGCTGGGCTACGGAACCATTTACGCTTACTGTTGACGACAAGGGGAGGATGTACGGGCGTGGTAGCACAGATGATAAGGGTCCTGTCCTAGGGTGGTTGAATGCTATACAAGCACACAAGGAGGCCGGTGTGGAACTGCCAGTGAATCTACTGATGTGCTTTGAGGGCATGGAGGAATATGGATCTGAAGGGCTGGATGATTTTATAGAGAAGGAGGCGACGCCCGGAGGGTTCTTCGAGAAGGCGGATGCGGTCTGCATTAGCGACAATTACTGGCTAGGCACCGAGAAGCCCTGTCTGACATACGGACTCCGAGGCTGCAACTATTACAGCGTCAGCATCAGCGGCCCAGGCCAAGACCTTCACAGCGGTATCTTCGGCGGTTGTGCACAGGAGCCAATGACAGATCTTGTCCGCGTACTTGGGAAGCTGGTCGACACAGACGGCAAGATTCAAATACCGGGCATCAATGAGATGGTTGCCCCCGTGACCGCAGAGGAGAAGTCACTGTATGGAGATATCAGCTACACAATGGACAACCTCTATGAATCCCTGGGCAGCAAGACCGGCATCTTCCCTGACAAAGAGAAGACACTCATGGCGCGTTGGCGTTACCCTTCTCTCAGCGTACACGGAGTCGAAGGCGCCTTCTCTGCCCCTGGAGCCAAGACAGTCATTCCAGCAAAGGTCGTGGGCAAGTTCTCAATAAGAACAGTGCCAGATATGGAATCGGAAAAAGTCGACTCCCACGTCTTCAAATATGTCAAGGACGAATTCGCCAAGCTTGGGAGCAAAAACACTATCGACATCCGCCTGATACATGCGGGTAACTGGTGGGTAGCTTCACCTAAACACTGGAATTACACAGCCGCAGGACGAGCAGTGGAGAAAGTCTTCGGCGTCAAGCCAGACTTGACAAGGGAAGGAGGAAGCATACCGGTGACCCTGACCTTTGAGAAAGCGACCGGCAAGAACGTCTTGCTGCTCCCCATGGGTAGCTCGACGGATGCTGCGCACAGTATCAACGAGAAGTTGGACCGAAGGAATTACATCGAGGGGACAAAGCTCTTGGGTGCATATCTGCACTATGTGGCAGAAGAGGAAATGAAAGCTTAAGGGAGACGCGAAGGATCGACTTTAGCATAGCGGAGATAGTTTTGATGCTACCTATGATTTTATGATATCCCTCCTCCAGCATACCACTACATGCGAACCCGTTCCTTGCGATCTAGGTGTAGAACGCTACAGGGCAGGCAAGGTGCCAGAAAAAATGGCAGTGGAGATGACACGAATTCCTAACCGATCAACCGGAGCAAAAACATCGACAACGAGCCCCTCCGTCACCGAACGCTCTCCCCGAAGCAATCCTAGCCCGCCGTCAAGAGCGAAAGATTGCCCCAATCGACGCCAGGCCCCAAGAATTTCAGCGTCCCAGATTGCCACTGTTTTCCGGACACCTTGCCCGAGGGAGAACTCTCCGTCCCAAAAGATCGCAGTCGACGAGGTACTTGAAGATGAGAGACAAAAAATTGGACTATGACATTGTACCGCGCAGGCGAAGACCTTGAGTAGGAACAAGGCAGGACCGATTCCGGCCTCAAGCCAGATGGAGAGCGATCGAACGTGTAAGGTTCTTCGCCTTGAGACATGTAGTATCACCGTGCGTGCAATGGTGTGAAATCTCTGGATCTTCAAAAGCCTGTTAAGTGCCAGCAATCTCCAGCGACCGCCCATTAAGAAAGGCCGGTCCCGGCCAGCCCGACCCCTTATCCTCTCATACATCTATCCTCCAGCCCGTATCCAATCCTCCACCAACGACCCCTCCACCGCCTTATTCGCCAAGTGCCTCAAATCCTGCTCCCTCTTCCTTTTCGCCGCCGCGACACGCTCTTTCAAATCCTTCATCCTGGCTCCCGTGTCCAAAATCTCACCGCAGTCAATCTCCGTGTCCACCTTCCCCTCCCTCGTCCGACCCATCATCTCATACTCTTTCCTCGTGGCCGGGTCGTAGTACGCGTGCCTCGCACCGTGCGCCATCAACATATGGGTCCAGAACCCGAGACGGTCGGCGAACCGCTCGCCCCATGCTTCGCACCCGGGTTCGGGACACCGGTAGACGACGCCCAGGGCCCAGCGCTCCCACTGCAAGGTCCGGGCCCGAAGCCTTCGCCCGTCGACCAGGGCTGCGGCAAAGTTGTGGAGGTTGTCCGCCGTGACTTGGTTTCGGAGGTAGAGGTTGGTTGATGCTTCGATTCGGCCAAAGGTTCGATGGTCTGGACTTTCGGGTTCCCTTCCGTTCGCACCGATGTCTGGAAGGTCGGTGCCGGATACGTCGAGTCGACAGTAGTGGGCGGGGTTGAGGTACCGGGACGAGGTCAGTTGTTCTTCGTGGACCCGTTGGATTTGAGTGCTCATCTGATGTTGCAATCTATCGGCTCTGGGGTCGACAGGCTGATTGATCGAACCGCCGATGCTCAGTAGATGGATACCGTCTTTTCCAGAGAAGTCATGATTGGGTAATGAGTATATATCTTCAAGCATTGTGCGAGATATCTCCTTTACCAACGTGCGAGAAATCGTATCTCGGATCGTGCGAGATACCCGGTCTAGCATCCTGCAAGATACCTCTTTTTGCACCATGCCAGATATCTCTTCCAGCACCGTGCGAGATATCTCCTTTACCAACGTGGGAGACACCCCTTTTCGCATCACGCGATATACCTCTTTTTGCACCATGCCGAATATCTCTTCTAGCAGCGTGTGAGAAACCTCTTCCCGGACTGTGCGAGATCCCTCGTCTAGTATCGTGGGAGACACCCCTTTTCGCGTCATGCGGAATACCTCTTCTTGAACCATGCCAGAGATCTTTTCTAGCAACGTGCGAGAAATTTCTTTTCGTACCGTGCCAGATAGCTCTTCTAGCAAGGTGTGAGATATTTCTTTTCGTACCGTGCCAGATACCATAGCTAGCACAGTGCGACTTGGGTTGTTGTAAAAGTGCTTGGCATTGCAGTATGATTCACGAGACCGTTCTGCATCTACACATTGCACAAGAATATCATTGACAAATCTCGGAGGGCTATGATTGGCGTAAGATCGAAAAGGTTGCAGTTTGGCACCACAGCCACAGACGATTGTACGACATCTGTTAGGGTCTGACTGGAGATGCACCTGATCCTCATTGGGACTTGGGAAATTTGGGACCAGCTTCATTGCCGGGGGATTCGACCGTCGTGGCCCCTTGTGAATGCTTAGGAAGACAGACTTTCGCAATCGATGTTTTGGCAAAGGTGATACGGGCTGTTGCTTGACGACCGTAGCATACATGTCTCTGTATCTCTCCATTGCTTCACGGACACTCATCCTGTACCTGCCCAACATCATAGCGATCACACCTCCGGTACCTGTACCGGCTATGTAATCGAAGTAATGACAAGGCCAATATTCAGACTTCGGCATGGCATTAGGGGTTGGGGCGGCGCAAATCTCATCGTCTAGACGTCCAAGAACCGACGAAAAGATGCTGGAAGTTGCCTTCGGGTTGCGTGCTCGCTCAATCTTTCCAACTTCTTCCATGAGTGCCTGCAGTATGACGAGAGAGCTGTATCCTCGGATCCAGCCGCCGTCGATGCTAAGGACGAACTTCTCGATGCTGAGGACGGACTTCATGGCCGATGGGTCATCGTCCGTATCGGTCAGATCATTGGCGTGCGGGAAAGAACTTGGCAAAGCTCTGTCGTCTGGGGTACTCCATTGTGTAGGTTTTTGTGGAAGCACTTTCCTATCCGAGTGAACCGCCTTCTGATCTTCCATACCACTCCTGGCGTATCGGCTACTGATGCCGATGTAGGAAGCTAGGCGAATGTTAATGATGAGATCTGGAGAAGCTGTTGAGAGTAGATGCTTGCGGCCAGCCGCTGATCGAGGTTGCTTGGGGAGCTTGGGCCGTAGGTTGACGAGTCCTCCAAATAAGGGTCGGACCTGTAGATTCGAGCGTTGTGTGTAGCCAGAGGCCGTTTGCACTGGTGCAACAGGAGCTGAGAAGTCGCAGCGACTACGGACTGTTCCCAGCACAATCGCAATCAGTGGGAAATTGTGGTAAGAAACAATAGCTAGGTGGCACCTGAGAACTGCGTCGTCAAGACGTCGGAGCGCTGTGATCTGAGGCTATAGCAAGATAAGAAAAGGCGAGATAGGCCGTTGTTTCGCAAAGCGTCGTAGCAGCAGAGGACTGTCCGGGAAGAGATTTGAGGCCGTTCAACGGCCTCCTGGCAGTGCAGTGATGGCGAAAAGTTCCCAACAGATGTTGTATGATCCTCCGGATCCGCAGAGCAGCAGTAGACGACGAGGTATATTCAGGAAAGAAAGTAATGCCGCTCTCGAAATTGTTGGTCATGGAAGTCGTCAGAAATCGTGATGCACTGTGAAGGAATGTCTTATTTGTGAGTAGTAGAATCTGGGATCGGGTGAGCATTTATACCGAGGATGTGTGGGGAAGGTGCTGTGGCCAGGCAATTCACGCGTGAAAGTTCAAGGTGTGAAGAATTCGGCGCCGACATTGTGGCAGATGGTCCCCATCCACTCACTCGAGCAGATCCACGGAAGATGGAACCAAGGAGGAGTCGATGAGATTGCATCGTATGCATCAGAAGCTGTCAAAGATGATGTAAGTAAGTTCTGTGAGGCGAAACAATGCGATTGCCTCAAAAGTGACCGCCCCAAAGCAATGAAACACAAAGAACCTCAACGCTGAAACGTTGCATAACGAGGATGACTTGTTTGAAAAGTGTCTCAGTTTTGCGATATATAGATCATCCAAAGGCATGACGGCCCTTGAACATGTCCGCAGGACTGTGTAAACATAAAACGCCTCCAAGTCACACCCTAAATATTTTCCGTATCGAAGAAGTCCGCCCCTGGCTGTCACAGCCGTATCCAATACGCCAAACGATTTTGTAGTTGCCTCCCTAGTCGCGACATGAGTTAGAAACGCTGCAAGGTATATAAGAAGAAAGTCGAAAAGTCCAGAATCTCAAGGTGTCCTCGCGGCGTTCGCGTCTGAGAATGGACCTTCCCCCCTAGCATCTCTTCCGGTCCAGGCGGTCATGATGTTTCCCATACTACCCAGACCGCCATGTCTGGGCTCTCTAGAGGCTCGCCTGGTGGCCTCCTCGATTATCTGATTCAGACTTCCGGATCGTTTGTGTTTCTTCTTTTGCTCCTTGCTCAGGAAATGGCGGGCTTGGCTGTCTGGTGAAGAGGAAGATGATATGATGGCTGGGGAATGTCTAAGGTCAGGTGCTGATGATGGAGACCGAACAGGAGGATCTATCGATCTGGATGAGGGCGACGCGGTCTTGGCGAATTGAGGTAGCTTTTCGTGGCCCATCAGACTTTGGTCTGCAGGTGAGTCTTCGTCGCTGCTAGAGGCATCATCAAAGGTTGACGAGTCAGGATTATGCCTAGAGCTTGCCACTGAAGCGTGCCGCTCTAATTTGGTCGGAGACCTATTCGATCTGTCACTGGGAACAGGACTAGGGTTTGCGGCAACAGGAATGTTGTTCTGCGGAGATTTTGTGACGTGCACGGCTTTGGGAACACCCAGTCGAGCGACTATCGGGCTAGTGGTGTTCGTCTTTAAAAGATCGTGTCGCTTGCGATCCATTATGGGAAGAGGCGGAGTGGAGGATCTCGATTCAACAGGGCTATTCTTGCCATTTGACTTGACAGCGACAGGATTTGCTTTACCACAGATAGCCGTTTGAGCAGGTATAGCGTTGACGACAGCACTACCTCGATAAGCCGTCGACTGGAAGCTACCTCGAGGCATGCTTGGGGCTATGCTCGATCTGGCGTAAGACGTCCTATCGACTGTATAGTCTGAATAAGTGGAGTCGCGGAGGTCGCTAGGCATGAAGAAGTGTTGGTCCTGTTGATGAGGCTGTGGAGTCCCTGCCGGAGAGAAGGCTGGTATTGGTGGTACCGGTGGGACAAGGTCTGGTGTGGAATCAACGGATCGGTTGGTGACTCCTGGTATGTAGGCTATTTGGATGACGTTGGAAGCTCTGGTAAGGACGGTCGAAGCTATCGAGCGAACTGAATGTACTGAGGCACGAGCATCCCTTTGCATGCCAAATTCGTCTCTACTCTTCTCCGTGGATTCCTCGTCTTGCCAGTCGTTTTCTACAAAACGTACCCTTCTATTCTTGATGCAGAATCTCCACACCAGGAAAGTCATCAAGCATACAACAGCGACACCTCCGATGACGCCTCCTGCTATAGGACCCGCAGCTGGCCCAGAGCTTGATGGCGCTGATGTAGGCTGAGCTACCATTTTCGTGCACATAGTCACAGCACATGAATTGCAGCCTCCAGCGAAAAGAGAACAGACCTCGTCCGAAGCACATGATGGACATGGTGGAGGTTCAGGAGGGCAGGTGGCGCAACGTCGGAAAAGGTGAGGTGCATTGAAATCCACTTCTATATAGAAAGCGTCAGCATTATATCCTGATAGTGACATGTTGTCAGTGCTTACCATATCGGCCGAGACCATGGAGGTCCATCTTTGCGTTGGTGGGAGACGTATAAAGTCGAAACAGGGAAAGGAGCCCAGGAGGGGCTTGTTATCATCCACGAGGCCTAACAGCCAGTCGTTCCAAGGCAGTCGCTCCGTGGACCAGCAGTCAGGGCTTGAGATGCGTACGGCCGGAAATTGATTAAAAGAGTGTCTGGCCTTGTAGAGGGTGGTTGCAGAAGACTGTCTCGGTATGGTTGGTTGGTTGGTGAGATTCTTAACGGGAAAGAACAAAGGACTCAAAGGCTGAATGATTAGTTCCAGATGGTGCCGAACAATGAATGCGATGACTCCGACGTGATGTAAACGAATGACTGTCGGTTGCCGGCCTACTGCGTTTCCCTTTGCCCTTTTCCCTTGGGCGCTTCGTTATGGTCGAGGTGTTGTGTATTTGATTTGCGGCGTAATTTGACGGGCGCAAGTGAAATACCCTGACTCAAGGCGGAGCAGCTCCCTTCTTCACTGCGAAGGAATTGTTGGACCTTGCATGGCGCGGTTTTGTGGTGTTCAGTCGACAGCGGAGTGTAAGGGTTTTGGCTGAATGGTGGTAAGTTGATTGTGGCAGGTTGCTGACAGAGCTGGAAGGAGTTGGGGCCCTGGGGGGAGAGGGGAGGGGATAATGTTAGGACGATCTTTTTGGGACGGGACAAGGGAGCAGACAGCGAGTAGTTTTGATTGGGCGAGAGTTTTACCTTTCAGGCTTTTAGGACTCAATTTGCCATTTGGCCCTAAATTTGGTGTGAAAGTTACCTTAGAGTAAGTACCTTATGTAGTAAGGGAATAAACATATGTGGGCTGTGAGCCTGTGAGCGGAAATTACGCTGCCCTTGAAGTCCTTGCACTAAAATTATAACGAAGGATACATCTTCCTTCCACTTTCCCTCCTACCTACCTCACCCTCATCTTTTTTGTCCCATAAAGATAATAAGCCTGACAAGAAGCCAACCAAGTCAAATTTCATCCCGCACACATCTTAGCCTTGCTCGTGATTCGGTGCTTAATTCACCGCCTTCTATAAGCGCAACGGTTACGCATATTATAACCGCCCCGATAACGGCTGCCATATCAAATCTCTCCGCACCGATTCACTTACTCTAGGTACTCAAGACGCAGGAATCCCAATCCAGAAGCTATCCAGCATGCTTGAGCGTCACCATATCATTGCACACGCTCGATCCGCATATGAGGGTTCAAGCCGACTCGTTGCATCTCGGGCGATGAGCGTAGACGATCAAAGCAATTGAGTCTCACTACCATCATATTAAGCGCACCTGAACGACACGTGGGTCTGATCATAACCTGGCTTGAGCTGCATCTGCATATCAGACCAGCAATACTCCGTATGCAGGCTTGGCCCAGGAGGCTCAGGTATCGCTTTCTGCAATCTTACGTCCCCTGCATGCGTGCATGAAAAACAGCAGATAATAAAGCTTGTGCATCATCTGGAGTATTCTCGCCTTCCAATCGATTTGATTCTTTACCTTACTCTCAATAGCTTTGGGATTCCACGCCCTTAGTATTTCCCCAAACGAACAATCAGCTGTAGGGTGCAATTTTGCTCGAAGCGTAGATAGACAACAGGCTCATGAACAAAAAAGCCGAGGGTCCAGCTTTTGGAGAGGTGGGGCCAAGATAAAGGCTACTATGCCGTACACGATGGCACTCAGATAGTAATATACGGCAGGAGAAGCAAGATATAAGGTACTAATCTCATCTATGGCAAACGCTGGCATTTTCTTAGGCCTAGTGAGCCTTGTCACCGAAGCTCTGCAACGACGTGTCAGCACGGCCACTGGACTCAAAATAATGTGTTGAGTCCAGCTGTGCATATCCGGAGGAGCCTGGGACGCAAAGCACACAGCCCGTTGGTGGCCATGATTCCGTAAAGGAGGCTCGGAACTTCGTGTTGCTAATTTTGGAATTCAGAGACATGAGGGCGCCACAGTAAAATTCTAAGAGGAGAACAAAGAAAAAATACTCAGATATCGGCGGATTGAATAATCATTCTGCAAGGGTCTTCACTCTGCGTTGACCTTCAGAAAAATTCACTTCTTCAATCTGCAGGAAGCATTGTCGTGTTTCTTGCGTGTCCTCAACTTTCACTGACTGTGCGTGCTGTGGCGGATGTCGGATTTGATTGGTAAAGCCACACCTGGAGAAACAATCCCGGTCAGCAACAAAGCCAGCAGACCCCCCTGATCTCTGCTTTCGTACATTCTTCTACACCAACATCGTTCCAAAAAGTGACAGCGAAAGGCCTCTTGGAAGGTTCGATGATATATGCAAAGACGGCCATACACGCTACTCTCTCTGAGCACTGCATCCTCAAGCCCTGGCGGCTGTAAACAAGTATTGACATTCTACTTCACTCCATCCAAAAACGCTACGCACTCCTAGTTTTGCCCTCCAACGCTTCCATCATCCTTCTACCACAGCGGCCGCCCTCAATTCACTCCTGCTCTCGATCACAATACGCCCGAATGGCTTACCAAGCATCTCCGGGAGCTGGGGGCTATGAAGAGGACCACCGGTTGCACGACCTGCCCTCCGGCAGCGTTAGTATTGTGTCTCCAAGTTTTGCGACCCTTCGCTAACAATCGACACAGCAATATCATCTGCCTCCACACGAGGGTTCTGATGACGAAGATGAACGAGCCCTCTTAGCCCACGGCCAGGGGCCCTTCAATGGGCCATTCGATGAGCCTCACTCCGGGATCGCAACTCCCCCTATCAGACCTGCTTCGAACTACACTCTGACGGAATCATATGTTGGGGATCACAAGTCACAAGCACCTCCTTACAACGGGTATCACGGAGATGGCTACAGCTCGACTCTCGATGACCCCACAGCGGCATTTGGCGTGCCTGGGCGAGCGCCGTCTCCATACGAGAGAAGTGACACCAGCTCCACGGAAGCATGGAGGCAGAGGCAAGCACCTGGAGCAAATGGGTTGAGGCGATACGCGACTCGTAAAGTGAAACTTGTTCAGGGCTCGGTCCTGAGTGTGGACTATCCAGTACCTAGTGCTATCCAGAATGCTATTCAGGCGAAGTATAGGAGTGATCTAGAGGGAGGCAGTGAAGAATTCACACATCTGAGATGTACGCTGAATGTGAGCCCAGGAATATGCTGTCGCTAATTATATTCAGACACTGCTGCAACTTGCGATCCCAATGAATTCACGCTCAAGAATGGCTATAATCTTAGGCCGGCCATGTACAACCGCCACACCGAACTCCTCATTGCCATCACATACTACAATGAAGACAAAGTATTGACTGCGCGTACCCTTCATGGTGTCATGCAAAATGTCCGCGACATTGTCAACATCAAGAAGACAGAGTTCTGGAATAAGGGAGGCCCTGCTTGGCAAAAGATTGTCGTGTGTCTGGTCTTCGATGGGATCGATCCCTGCGACAAGGAGACTTTGGATGTCCTGGCAACAGTTGGCATCTACCAAGATGGTGTCATGAAGAAAGACGTCGACGGCAAAGAAACCACAGCTCATGTTTTCGAGTACACTACCCAACTTTCGGTCACGCCCAATCAGAAACTTATACAACCCCAGGACGACGGCCCCAGTACGCTTCCTCCAGTACAAATGATCTTTTGTCTCAAACAGAAGAATAGCAAGAAAATCAACTCTCATCGATGGCTATTCAACGCTTTTGGTAAGATATTGAACCCGGAAGTCTGCATTCTTCTAGACGCCGGGACAAAGCCAGGGCCAAAATCTCTCCTTGCGCTGTGGGAAGCTTTCTATAATGACAAAGATCTTGGTGGTGCTTGCGGAGAGATCCACGCTATGTTGGGTAAAGGATGGAGAAACCTTCTGAATCCGCTTGTGGCAGCCCAGAACTTTGAGTACAAGATCAGCAATATCCTGGACAAACCGCTGGAAAGCTCCTTTGGGTACGTCAGCGTTCTTCCGGGAGCGTTCTCTGCGTACCGATTCCGTGCTATCATGGGACGCCCTCTCGACCAGTATTTCCATGGTGACCACACCGCCGCAAAGATCAATGCGGGTAAAGGCATTGAGAATATGAACATCTTCAAGAAGAACATGTTCTTGGCCGAGGATCGGATTCTGTGTTTCGAACTTGTCGCCAAAGCCGGATCGAAGTGGCACTTGACCTACGTAAAGGCCTCAAAGGGCGAGACCGACGTTCCTGAAGGTGCTCCAGAGTTCATCGGGCAACGCCGAAGATGGCTCAACGGCTCCTTTGCAGCCAGTATCTACTCACTGATGCATTTCGGAAGGATGTATAAAAGCAGTCATAACATCGTGCGCATGTTCTTTTTTCATATTCAATTGCTATACAACATTTTTTCAGTGTTTCTCTCATGGTTCTCGATCGGTTAGTAATTTTAAGTATCCAACCACGAGTTAGAGATCTAACACATTTTCTAGCTTCGTTCTGGCTCACGACCAGTGTCATCATGGATCTCGTCGGAAAGCCAGGCGCAGCGAACGGAAACAAGGCTTTCCCCTTTGGCAACCATGTTACACCGGTCGTTAATACAGTGCTGCAATACCTCTATCTCGGCTGTGTCCTTCTGCAGTTCATCCTAGCACTGGGAAATCGGCCCAAAGGGTAGGTAAATTTCAATTGCCCTTGCAACACTTCGCTGACAATACGTATAGATCGAGATGGACATACATCATGTCTTTCCTAGTCTTCGGTATCATCCAGGTCTATATTGTGATACTGTCAATGTATTTGGTGGTCCGAGCTCTCTCTGGTAACAACGAAACGGAAATCGAGACACACAATGGTCTTGATGAGTTCTTCAAGACTTTCTTTTCCTCGTCGAGTTCAGGCATCATCCTTATCGCTTTGGCAGCTACCTTTGGTTTGTACTTTGTGGCTTCCTTCATGTACCTGGATCCGTGGCACATGATCACCTCATTCCCACAGTATCTTTGCCTCATGTCGTCCTACATCAACATCCTCAATGTCTACGCCTTCAGCAATTGGCATGACGTGTCGTGGGGAACCAAAGGCTCTGATAAGGCCGACGTTCTGCCATCAGCTCAAACCACAAAGACAGGAGACGGTAAAGCCGCCATTATCGAAGAGCCCGACAAACCTCAAGCGGATATCGATAGCCAATTCGAGATAACGGTCAAGCGTGCATTGGCCGAATTCCACCCACCGGTGATCATCGAGAAGAAGACCTTGGAGGATTCGTACAAGAGCTTCAGAACAAGATTGGTCACGGCATGGATCTTCTCGAACGCTTTACTTGCTGTTGGTATTACGAGTAACGATTTGACTTCTCTAGGGCTCTCGGTACGATGTCGCGTCCTTTTTTAAATGCTTGAATGTTGCTGACGATAGCTTACAGAACAGTTCAACAGTCAGGACGTCGAATTTCTTCCGAGCCCTGCTCTGGTCCACAGCTGCCCTCTCCGTGATACGCTTCATAGGATGCTGCTGGTTCCTAGGCAAGTCGGGCTTGCTGTGCTGTTTCAACCGGAGGTAGATAGAACGTTGTTGATGACTATTGAAGCATTGGTACGCGTGCATATTGGATTACCAGCGGTGCCCTATTGTTGGCTGCATGAGGAATACGGCGTCTGTAAATTGACTTTGCGTGTAATGAAATCCAGACGTCGATATTTATCAAAAGCGATATGGCAATCACGCGAATAGCTGTGTCGACGCTTCAATTCTAGGAAATGCGTTAGGAAATATTTTCTCATCTCGTAGGCATCTTTGAAGCTAGTAGTCAGATCGCGTGGCGGATGGCTTTTCGCAGTGTCCAAGACTTAGACAACACAATCTTCGATTACGTTTAAATACACATTATAGCCTTTGATATATAACCCACCTCCGACAACCTGAACAACTCGTCAACCCTGATACCGGCGTTTCGAGCCTTCCCTTTTTCAATCACGACTCGGACTGGACAGTACACACCTCTACAGTCGCAAGGATGCTCAAAATATGGTCTATGGTGAGTCTCTACATCTACAGACGGACGCTGCGGCCCAGCCTTGGTAAGGATATACCCTGTAGCACCGGCCTGACATATGACCGCAGAAACAACAGCAGCAGAAGGATGCGAATGCTGAGGGAGCGGGGCCAAAGAAGAAGAAGGTGACAGCAGCTCAACTACGAGTACAGAAAGGTACGGCTATGATATGCCCCTTATGCTCGTTCAGTGGAACAACCTGGCTGATCCTCCCCCTACCCTCAGACCTTGCAGAACTCGAAGGCACCCTGGGCCGCACGATGAAAACCTCCTTTCCCAACCCCGACGATATCCTGAACTTCACCCTGACCATCGAGCCGGACGAAGGAATGTACAAAGGCGGCAGCTTCCACTTCAACTTCGCCATCAACCAGAACTTCCCTCACGACCCGCCGAAGGTGAAATGCACGCAGAAGATTTATCATCCAAATATTGATCTGGAGGGCAACGTGTGCTTGAATATCCTGAGGGAGGACTGGAAGCCTGTGTTGAACTTGAATGCTGTTATTGTTGGGTTGCAGGTACGTCTACGTCTGGGGTGGGACAGGTTACAAGGGAATCTGCGAGCACAGAGTACGGTAAGGGATAAAATATTGGACCATGGCTAACAGCTGTGGCCTACAGTTCCTCTTCCTCGAACCCAACGCTTCGGATCCCTTGAACAAAGAGGCAGCGGAGGACCTGCGGTCGAACCGGGAAGGCTTCAAGAGGAACGTGCGGACATCAATGAGCGGAGGGGCAGTCAAGCATGAAAATTACGAGAGGGTCATTGGCAAGTAGATACGTCTGGGATAGTATTATGACTGGGCGTTAGCGATACCTATGATGGGCGTTTGAGCGGCATATGCATCGATGAGGCTGCAGCGATAGACGTGGATGCTGGTATGGTAATAATTGCTCAGCAGGGTTCTCACTTTTGTAGATATAATACCTGCAATGTCTTACATGACGGCCCCCGCTCCTGAAAGTGCAATATTTGGTATCAACCTCAGAGCAAACAATTTGATTAGGGCTCAAGGGCTCTGTCTCCTAGGCGGAATCGTTCCGTTGGCAAGCTCCGAAGCTTCGCACATTTTTTGACAGCTGCTTGCTGCAATTAATAACGCGCCAGCATCGGGGTAGAGAGGTACTGAAATTCTGAATCCCATGTCCAAACCTGTCGTGGGCAAGCAGCTCCTCCAACGCCCACCATGTCTCGCATCTCTGAGCCAATCCATAAGCACGTGCCTGCGTGGAAAAAGCTCGGTCTGAAGCTCAAGTATGCCAAAGAAGAGCCTGAAAATACCCAACCTAGCCAAAACGGCACTGTTGACCGCAGGAAGCGCAAGGCACCTGCGGGAGAAGAAGCTGTGGTAGAGAACGCGCCTTTGGAAAGGCCTGCCAAAAAGCTCAAAGAGTCAAAATGGAGAGCAGAAGAGGCTGGAGAAGCGGTCAACGGCAATGGGACGTCTCACGAGGCTCAAGATGAGGATAAGCTTAGGGAGAAGATCAAGAAGTCAAGACCTAGCACCGAGAACTCCGAAGAAACCGTCAATGGCAATTACAAATCTTCCAACGAGCCTACCAACGCGGAAAGACCCTCGAAGAAAACCAAGAAAGCGAAAGCGAAATTGGACGTATCTGCCTTATCAATCAATGGCAAACTTGGGGGTACTCATGAGCAGGAATTCTCGCCTCCACCTGCATTGAAGACTACTCCTGCCTCAAAAGGGAAATCCGTCTCATTCACCCCAGACACTAAGACTAAAGACGGTGACAGTGTCAAAGGCCTCTACAAAGCCTGGATTGCAAAGCAGATAGCTACCGATCCTTCATTCGACCCTTCGACTGTCAGTCCAGCGCTCAGGTCAATCGTACCTTCAATTGTCCCTACACCAGAGTCGGCTTCACCTTTCGTATCCACTTCAACCTCAAATTCAGAATCAATCTCCAAAGACAAAAAGAAACCCACAAAGAAACCCAAACCCAGACTTCCCAAGACCTCATCAGGCCCTGGTCCCTCACGTTTCGATCCCGTACTCACCTACCTCACCACCCATCACACATCCCCTCAAACCTGGAAGTTTTCCAAACTTCACCAAAACCAAATCCTCAAACACCTCTTCTCCCTCACCCATATCCCTTCATATTACGACTCCGCCCTCCTCCCCTACATCCGTGGCCTCAAAGGTACCACAGCGCGCTCACGAATCCGAAAAGAAGCGCTCGCAATCTGTGGAGAGGACGAGAAGTGGCTAGCATCTGAGCCTTCGGAAACCGAAAGGATGGATAACGAGACGGTTGCGCAATGCAACGCGCGCCGTCGTCGTGATTATGAAGCCGCGGTTGCTAGAATCAAACAGACATTGAAAGAAAAAGAAGAAGAGCGCGAAGAGCGCGACTGGGAACTCTTAGGCGACAAAGAAGAATGGGAGGAGCGAATCCGCAAGAGAAGGAGGGCGGAGATCGTATTGTGGAATGTCGGAAGGGAGGAAGAAGCTGCAGAGAATGAAAGTGTTGCAGTAACGCAGCAGAATACTTCTGGAGGCAACGGTGGACGTCAAACAAACTCTGGATTTGAGCAACTCGCGAAGGCCGCACGGGATCCCGGACCTGCACCAAGAGTGGGAAGAGGAGTCGGAATGGGGATGGGTGGGGTCGAAGTGATTGATTCAGGAGGCATCGCGCGGGCTAGCCGGGGGAAGAAGGTGGTTTTTGGCGAGGATGGGGCTGCGCAGGCTGCTGGGACGGACAGGGTGAATGAATTTGGCGGTGCAAATGGTGTCGGACGGGCTGATGGAGCCGGCGGAGTCCATGGGGTTCAGACGCCCGATTGCGGCAATGGTGCCCATGGCATGAAGCCAAAAAGAAAGCGCAAGCACAAGAGGAGGACGGGGGTGCCGGATGATGACGAAAGCAGCAGCGAGAGCAGCAGCAGCAGCAGCAGCAGCAGTGAGGGCAGTGACGAGGGGAGAGAAGGAGCAGAAGACGGAGTCGTTGTTGAAGAAGAAGAAGAAGAATGGCGCTGAGGAGTCCAGGGACGTTGAAGCGTCAAGTTCAGGATCCGGCTCTGGCACGAGCTCGAGCGGAGACTCGGATTCGGACTGAAACGGGTCCGGGTGTGCGTCGTGACCGGTGGAAGAGCAAGGGCCGCACAGCTCGGTGCATACATTTGGGAAAAGATCGTGTGACAAGAAGTGGTCCCATATCAGATTTACACACCCGTCCATGAGGCATGACATGGCACTGCCGAATGCAGACCCTAAGCTTCCAGAGCCACGGGTAACGCTGACGATTGCGTCCAGGCATAATACCCCCCCGGCCTCGACTACTTCGCAGGCACCCTCGTCCCCTTCTCCGCCCCCTTCGCCGCCGCACCGAAAGATCCTCCACCCTCTTTGCCCTTGCCCTTCTCCTCCGCATTCTCCCGCCTCCCCCGCCTCCCCCTGCCCCGGCGTCTTCTTCTCCCCCCTGTGCCCCTCCCTCCTCCTCTTCCGCGGCGTGTAAACGTCGTTGAAATTCATCACCACGGCCAAGAACTTCATGTCCACGTCCGGCTGCACCAGCAGATCCCCCAGCAGGTTGCTGACCCTCGTCTTGAAATCCGCACTCAGATCCTGCAAGCGCTTGCGAAGGGCAGGCAGCATGGCGTCGTCTCCGCCGCTTCCTGTGAGGCCGAGGGCGGCGACGGGGAAGGGGGAGTCGGCACGGTCCGCTTGCTGTGCTGCTCTGTTGGCTGTGATGGGCGAGGCGAGCTCCTCGTCGTCTTTTTCGGTCAGGCCCCATTTGCCCTGCGCGGTCCGCGTTTCGATCTTCGCGGCCAGTTCCTGCCGGCGGGTGAATTCGGCGACGGAGAAGGAGTAGAGGCCATCTACCGCGTCTTTATACGCCAGCATGATTTTCAGTAGTTCGTGTAATTGGGCCGTGAAGACGTCTTCGCGGTGGCCGGTGACGCTGTTGTGACGGACTGAGCCGAGGAGACCTTTGTGCGTGATGGCTTTCAAGTATCTAGTATGTGCTTCTATTAGATCGTCGAGTGTGCAATCTTGTTTGTGGATTGCGGCGTGCAATTGGTCCCAAGATGCTTCGATGACTTCAAAGAGGATGTAGTACTGCAGCTGATTAACGAAATGGATCATCTCTGCTATACAACATCTTGCTGTTTTCCAATCTCTGCTCATCTTCGCATCAACGACTGCCAGGACGCCACGAGCGCCCGTCATGCAGCGTCGCCAAGTGCTGCCAAGTGCGAATTCGACTCGTTTGACGCGCCAAAGGAGATTGAATATTTTGAGATACTGCCGGTTCGCCCAGGGAGTTATGATAACGTCTACTGGGGCGTCGACTTTGTATTCGAGAGTAAAGACATCCCAGCCTGTGTCTCCCTTCTCCATTTCTGTAAGGCGGGCGTCGAGGCGGCGGAGGATGTCCGGGGAGTCGAATTGGGCGTTGGAGCCCCGGATCGCGTGTTCTAGTTGAGCTGTGAGGGTGTGGCGGTATTGAGAGCCGGCTGGCCTGTCAAGGTTTGTTGAAAGGGACTCCATGAGGAGAGCGATGAAATCGCCTTGGCCGAGGAGGAGGTATCGTTTCAAGGCGTTCAGATGTTCAAAAAGTCGGAATTTGTTGTCCATGAGGTATATCAGCCGGGCCATGGTGGCCTTGTATGCTTTATCGATCGATGTTTCCAATGTAGCGGTATCGCCGTACCGCAGCTCTCTTGAGGCTTCTTTGCAGTATGCTTCTACCCAAGCAGAGTCGCCGCAGCCGTAGCGGATGAAGTTCAAGCTCTTTCCTATGAGGAAGACCTTCTTCGCAAAATCCTCGGTGACAATACTGGGTATCATCGTCTCATCCAACTTGTACTTCTCTTCCCACACACTAGTCGCAGGAGCTCTTCGAGGGTCCTCCCCCTGTTCATGAGCATCCTGCTCGGTAACAAAGAACTCGTGATAAGGATCAGAAAGCTCTCCGTCATATATCCATTGTCGTAGCATGTCGTAGAAAGGTCGTGTCACATGAGAAAGCATCCGCTCTGCAAAAGCGCCCACAAAAGGATCGCCGTGATGCGTAGAGAAGGAATGAATCATCGAGATCAGTTGGCCTCCCTTCCTGCTCTTGGCCTCTTCGACCATAAGACTCATCAATCGTAAACCCATCGTAGCTTCTCTCGTCCAAACAACACATCTCTTCAGCGTAACACCAGCTTTCCCAACTCGGCCTTGCTGCTCATTATTGTCCAGAGATATTATCGCTCGCCGTATTTCGCCCTCCAATGTCGAGATCAAGCCGAGATAAGAACGTAGTTCTTTGCCAATTGCAGACCGCAAGCTCTGGCCTATCAGCCCTTCGTCTCGTGAATCTACGAAGTCTGAGAGACTTCGGTATAGTAACGACGGTTCGGCCAAAGTATGTAGAAGGGATATGATCGGTATCGGTAGATTTCGTGGGAGATCGAGAGTGGTCAAAGACGTAAAGGGCAGATTGGTAGACGATAGGCCTTGGAGGGTGTAAGGGAGGTCGCGCAGTAGAGCAGACTCGGATGGGCCCATCGAATGGCTTTTTTCTATCTCGGGACCGCTTTCTTCAACCTTCTCAGTCTTCCGGCTCGGCCTCTGGTAGCCCCTCCGCTCAGCAGGTCCCGCATTATTCGACCTGCTTGTTGACCCGCTCTCACGCAATGGTGGCGGCAGCCTCGGAAGCCCAGCCGTCGCAAACGCATCCTCGTACACCTGCTGATCCTGACCATCATCATGCCTTCCCATCCCCGTGTCCCGACTTTTGGGACGCAGGTCGTCCAAAGTGGGCCCTCCACCATCTGGATCTGAATCTGCCAATTGATGTAAAAGGTATAGTATTGACCATTTCTGCGACAACACCGGCTGTGTGAGGAGCCGAGCATAGAGATTCGAAAACTGAACTTCTTTGTCCGGAGAGTCGTTGTCGCGGCGTACTTCAATATGGGTCAGCCTGCTTGTGTCAAGGCGGGGCACTGGAGGGGAAGAGCTTACACTTCTTCCTGATCAGCTCAGCGGCATGATTGACGTCTGAGACTACCGCAGGGCTGCCCTGGCTACAAAGGAAAAGTCAGTCAATATTTGTGCGGTCATTCGCGGGTAACGCACTTGTCAATGATATTCCTAGCCAGCTCCAAGGCATCGTCGTGTCTTTCGTCTGCCGCAGCTTCATCTTCATCTGGTAGGGCGGGGATTAATATGTCTACGAGAGACGACAACGCGTCATCAAGGCGCTGGGCTTTCTCATCACCCATATGCGCATTCTCTGGAATCAATTTTCGGGTAGTGTTCGGCGCGCAAAGGTCTGAAGTAAAGAACGTGATTGTAAATACTCGCTAGATGCTCGACCGAAGATCTCCCGGAGCAATTCCGGCGGCGCGAGTCCGCAATGACGGGAGCAGATTTCCTTTGGCTCAAGGCCCTGTCTGAGCTAAAGCCATGTAACGACAGCAGATACTCTCGGCTTGGTACCCAAAAATTGGGTCAAGCCTTGAGACGGTCACTACTTATAACAGCTTGCCTGTCACGCGGAGTTGATGTCGCGCTGGTTGTGGCATCGGGCAAAGGTTTCGAAGGCAGAAAACGGTGAAGATGAAGTCGAAGTCTCATGCTTCTTCTGATTAGATATTACGAACCATAATACTCTATAACTCTATGTTCATCGATAGCTGACATGTTGCTTTCGTCACCAACGAGGAAGCCCACAACGCCAACAGCAACGGGATATCCATGAGCGAGCGTGTCCGAAAAAAAAGCACCAAGATGCTTGCAAAACGATGTGGATAAAAATTCATGCACGCCCGAACGCCAGACCTGTGTTCCCTTTTCCATTCTACCATTTGAAGCGCATCAGACCAGGGTTGAGCACGATCGGCAGGACGAAATGGGCAAAGATGACAGTCGAGAGCGGCCAGATTGGGGTGAAGATCCTGATCCGCCAGAGAGCTGGTGCCCCAAGGGAGAGGTAAGCCATGCCAGCAGCGACAACGATGCAGAACAGCCACATCCTCCAGAACCTCCTGAACACTTTCTTGATCTCCTCACCGAAAGGGATGTCTTCGATTTCTTTGGCGGTAGCGCCCCATTCGATGTTGATCCCGAACAGATGGCAAAGAATGGCTTGGCTGACGTGGAGAGAGATACCGCCGAGAAAGATCGTCAGCAGGAAGACCCATTTGAAATTGTTGATCAGAGCGGGCAAGAGATCTTGCTCGTTGTTTCTGACTCGTAGAACTGCCAAAGCGAGATTGCCAACACCATTGAAAACAACAATGATGGAAACGTAGATCTTGAAGGAATCGATGTAGTAGTGGTCCAGGTGGCCGTTGTACCATCCAATGAGGATGTAATTGGCCAGCGTCAAGATCCAGGCTGATCCAATGGCGTAGTAGGTACCGATGTAGGCCATGATGGTGATTTTGGAAGGCAATGCCATGGGCGAACGCATGAAGTTTTTGAACAGAGGCGTGAAGGGACCTTTGGTGAACCATTGCTTGAAGGGGTGGAAGATCAACTCGCTGCATCCGTAGGCGTACTTCTCCCATCGAGCCAGTTCATCGTAAACGGTCAGTGAGACACCTTCTTTGAAGCCATCCATGGTGTAAGAAGCGAAGCGAACAATGTATCCTGCAATTTGTAACCGGAGAGCCATGT